AAATCTAGTCCCAAAAATCCTGAGTGTCAAGTTTTTAATTTGGCTGAGTATATGTTTATAATCTGATGATCTTGGTTCCTTTCGATATTTGCTCATATCAGAGAGTAACTTCATAGATTATGGCCCCAATTTTTAACCAATTTAAAAAAAAAAACATTTAAGTATATCACCGTTACACAGGGCTCACACTGGCTTTCAATTTTTTTCTGCCAAAATGGATGATAATTTTTATATAAAGAAAATGTTCATATTTTTTCCGCCAACTGGAATATTTTATCCGCCAAAAATGTGTGATAAAAAAGACAACATCTAATCATTTTATGTCTCAGTTAGGCTTATTATAAAACAATTACCGATATATACAATACAATATACAACAACTGTCTTTACATAATACATTAGCAAAGTTTGGATTTAATAAGATCAGATTTTATTTTTGGTGACTTTAGTCTATTTGAACACCGTACTGCACAATATATTTTCAGTATTTACACATCAAATCTCATTCCAAGGATTACCAATTTTCTATAAATTTTTGTGTTGCATGCACAATGGGCCTATTGTTATTTTCAGGTACCGTAAAGGTATCAGAATCTGAATCCTTGATAGAATGGTATAAATTTCAATTATATTTGTAACAGATGCTTACAATTTTTCCCGTCATTAACTTTTAGAGCATTTTGGCTACGGTAATATGATATATATGTTAAAGGTGAACCTTTTCGACCAGTGGTGATAATATAATTTGAAATAATGATATCCAATAGGCATGCTTGTATATTTTACATGCCGTATATGAAGCCACTGTAAACAGAATTCAGCTATCAAAATATTTAATTCTCTTCAAAAGTAACTGTCAGCCATTTTGATTACATGTATTACCTTTTTAAAACGAAAAGAAACATCAAATAATCACCGCTTAGATTAATCATTAGGAGTAAATAATAACTTGAGATAGGTATTATATACATCATTAACAATTATCAATCAACTAATCATTAATCCAAGACAACTGATTAGTATTACTCATTGACGTGATCCGGATTATCAGCCAGTTGATTAAATTATAGTATCCCGTCATGTGATTGATACTCAATAATGGTTAATCAAGGATAAATACGATTAGAATTTTAAAAAATTTTTCCCCCAGCTCTCAAAAAGAATCGCCAGTACTGCAAAACATTATCGCCAAAATTATCGCCAAAATCAAAATTTTAATCGCCACTTTCATATTTTTATCGCAAATTGCGACTTTGGCGACCGACAGTTTGTGCCCTGCTGTTAAAACCATTATGATGGTTGAGTTCGAATTTTGTAAAAATCTGACTGAAATTACAAAATGACCATTACCTGTGTGCAAATAGTGTTAAAAGTATGTAATATCAAGGTTGTGGGCCATCTAGAGGTAACAATTTTGATCCAATTTGGATGAAACTTAAAACATGTGTTTATATCCCAAAGATCTCAGTTCCTGTCGTAACTTCCTTGATTGTGGCCACTGATTGTACGCATAAATCACAATTTTAGCTTGTTGACCCTCTAGAGGTCACAATTTTTATCCGATTTTAAAAATTGTTTAAATATATCATTGTTACACCCTGATGATGATTGAGTCGGAATTTCGTAAAATCGGACTGTAACTGCCCATCAAAGTGGCCACACCTTGAATGCAAATTGTGTAAAAGTACCGTATGTAATACCACAGTTGTGGACCTGCTAGAGGTCACAATTTTTGTCCGATTTTGATGAAACTTAAAATATGTGTTTATATGTCAAAGATTTGAGTTCCTTTGGATATTTGCACATATCAGACCATAACCGTCAGGATTATTGCCCCTGATTGTACGCAAAATCACATTTTTAGCTCATGGATCCTCTAGAAGATACAATTTTCATCAGATTTAATAAAAAAAAACGGTTAAAAATATCACTGTTCCACCATAATGAAGGTTGAGTTCAAATTCGGGTAAATTGATATGAAACTGCCCGACAAAAAGGCTGCCCCTTGTACGCAAATTGTGTACAAGTATGTAATATGAAGGTTGTCGACCCTCTAGAGGTTCCAATTTTTGTCCGATTTTGAGGAAACTTAAAATATATCTTTATATCCCAAAGATATTTGCACATTTCAGACCATAACTTCTTGGATTATGGCCCCTGATTGTATGAAAAATCAGGTTTGTGCTTGTTCTCTATCCATCTCTTGCAAAATATGGGCATATCTTGTCTGGCAATAGCTGGTTATCATCCTTGTTTTATCACGTGACTTGATTGAGGGAGAATCCATTACCAGCTTGTATTTGTGGTTAGTCACTTTCCATCTACCATACATATCAAAGCTGAATGAATTCATGGATTATGATTTGTCAACTACTATGTCCGCCGTTTAATTTTAGTCTATTTTTATCATCCGTGTTTTATCACGTAACTTGATTGAGGGAGAATCTATTACCAGCTTGTATTTGTGGTTAGTCACTTTCCATCTACCATACATATCAAAGTTTAACCCTTAACCGGTCATTGTCGACTATAGCCACCACACCGTTATACAGCTAAGTGGTTACGGTCAACTAAAGTCGACTACAACAAGAACCTTTTTTATAAGCCGCATTTGAGTATTTAGTTTCGTATTTAATTGATATGGCCACGCATGCGTGCCAGACAGGAACTTGTCTAGTCAAGGGCATTGGGAAAAACATGTCTTTGTTCAACATAATTTAACAATGTCGGGAACGTTAAAGACGCGCGAAGTGGTTGAAATACTTATGAATTATTCTGACTCGGATTCTGAAGACGATATTTCTGATGAAAACGTTTTAGAAGGATTTGCAAATTATAAATCAACTTATCCCCATCAACTTTTTTATAGGTGTCAAGAGTCTATCACTTATGATTATTTGGCAGTAGTGATTGAAATAGGCATACAAAATATTTCACTTCAGCCTTTATTTAGCCTGACCACTTGACGTCATGACGTCAAAATGACGTCGACCAGTTAAGGTTTAATGAATTCATGGATTATGATCTTTTAACTTCTATGTCTGCCATTTAATCGCAGAGTCAACTGGACATTTAATTCTCTAAATGTTCTCACAACTGCTAGCCTATAGATTAACACATAAGAAGCACTCCTTACGTCACTCGAGCAGACAGCTAAACTGACAGTCTGTTGTTTAGGGATACTGATACATTTTTTTGTCACATGTGCCCCCTGGGTGTTTTTCAGGGAAATAACTACCCGATAAATACTTTTGTGTAATGTATTGCTAAGCAAGCCATTCATAAAAAGAAATTTGAGTCAGTAATATTCTTATTGATCTTATTTGTTTATACCCGATGTAGTATGGTCACATCACATTTAAGTGGAAATGACTTTTCATTTGGCATGATTACCATTAAACTAGTGCCTCTGTTTGCTCCATCAAACTTGAAGCATCTCCACCACTTTAAATTAAAGAGTGTGGAATTGTTTGTTTATACTACCTGTCAAACTGTATATCTATAACATATCTTAAACTCCTGATAGTGTTCTTACTCTCATTTAATGCTATACCAACAGGTAAGAACATAATTAAAGGAACAGTTTCAGATATAATTAAGTCAATAAAAGTATATTTAGAATGAAATACTCATGCCTATGTGCACTTATCTGATGTTCAGTGATAATTTTTCGAAGAAATGTAGGGGAGAGCGGGGCACAGTGGGCATGATTTCTTTTTTTAGTGACTTGACCAGAAGTGAAATCCTACAGAGAATCAAACTATGCACTCAGTTGAAGCCAGTCATGTGTTCGATTTAACAGTGCTATTAAGAAGTTAATAAATTGAAACCATTTCTGTGTAGACCATTGTAAAACCAAAATTTTTTTTTTGACCCAATGTGCCCCGTATGTGGGGTACACTGGGTCACACTATGGGACACAGTTGGCCATCAAGTATGTTTCTTTTAAAAAAAATGTATAGTAAACACACCGAAACTCATAAGAACTGTAAAAAGTAAACTTTTAGTTCAAAATATGAATTTGTTTTAAGACTTGAACACAGATATGCTGCTGAAAATTTAAAAAAACAGCTTAACATTGAATAAAAAATTCTTTAACTGGAGAAAAAAAATCTTTTATGTGAAAAACTTCTATGACTTGTAAGTCGGTAAGGATTCGTAACCTAGGACCAATATTTACTTAAAAACAGCTCAAATATCCAGATTCTGTCTAAAATGGACATATGAGATTTAGCTAAACTCGAAATGCTTATGCTCAGTGTGCCCCTCCGAAATGTGCCCCACTCTGCCCCGTCATCAACCATGTCAGTAAATCGAAAATGGCAGGAAGACGTGATAGTATTATGAAACAAAATATTTCTAATGAGAGTCAAATACTATCTCCTTCACCTGGGATTTCAAGTTTGTGGACTCGAACAAAATCTGGAGTAGCCAAGCAGTTTAACCAGTCCGCCAAAAATTAACTTTTGCGTCAGAAAAACAGTTAATGGCCGATAAATATTAATCAGCTTACATGAATTTATTGAATTTAGGAGGACAAATGGGGGCCGTATAGGGGAATTCCCCAGTGATGTCACAATTGAATTTTCCCAAAACAGTTAAAAATTACAAAGACTGGCTTACTGTGCCCCATGGCTTACTGTGCCCCGCTCTCCCCTACACTTTTAATGTCCTTTTGAGGTTGGTTACAAGTTCCCAAACTCCACTTTGTGTAGGTGTCTGTCTAAGTTATAATGGTAAGTGATGACCCCAGACAAAGTGATCATTTCTAAACAGCTCAATGTATTGATTTGAATTTTCCGGACAAGGGAAATATGATATATCATCCCATTTGGGTGTTTGAATTACATACTTATGCCCACTTTATAGAAATTAAACATGTAAATATTTATTATGATGTCTATGAAACCAGTGACTTTTCTATAAAAACAGTCTCATGTATGTGAAATTCTCTTACTATGGTATTCTGCATTTAATTTTTTGGTATCTTTTTTTTTCAGGGTTTTTCTAAGATTTATCAACAGTTTTTTCCATATGGTGATCCAAGCAAGTTTGCTACGTTTGTTTTTAATGTTTTTGATGAAAATAAGGTGAGTGGATTAAAAATTACTTGAACAAATACCAATTATTTCTGAGAATTGTTTCAGGTTTTTGTGTTCGAATCAGTGTTGGGATTTCGCCCGTATATTCCATACATGTCCGACACTATTTTCCAAACATCCTAAATTGTCCGACCAGGAATATGCCCAAACGGACATCAAGATATGGTGAATAATATTCAAAATTTCAAAATTAATATAGTGTACTGAGTGTATAAATACCACTCAACCCGATTATTGTTGATAATAGGCTGGATTGATTTGGTAATTAAGTGATCAACATATTTATACACCTACCTTGATTATCATCTTAACTTGACTGACTTAATTCTTTGTTGGACAATTCATCAATCTAATCTTAAACAGAAGTCATTGCTTCCACTTTGTCGGACTATTCATCAATCCAATAAGAATGATTATAATTTTAATCTACTTGTTTACCTCGTTTCTCCATTGTCGGACATATTAATCGCATTGATGTGAGCCGACATTATGTAGAAACTAGTCATAGATGTCACATATTGTAAGAGTATATAACACCCAATAATCTGTCTGCGATATCACTTAGGTGGAAGCGGACGTTAAATAAAGCACACACACATCCACACACATCCGATAAATACTAGACAATGCAAGCACATGGTTATAATACAATAACTGAAACGAAAGTAGAAATCTCGCGAGATGCGTGAAGTTAAGTGATGGAAACGTGACTGATGTCAGAGGAAGAATTCTATTTTGATAATATGTTGAATGGAGTTTGTTTTTAAATAAATTAAGTAGTTACTGCCAAAAAAATTTGAAACGGGTACGAGTCGGCATGCTTTCATTCTATTGTATTATGACAACACGTAATTTTGTAGGAATATTACTATCATAAATTGAATACCGCACGGGAATTAAATATGAAAAATAAAATGTGCACCTATTTTTTTAGGTGCTTGAATTTGAAACAAGTATGGGTCGACGATTTCATTCTATCGTATTACGACAACACGTAATTTTGTAGGAACATTACTGACATAAATTTGAATACCATACCAGAATTAAATATGAAGAATAACGAGGTGCACCTATTTTTTTAGGTGCGTGAATTTGAAACAAGTATGGGTCGACTGTAGTCGGCACGCTTTCATTCTATCGTATTACGACAACACGTAATTTTGTAGGAATATTACTGACATAAATTTGAATACCATACCGGAATTAAATATGAAGAATAACGAGGTGCACCAATTTTTTTATTGCGTACGATTTGAAGATTTTGTTGACACATGATTTTTAATTGTGGTCTGAAACCGCCTGCTTAAATAACGATAAAAGTTATGCCCCATTATTTTCGGTAAAAATGTCCAACAAGAAAAATTTTGAAATCCCAACACTGGTTCGGATACATATATAGTTTATGACAGACCGACACAGCACTGGCTAGTGGTTCATTTTAATCATCCTTCCATAAGAGGAAATGATTGTTTCCTGGTTTTTATTTACATTCCAGTGTGGTTGTATATTGTCATCATTCCGTCTTAATTGACATGAAATAAATATAAAGTAAGAATTTTCACCACACATAAAAACAATCTGATTCTTAAACTTCACTGGGAAAACATAATCATTCCAGATTCAATAGTTTTGTTTATTTTTCATCATTTTTATTACCTATATTCTATTTGAAATGAGTGTTATCATCTAATTACATGAAATGTCTTGAATAGACTGACATTTATAGAAAGAACTAGGATAATATTTTCTGGTTGTATAATTTGTCTTTTGGTTCCAGACATGAAAAATCAGAAGATTAAAAAAGCAATGATAATATTTATTTAAATGTATTGATATTTGTATATGTGACTAATTTAATCAGCCATCTACATGGAGACATATTTCATGACTGGGGGTTCAGTGTTCATTCCACAAGAAGTCTGTGCTTTCTCTAAATTAACCAAACGTGAAATTGTAATTGACTGGCAACAGCAACAATGGTCAATCTGATTTACTTGTCTTTACTACACTAGGATCTAGAAGAGTATTTATATAACCTGCATTCTGATTGTTCTGAGGGATTAACCAATGAAACGGTCTGTTGCTGAGAGTTCTTGACATGCAGTTCACGGAACTGTGGGCATCCCACTAGAAACATCAACGCTGATTGGTTTATCAAATGTCTGATGTCATGGAGTCAAAAGCCTTTTGCATGAGCCTGACGTGACCTACTACAACTGGGCAGATTTTCAAGTAGTGGAGGCCATCAAAAGTATAAAAAACGAAGCAAAATAACACTTGACTCTCATTAAAAGCTGTCATGTCCATTCAAATAGTAAAATGGGTTTTGTCTGCAATTGCGAATGAAACAGATGGAGCCCCACCCCCCACTCCCCAAATCAATATGGGGCTCACCTATGACATAGTGTACATGTCATCATCGATAAAAACACCAAACTTACTTTGGATGTTCCAATCTTGAGTCTGATTAATAAATTGCAGTAATATAAATATTCTGATTTCTAGAAACAATTATAACAGCTACTGTACATGTAGTCGATCAAATCCAACACTAATTTCCCTCATAGCACACTGTATGGCATATGACCGTCTTCATTAGCCCAGTTTAGGAGCAGAACAGTAGGACATTAAACCCCATTTCATTTCATTTCCAACACTAGTTACCTCCCTGGATTGCATAAGTCTAAAGTTAGGCTTTTCCAGATGTGACTTTGATTTGAAAATATTTTTGTTTGATCACCCAGGATAAATAAAATAGAATTTAATGGAGGATTTACACTAAAAGTAAGACAATAACACATTTAGTAATTAGAATATAGCTATTTGTTTCACCAGACTTATCAAAACAGCAATCAAAACAGCAAAAGTGTTATTGGTGCTTTAAATAAAACAATAAAGATTCTGTTTTTGTTTCGCACTGGACTTGGATTTTTTCTGGCAAATTATAGCCCGTTCATTTAAAAGTTGAACTGGTAGAAAAACTTAAGCGTCTGAACACAAATATGGGGCAAATAAACCAGTTTAAAAAACCCAGCTTGCGCCCTGTCTTCGAGAGGGCTTTTTATTTTAAACTGGTTCATCTGAACGGGTTGGTTTAAAAACCCCGACTCCAGCTTGCTTTGAGCATGCGCAGTACGCAGTAAGTTACATTTATGTGAAAATATCGGGGTCAGGCAGTGCCAATGTTATCGAAAGCGTGCGAAAACCAAATAAAGAATATAAAGCTACCCATGCGTAGTTACCTCTTACCTCTGACCGAACCCGAAGAGGTCAGAATAGTTAAACTGGTTTGGCTTATAGTACGTGTGAACGCAACACGATGCTGTCTTAAAAGCCCCAGCAATAATGAACTGGTTTAAAAATAAGGGTCTGAACTGGCTGTTATACAGATGTCTGATAAAAATGACTTCTTTAACTCTGATGCCATGAGGTGATTTCTTTGGTGAGATAAATGAAGGAGTAGGTGGTGACTGAGACAGACTTTTAGTTTTTAAAGTCGATGAAGTACTAGGCCTAGTAGTATAGGTTAAGGCATAACAGCCAAAACATTTTGGTCATATTGTTATTTACTAATATAAATACAATTATCTGATTAAAATACAGATCTATATTTTGTTTTGTTTTTTATACTTTCGATGGCCTACACTACATGAAGATCTGACCGGTTGTAGCGATAGGTCACGTCAGACCCTATGACGTCAGACATTTGATTAACCAATCATCATTGATGTTACTAGTGAATTACCCACAGTTCCGTGCAAAACACGCCTAAAGCTCGTTGTAACAGACCGTTTCATTGGCTAATAGCTCACATCATGCAGAACATGTCAATGATAACAACTCTTCCAGATCCTAGTAAAGACAAGTAAAGACAAGACAAGTTTAAAGACAAGTAAAACGAAATTTTGAACTATAAAAACGAAACGAAATAGGATCTGGTGTTTTAATCATATTGAATATAAATATAGCATAGGCCTAATATAAATAACTACATTTCGCAATAGATAATATTTACATATAAGGCCACGAAATTTCACGTGAACGATACCTATCGGTTATGTGCAGGCGTGCAAGCTTCAAAACACGCGACCGATTTCCTGGTTACGCAAATTGAAATATCGGTTATGTTAACAAATTTATTCACATTTGATAAATTTTTATACAGGATGAACCTTTGTGACACAGGTCTAAATTACTAGTATTACAGCTTTTAAATTAAGGGCCAGCACAAACTCCATTCATTCATTCATTTCATTTCTCCATCATACCTGTACTTCGACAGATCACCTATTTTGACAGCACATATTGACCATTTGCAAGCAGGTTGATTTAAAAATGCCCCCCATCCCTAATTCTTTAAATGATTAGTTATGCCACAAGTATTTGAAAGCATACCTTTGGATTTTCAAATACAAAGAGAGTTGACTAATTAACATGTCAGCTATATTTCCAAAGAATTTATTACACTGTTCCTTTCACTATAGCCATGCTGTATGGTGGTACCAAAGGCAATGACTCGTATGTACACATTTGTCATCAACTTTGACTCCCACCGGCACATGGTATAGCTGAAGATAATGTGATAATGTAAACGATTTTACTGTCCTGTCTATTTTAATATTAATATTGTTCAATAAAAGCTAACACAATAGGTGACCACTCAGCAATAATACTAAAATTAAAAATTTCCGAAAATGTACGAGGGAAAGGTCAATAGATCTTCAATAATAGCCTAACTTCCGACAAGAATGCTATGAATATATTAAACTGTCATGAATTTCATGATGAAAACGATAGGTGCTGACTTTGGAATTATATAAAGTTTAAAATAAAATCTAATACTATTATTTATTGTAAGAAAAAGCAAAGTATTAAACGGAAGCTAAAAGAAGAAAATCTAGGACAGATTGATGGAAAACATTGAAAACCAACTGTTAGATAACATTAATAACTCAGAGTATCAAACGTTACTCAATAAACTAGATATACGTCGTAATATATGAGGATGAAACACATGGAGCCATTCTAAGATAGAAAATAAAGTGGTATGGCGAGGGAGAAAAAAACTTACAAAAACAGTGACAGAAAAAAACCAACTTTTAACCATATTAAAACGATTCAAGGTTACGAAATAACTTCTCCTGACCAAATATTGTAAGAAATTCATAATTATTATAAAAACCTATATGCATCCTATATGCATCGTGTGATGAATACCTTAATGTAGAAAAAAACGAATTTGCCAAAACTTGATGAGTATCAGAGTGATATGTTAGAATACAAAATAGATGAGGATGAATGTTTTGGAGCAATTAGAGACTTTAAAAAAACCCAAATCCCCTGGAAATGACGGAGGTATTGGCCACTAATTAAAAATTATGTTTTAAACTCCATTAATTATAGTTTTGAAAATAGAACACTGTCTGCGTCCCAAAGACAATCAACAATTAAATTAATTCCAATTTTGAAAAAGATAAATGTGCAATTAACTAATATGTGCAATTAATTAATATGTGTCATCTATTTATTTCGGGATTTCAGCAGGGGATATCAGTCTCACTGTTGCCTTGTTTTAATAATTCGCTTTAGCAGTGGGAGGAAACTTGAGGACCCGGAGAAAACCCACGAGGTTGGACAGGCCACCCTACTCCTTGTAACGTACAAGCCGGGATTCAAAACCATGCCACACGACTCAATAACAGACCTAATGATGCAATGGGCACGTATTAACCATTTGGCCACCTTACCCCTCCACCTTTTGAAGAAAGCAGGGGACTATTAAAATGGGTCCGTCCGTCACACTTTTGGGACACAATAACTCTGCTTCTAATTGAGCTTGAATTTTCAAACTTTGTGTAGATGTTAATTAGGTGAATGCCTTGACTGAGTTCGATGATGAGCATTTTCTACTTATGGTAAACCGAGATAGGCAATTTGATTGATCAATGCTTTTGGACACAATAACTTTGCTTCTAAATAAGTCAGTGTGTTGAACCTTGGTGTATAGTTTCATTCCATCAATTTTTGGCTCAGGTTAAGCAGAGTGATAAGCAATTTGATTGGTCAAGACTTTGGAGCTTGACAGCTTTGATTCTAATTAACACCAAACAAAGCTCCATATATATGTTTACTGAAAATATAGCTAGATTTTTGTATATCAACTGAAATTCACGAATATTGTATTTTGTCTTATATTCAGTATGAGAAGAATTGTGATAAAATTTTAATAATTAATTAGCTTCACTTCCTGTTGAGGATTTCATAGTAGAATATAGTGATCAAAAGTGGATTTAAGAGATATAATGGATGAATATATCCCTCAGAGTTTTGACGTTTTTAACGGAGTTGTTCCTGATCATCGTTTCAATCGTTTCTGGAAAAAACAGGTTTTACCCGTCCAAAAGCCAACCCGGCGTTGGGTTTAACAATTAATGCTTGTAAAAAGTAATGTACTCTGAAAAGGACAGTTCTTGGATTAAGAATGATACTTCTATTAGATAGTTGAATGTGGGATAAATGTTTTACACTCTTTGCTCAAAGGTCTTTCTTGCTCCATACAAAATCCCTTTATCAAGTGTTTTGTTATTTAACAGGATGGATATATAGAATTTGGTGAATTTCTACAAGCATTATCAGTTACATCAAGAGGAAATGTAGAAGAAAAACTTAAATGTAAGTGCATGTTTCTTCTTCACCTATTTATCTCCATTAGAGGTCACAATTTTTATCTGATTTTAAAAAACGTTCAAAGGTATCACTGTTACACCCCAATGATGGTTGACTTTGAAATTCGTGAAAATCAGACCCAAACTGCCTGACAACATGGCTGCTCCTCATATGTGAATAGTGTAAAAGTATGTAATACCCTCTAAAGGTCACAATTTTTATCGGATTTTGATGAAACTTGAAATAATGTTTATATCCTAAAGAACTGGTTTCCTTTCGATATTCGTGCATATTGAACTGTAACTTACTGGATTATGGCCCTTGATTGTAAGAAAAGTCTTATTTTTAGCTTGTGGACACTCTAAAGGTTACAATTATTATCTTATTTAAAAAAATGATTAAATATATCACCATTACACCATAATGAAGATTTTAAAAAACGTTTAAATACATCACCGTTACACCATAATGACAACTGAGTTCAAATTTCGTGAAAATCCGACCGAAACTATCCAACAAAATGACGGCACCACATACGCAAATATATATAGTGTTTAAAATTATGTAATACCAAGGTTGTGGACCCTCTAAAGGTCATAATTTTTATCCGATTTTGATTAAACTTAAAATATATGTTTATATCCCAAAGAACTGGGTTCCTTTCGATACTTGCATGTAATGTCGGACTGTAGCTTCCTGGAATTTGGCCTTTGATCTTATGTAAAATCTTTTTGATATTTTTTTATACGCCCACATTGAAATGTGGTCGTATATTGTTGTCGCCCTCGTCTGTCTTGTGGATGCTCTATAGGCTAAAGTTAATATCCGATTGACTTTAAATTTATACACAGTGTTTAAGGTCATGAGATGAAGAAGCCTATTGATTTTCAGCGATTTTCGATAATTACTGCCAGAGTTATGGCCCTTGATCACTTCAAAAAATCTTGTGGACGCTCTAGAGTCTAAAGTTAATATCCGATTGACCTTTAATTTATACACAGTGTTTAAGGTCTTGAGACGAACAAATATATTGATTTTCAATGAATCTTTATGACTTGAACAGCTAAATCCATGATGTTAAAAGTTTTGTATACTAAACATTAGCATGGGGCAGAACTTTATAAAAACCAAACAAATTCTAATGGTTTTCTGATAATTACTTAATGAGTTGTTACTCTTAATCAGATTTTAATGTATTAATATTATAAATGTTTCATTACTTTAAAAAAAAGTAAAAATATGTGACAACTCTGGTTGACTGCCCAGACGATATAGCTGCTGTGGGCGTATGTTTTGTTGCCTGGCAGCCTATCTTTTTAGCTTGTTCTCTGTCCATCTCTTGCAAAATGTAGGCGTATCTTGCATGGCAACCGCTTGTAAATTATTGTGGGGAATGCCCTCACTGTTTGTGATAACATTTATCTCCTGTATTATTATGTTGAATTATATTAATATTTGTAGCAGAATCTGGAATTTCCTTGATTCTGATAGACTGCAATTTATCATCTATTAGACAATAACACTTCTAATTTTGGGGAGATTTACTAATAGAATTCCTGAACATTGAAGTTTGCATACAAACAGCACACCTTAAAACTTATTTTATGAAAATGTATGGCAAGTCTTTATGATAGATATTCGTAACAAATATAGTTTATGATGCAGGATGAGAAAACTTTTATCAATAGGCCACTCTATCTCTTTAACCATTCCATTTAAATGGAGTTTGTAAGTATCTTTTTATATGCCCACATTTTCATGTGGACGTATATTATCGTCACCCCTGTTTGTCCGTCTGACAGTCTGTTTGTCCATTCACAATTTGTTTGTGGACACTCTACAGGTTCAATTTTTATCCGATTTTTGATGAAACTTGATATGCATGTTTGTATCCGATTTACAAAAAAAACGTCTGAATATATCATCGTTCAGCCTAATGTTGGGGGAGTTCAAATTTCGTGAAAATCTGACCAAAACCGATTGTTCGAAAAATTGCATATTTAGCTTGTGAAACGCTAGAAATCTCAATTTGTATTCAATTTTAAAAAACGTTTAAATGTATCACCGTTAAATGTATCAATGAAGGTTGAGTTTGAATTTCATAAAAATCTAACCGAAATTGCCTGACAAAATGTGGACAGTCTAGAAGTCACAATTTCTATCCGATTTTGATGAAACTTGAAATGTATGTTTATAATCCAAAGATTGGGGTTCCTTTTGATATTTGTGCATATCGGACGGTAACTTCCTGTATTATGGCCCCTGATTATATGAAAAATCACGTTTTTAGCTTGTGAATCCTCTAGAGGTCACAATTTTTATCGAATTTTAAAAAAATGTTTAAATTTAACACTGTCACACCCTAATGACGGTTGAGTTCAAATTTCGTTAAAATAGACCAAAACTGCTTGACAAAATTGCGCATATCAGACCAGATCGTACAAAAAAATTTGTTCTTTAGCTTGTGGATTCTCTGTAGGTCACAATTTTTTATCCGATTTTAAAAAACGTTTAAATATATCACCATTCCACAATAATGAAGGTTGAATTCGAATTTCAGGAAAATCGAAATGAAACTGCCCGACAAAATGGCCGCTCCTTGTACCAAAATTATGTAAAAGTACGTAATACGAAGGTTGTGGACCCTCTAGAGGTCACAATTTTTATCCGATTTTGATGAAACTTAAAATATATCTTTATATCCCAAAGATCTCGGTCCCATTGCAGACCATAACTTCTTGGATTATGGCCCCTGATTGTACGAAAAATCGCATTTGTTTTTAGCTTGTTCTCTATCCATCTCTTTCAAAATGTGGACGTATCTTGCCTGGCAACCGCTGGTTAACAATTCCCTATAAATAGAGTAACTACTAAATTATTGTATAGGTACTATTATTTTTTATCCGATTTTGATGAAACTTAAAACATATCTTTATATCCCAAAGATCTCAGTCCCTTTTGATATTTGCGCATTTCAGACCATAAATTTCTTGATTACTGCCCCTGATTGTACAAAAAATCCTGTTTGTTTTTAGCTTGTTCTCTATCCATCTCTTGCAAAATGTGTGCTTATCCTGCCTGGCAGCTGCTGGTCTTAATTAAATATAGCTCTTTTAAAACTTGACCAGATATAACAGTAATGAACATTTTGTTCAGTTACAGTCACAGAATCATCCTGCTAATTTATTATTTTGTCTACATTAATTAAACTATGATATTTATTACAGGGGCATTTAAACTGTATGATATAGATAATGATGGTTTTATAACTAAAGTAGAATTATTGGACATTGTAGAAGCTATATATCAGATGGTGGTAGGTATTCTGTATTTCCTTGAACACCTGAACACTTATTTTTATCAGCTGATATTTCAGGTGGAGTATGTTTTTACGTATATACAGCCACATTTTCATGTGGATGTATATTGTTGTCGCTCTGTCCATCTGGGCGTCCATTCACATTTGTTTGTGGACACTCTACAGGTCACAATTTTTATCTGATTTTGACAAAACTGGAAATATAGGTTGATATCCCATATTCGATTGATTTCGATATTGGCATATATAGGACCGTAACTTCCTAGATTATTGCCCCTGATTGTACGAAAAATCATGTTTTTAGCTGTTAGACCCCAGCGATCACAGTTTTTATTTATTTTTAAAAACCGTTCAAATGTCAACCTTACACCCTAAGGACTTGAGTTTGAATCTCATGAAAATGTAATTCCAAGATTGTGGGCCCTCTAGAGGTCACAATTTTTATCCGATTTTGATGAAACTTAAAAATATATTATATGTTTATATCCCAAAGATCTTAGTTACTTTCGATGAAACTCTAAACATATCCCAAAGATCTTGATGCCTTTCGATACTAGCACATATCGGACCGTAACTTCCTGGATTATTGCCCAAGATTGTACGAAAAAATGTGTTTTAGCTTATGAACTGTCTAGAGGTCACAATTTTTACTTGATTTCAAAAAATGTTCATATATATCACCCTTACACCATGTTTATGATTGAGTTCGAATTTTGTGACAATCGGACCAAAGCTTGCCGTCAAAATGTCTGTTCCCCTTTACGCAAATATAGTGTGAAGTATCTAGTACTAAGGTTGTGGACCCTCTAGAGGTCACAAGTTTTATCTGATTTTGACGAAACTTAAAATATTGGTTTATCTCCCAAATATCTCGGTTCCTGTCAACTTCATGGATTATGGTCCCCGTTTGTTATCTTGACTTAATGGATTGAAATACTTGACTTAGTGGAATATTTGACTAACTTAGTAGATTACAAAACATTATTATCTCTTGACAATATACTTATTGTATATGAGCACAGTCATTTTAGGATTTCACTGTTGTGATGATAATGGACTATTTTGATGGAAATGTCTGTTTTAAACAATTGAAGGCTAGAATAACATGTATTAGTAGGTTAAATATGACCTTGTTCTGGATAAATCAATAATAGGTTCTGGATACGTCTAGAAATAATAACACAAGGATGTTTTGGGATATTGAATTTGGTATATAAGTAGCTAGTATTCCGATTAGTTCAAATAAAGTTGTTTAGACACACATATGATTGAGACAGGGGCACCTCGAAGGTGCAGAACTAGATACATAACTTTGACTTGCCATTTGATATATTTATTAAAGTATTTTTAAGAATGTTTGCTTGGTGGTACTTAAAACAAATGTGATTTAAAGAATATTGTTCCATTAAATTAGAGCAAGGACATATTCTCCTAATCAACTTGCCTGGCAAATTGTCAGATTAACATAAGAAATAGTTGATCAAAAGAATTCATAACCAGTCATTATATGAAATCAAATACACAAAAATTTAGATATCTCATTACAAATTTCATGCTTAAATTGCATGTGTGCGTTGACGCAAATAACGTTAGATTTTTGAGTGGACATTCCTCTGTATGTACGGGTATTATTCAAGCCAGATTATGGTACAGGATATAAATTTGATAATGATATGAATTAATCTTGTTTTTGTTTTAACATCAAAGGGAGGAATGGTTAATTTACCAGAAGATGAAAATACGCCAGAAAAACGGGTCAATAGAATATTTGCGGTAATGGATAAGGTAAACAATATTTAACATTTCTCTATTCAATTATTATACGTAGGTTAGGCCAAATTATTTTTACATTTCTTTGTTAATTCTGCTCATCAGACGAGATTACATTATATAAATTGAATATAGGAAAATATTGCTATTTGTCCCCAATAGCTGTTCGTGGCATAAAATCCTTTGATGTAGGTTAAAATAAAGTACATGTATTGAATTGGAGTTGATCTGATGTGTTTATTTTGATTAGTCATGTTACACAATCTTTAGGATTAAAATTTTGTTTTAAAAAGTTAAGAAGAAGTGGCCGTAATTGTCGTCGCCACTGTCCATCAGGATGTCTGTTCGGAATTTGTTTGTGGACACCTACAGGTCACAATTTTTATCTGATTCTGATGAATCTTGAAATACGTAGGTTTATATTCCAATGATCTTGGTTCTTTTTGATATTAGCATCTGTCGGGCCGTAATGTCATTGATTATGGTCCCCGATTGTACGAAAAATCCCTTTTCTTTTAGCTTGTGCGCACTCTAGAGGTCATAATTTTTGATCTGATTTTGATGAAACTTAAAATGTATGTTTGTAACCCAAATATCTTGGTTCCTTTCGATATTCGTGCATATCGTTTAAAGTTTAACATATAACGGTTACACCCTAATGATGGTTGAGTTCAAATATAACAGTTACACCCTAATGATGGTTGAGTTAAAATTTTGTGAAAATCGAACAGATACCGCTTGACAAAATGGCCGCTCTTTGTATTGTACGCAAATAGTGTAAAAGTATGTAATACCAAGGTTGTGGAACCTCTAGAGGTCACAATTTTTTATCCGATTTTGATTAAACTTAAAATATTGGACCAAAACTGCCGGACAATTAGTGGAAACATCAGGTATATCAAAGTTGTGGACCCTCTATAGGTCACAATTTTGATCTGATTTTGATGAAACTTTAAATGCATTTTTTATAACCCAAAGATATATGGTTACTTTCGATATTCGCTCATATTAGACTGTAACTGCCTGGATTATGGCCCCTAATTGTGCAAATAATCATGTTTTTAGCGTGTGGAGCCTCTAGAGGTCACAATTTTAGAGGCTATAAAAGATGGTTTTGTGATAATGATGACTTTGTATTTAACCACATGAAAATGTGGATGTATAAAAACATCCACTCAATATAAACTAGGTTATTTTAGGACTAACATATGGTATATCTATGAGGAAATTGGTGAACCCTACTCCACTTGGCCACCATCCTCATTTTCTTGTTGCCATTTCAGTAACCTAAAAAAAACAACCCTGCTACCAGTGCATTTAGGACAAAGTAACAAAACTTGTAGACTTGATGAATATTTAGTATGTAATATTGATCTTAAATGATATTAGAGCACCATAGGGGAGTGTTATAATATAATAACATTGATTTAATCAATTTCATTCAGAATAATATGTAAATAACGTGTTGTGTATATACCCCAGACAGTTTACATGTGTCAGATGTTTCTTGTCATTCACTTACAATAAGATGAAATTAAAATAACAGTAAAAAATGACTTATTTATAGAGATAACAAAATACATCGGTACGGTATTGTTACACATCTATTGGTTCTTGTAGAAAATGGGGAACCAAATAGAGTCCCACGCACAAGAATACAAAGCCAAACTGGGTATTAAAGTTAATACCACCACCAAAAATCTCCCCATTACAATCATAACTGTTAACCGCAAAATCAGAAATTAATGGAATACTTCTTATCCTTTCAGAATAAAGACAACAAATTAACGTTTGATGAATTTTTGGAAGGCTCAAAAGAGGATCCAACAATTATTCAGGCCTTGACCTTATGTGATGCAAGTCGTGATTAAAAACTTAGTGTTATCATGACAATTTTCAGAGACTTTATATTTGTGATGTGAATGGGAAGAAGAAAATATAGATCATAATTTATATTATATTCATAAATATGTTATTTTCTTTTTTAACACCAAAAATATTGTATTCTTTTTGCGGTATTATGTGATTGTGATATTGTTATGCCAATATAAGATATAACTTTGTTGAATATCTACAATACCTATTATATGATTAGCATCAATTGATTTATATCTACGCTAGAGTTTGGGAATGGTGTCACCAAATTAAAGGACACAGATTTTGTAACAGAAATTAAGAAATATCTTGCTAAACTGAAGTCATGAAAACATAGAATGGGCAAAATGATTATTTTTGCTGTTTGTTGTAGATAGGACATTGTCTCCTGTGATCAAAGAATTGTGGGATGGGTAACAAGATATAATACATGTTTATCTTAGCTATCGTGAATAGAAATCAAAGGCCAGTTTTTATAGACTCATTTGAGAATTTGTCATTTTTAGCTGTTGATTGCACTGAACTGAATCCAAGTCTGACTGAAGTAATTGAATTTTATCTTTCCACAACGCCAAAGGATCAACACTTTATTAATATGTTTATATGTACTGTAGTTGTATTACAAAAGAGAAGTCTTATCTGTTTCTTTCAATTTTATACATCAAAATAAACATCAATCATACATTTTGATTCAAAGTATCTGGGTTTTTTAACCATCAAAATATTTAATATAAATACACAAAGCAGATTTAGATTTTAGTCCAATCAAACACATCCGTTGTGTTTCATGATTTGTGTGAATAGATGTTTGCCTTTTGCAGCCTTGCCATCACGTGAACAAATTTGTTTTTGTATTTCATTGTTTGATATGTATATATGTATACTGTTTGTTGCACAAAGTGGAAGGTGGAATTAATTTACTAATATTTGATTATTTCTAATGTTTTACAATACAAGAACTGTTAATAAATAAATATCATAGAAATACATTTTGGGACATTTTTTAAATTGGGCATGAAATTTTTAAAAATTTCAAAACATATATGCATATTGTGTTTGTAATGATTTCAGAATTGGTCCCCCAAATCTTATTAACAGCTACAGTTCACACTCATATCTTTAAACTTGATTGAAAATCACCTGGGTTTTTAAGACAGGAATAATGTGACATTCACACATAATATAAACCAAACCAGTTTAACTATTTTGACCTGGTTGGTTCAAGTTAATTATGCATGGGCACATGTCGTCATTTTGCCAGGAAGATACTGTGAGTACTCAAAGCAAGGTGGAGCCAGCATTTTAAGTTGACCCGTTCAGACAGCCAAGATAAAACAGCTTATAAAGCCTTCTTGAAGACAGGTTGTGAGCTGTTATTTCTACACAGGTTTATTTGCCCCACCTTTTCATTCAGACAACTTATTTAATGATCACCAGTGTTTTAAAACTAGTTTAATTTTAGCGTCTGTTCACCATGGTTTGTAATACAGTTTGTTAGTTGATTGACAGTGTGTAGTTTTTAACTGAGATTAACAGCATTGTTTTGATACACCATACATTAATTTATTATGTATATTATAGTTTGTTGTCATTGTACATCAGATTGAAAACTTTTGTTCAGTTCTCCTCCATTTTAGTTTTAGCCATTATTTGAATGAGTTTGAATATACAATAACATTTTGAGAAATCTGTTGTCTTTAAAATGTCAACTATGTTTTACCAAAATTTGATTTGTTATTTTTGTAAATGTGGTCATATATATATATTGCTGTGGCCCCCCGTCCGTTCGTCGTCCACAATTCCTTGTGAACACTTAACAGACTACATTTATCATCTGATTGTTTTGAAATTGATATATGTTGTTTGCATTAGTGAGATGAAGAAGCCTATTTAATTTCAAGAACTTCCATTAATTTCTTCTGGAGTTATGGCCCTTGTTTCACTTTGTTGCACCTTGTGAACGCTCTAACGACAAAAGTTATCAACCGATCTGTATGAAATTTATAGGCATCATTTAAATTAGTAAATCAAAGAATCCTATTGAATTTCAGCAATTTCCGTTGATTACATCTAGAGTAATGGCCCTTGTGTTAAATCTTGTGAACGCTCTAATGACAACAGTTATCATCCGATCTATTTGAAATTGATATGCATCATTTGAATTAGTGAAATGAAGAAGCCTATTGAATTTCAGCAATTTCCGTTTATTACGTTGTGAGTTATGTCCCTTGTTTCACTTTGTTGTACCTTGTGAATGCTCTAACGACAAAAGTTATTATCCGATCTGTATGAAATTTATATGCATCATTTGAATTAGTAAAACAAAGAAGCCTATTGAATTTCAGCAATTCCCGTTAATTACATCTAAAGTTATGGCCCTTGTTTCACTTTGTTGAATCTTGTGAATGCTCTAATGACAACAGTTATCATCCGATCTGTTTGTACCTTGTGAATGCTCTATCGACAAAAGTTATTATCCGATCTGTATGAAAATTATATATTTCATATAAATTAGTAAAACGAACAAGCCTATTGAGTTTCAGCAAATTTCTGTTAATTACATCCAGAGTTATAGCCCTTGTTTCACTTTGTTGAAACTTGTAAAGGCTTGAACGACAAAAGTTATCACCAAATCTGTATGAAATTCATATGCATCATTTAAATAAGTGAAATAATGAAGCCTATTGAATGTCAGCAATTTCCATCAATTACTTCTAGAGTTATGGCCCTTGTTTTACTTTTTGAACCTTGTCGACCACTCGGACGATTTAGCTGCTGTGGGCATATGTTTTGTTGCCTGCCAACCTTTCTTTAGAACTCTTTGAACCCTCAAACGACGAAAATTATAATGTCATTGTATGAAATTGTCTAATTACCTACAAAAGAATAGATATGTGACAACCCTTGTCGACCGCTTGGACAATTTAGCTGCTGTGGGCGTATGTTTCGTTGGCTTGGCAACATGTATAAGATTTTATTTAGTATAGGATTTAGGCCAGTAAGAAATTATGTTAAATACAAGTATTCAATATGGGCATATGTTATGCCCTTATTTTATCCATTAATTGTTCCAAAGCCTTTTTTCATAATCAAGAATGTGTATAAATTAAATAATGATCCTGACATATAATTTTGATTTCACCAGATTCGCTAACCGGATTCGCTATTTGTGGATATTGAATTTGATAGCTTTTTTGATAGTATGTTATTAGCACTACAACCTGTTAATCATCCCATTCTAGAATGTTTATTTTTATGTCACATTAAGTATGTATAATCGTTTTATATTGATGAATGTTAATATTATTGAATATAATTGACCTTTACCATAAATTTTTGTGTTCAACATTGAATGGTGACTTTTAACCATATAAGACACAGCTGTGGATTATCTGATTAATTTAGCAAGTCTTAATTATTTTCAATATATTCTCTTGCAGCATTTCAATAACCATGTCATTCTTGTTCATTTTATTGCAGATGAGTTAGGTTTTGTTTTCTTTTCTGCATTAGCCAGAACCGACTTACATGTTTAAGTTTATGATTAATTTAAAGGCCTGTCATTTAACAAAAAAAAAATTTGTATCAGCCACTTAATACAAAGGTAAGAGAACTGACTTAATTAATTTTATGATTAATTCTGAGTAAATTTCTTTTCTGTCATAGATGTTCTGTAAACTAGTAAGTTTGTTGAATTGCCAGTTGAGTTTGTTAATACCTCTATGTTATTGTTCTCAGAGTATATTTGTATGTAAATATTATATATCTTGTTGTTGTAAATATTTTACTGTAAATGTTTAAAAATAAAATCTTTTTTCTTTCCTTAAAATATCCCTTTATCATTTATTATGATGATGATTATTTTAAACAAAGAAGAATATGGAGGCTTGTTATCAGTATTTGTGGAATTTTTCGTGCATCTGACCTTACCTAAATTTCAACTAATGTCATTGTAAAAAGGGTCTTTTTCTTCTGAATAATACAATTGTAATTTTTACCAAATAGTCAAGAGAATTTTTATTCAAACAGATGCTTTAATTTCACAGTGAACTCCAATGAGATATCATGTTTATTTAACTTCTGAACTGCCACAAATGTAGCATTTAGCACAATGTCTGGATGTACAAAGCTTGAGTGAAGGAAATTAATTAATTTTGATATAGTCACAGGGAGAACCCATCATTAATATTGATATTTCAGCATGGATTCTCCTTGTCAGTGATGCAGAATGGAGGACCTGGCAAAGAACAGCATCTAGTCGTCCCCCCTTGTCAGTGATGCAGGACTGAGGTCCTGACAAGGACAGCTGTCTAGTCGTTCGGATGGGACGGAAAACCAAGGTCCCGTGTGCACACTGGCGTGCATGTAAAAGAACCCTTGACAGTTGGAATTTTATATAAGAGTAGGCTGTAGTGCCGCTGTCTGGGCAAAATTTCCCTCATAGCACACTGTATGACATATGCCCGTTTTCATTAGCCCAGTTTGGAGCAGAACAGTAGGATGTTAAACCCCATTTCATTTCATTTCTGTAAGAAAATCTTCCAAATCTCGTTATGTACAGTATCCCTTATCATAAAGATGACTTTAAATTTCACAATAATTTTATTCATAGAAGCTGAACAGTAGTAAGAAAATTTACACAGTAATATATATATATATATATATATATATATTATAAGAAACTGGAGGAAGAAAGATATTTTTTTTCCCTGATAAACCTAAAGTCTAGCTCACATAAGCGATATATTTTCTTTTTTGGCTTGTTAAAGCAACATGCAAATGTATACTAATGGCAGTGATTCGGGGATTGTGACCACAGGTCAAATAACCACCAACTTGGGGGCTGCCATTTTGTAATATTACATGATGTTTTAACTTGTGCATTTTAGTCAAACAAATAAAAGGCTCCACAAGACATTTCTTGTTGCTGTAAAAAAAAAAACAGCGAGCAATTGGTGTATTAATAGAATATCAAACTTGTTTGAAATTTGGTAACTCATCACCAGCATTAATGTTGAAATCCATTGCTATTGCTATCCCATGCACACACCTATTTTTTCCTAGCAATATGCAGGAATTAACAATTCACTTACAAACTTCCTTAAAAACAAATCGCCTGTGTGTGCTAAGCTCAACGACTAGAGATTATAACCATAATAACTACTACACTTTTATAATTTGGGGAAAATTTGAGACAATCAAAACTATAATTAATACATTATTAATCAAATAAATTTTTATAAGCAATACATTTAGCTAAATATCTCATAAACCACCATTTTAAAGCTCACTTTATATTTCCCACCATAATTACACACATCTAGGAATATAATCCAAGTCATAAATTTAAATGAAAAAGAATTATACATTGTAGGATTTTAAACATGGGTAAATTATTCTATTGGTAAAGGTGAAAATAATTTAAAGCAAATTTTAAATTCACCTCATTTAAACAGTCATATTCTGCAGTAGTGGAACATCATTAAGGAATCAATAAAGAATAGACCTTGCTTTCTTTTAAAATCATAACTGTGTAAGCGAAATGTACATAATTTAAACATACCATCCTACACGATTGGTACTAGATGTTTGAAATCAGGTCTTAATGCATTCTGTTGACAATCAGCTGATCATAAGTAGAAGATAGAGCAAGTACAATGTGACTGTCTGTATAGGGAGGGTCATTCCATGTCAATTCACCCCAAAACCTAAACCCAACCATCTCAGATTTCAATCGAACTAGGTATGTGGGGTTTTTTGTTGTTGGGCCGGAAAACGCTGAATTTCAAAGTTTCTGAGATGAAGCCATCTGCTTTTTGTCTTTTATCTCCAGATGCCTATCTCAGAAACTATAAGTCTGATCAAGCTAAAACGGTCGGGTTCAGAATTGCAAAATTTTTGGGGTGAATTGGCATGGAATGACCCTATAGACATATAGTTTAGGATTTCAAAAACTCAAATGACACATGACCATAAACAATATTTGTACAATAATACATTTTGTGTTATTTAAAGCCCAATTCCACACAAATTCAAGGTAAGTGCCAAAACCCACAACAATAGACATTTAAAAAGTGAAAATACTTTGATCCATTTCAATACAAAACAGTAAAGCCTTCTCGATAATTGCTTACCCTTATATGTACAACATGGAAATATCAAAGATTTACGAATTTGACAATAACAATAAAATGGTATATATAGAAATTGAACACATAGATGAAGACAATATATGTTAAATATATGTACAAGTTTATATAAGTAATAGATATTTACATTATTACATTAGAAATAAAATAATACAGTGTATTATAGAGATTATGAACAACAATATATACAGTATGTTTAAGGCAGTATAAAAGAGAAATTATAAACTTTTTAATCAAGCCATGATACCCTTTTAAAATTAGTTTTGTTTTGTTTAATCTTTACTTATTAGCATGGGTATGAAAGTAACAACTTAAGTTTAGTAGAAATATTTCTGATTTCTTTGAAATAAAAAATACCATGCACTCAGTTCTTTTCAATAAAATTTGTTATTCAATTAGGGTTGTCGAAAGGCTTAATGCATGTGTATTAGATCATAAGGTCTGTCATCGAGTCAAGTGGTATGGTTTCGATTCCTTGATTGTACGTAGGAATAGGGTCGTCCCTCCAACCTTATAGGTTTCTCTGCATCCTCCGGTTTCCTACCACAGCGCAAGCGTGTTATCGAAAGAAACAAAAACAAAAAAACATTCATATGTTATTCTGGAAATGACCTAGTTTTTGTCCAGCAGACCTTAAACTGGCATTTATCTCTCTCTTATTCAATTATAAACAATGTGATGTTGTTAATGATAAACATCTTGAATTCAACCCACTTTGAGTTAGTCAACAAATTTGATGGAAAAATAAATAAAATAAAGAATAAAATGAATCATACATAAATGATATTCTTAATAAATACATGATTTTGAACAAAACTGATATGCTTTGGTTAAATATTTCCGTGTTGAAAAAGTGAAATAGATTATTAAACCTTGTAGTAGGTCAATCACAATAAATATGTAATACTACTAATACTTTGTGCTATAATAGCAACGTATAATATGGTTAATCATTACAAAGATAGGTTGCCAGACAACAAAACATACACCCACAGCATCTAAGTCATCTGAGCAGTCAACAAAGATTGTCACATATTTATACTTTGGTAATGGAAGCATTTACAAGTAATTATCAAATATAGTTAAAATTTGATTAGCTTCTAGTTTTGCCTAGTACTAACATTTATTATACAGATGATAACTTTAGCTCTTTAAGTTATCGGAAATCATTTAAAATCAATAGGATTCTACGTCTCATGAATAGACACATTGTGTATAAATTTAAATTATATTACAATTAGTAAGGAGTTAATTTGTCTCAGTCGTGGAGTTGATTAACTTCAATATTTATTACAATCTATTCTTCAAAAATAAATACAGGTTATGTATCTCATTTAAAAAAAATCTATATGACAAACGAGCATTTAACTAAGTGCTATGTCCAGACAGTTTTATGCTATATAATTTTTATATTGTACATACTGTATGTCATAATCTAGAGCTAGTAGGCCTACACAAGATTCTTGACTAGAAATAATCACAATATCAATTCTACAGAACCAGAAGTTCTCACCAGAATGCCCAACAGAGTATGTAGGATTTCTATGTTGCCAATATTACATCTGGACAATTCTATGTGTATATAGAAAACTACACCTGTAGATGAGGACTACATTTAAAACTGTTTTTCAATTAAAGACGCAGTCCCTCAATAAATAATTGTGGTCATCAGTTCGACCTTCTGAACATATTTTTATCTCAATGTATGCCATACGCTCAAATTATAGACTAAAATAAATTATTACAGACTGTCAACCACTAGGTCTGACGCTGCTATTTTAGATTGGGCATAAACCATGCATTTGTCACACATTAATAGGTAATGCTGGCATTCATTCATTCATCATCTTGCATATTTGTATATTGGCAAGAAAAAGAGTTTTGCTTGAAGTATATTGAAAGAACCGATATATTTTGTAACAAATTTACATTTCTTGGTAGGTTAGATATGTTTTCCAATCGATAATCATGTATTTTATTTTTTGATGGTCGAAGACTGTTATTCTTGAATGTATAAAATGATTTTAAGAGCAGTGGAGTAGTGCACTAAAGTAGATATTTACTTTTTGATCCAAATTGTTGTATTTTAAAACTTGTTGTGGACATATTCAAAGAATTAACCCAAAATCACAAAATCCCGTTCGAAGGTAAATAATGAAGAACGATCTTAAAGTACTTTGAGTTGATATTTTCCAACGTTTTTGGTGTCGAAATGTAGCTTATAACCTCTACTTTCTATCTACTGGTGTGATTATCAATATCTCTTTTTAGCATCTACTAATAGAATTTCCAAGAAAACTTATGGTTTTTTGCGTTTCCATGGATACCAGATAAACCACAGCCTATAGTCAAAATTTGACCAGTGATTTTTTTGACTTGCCATTAACATTGTTCATACCAAATTTAAAGAAAATTCATGCAGGCATAACTGAGAAAATTTGACTTTTATTGTCATCGGCACCCATTATTATCATGCCTTTGGGCCAAGTTTGGAACATAGTTGGTAAATAAAATTGGTATTTATTTGGTGATTAATATTTAGTTTACCACCCAAAATAACAAAGATAGGGTGCCAGGCAACGAAACATACGCCCATAGCAGCTAACTCGTCCGGGCAGTCAACAAGAGTTGTCACATATTTTTACTTTTTTCGGTAATGAAACATTTATAATACATTAAAATCTGATTAAGAGTAACAACTCATTAAGTAATTATCAGAAACGAGCATTTAACTAAGTGCTATGTCCAGACAGTTTTATGCTATATAATTTTTATATTGTACATACTGTATGTCATAATCTAGAGCTAGTAGGCCTACACAAGATTCTTGACTAGAAATAATCACAATATCAATTCTACAGAACCAGAAGTTCTCACCAGAATGCCCAACAGAGTATGTAGGATTTCTATGTTGCCAATATTACATCTTGACAATTCTATGTGTATATAGAAAACTACACCTGTAGATGAGGACTACATTTAAAACTGTCTTCAATTAAAGACGCAGTCCCTCAATAAATAATTGTGGTCATCAGTTCGACCTTCTGAACATATTTTTATCTCAATGTATGCCATACGCTCAAATTATAGACTAAAATAAATTATTACAGACTGTCAACCACTAGGTCTGACGCTGCTATTTTAGATTGGGCATAAAGCATGCATTTGTCACACATTAATAGGTAATGCTGGCATTCATTCATTCATCATCTTGCATATTTGTATATTGGCAAGAAAAAGAGTTTTGCTTGAAGTATATTGAAAGAACCGATATATTTTGTAACAAATTTACATTTCTTGGTAGGTTAGATATGTTTTCCAATCGATAATCATGTATTTTAGATCATGTCTGTTGAGGAAATATATCTTTAAAGGAAAACCTATTGATCCCATGATGGAAAATGGAATATAGAAGTTGGAAGCACACAGTAGTACCGGCATATAAAATAAGCATAAATTCTGATAAATATAATAGTGCTGTGCAAATCTATACATGACTTAGAAATTATTGAAATCATTTCAAGAGTAAATTAAACAATCAACTAATGAAATACTGATATTTACAATAGAAGAGATGATGTGTATAGAATCTGCAGTTAAATTCCAGGAGATATAAGGAATGATTGCTCTGTCCAATACACATTAGATATACATGTATATATTGAACTAGTTTTGGTTTGAAATGATATAAAATAAAAGTTCTTTAAATCCTTGGTTAAAAGTAATTAAATTCATCAACTTAACATATAATTGATCCTTCAATAAAATTTATTGATCTCAAAGTTACCATGTATGGTTTTAGGACCAGTTCCAGATTTCACAGGGTATCGGTTAAAACAATTAGATGTATGACAGCAAAGCAGTTTATCTAAACATCTACAATAAGCTAAAATAAACAGAGCCACTTCATCGATATTCAGGAAATATCCATAGATTATTTAGAGCGAAAACATGATGGATCCTGTACCCGTGCACAGCACGATGGGTCCTGTACAACACGATGGGTCCTATACAAATGGATTAAGATATTTAAATTTGAATGATCACAATATATCTAGGATTGCTCCATTACGACCAATGGAATTACTCTTAACTTGGTTGAACTAATATTCAAATGAGTTTCTGTTATATTCCAGTTTCAATGACAAATAACAGTGTTAAACTGTGCTAATCTTCCTATAATGGATGTTAGAAAGTAAGAAATATAATATATAAGTATGTATTTAATCATACTCTAAACTACTTTCTCTTTGTTTTATTCCATCCTCCTGTTTATTTGTATTCTTTTTCTTCTCGACTAGATGTTGATTAACTTTACTCAATGTATCAGTTGTTGCATTCTTTGTTAATCTGTAAAGCACATATAACATGTGAGGACATTTGTCAGTCATTACACATACTATAAAAATAGGTATTAGTCGAGTCTCAGTCGGTAAGGCTTGCTCAGACTAAAATAATTTGACTGAAATTTTCAAATATTCATTTTTTTATTTTTAAACTATTATAGCAAGAACTACTAACTTTTTATCTTAATTTTATATAATGCATCTTTAAGCTAATCAAACTTCTTGAATGAAGATTTCTGTATTAATGGTTTCTGTGATACATGTTTAAAACATTCCTTTAAAATCAATAAGAACTGAATAATAATAATATCAAATACATACACTTCTTCCATTTCTATTTCATCATCAGAATCTTGTGGTACCTGCAGATATGGATTGTTAGAAGCTGGTCGGAACTTATAACCAGTAACAAAGAAAAATAAAAATACAGCTATCTCTCGGAAAAATTCTGTCAACCATTCATGTCGGAATGGTAGTGTTATCTGGAATAAATTATCAGAATTAATCTATATTTCTATATGGTCTTACACATAACCCAGGTTTGGGCAAAATCCAGCCGGGTAAGTAATGTCTAGTGTTGACTGTCATATAATTAACATCCATTTTCCTCACTTTGGTTTTCAAGAATTTCAAATTTGTGAATTGTGAACTTTATGAAAGAAATGGTCAATGACCATGTATTATAAGGGTGTGTTGAAGGCAGCAGAGATCTTTCAGAAAATCTTTATTTCTAATTTGAACAGTTTGTATTATTTCTAATATTAAATGGTGCAGTGAAATGAAACATGAAAGTGTATTCTAGAACAAATAACTTACTTTTAACAGATAAACTATCATTCTAGTAAAATATATATAACAAACAACCTGCAAAAAAATTAAACAATATTCCCTTTATTATTATTACTATTATTACTATCTTCTGCTGTTTATGATGCCACATGTTAGTATACTTTCTGGACTTATAGTCATCATCAAACATTATGTATATCGAATAACTTTTCTTTGTAAAGATATCATTATTTCCTTTCATAATTTTAATAACTAATAACACAATATGAATAGTTACGAATATATACATGAATTTAATCATACATTATGCAAGAGCTAAATCTGTCTATTGCAGGTCTTTCTTTAGGCCTGAAATGTTATCTAAATTATTAATTAGACATTAATTAACCTATCCGGACCACATAACTTTCCATCACAATTTAACGATTAAATGGATAATCGAGACTATGCTGTTTATCGCACTGACTTTAGTAATGACGATCAAGGCTAGGTGGAAATTTCAACCGCTTAGTTCTCGGTTCATAGTGGATCAATTTGAATGAAATTTTCATCAAATTGCCTTTACATTATCTAGTTTTTAACTATTATAGTGAGAACTGCCAACTCGTTATCGAATTTCCAATAATGTATCTTTAAGTACATTAATTGTAATTAGATTTTTTTTTAAAGGGAGAGAGGTGATATAGCCTGTTCTGTTCCCCAATTCTATTCTATAAAATATAGTTTTAAAAAAACCAAAACAATTATTTCTACTTATAAAGATGTGAAGGTGGCTAAGCTATAAAATAATACATGCGTGTCTGAACTGGAACATTCTAATTCAAGATTATTTTAATGGCTGATTTTTTTTCTGTTAAAAAAGCAAATTCAAAATCAGCAGAATTAAATCCTATCACTTACCATTATATAAAAATGTCTAAATAATTTCAGTTTATTTAAATTCATCGCAGCTTTACCATCCACTGCTGATGCTTCTTGAAGGTGGCGGATGGACCTTAAATTTAAAGATTTGTTTTTGTTAAATAGATAAACATCCCTAAAAAATAATAAGCTCATTTGCAGGTTGATTTGATTAAAAATTTCAAATTTTCATGTTGAGAATTGTAATTATACACTTGACATTGATACAATATAACACTACTGAAACAGACATAATACTACAGGACAATTTAGGTCAATTGTCACTTTTTCATTATAGAGGGCGCCGTTCCGGACAGCCTCATGACTCTTAATGCATTACACATTATCAGAATCTTGGAAATTCCCACTTTCTATATGGGTCTCTTTAAGCCAATCAAAATACTTAGTTCATTATTCAAATACCACTCAAATCTATATAACTATATTACAGATGTTATAGGGAGAGAGAAATGGGGTTTAAAACTAGGTCATTTCGGGACTAACATATGGCTCAATAATTTGCTTGCACGTAAGGGTCTTTATCAGTTGGAGGAAACTGCAGGACCTAGAGGAAACCCACATGGTTGGACAGGCGACCTTATTCCTTGTCATGTACAAGTGTGGGATCAAAACAATGCCACTTAACTCAATGGCATTCAATATGATCTTAAGCGCACATGTTGCATTGAAAGTAACAGTTAAGTTAAAAAAACAGTGTGTAAAAAAACCTTACATGTGTATCATAATTGACTTAACACAATGACAGATCTTATGATCTTATGTGGGCACACTAGACCACCCGGTAGAAATTAGTGTTAAAGATGGTCAGTATGTAGAATGTTAGCATAATCTATTTAGCTCTTCTGATTGTCATAAACAATCCAGGCCATCTTGTGGCCTATACACCCCAATACCACAATACATACCATACAACTGGAAACAAAATGGCTCCACAACAGAGTAAATCCACAACAAAAAATATCTGTTTCCAGGTTGTGTAACGGAATTGTCCCTCATCACTTTCTTCTATAATAACCCAAGCTACTTGTTCTAATACCTATACTCAAATATAATATATTACATTTAACACTTGTTCTAATACCTATACTCAATATAATATTAAACTTAACACTTGTTCTAATATCTATACTCAAATATACAGTGGACTCTGTCAATTCCGACATCGTACAGGATTAATACAATATGCCGGATTACACAGCATGTCGGAATATTCAATTGCCTCAATACTGGAAGTTGTATTGTACCTTCAAATACCGAAGTATTATTATAATGGATAATGCACCCTCAAATACCCAGAACTTAAAATATGGAACGCTTTCTGTACATTCAAAGGTTTCCTCGACCTAGATCAGTTCTTGTATAAATCATGACGTTGTATACACTGCTCATGTCATCTGCTGTAAACAATCATGGCCGTGTCCAGCAGTAGTTTCACACTGGATCATTTATGTCTATCTAAATATGACGTCAGAAGGAATTCCTTGTAAGACGCGATTATCCAGGTCTACCATCTATTGTGATTGGAACGTGGCTGAATTTTATTTTTTGATGGTCGAAGACTGTTATTCTTGAATGTATAAAATGATTTTAAGAGCAGTGGAGTAGTGCACTAAAGTAGATATTTACTTTTTTGTCCAAATTGTTGTATTTTAAAACTTGTTGTGGACATATTCAAAGAATTAACCCAAAATCACAAAATCCCGTTCGAAGGTAAATAATGAAGAACGATCTTAAAGTACTTTGAGTTGATATTTTCCAACGTTTTTGGTGTCGTAATGTAGCTTATAACCTCTACTTTCTATCTACTGGTGTGATTATCAATATCTCTTTTTAGCATCTACTAATAGAATTTCCAAGAAAACTTATTGTTTTTTGCGTTTCCATGGATACCAGATAAACCACAGCCTATAGTCAAAATTTGACCAGTGTTTTTTTTGACTTGCCATTAACATTGTTCATACCAAATTTAAAGAAAATTCATGCAGGCATAACTGAGAAAATTTGACTTTTATTGTCATCGGCACCCATTATTATCATGCCTTTGGGCCAAGTTTGGAACATAGTTGGTAAATAAAATTGGTATTTATTTGGTGATTAATATTTAGTTTACCACCCAAAATAACAAAGATAGGGTGCCAGGCAACGAAACATACGCCCACAGCAGCTAACTCGTCCGGGCAGTCAACAAGAGTTGTCACATATTTTTACTTTTTTCGGTAATGAAACATTTATAATACATTAAAATCTGATTAAGAGTAACAACTCATTAAGTAATTATCAGAAAACCATTAGAATTTGTTTGGTTTTTATAAAGTTTTGCCCCATGCTAACGTTTAGTATAGGAAACTTTTAACATCATGGATTTAGCTGTTCAAGTCATAAAAATTCATTGAAAATCAATATACTTGTTTGTCTCAAGACCTTTCACTCTGTGTATGAATCTGAAGTCAATCGGATGATAACTTTAGCTTCTAGAGGGTCACAAGGTTTTTAAAAGTGATCAAAGGCCATAACTTTGGCAGTAATTATCGGAAATCGTTGAAAATCAATACGATTCTTCGTCTCATCGGATATTAACTTTAGCCTATAGAGCATTTACAAGATTTTTTGAAGTGATCAAGGGCCATAACTCTGGCAGTAATTATCGAAAATCGTTGTAAATGAATAAACTTCTTCGTCTCATGACCTTAAACACTGTGTATAAATTTAAACTCAATCGGATATTAACTTTAGCCTCTAGAGCTTCCACAAGATTTTTCAAAGTGATCAAGGGCCATAACTCTGGCAGTAATTATCGGAAATCGCTGAAAATCAATAGGCTTCTCCGTCTAATGACCTTTAACACTGTGTATAAATTTAAAGTCAATCGGATATTAACTTTAGCCTATAGAGCATTTACAAGATTTTTTGAAGTGATCAAGGGCCATAACTCTGGCAGTAATTATCGAAAATGGCTGAAAATGAATAAACTTCTTCGTCTCATGACCTTTAACACTGTGTATAAATTTAAACTCAATCGGATATTAACTTTGACCTCTAGAGCGTCCATAAGATTTTTTGAAGTGATCAAGGGCCATAACTCTTTCAGTAATTATCAGAAATCGCTGAAAATCAATAGGCTTCTTCGTCTCATGACCTTAAACACAGTGTATAAATTTAAAGTCAATTGGATATTAACTTTGGCCTCTAGAGCGTCCACAAGATATTTTGAAGTGATCAAGGGCCATAACTCTGACAGTAATTATCAGAAATCGCTGAAAATCAATAGGCTTCTTCGTCTCATGACCTTAAACACTGTGTATAAATTTAAAGTCAATCGGATATTAACTTTGGCCTCTAGAGCATCCACGAGATTTTTTGAATTGATCAAGGGCCATAACTCTGGCAGTAATTATCGGAAATCGCTGAAAATCAATAGGCTTCTTCGTCTCATGACCTTAAACACAGTGTATAAATTTATAGTCAATCGGATATTAACTTTGGCCACTAGACCATCCACAAGATATTTTGAAGTGATCAAGGGCCATAACTCTGGCAGTAATTATTGGAAATCGCTGAAAATCAATAGGCTTCTTCATCTCATGACCTTAAACACTGTGTATAAATTTAAAGTCAATCGGATATTAACTTTAGCCTCTAGAGCGTCCACAAGCAATTGTGGACGCCGTACCGCCTGACGGACGGGGGCGACGACAAGATACGACCACATTTCAATGTGGGAGTATAAAAAGTGTCATATCTTCTCAACAAAAATTACAGTGCTAGCTTTAAAATGTGCATTTTAGACTGCTCAACGTCCCTTAAATGATAACATTTAAAAAAAAAAAAAAAAATGTAACAAACCTGTAATGGTAAAAAGATGGCAAATAATTTCTTTTCTTTGTGACTCAACATGTGTTTTATAAAGGCCCATCCTGCACCAATCAATAATATTGTTCCAAACATCAATGCACCTTTGGTTCTATAAATAGACAAGATATCATATTATTGTATACAAGAAATATATTTTGACTAATATTACGATCAGCTGATCAGTTTTTGATGTATAGGTATTTTGTTTCCCTCTGATTTATTCTAAAGAATGTGACAATTTTTAGCATCTTTCAATTTACTTATATATCAATTGAATGGTTTTTCTGTATGAAAACTATAAATTTAAAAGTATTTATGTTTTTTAAGGTTAAATTCTTTGAAATTCTAATTTTATGGCATGCAAATTGACTGACATAAGTTCTCAAGTCAATCAATTTCCCTGCCAATCAGTCAAAACTGGCAAATATGACTGATACAATAACTCTGGGGAAGACACTGACACACACAATGTAGACACTATAAGGTGTAAACAGCATTATGACTCTGTTAAATTTACAGTCCAAAATACATTAAATATAGTCATGAACTGGAAAGCAAAACCGTTTTTTAATGATAGCAGCTTGCTATTTAATATATTCAGGGTAATATTTGAATTAACCCTTTAACCATCGGATTGTTTTGTGGTTTTGACTAGGGAAAGCATATAGTTAAGAATATATCCTGTAACTCTTTAAATCTAAAAGAGCTAAATCGCTATTCTTTGGCACCTAGCAATTGACACAAATGGGTCACAACGCATATAATACTGTAATATGAATGTATAAACTGATTTACATTTAGCCATTTCTGTTTTTACTATAATTTCAAATCAGTTATGTTCGGCGAAATACGCGAGAAGTCTCAACCGAATGGCAATCTCTAGCGTCTGGTTATTCCAGTCTACACCGGTAGTATTTATTGTACATGCTCTCCAGATAAGAATATGGCATCACCGTTTGACATGACATGTTGAATATATCTAACCTCTAACGATTTGTGTACCAATGGTAAAATGTTTATTTTGTCTTAAATATGGGATATCAGAAGCCAGTCTTTTCCCTATAAGATCACAACATCAATGTTGATTTAAATTGACAAATAATTTATGTTTTCAATGTCGAAGATTTTGGGTGATACTGAGTTAGCTACTTTAAGAATAAAATTCATACAAATGTATATATTTTTGAAAAGGTCTTGAATTCTTCTATTCAGTGGTATAAAATATTTAACATTTTTTGACATTTTTTACTGCAAAATGACCCAAATCCAAGAAGTCTAGGAGATAAAATACTGGCAACTTACAGATATACAATATACCAGAGAATAGCCCAGGCTTCATCAGGTATACCAGATTTAGCTATAAAATGACTGTTGATCTGTAAAAAACACAGAGTAAGAGAAAACATTAATTTTCATTTCTTAAACTGCATGGCTCAGACAATAGTGAGAGAGAGAGAGATAGAGAGAGAGATAGAGAGAGAGAGAGAGAAAAAGGGGTTTAATGTCCACTCGACACAAACCAGGTCATTTCGGGACTAAGATAGGGTTCAATTTTATTTCAATAATTCGCTTGAGCGTAGGGGTCCTTAGCAGTGGGATTAAACCGGACAACCCAGAGAACCCGGAGAAAACCCATGAGGTTGGACAGGCAACCAGACTCATTGTCACATACAACCGGGGAATCAAAACCATGCCAGTTGACTCAATGACAGACCTTACTATACAGCGTGAACATGCTAACCATTCGGCCATCCAACCCCCTGGCTCAGACAATAGTCTAGGTGAACAAATATAGTATTTTAGAAAAAAAAAATTGAATTAAACAAAAGTGACAACAACTATATTGTGTAAGATGAAGCTCTAATAGGAATATCAGTCCTAAAAAGATTCTATTCCATTTAGCTTTTACAAAGATGTATGGAATTGAAATTTAATCGATGTAGCCCATTGCCTTTTTGTTGTCAGCAAAAATTTATTGATAGTAGCTAAAGTACATATAATTTGCTAGGTAATTTTACGTGTTTAAGTTTTTTTTGGTTTTAATCATCTAAGATCACTATCTAAAGACTAAAGATCCCTTTTTAACTCTTCTTTTTATTACATATTAATGACAATGTTTATTAGCCTTCCCGGTGAACTATACTTACACCATGGAATAAACAGGATACGCTCTTAACCCATACAACAGCTAACATCAAATAGTGGATTTTATACACATCATTTTTCCTACAATGTAAAATATATTAGCAATAAACACACAGTACCCACAGAAACATGTATAATGTATATGCTATTTTCTTAAAGATGCACTATGTAAGATCTAAATCTGCTAGCTGTAGGTCTTTATTTTGGCTTCAAATGTTATATAAACTATTATTTAGACATTTATTGACATAATCCTATAATCAACCCTCTGAACCATTGGAGAGACGTGATCTACAACAGCCATGTTTGTTGTGGGCGGGATTTTAACGACAATTTACCTACCGTATGAGCGCAAGAATTACCATTTAAAGTTATGTAACAATGCAATTGAAAGTTATAATTAATATAATACATGCGCCTAATACACTGAAAAATATGGGTAATTTGAATGAAATTTTCAATATGTTCATTTTTCATTATCTAGTTTTGAACTATTACAACAGCAAGAACGACCAGTTCTTTATCTAAATCTTACATAATGCATCTTTAAATGGAGATCGCAGTCCTTCACGTTTAAGGCACGCTTTCGCTCTTGCGCCTCCCGACACACCTCGACTTATCTTTGGGGGAGTCGTCATTAAATACGCCCGCTAATAAGCTAAATCGCTCTCCTAAATATTGCGATTCATAAACTACCTTACTTTCAGTTTTTGTTTATTTTTAATAACCTCCTCCTCGAGCGATAAGCGTTTCCATGGTAAAACTAGGGCTGCCATAATTATTCATCAAACATACTGAATTCTAATGTAAGGCTCGTTTTAATTGGATAGCAGTCTAAAACCAGCCAACAGAATATGATGTTACTTGACAGCCTAATATGTTGCTGGATGTTGATGGAGAATATCCGCGGGAATGACAGAATGACGTACGTCTAATAATAACATTACTTGTTTAAAATGTTTTCATGTATGGCTTGTCTCATTAGCAATGCGTCGATTATCGCTATTAATAGTTTGGAGATGGTCAAAACTGTCAAATATGCGACATTTTAAAATTGGAATTACTGGAGGGCAAATAGCCACAGAGGGAGACAAAAATGGGTTTGTAAAATTGGTTTGGTCTTTAGACTTAGTGCAAATTGTGCACTAAGAAGCACGCTGACAAATTGATCAAACTGACGAAAATTCGTGAAACATATAAATTGCAAAATTAATAAAGAGAATACGAGACAAAACTAAAGTATATAAATACAATGTAGAATTACGAAGATTTTTTTTACGGGAGCTTTTTTCTCAATTTTTAAATTGGCGAGCTTTTCTTTTATAGCTCCCACACCATTTCGTAAACGTGAAAGACTGAGATCGTAAAATTGAAGAATTTGAATGTTACTGTTTAAGTTTATTTTGTAATGTACACATCTGGCACACATCTAATTAAAATCAGACTTATCTAATTCTTGTCCACACCAGATGAATCTGTTAAGATAGTTATAATCAGGAGGATAACAGAAATACATTAAAGTCTCTAATCCAGAGACAGAGATGTGGAACCCACAAGTACACTAACTCTTTAAGTGTATGTGAGCAAAATCATTTACTTTAAAGTAATTTAGTCCAAATGGGCAGTTGTGCTGATTTCCCTACAAAAATCCAATGTTCTTCACATGTAACAAATTGCCAACACAGTTAATACCTATTTTAATTACATTTTTCGCTAAAATATCAAATTTTTCATGGCCTAATTCAAGCTAATATGTAGTCAGTTCGTTTATTTCACAGTTAATTACGAAAACAAAATCAAAATACCAGCACTAGACAATCTCCTGCCTTGGATTCAAAAGGATTTAAACCAGCGGCTGCCAGACAGGATACGCCCACATTTTGCAAGAGACGGATAGAGAACAAGCTAAAAACAAAAACAATATTTTGTACAAACAGGGGCCATAATCCAGAAAGTTATGGTCTGAAATGCTCAAATATCAAATGGGACTGAGATTTTTGGAATATAAAGCTATGTTTATTCAATATCCGCTTCCACCGAAATGAATTGGGCGACATTTAAAGTAGATGTATATTGTCACAGCGGAGATTTGTCACCGATTAACACAGACAGTCTAAGAAAATGGTCCCAATATTGGCACGTTTCTGACCATGTGACTTACCGTTAAGCGCCTCGTGGAGTGGATCGAGTGCTCTATGAATGATTGATTTAGATTAACTGAAGCTGCAAGCTCATCGTATGACGTATATAATTTAAAGTTTGGATTTTATAGCAGCCAATAATTGATGGATTTACATCTAAGTTATAGATGAAGATGTAATGATACGTTGTAAAAAAAATTGTAAGTTGTTCATTGTTGCATACATTTTGGCCGACGTTATATGCATGTACAGTGCGTTAGAAAAAAATCCTAACCGATACAGAATGCCGGTAAATGTTTTCCCGAGATTACCGAACTCATTTTGTTGTTATTCAAACTGGCCTGTACATTGTACATGTACACGTTTTCACGGCAGCATTACTATATTACAACTCCTTCAATATAAACATTTCGTTAAAATCTGAACAACGCATGTGAAATTGGATGTTCGGCAACAGAATTGAATACCTGGCGTAATTGGACACCTTGACTAATTTTAATCACAACTCGGGAAATTGAACGGTCCAACTAATTATTGAACAGTCGTCAAAATTAAGCGGGACGCTTATAATTACACACGTGTCGACAAACTAAACACTAGTCAATTAACACATGGTAATCAAAATTCCACGTTGAGATTTAAGTTGTATACAAGGACAAATTGAATGCTATTAGGCCAAATTCAATGATATTTATGAATAATTCTACATAGATTAGATAATAACGCTATTTACCCGAGATTCCACGGTACCAGTCGTATAGTGCTAGAGGATCCATAACCTTTGTATTACAAACTTATACACAATTTGCGTACAATTTGAATTCAACCTTCATTATGGTGGAAGGGTGCTATATCTAAACGGTTTTTAAAATCGGAAAAAATTGTGACCTCTAGAGAATGCACAAGCTAAAAATGAGATTTTTCGACCAATCGGGGGCCATAATCTAGGAAGTTATGTTCAGATATATGTGATTACCAAAAGGAACCAAGATCTTTGGGACATAAACATGCATTCCAAGTTTCATCAAAATCGGATAAAAATTGTCACCTGCAGAGTGTCCACAAACAAATTGTGGACGGACGGACAGTACAAAATGATGCCACGCATTATTACATAGCGAGCAGCATAGATCGATGAAATTTCAATTCAACATATCTCTGCGAATAATGAATGGAATTGAACCATTTTGGACCGATATTCATCTCTCACAAAATTGTAGTTTGCAAGGGATTAATATTCCTAAATGAAACTTCAGTAAAATATTGTTTAAAAAGCTTTATTTACTTACTCTGCTTTACGTAGAACGGACAACCAAATACAACCACAGATAAAATACGATAAAAAGAAGACAAAAAATAAAGTTGGTTCTGGTTGACTTCCAGCAGATAAATAATTACCATTATTCTCTTCTACTACTTGTAACTGGAATCAAATTTCAAGTTTATGTTAGTCACTATGAAGGGTGAAGAATAAGATCTGAACCCTGCCACATAAATACTGATCACTTACCCTTACAAATAGCTTGTTCAGACACTCAAGTTGAACTGGAAAAATCCCCGGCAATCATTAAAGCAGTTTAACTTAACTGCCTGAACGCAAAAGTGGGGCAAATAAACCTGTTTAAAAAAAACCAGCTTGCGATCTGTCTTTTTTATTCTAAACTGGTTTATCTTGTCCGTCTGAACGGGTTGACTTTAAATTGCAAAGCGTCAGCTAACTTTGGACAAACGCAGTAACTAATATTCCTGGTAAAATGGAGGCATCCTGCAGTGCAAGTCTTAACAATCATCTAAACTGTTTAATTTTACATTACCTAGCATTTGTATTTATTTCTTGGCTGAAAGAGTTGGCATCTAAAAGTATTCGTGGAAAGGTATAGTTCAAACAATTTTTCCAGAATTTTTGACAGAGGTTAACACATATACCAATGCATAGTTAACTCTAACCTCTGAGTGACAAGGACAGAATAATCAAACTGGTTTGGGTTGAAGTACGTGTGAATGCAACACTATACTGGTTTAAAATCCCCAGTGATTTTAAACCAGTTTAAATATAAACATCTGAACCGGGTATTAATCTCTCATGAATTTGAAAAGTAGGGAAAGAAATAGTTTCTGTAAAATAGTGTCTATTCTGAAGCTTACCGTCATAGTTACTGTTGAGTCCACGTTGGGCTTAAAGTTCAAACAATTGTGGAAAAACAGACTGTATAAACCTTCTTCCGTTTCACTATTAATAACTACCAGAAACTAGAAATATAAAATTATAAATATATAAACATGAAATGATCAATCACTAACAACAATTGAAAATGATCAGCGATTATCTCTTACCAGAAACTGTGTAACAAGGCAGTACATATACACTCAAAGCCATTAAAAACGCAATGCCAAATTCAAAGTTTATTTACTGCAACAACTTTTAACAAATGTACATAACAATTGACAAAATAGAGAAAACAAGCATCTGTGGATAATTTCATGAAAGAATTCACAACAAATGCACAAAACCAAAACGTTAGAGAACCATGAAACAAAGCAGGGATCAGCTGAAGTCAATAACGTGTATGTCCACCCTGAGCTTTAAGTCGCCTTGGCATGGATTGGCACAGATGTCTCACTACACACCAATGATTTTAGAGTTCCTGTGCCAACCCCGCAACAGTTTGTGGAGACACGGCTCAAGTTCGAACCCGTCCAAGTTCATCCCAAAGGTGTTTGATCGGGTTCATGTCAGGAGACATAGCTGGCCAATCCATAACACATGATGATTGTTCAGAAAGTCTCTTGTCAAAATGGCAGTGTGGAGTCGGGCGTTGTCATGCTGGAAAACCATCTGTCGACGGATGCCATGTTGAGCCAGCAATGGAAGCAACAACGGACGAAGGATGGCGTCAACATAATGTTGAGTGTTGAGATTGCCTTGGACCACCACCAACTGGGACGGAAGTTGACGTTGATAGTGGCCCAAACCATGACGCCACCTCCCCCAAGACGATCCATTTCCAGCACGCAGTTACAAACAACGCTTTCATGTCGGCGACGGTAGATACATGTAAGGTGACGTTCATCAGGAAAACTGAGGTTGAATCGGGATTCATCCGAGAAGATGACATTTCGCCATGATGTGTTGTGCAGATACCATTGATTTGTGGTCCATTGCTGTCTGGCAAGTCGACGATGATGCAAAAGGATTTGACCTTGGTAAGGTCGACTGCAGCATAATCCATGAGCAGCTAGGGACCTTCAGACTGTTTGAGTGCTAATCTGACGTTGCCGTGTTCCAACAATTCCCTGGCAGTAGCAGTAGCTGACTGGAAACTGTTGCGCAGATGACCTCCAGAGGGTCCACAACCCTAATACACAATATTTTGACACTTGGCGAACGAGGGGCGGCCATTTTGTCCGTCAGTTTTGATCCGATTTTTACGAAGTTCGAACCCAACCACCCTTAGGGTTTAACGGTGATATATTGTAACAGATTTTTAAATAGGATTAAAATTGTGACCTCTATGGGGTCCACAAACTAAAAACGCGATTTTTCGTACAATCAGGGGCCATAATTCAGGAAGTTATAGTCCAATATGCGCGAATATCGAAAATAATCGAGATCTGTGGGATATAAACATACATTTCAAGTTTTAACCAAATTGGATAAAAATTGTGACCTCTACAGTGTTCACAAGCTAAAAACGTGATTTTTTATACAATAAGGGCCATAATCCATGAAGTTACAGTTCGATACATGCCAATATCGAAAGGAACCGAGATCGGTGATAAACCTATATTTCAAGTTTCATTGAAATCGGATAAAAATTGTGACTTTTAGAGTGTTCATAAACCATTGTGGACGGACGGACAGGGGCGACGACACTATACGTCCACATGAAAATGTGGGCGTATAAAAATTTGGATGCTTAAATATGTTTATAAGTTTAGTCATTAAAATAAATTAAAAACCAACTGACTATATTTTTATATTCAGGTCAGGCAAGTATTTCTGAAGGGCTAGCAAATTTTGTCATGACACCTGTACATGGGCTAGTGGTTCAAAAGTGAAATTGTGCACCCCTGGTAAAGATAAAAAAAAAGTGTGTAAAAAAAACCTTACATGTGTATCATAATTGCCTTGTTTATTTTTCTTTATGTCAACCTGGTTACGAAGAACATCTGGTGTAGTTTCCTTGCTTACAGCAGTCTCTGGTTTTACTGGTGCTTTTGTAGAAATATTTGTATTGTTTTTAGAAGTTGGATTTGTTTCTACCTGAAAAAGTCAATTAATGAATTTATGGATAAATTAAGCAATTTCTGTTACATAAAGAAAGGTTGCCAGGCAACGAAACATACGCCCACAGCAGCTAAATCGTCCGGGCAGTCAACAAGTGTTGTTGCATATTCTTACTTTTTTCGGTGATGAAACATTTATAATTCACTAAAATCTGATTAAGAGCAACAACTCATGAAGTAATTATCAGAAAACCATTAGAATTTGTTTGGTTTTTATAAAGTTCTGCCCCATACTAAGGTTTTGTATACAAAACTTTTAATATCTTGGATTTAGCTGTTTATGTCATAAAAATTCATGGAAAATCAATATACTTGTTCGTCTCAAGATCTTAAACTCTGTGTATCAATCTGAAGTCAATCAGATGATAACTTTAGCCTTTAGAGCGGAAATCGTTGAAAATCAAGGGCTATAACTCTGGCAGTAATTATCGGAAATCGCTGAAAATCAATAGGCTTCTTCGTCTCATGACCTTAAACACTGTGTATAAATTTAAGGTCAATCGGATATAAACTTTGGCTTCTAGAACGTCCACAAGATTTTTTGAAGTGATCAAGGGCCATAACTCTGGCAGTAATTATTGGAAATCGCTGAAAATCAATAGGCTTCTTCGTCTCAAGACCCTAAACACTGTGTATAAATTTAAGGTCAATCGGATATTATCTTTGGCTTCTAGAGTGTCCACAAGCAATTGTGGACGCTGGACCGATGGACGGACGGGGGCGACGACAATATACGACCACATTTCAATGTGGGTGTATAAAAATGAGCTTAAGTTTTGCGTCAAGACACTAATTTTGAAGTTAATATATGAAAATATGCCACACTAAAAGAATTATGATTAAAAAACACCAAATATATTTAATTTGGCAGTTTTTTTGACCAACAGAACTCAAAATACAGTATATAAATTGAGACATATGTACGCACTCTGGCTAAATAAAAAAAACTTTAAATTTGTATGTAACTTTCGCAATTAACTTAGGCAGTGGTAGAGATATTTAGCTTTAACATTAATTTTCAGACTCAAGTCTTTTTGGAAGGCAAATATGCTGGAAACTCAACACAGAAGAACTAACATTTTTACACATTTGGTTCAGTTTGAAATGACAACCCACAGAAATGCTAACAGCAAACAAATTGAGTAAATTGATGACAATAACCGTCTGCAAATTTGAATACATATCTGTGGTCTAGTCAAAATATTAAGAGGGTCCAATTGGACAAAGTGCATGTACCAGAATTACATCTTTACATAGATTAATAATGAAACTAATAAGTATGATACTATTTTAAGCATACATCATTCAACAGGTTCATTCAAATCAATCAATAATCATATGATTACCTTTATAACGGTAGGAGCAGCAGATGGAGCAGCAGAAGTTAAAGTGGTAGTAGGAGGAGTTTTAACGGATGATTCTTTTACTTCTGGATCACCTTCACTATCTCTTGTTTGACGTCGTAGAAGGTTATTATTAGCTACACTCTGTGCAATAGCTTCTCTTCGAGTCTTACGCTGGTCACGTTTTTTATCACGATATTCTTTCTGATTTAGGTTTGAGACGGTTAAATTAGTAACATCATTACCCACTCTTTCGATAATCACTCTAAAAATATAGAGAAGGTAAATAAATATAAATGCTTAAGAAAAGTTTATTTGTAAGGTTACTATTAACTAAAGAGAGCCATCTCTTACTATTTGGGTAGCCGTAATGTCTCACTAAATACGGCGCTGGCTGGGTTCAATCCCGGTGTTGGCTGAGAAAGTGTCTCAGTATTTTCTGGTGTGGTGCCCCTTTGTCTGTAGTGACGGGTGGAGGAGATGAAAAACTGGGATCCCTAAGTAAAAGAACCCTTAGTTGACAGTTGAAAATCGAAATAAAAGTAGGTGGTAGCACTCCCTCATAGTACACTGAGCTTTGTGTCATGGTTTTGAATTTTTGGGCCCCCTTGAAGTTTTGCGCCCCCTTGAATTTTTGCGCCCCTCGCAAATGGCAAAATATTACAGTTTTAATGCGGTTTTCAACATTATAATGATAATCATAATGCCCAACCAGTGTTCAAACATATACTGTGGGTCAGAAATGAAATGAAATATGGTTTAACGTCCTACTACTCTGTTCTGACTGAGCTAATGAAGACGGTTATACACCATACAGTGTGCTACGAGTATGAGGGAAATTTTGTCTGGGAGGTGGCACTATGGCCTACTCTTACATCGAATTCCAACTGCCAAGGGATCTTTTACATGCATACCAATGTGTACACCGGACATCAGTCTTTAATAACATCCTAACAACTAGACAGTTGTCGTTGTCAGGCCCTCCGTCATGCATCACTGACAAGGGAAACCACGTTGGCAAATCCCAATGAACTTTCTCAGCCAATGCAGGGATCCACCACGCAACCTCCAGGCTAGCGAGCCAGCATCTACCCACTTAGCCACTGTGGGTCAGATATGCTACAAATTGACTCTAGAAGCCCAATATTACCCGGCGGCACTGGGAGGGACTGCCACCCCATCCCCTCCCCGGCACACACATCCACTAGCCCGACGCTACCAAAAATAACTTACAGGCTAGTGATCTATTTAGCCGTACTAGTCCTGGGCTAGGGCCCTTTCATTGGTTTGTGAATTAAACTAGTGACGATATAGATAAATAAACTATAAAACATCCCACATTTATTTCTCAAATTCCAAGGAAAACTTAATCATAACAATAGATTTTCTGTAGTAAAACTTAGAGCCGTATGGACATTTTTTGTACCCCTTCTATTCATTCATTCTTGACATTTCATTTCTCCATCTTGCACGCTTTGACGGGTCTCGTATAAACCAGTTGAAATCAGGTTGATTTAAAAACAAAAGACTCATTTATACTTCATATTAGATTAGTTCTGACATAAATATTTGAAAGCATACCTTTGTATTTTTAAATACAAGATAATTTTGATTATTTAACATGTCAGGTATTTCCAAAGAATTTACTACACGTGTTCATTACACACACCCCATGATGAATGGTTCCAGTGACCCGTGTGTCGTCAACTTTGACCCTATCGGCACACAGCATGGCACTCCAGTGATAACATAAACAATTTTACTATCCTGTCTATTTTAATATTATATCAGCACATCAAACTGATTTTTTTCATTTTGAGACTCTTTATATAGTGACCTGGTAAATAAATACGGTAAAACAATTAATTTGTCAATCAGTCGAGGCTATCTCGTGCTTTGCAGTAAGTGCTAATAATAACGTAACGTTTACAAATCTTCGAACGGGAATTAAAGGACATAAATTTACCGTGATATATAATAAATGACATGTGCTATATGAAGTATTTATATGGTCTTTAGTGAAAGAAAACATTGTTGTGGCTACCATTCCTGGTTTTGAAGGTCAGATATGATATGAAAACGAATATCGGTTTGTAGTTTTTTTTAACCGTTTCATCAGTGCGCCCGAACCGTGACCGGTTAACCGTGTACCCGTATACATCCTTAATTATTAGGCAATCAAGTCTACGATCTTTATTAACCAGCGGCTGCCAGGCAGGATACGCCCACATTTTCGAGAGATGGATAGAAAACAAGCTAAAACGAAAGTGATTTTTCCTACAATCAAGGGCAATAATTCAGGAAATTACAATTCGATATGCGCAAACATCGAAAGGAACCAATTCTTTGAGTTTTAAACTTACATTTCAAGTTTCAACAAAATCGGATAAAAATTGTGACCTCTATAGGGTCCACAACCTTGATATACCATATTTTTACGCTATTTGAGAACGAATGGCGGCCATTTTATCTGTCAGTTTTTGGCCGATTTTCACGAAATTCGATCTCAGTCGTCCTTAGGGTGTAACGGTGATATAATAATATGATTTTTTGAAATCGGATAATAATTATGACCTCTATAGGGTCCACAAGCTAAAAACGTGATTTTCCGTACAATAAGGGGCCATAATTCAGGAAGTTACGGTCTGATATACGCGAATATCGAAAGGAACCGAGATTTTTGGGTTATTAACTTTCATTTCAAGTTTCAACAAAAATCGGATAAAAATCGTGACCTCTATAGGGTCCACAACCTTGATATACCAATATTTTTACGCTATTTGAGAATGAACGGCGGCCATTTTATCTGTCAGTTTTTGGCCGATTTTCACGAAATTCGATCTCAGTCGTCCTTAGGGTGTAACGGTGACTTCTATAGGGTACACAAGCTAAAAACGTGATTTTCCGTACAATAAGGGGCCATAATTCAGGAAGTTACGGTCCGATATGCGCGAATATCGAAAGGAACCGAGATCTTTGTGTTTCAAACTTACATTTCAAGTTTCAACAAAATCGGATAAAAATTGTGACCTCTATAGGGTCCACAACCTTGATATACCATATTTTTACGCTATTTGAGAACGAAGGGCGGCCATTTTGTCTGTCAGTTTTGGGCCGATTTTCACGAAATTCGAACTCAGCCGTTCTTAGGGTGTAACGGTGATAATACTATATTAACACGTTTTTTTAAATTGGATAAAACTTATGACCTCTATAGGGTCCACAAGCCAAAAAACGCGTTTTTGCGTACAATCAGGGGCCATAATTCATGAAGTTACGGTCCGATATGCGCGAATATCGAAAGGAACCGAGATCTTTGGGTTAAAATCTTACATTTCAAGTTTCAACAAAATCGGATAAAAATTGTGACCTCTATAGGGTCCATACCCTTGATATACCATATTTTTACGATATATTTGAGAACGACCGGCGGCCATTTTGTCTGTCAGTTTTGGGCCGATTTTCACGAAATTCGAACTCAACCGTCCTTAGGGTTTAACGGTGATATAATAATATGTTTTTTTAAATCGGATAAAAATTATGACCTCTATAGGGTCCACAACAGTGATGAGATTTTACCCGTATATTCCGGACTTGTCCGAATCTTTTTTCGAAACGCCCAAAATTGTCCGACCGGGAATATGCCCAATCGGACATCAAGACATGGTGAATAATATTCAAATTCCAAAATTAATATAGTGTACTGAGTGTATAACTACCGTGCAACCCGATTATCGATGATAATAGGCTGGATTGATTAGGTAATTAAGTGATCGACTATTTATCGTGTTATATCGTCTATACACACCTACCTTGATTAACTACTATTCTGCCTTGATTGGCTTACTTAATCCTTTGTCGGACAATTCATCAAATCAATCCTGAACAGAAGTCATTGCTTCTCCTTTGTCGGACGATATATCAATCCAATAAGAGTGATTATAAACTTAATCTGATTAACCCGTGATTTCACCATTGTCTCACGTTTTAATCTCCTTTGTGTCGGACAATAACATGTAGAAATTAGTCATATAATATGTCACATATCCTGATAGTATATAACACCTCAAATCAACATACATTGTATCCGATAAATTCTCTGTGATATATTTTCGGTGGTAGCGAAGCCGAATTAAATAAAGATATTTCACACACACGCAAATGTCGCTTATATAGTTCAGTAATTAAAATGAAAGTACAAATCTCGCGAGACACGTGAAATTAAGAGATGTATACGTGCTGAATCCAATACGCCTGATGTCCGGAAAAAGATTCTATTTTGATGGCATATTGTCGGATTTATGATCATATTTTGAAGGGAGTTTATGTCTTTAAATAAATAAATAAACACGCTAAGAAATGTTGACGAATATTTCAATTGGAATGACGTAAGTAGTTAATTGTTTTAGACGATAGCGCGTGCTACAGTCGAATGCAATTATTGAGCAGTTGGTGTCACTCGCTCGTTGTATTAGAGCGTCGTGAACTACGGTTTACGGCCAAATAAATTTTGGGATGTCATTTTTTTACCTTTCGTATATAAATCGAAACGGAGTATCAGACGAATGTCGGACTTGGCTGAAAAATGTACCGACGTATGACCCGAAAAATACGGTAATTTTGGGGGAGTTTGAAACAGATCGGCAGCAGTCGGCACGCTGCCATTCTATACTATTACGATGTCATGTAATTTTGTAGGAATATTATTGACATAAATTTGAATGCCGTACGGGTTTTAAACATGAAATATAACGAGGTGCACCTATTTTTTTTTTACATATGAATTTGAATATATTTTGTTGACACGTGATTCTTAATTGTGTTTTGAAAACGTCTGCTTAAATTACAATAAGAGTTATGCCCCTTTATTTTCGGGAAAAATGTCCGACAAGAATTTTTTTGAAATCCCATCACTGGTCCACAAGCCAAAAAAAGTGTTTTTACGTACAATCAGGGGCCATAATTCAGGAAGTTATGGTCCGATATGCGCGAATATCGAAAGGAACCGAGATCTTTGGGTTATAAACATACATTTCAAGTTTCAACAAAATCGGATAAAAATTGTGACCTCTACAGTGTTCACAAGCCAAAAACGTGATTTTTCGTACAATCAGGGGCCATAATTCAGGAAGTTATGGTCCGATATGCGCGAATATCGAAAGGAACCGAGATCTTTGGGTTATAAACATACATTTCAAGTTTCAACAAAATCGGATAAAAATTGTGACCTCTACAGTGTTCACAAGCCAAAAACGTGATTTTTCGTACAATCAGGGGCCATAATCCATGAAGTTACGGTCCGATAGATGCCAATATCGAAAGGAACCGAGATCTTAGGGTGATAAACCTATATTTCAAGTTTCATTGAAATCGGATAAAAATTGTGACCTGTAGACTGTTCACAAACAATTGTGGACGGACGGACGGACAGGGGTGACGACAATATACGTCCACATGAAAATGTGGGCGTATAAAAATGATAGGTTGGCAGGCAACAAAACATATGCCCAAATATTGAAGATTAAATCTTGTACCTTGTCAAACTATGGACTAGTGGATATTAATGCCGGGCTAGTGGATTCAAAATTTTTTTTACGCCCCTGTTCTCATGCAAAACCATGGGTCACCACGCCCCCGGCATAACGAAAGCTTGTCTTCATTAGCCCGGATGAAGCAGAAAAGTAAGACATTAAATCGTTGTTCATTTATTCATTCCTCTCAATACACAACAATAATAATGGACTTTATTATATATATATATATATTGTTGTGTGAAAATCATTCTTATTTCGATAACCTATTCAACCTACCTTTCATTTACAAGATCCATTTTAAAAAATACAACTGACATTTGGTCCTTTGTTTTGTCACCAGTTATTGTTGTATAGTCTTGTAAAATGCATTTTGAGGTATGTTCACTTTCCTGAAACAATAAAATATTAATTACAATAATAATAATGTACATTTATATAGCGCTTAATCCATCCATGAGCATGCTGTAAGTTAATAGCTCCTGTGGATAATACATCGTGAACATATGTGTCTTAAGCCTAGATCGAAATTGAGCAACTGTTTCTGAACACTTTATGTTGTCAGATAAGTCATTCCATAGTCATGGACCATATACACTGAAGGCTTTATCACCAAAAGATTTTAATTTAGTTGAAGGTACAACAAGTGATAGATTATTCTGTGAACGGAGTGGTTGGTTTGGTACATAAGGCTGCATAAGATCTGTGATATAGGATAGAGCTGAATCATGCTGAGACTTGTAGACCAGTGTTAGGATTTTAAAGTTTATACGAGCCTCTATTGGTAACCAGTGAAGTGATTTAAGGACTGGGGTTGGGTGGTAAATTAATGGCCAAGTGGTCTGACATGCACTGTAGAACATAAGGCTTGTTATCTTTGCAAGTCATGAGTCCAACCCCTTCTTGTATGTGACCAGAAGAAGGGCCACCTGCCTAACTTTGTGGGTTTTCTCCTGGTTGCTCCTAATGGACTTAGTCCTGAAATGACCTAGTCATGACTGTTTTTTTTCTATCAAAATCACAAAGTCAAAACAACTCACAAACATGAAATTAATAATATATCTTTTCTACTAAATAAAACAACCAGTGGTTGGCAGGCTAGATACGCCCACATTTTGCAAGAGATGGATAGAGAACTAGCTAAAAATAAAAGTGATTTTTCATACAATCATTGGCCATAATCCCGGAAGTTATGGTCTGCAATGCATGAATATCGAAAGGGACCGAGATATTTGGGATATAAAGATATATTTTAAGTTTCATCAAAATTGGATAAAAGCTGTGACTTCTTGAGGGTCCACAACCTTGGTATTACATACTTTTACACTATTTGCGTAGAAGGAGCAGCCATTTTGTCAGGCAGTTTCAATTGATTTTCAGGGTGTAACGGAGATACATTTCAACATTTTTTAAAACCGGATAAAAATTGGGACCTTTAGACGGTCCAGTTACTAAAAACATGATTTTTTGTACAATTAGGAGACATAATCCAAAAAGTTACTGTCCAATATGCGCAAATATCAAAAGGAACCAATATCTTTGGATTATAAACACATTTCAAGTTTCATTAGAATCAAATAAAAATTTTGACTTCTAAAGTGTCCACAAAACTTGGTATTACATATACTTACATCCCACTTCTACTCGTTGCCACTGGCAACCTTTGATAAAACTGTCCTGTTTATTTGCAATACATGCATAAAAGTATCCGTTTATTGGAAATATACAGAAAGAGTACTGTTCATTTTTGATACACGGATACTTTTAAGCCGTTTTAGATACCTATCAAGCAATAAGTAGCTGACGTTTGGTCCGACCCAGATCGCAATTGATAACGTTGGCTCTATACAACTAGTCAAAATCATAGTAACAAAACAAAATGGGGGGAACTACATGGCAGTTCAAAAACATATACAATGACATTAAATTAACATAACAACATATTACAAAAATCAATTATTATAGATATCAATTGGCATCTATTTCATAATTTGGTTTGATTTATATTAATATGCAAAATATATAAATTAGAATATTGAATAATTATTTTAATTAATTGTGATGATAGCAGGCGCAGTTCTCTTGTTGGACACTTCACAGGCATTGAAAATAAGCAGGATGAAAAAAAAACGCCTAGAAAGTCATAAACTTTATTACAAAATAAATTTCAACGGAAGAACCATCCGCCGATGCATACTTTCACCAGGAATGACCCACGTTTCGCATTTCCTTTACACTACGTTTAATAATATTGCAGTCCTCTACGCCATAGACAAGTTGTTTTGACGATGTGGTCTAAACAAACACGTGATTGTTTTACGCTCAGAGTATCATAGCAAGACGCACGTGTAAATACTACTCAGGTCGTCTCTCCACTGCGAAATCATTCTACCATGAAATGTAACGTGAGGCTCAGAAAGGGATAAATAATGAAAGAGCAGAAAGTATTTGTCACTTTTCGGTTGAAACGACTCGATAATAAATACTATTTTTCACATTTTGCTTCACAATACTCGATAGAAATGTGATGTAAGTAACTTATTAGCACCTTTCCTCGGTGTATCGGTGAATATCAGGACAGTTTTGGTCGGGAGCCGGCTCGGCTGGGCCCCTCGACCAAAACTGTCCTGATATTCACCGATACACCTCGGAAAGTGTGCTAATAACTACTACATACTTTTACACTATTTGCGTACAAGGAGCGGCCATTTTGTTCAGTAGTTTGGGTAAGATTTTTACGAAATTCGAACTCAACCTTCATGGATGTGTAACGGTGATATATTTAAACGTTTTTTAAAATTGAATACAAATTGCGACTTCTAGCAGGTCCACAAGCTAAAATGCTATTTTCCAAACAATCAGGGGCCATAATCCTGGAAGTTATATTTGGATATGCGTGATTATTCGAAAGGAAGCGAAATCTTTGTGATATTAACCATAAATTTAAAGTTTCATCAAAACTGGATCAAAATTGTACCGTATAAAGGGTCCACAACCTTGATATACCATATTTGTACACTATTTGCGTACAAGGGGCGGCCATTTTGTCCAACAACTTCCGTCCAATTTTCAAGAGATTCGAACTCAAACGACATGATGGTGTAAGGCTGATATATTCGAACGTTTTTTCGAACCGGATAAAAATTGTGACCTCTAAAGGGAAGCTAAAAGATAGGTTGCCAGGCAACGAAACATACACCCACAGCAGCTAAATCGTCCGAGCGGTCGACAAGGGTTGTCGGATATCTATTCCTTTGTAGGTAATTGGGGGCCTTTACAAGATAGTTCCATACAGATCAGATTATAATTTTTGCCATTTGAGGGTTCACAAGGTTCTACAAACTGAAACAAGGGTCTCAACTCTGGAAGTAATCTTCAGAAATTGTTGAATTTTGACAGCCTTTCTTTCGTTTTACTAATTAAATAATACATCTAAATTTCATACAGATCAGATGATCACTTTTGTCATTCAAACGTTCACAAGGTTCACAACCGCCATAACTCTAGAAATTATTGACAGAAATTGTTGAAATTCAATAGACCACTTTTTCAGAAATTTAAATGATGCATATAAATTTCATACATATCGGAAGATAACTTTCATCAATCGAGCATTAACAAGGTTGAACAAAGTGAAACAAGGGCCATAACTCTAGAAGTAATAAACGGAAATTGCTGAAATTCAATAGGATTCTTCTATTTACTAATTTAAATGATGCATGCAAATTTCATACAGATCAGCAGATAACTTTTGATGTTAGAGGGTTCACAAGGTTCAATAAAGTGAAACAAGGGACATAACTCTAGACATAATAAACAGAAATTGCTGAAATTCAATAGGCTTCTTCGTTTCACTAATTCAAATAATGCATATAAATTTCTGAAAGATCGGATGATAACTTTTGGCGTTAGAGCGTTCACAAGGTTCAATAAAGTGACACAAGGGCCATAACTCTAGACGTAATGAACAGAAATTATTGAAATTAAATAGAATTCTTCGTTTCACTAATTTAAATCATGCATATAAATTTCACAAAGATTGGGTGATAATTTTTGGCATTAAATTTGAGCGTTCACAAGGTTCAATAAAGTGAAACAAGGGGCATAACTCTAGACGTATTAAACGGAAATCGCTGATATTCAATAGGCTTCTTCCTTTCACTAATTCAAATAATGCATATAAATTTCAGAAAGATAGGATGATAACTTTTGGCGTTAGAGCGTTCACAAGGTTAAACAAAGTGAAACAAGGGCCATATATCTAGAAGTAATAAACGGAAATTGCTGAAATTCAATAGGCTTCTTCGTTTCCCTAATTTAAATATTGCATGTAAATTTCACAAAGATCCGATGTTAACTTTTGGCATTAGAGCGTTCAACAAAGTGTAACAAGGGCCATAACTCTAGACGTAATAAACGGAAATTATTGAAATTAAATAGGCTTCTTCATCTCACTAATGCAAACAACATTTTAAAACAACTGGATGATAACTTTTGGCGTTCACAAGAACTTGTGGATGACGGACGGACGTGGGCGACGGCAATATACGTCCACATTTCCATGTGGGCGTATAAAAAGTGTGTAAAAAATTATGGACGAGAATCTTTCATTACATTATGCCAGCAGTTTAGCTGGATCAATAAACACCCTAAAAGCTACAAGGATTTTCATTTTAGCTTATCAAAATTTTGTTTGATAAAATGTGTACCGGTACATAGATATAATCCTTGAGTGGTATTTAGCAATTGAGCACATTAAAAAACACAACACAACTTATATGGAAAACAATCATTAGTTTATACACATACAGCATGATGTTTCGCCGGTATTCTTTTATCGTTTTCAAGTACAAACTTTGATGGTTTCTTAAACATGCATTATGCAAGAGCAAAATCTGCTTATTACAAGTCTTTCTTTAGGCCTGAAATGTTATCTAAATTATCAATTAGACATTAATTAACTTATCCAGACCATAATAAATTCTCGATGTCAAGGCTAGTCTTCGATGTAGGCTGGATTAGATTCCTATATGCCGCTAACGGCCAAAGATAATTAAATCAGAAAAAGTGGATAATCGAGACTATGCTGTTTATATTAATGATTTTAGTAATGATAACCGAGACTATGCAAAAATTTCACCGGCTTCTTTCTCGGCTCATAGTGGATCAATTTGACTGAAATTTTCAGCAAATTACCTTTACACTATCTAGTTTTTAACTATTATAGCGAGAACTGCCATCTCTTTATCTTATCTCCCATAATGTATCTTTAATATCTTCCAAAAAAGTTGGGGATATTCAGAAACAATACAAAACTGCGGAAATGCACTGCTGTTTTTATTAGAGGTAACCAGTGTATGTTAATAACAGGCCAATTGCTTACACATGAACATAAACAGTTCATATGGGCGGCTTATCTGACAGGCCCATTTCACTCGCAAAGGGACACACCGTCAAAAGTGAAAATGGACGTTTTTTTATTTTTGTCTTAATAATGAGTAATTACTCCACCAATCCTCAGACATTCAGCAATTCATCGTGGCATGCTCCTTATCAACTGTCCAATCACGATTTTGGGCAATCTGACCCACTCCTCTTGCAGTGCCACGGCCAATTCTTGCAGTGTTGTCGGTTGACGTTGACGAACACGTCTCCCGATCAAATTAAACGTAACACATTAAAGCAAGGATACGCTAAACAGTAAATCTTATGCAAGAACCGATAGGAAAGCAAACATGGATAGATAAACCATATCGCAACCTGCATAGGTATTTGCATTTCAATATCCCCTACTTTTTTTGAAGAGTATATATTTGTGAATTGATACACAAACTGTCAATAAACAATACAAAACTGTAACTAAGGCACTCTACAAGAACTCACCATATAAGAAGACAAGCCTGTACTACCACTTTTATCTAAAGTGAAGCCAAATAACTGGAAAAAAGAATAGATTGTAGAAGTGAAACGAAACTTTTCAACAAATTTAAACTTATATTAATAATGAAGTCTTTTATTTCAGAAAGATGTTTGCAACATATACTGATCTGATTGGATAATGGACTGAACAGCCTTGAGGATGCCCATTATAGTGTTTTTAGAGAATAATTGTATAGAAAATCATGATCATGCTTGACAAATTTGGTTGTATTATATTTAGAGCTGTCCCCATTTACTAAAACTATAAATAATATGGCTCCTTTAGTTTACATGTATTTATAAGTCTTGTTTATCATAATGTCATTAAAATAAGTTCACTTACTGTCACATTTTCATCAGGAAGAGTCTTGGAATTTAGTTTATAATTAAAGTTAGTAATATTAACAGACAGAGTTCCTCCTTTCAGAAAACCAAATGAACTAAGGGTAATCTGTTTTCGGTCATCATCCTTTGAAATACAAAAATGTTTTACTCAGTAAACCTGGAAATTAGTCCCCTAATTAAAGAGGAAATATGGATTTTGTTTTTAATTTCAAAACCAAAGATTAGACACATATATTTTTTAATTACTCAACCTCAAGCAATACCTAAACCTCTTTGATATACATTTATAGCAATATGTATTCCTCGATAAATTTGGGCATATGTTTGAATTTATTCTTGGACATTATGCAGGTTAACCTAGAAATTAGAAGTTATTCTCATCGATATAGCTGACGCGATAATTATCATGCTCTGGGATAAATCACTAATCTGGCACAGGATGTATAGGCCTTGGGTTCCATGAGATTTTCATTTCTGAGGATGCAGCATATGTCTGTGTTTGTTTAATAATTTCAGTGTCGTTTTGGGCATAAGCATTTCAAGTAACATCATTGATATCTCCATATTGATTCTATTCTTTGGGCATAAAATTTTACACAGATACCTACTTCACAAAATAAATCGAAAAAAAAAAATCTAATTAAGTCAACATTTTTAATTTCTAACCAAACCAAACAGGCCTCCATGTAGATTTAGTTAGTCATTTTACGGTGTGCAGATCGATCTAAAGAATTATGCATACACGTATATAGGCACGCATGTGTGTGGATAGTTCAGCTCTGAACGTAGGTCTCATTACACTCGACCTCTACGTTCAGGGACCCTTCTATTGAATCCTTGTCGACCAGATTTGGTTTCCCAGTCAATTTTACTGGGAAACTTTTTACTGCTAAACGGTTGCGTGTCAGTCCCTGTGAATGCCTGAACAATATAAATGAACATCTTAGTGAGAAAATAAGATCTTGCTTACCTCGCTCTTAAATTTGTGCGTTACACTTTCAATGATGTCCGCCAAGTCGGTTAGAAAACGGAGACATATTTTTTAACAGCGTGTTGTGTCGCTCATACTGACTCTAGCGAGGTAAGCAAGGTCTTATTTTCTCACTAAGATGTTCATTTATATTGTTCAGGCGTTCACAGGGACTGACAAGCGACCGTTTAGCAGTAAAAAGTTGCCCAGTAAAATTGACTGGGAAACCAAATCTGGTCGACAAGGATTCAATAGAAGGGTCCCTGAACATAGAGGTCGAGTGTAACGAGACCTACGTTCAGAGCTCAACTAGTGTGTGGATTAATGTGCCTGAAATATGGAAAATCTACAGAGACATATTGATTTAGTACATTGTCATTGGCCACTTGGCTTTTTTTTATGTTTAGTTGATAGTTCATGCCTATGCTATTAATGTTAATAACGTATAATTACACATGTAAAGATAGCCTACATATATAATTAAACAGGGTGTAGCAAGACATAACGATGCTTATTTTCTTATTCTAAAACCAATGCTGACGACGTTGCTTGTGTGTATCTACATGTATCAATAGTATGACTGGTGAAAGTTGGCAGTGTCAGTGTGAGTGACAAATAAATTGAAATCTCTGATCTCAAATAATAGGTAACACATGAATGAAAATCACCCGATGGAACAATGAAGAACAAAACTCAAAGATATTTGATCATAATTACCGTCAGAATTAAGTCATGTCGTTTTCCAAGTGTAGTGCTGATGACCCCCAACATAGTCATTACTCGCAAAAACATGTTTATTTTCTGTGAATAGAAGTTTCTTCTTCCACATATCTCCATTCTCTATTTTAAAGATATTTGTTACAAGCACAGTGATTGGATAAACCTGAGATGTTTACCAATCAGAAAGATGGTTTTAATATATGGGAAAAGGGGGGGTAACTGTTAAAATATTCATTACAATAATTCACGATTTTCTTTTTTAGGTTTATATAGCTTTGAGAAAAATTCAACGGATAATATGTTTGTGTTTGTTTAACACCGTTTCTCTTACTAAAACCTATTATAGTCTAGAGATAACCCGCTCTAGAAATAAAATGTTTAAGAAAACAAAAGTAGATCGGATGTAGAGAAGTCTCTATTATCCAGACGGGTGGCATTAACTCGTCCACATGTAAAGTCATCTACAGTTAAGTCGTCCACAACCTTTGGTTAAGTCGTCCACAAGCCATTGGTTATGTCGTCCACAACTAATAGTTAAGTCGCCCACAACTAACACTTGACTCGTTCACAACTGATACTTCACTCGTACACAATTTAAATATATGGAATAAATATGTTTTACTCGCTGATTTTTGTTGATTACCGATCACGACCGAGATTAGTTCACCAATTATTTCACCGCTGTCTTTTCGCATTGTTTGTTAATTGGCGTTATGATTTTAGATTTTAGGTCAGTTACCGATGTGTTTGTAGTAAAGTATATCCGTATTGTAATTTAAAGGAGCTAAATCGCTAATATTTGGGACCTAGAAATGGACCCAAATGGGTCGCAACGCATATAATAATGTATTCTCTTCCTAAAACTCTTGTAAGTCAGTTACAGAAAATCCAGAATAAAGCAGCTCGAATCGTATCTCTCACCAAACCATCTGCCAATATTACACCTGTTCTAAAACAGGTACATTTATCAACGCATCATTTTCAAAATCAACACAACTGCTTAAACGATCCTTTGGCACCACCCTATTTATCCGATTTGATTAAACAATATGTACCTTCTCGTTCATCTCATAAAAACCAACTTGTATGTCCAGTACAGAAGCCAAAATTTGGCGAGAGAGGTTTTGCGTACGCAGCACCTAAAGAATGGAACAAAATGCCCCTGGAAGTCCAAAATTATGGTGGCTGATTGGTATCATGTCGTAATGTCGTGATGTCGCCTTTCATAACGCGACAACCCGACATCACGACATTTCTACCCGACATTACGACAACCCGACATTTTTACCCGACATCACGACATTTTTACCCGACATTACGACACTAAAAATGTCGTAATGTCGGGTAAAAATGTCGTGATGTCGGGTAAAAATGTCGTGGTGTCGGGTTGTCGTGTTGTCGGCTTGTCGTGATGTCGCGTTATATCTTGACCATGTTGTACACCTCTATATTCGTTTAAAAAACAACTTAAAACACATTTATTTAATCAGGCTTTTAACTGACTCTGTATACAATCGTTAACATGTTCATAATCTTGTTGTTTATTTATGATTTTCCTAAGGCTAAGCAGAGATAAGCAATTTGATTGGTCGATGTTTTGGGACACAATAACCTTGATTCTAGCTAATTCTGAGTTTGATCATGAGAGAGAGAGAGAGAGAGAGAGAGGTTTAACGTCCACTCGACACAAACTAGGTCATTTCGGGACTAACATATGGTTCAATTTTATTTCAATAATTCGCTCGCGCGTAGGGGTCTTCAGCAGTCGGAGGAAACCGGGGGACCCGGGGAAAACCCACGAGGTTAGACAGACGACCCTACTCTTTGTCGGCTTGGGCTGGAAACCACACCACTTGACTCAATGACAGACACACAGACAAGGGCGGCTTCATAATATGTTCACATTATGAAATGAAATGGGGTTTAACGTCCTACTGTTCTGCCCCGACTGAGCTAATGAAGACGGTTCACATTATGAATGTGGACGTATACAAATGGATACGAATGCAACTCAAACTGCACTGTGAGTGTCATAGGCGTACGTGGCCGAACTTGTTTGGGGGGCCAGCATATTTTCCCGACAAATATATTTCTTTAAGAGTCCGCTAAGCGCTAAGCGTCCGACGGGGGTTATGCCATGAGAAATATATTTTGTGCGAACAAATGCAAATGACAATCATCTACTTTAAAGTGCACCACCGTTTCTTGGGTACCAACCATGTGATTTGATGATATATTTAGACTTATAACATATCCAAAGTAATTTATCTATTCAAAAGTTTTCTTCAGGTCTCTATAACCTATTTTTATACGCTCACATTTTTATGTGGACATATATTGTCATCACCCCTGTCCGTCCGTCCACAATTTGTTTGTGGACACTCTACAGGTCACAATTTTTATCCGATTTTGAGGGAACTTGAAATATAGGTTTACCTCCCAAAAGTCTTGGTTCCTTTCAATATTGGCATGTATCAGATCGTAAGTTCATGGATTATGGTTCCTGATTGTATGAAAAATCAGGTTTTTAGCTTGTGGGCACTCAAGAGGTCACAATTTTTATCCAATTTTGATTAAACTTGAAATATTATATACTCAGCCAAATTAAAAACTTGACACTGATGAATTTCAACAAAAATTTTTTTCTGGTAAGTCAAATAAATTTTAAAGTGTTTCTAACGATAGTAAGTATAGTAAGAAGCCTTTAATTTCATAAAATTGTAAAGTCACGTGGATCACGTGACTTTTGAGCATATAAAGATGAAAAACACGTGCAAACACAAACTCGTGAGGTCAATTGATGCAAGTTTCTTAAACTGAACACGCACACGTAACTTGAACTGGAAAAACAAATTAAAATTGTTATTTTCATCTTTGTTAGAAAATGCCACGCCTTTCAAATGTAGAACGTCTACGTGCTATAAGTAGGCTCTATGCTGGTCAGTCTGTGGTCACTGTTGCAAGAGCCTTTAATTGTTCACGCCAGACAGTAATTAATCTTAGAATGAGAGTGCTTCAAACTGGGACTATTGCCGACCGCCCAAGGGCGGGAGCGCCACGTGTGACGTCACTCCAGGAAGATCAAGCAATACGATTACGTCATCTTAGAAACAGATTTGTCACTGCAACCTCCACAAGTAGAGAGATGGTGGAAGGGTAACGGCACAAACTATTCGAAATCGCTTGCAGGCTGCTGGTCTTCGAGCTCGGAGGCCCTATAATGAACCAATATTGACACCTCTTCATCACCGTAACCGACTTGTGTGGGCCACAAGACACATAAGATTTACTCAAAGACAGTGGAATTCGGTTGTCTTTAGTGACGAATCTCGATGCACTTTGAGATTTGCCGATGGCAGGGTCCGTGTGTACCGCAGACGAGGTAAACGTTACGCTCTAGTATGCGTCAGAGAAATTGACCGATTTGGTGGCGGCAGCTTCATGGTTTGGGGTTCTTTTTGTGCACATGGACGTTCTCCTCTTGTTGTTGTCAAAAGGAAACTTAAATGATGTCCAGTACAGGGATCAGATTTTGCAACCTGTTCTTCTTCCGTTTATGCAGAGACATGGGCCTGGACTAACATTTCAACAAGACAATGCTCGAATCCATACAGAATTTTTTAAGAAATGCCGGTGTCCAAGTCCTGGATTGGCCGTCGCTTAGCCCCGACCTTAATCCTATTGAACACGTCTGGGACGAACTGGGTCGACGTGTTCGTCAGCAAGTGAATCCACCACTGACGTTGCAGGACCTTCAACATGCTCTTGCTGAGCAGTGGCGTCGTCTTCCTCGGGTAGTGATTACTAATGTTCTGAGATCCATGAGAAGACGTTGTGTGGCAGTACGAGACATTAGAGGAGGCCACAACTGTTACTAAACACTTTATTCCGATTGTTCTCCAAGTCTGTGAGTTTCATTTTGGGGGGTACTGTGACATCACGAACGTTATCAATGTCAAGGACTTTCGGCGAGACATAGTCTTGCTTTCTGTTGATGTCAAGGTCGTCTGTGCACAACATAACACTAAAATAGTTGCTTTAAACCAAATATTAAAAATCTAGTCCCAAAAATCCTGAGTGTCATGTTTTTAATTTGGCTGAGTATATGTTTATAATCCGATGATCTTGGTTCCTTTCGATATTCGCTCATATCAGAGAGTAACTTCATAGATTATGGCCCCAATTTTTAACCAATTTAAAAAAAAAACCATTTAAGTATATCACCGTTACACAGGGCTCACACTGGCTTTCAATTTTTTTCTGCCAAAATGGATGATAATTTTTATATAAAGAAAATGTTCATATTTTTTTCCGCCAACTGGAATATTTTATCTGCCAAAAATGTGTGATAAAAAAGACAACATCTAATCATTTTATGTCTCAGTTAGGCTTATTATAAAACAATTACCGATATATACAATACAATATACAACAACTGTCTTTACATAATACATTAGCAAAGTTTGGATTTAATAAGATCAGATTTTATTTTTGGTGACTTTAGTCTATTTGAACACCGTACTGCACAATATATTTTCAGTATTTACACGTCAAATCTCATTCCAAGGATTGCCAATTTTCTATAAATTTTTGTGTTGCATGCACAATGGGCCTATTGTTATTTTCAGGTACCGTAAAGGTATCAGAATCTGAATCCTTGATAGAATGGTATAAATTTCAATTATATTTGTAACAGATGCTTACAATTTTTCCCGTCATTAACTTTTAGAGCATTTTGGCTACGGTAATATGATATATATGTTAATGGTGAACCTTTTCGACCAGTGGTGATAATAGGCATGCTTGTATATTTTACATGCCATATATGAAGCCACTGTAAACAGAATTCAGCTATCAAAATATTTAATTCTCTTCAAAAGGAACTGTCAGCCATTTTGATTACATGTATTACCTTTTTTTAAAACGAAAAGAAACATCAAATAATCACCGCTTAGATTAATCATTAGGAGTAAATAATAACTTGAGATAGGTATTATATACATCATTAACAATTATCAATCAACTAATCATTAATCCAAGACAACTGATTAGTATTACTCATTGACGTGATCCGGATTATCAGCCAGTTGATTAAATTATAGTATCCCGTCATGTGATTGATACTCAATAATGGTTAATCAAGGATAAATACGATTAGAATTTAAAATTTTTTTTCCGCCAGCTCTCAAAAAGAATCGCCAGTACTGCAAAACATTATCGCCAAAATTATCGCCAAAATCAAAATTTTAATCGCCACAATTTTGATCCAATTTGGATGAAACTTAAAACATGTGTTTATATCCCAAAGATCTCAGTTCCGGTCGTAACTTCCTTGATTGTGGCCACTGATTGTACGCATAAATCACAATTTTAGCTTGTTGACCCTCTAGAGGTCACAATTTTTATCCGATTTTAAAAATTGTTTAAATATATCATTGTTACACCCTGATGATGATTGAGTCGGAATTTCGTAAAATCAGACTGTAACTGCCCATCAAAGTGGCCACACCTTGAATGCAAATTGTGTAAAAGTACCGTATGTAATACCACAGTTGTGGACCTGCTAGAGGTCACAATTTTTGTCCGATTTTGATGAAACTTAAAATATGTGTTTATATGTCAAAGATTTGAGTTCCTTTGGATATTTGCACATATCAGACCATAACCGTCAGGATTATTGCCCCTGATTGTATGCAAAATCACATTTTTAGCTCATGAATCCTCTAGAGGATACAATTTTCATCAGATTTAAAAAAAAACGGTTAAAAATATCACTGTTCCACCATAATGAAGGTTGAGTTCAAATTTCGGGTAAATTGATATGAAACTGCCCGACAAAAAGGCTGCCCCTTGTACGCAAATTGTGTACAAGTATGTAATATGAAGGTTGTCGATCCTCTAGAGGTCCCAATTTTTGTCCGATTTTGAGGAAACTTAAAATATATCTTTATATCCCAAAGATATTTGCACATTTCAGACCATAACTTCTTGGATTATGGCCCTTGATTGTATGAAAAATCAGGTTTGTGCTTGTTCTCTATCCATCTCTTGCAAAATATGCACATATCTTGTCTGGCAATAGCTGGTTATCATCCTTGTTTTATCACGTGACTTGATTGAGGGAGAATCCATTACCAGCTTGTATTTGTGGTTAGTCACTTTCCATCTACCATACATATCAAAGCTGAATGAATTCATGGATTATGATTTGCCAACTACTATGTCCGCCGTTTAATTTTAGTCTATTTTTATCATCCGTGTTTTATCACGTAACTTGATTGAGGGAGAATCTATTACCAGCTTGTATTTGTGGTTAGTCACTTTCCATCTACCATACATATCAAAGTTTAACCCTTAACCGGTCATTGTCGACTATAGCCACCACACCGTTATACAGCTAAGTGGTTACGGTCAACTAAAGTCGACTACAACAAGAACCTTTTTTATAAGCCGCATTTGAGTATTTAGTTTTGTATTTAATTGATATGGCCACGCATGCGTGCCAGACAGGAACTTGTCTAGTCAAGGGCATTGGATGTCTTTGTTCAACATTTTTTGACGAAAAATGTAATTTAACAATGTCGGGAACGTTAGAGACGCTCAAAGTGGTTGAAATACTTATGAATTATTCTGACTCGGATTCTGAAGACGATATTTCTGATGAAAATGTTTTAGAAGGATTTGCAAATTATAAATCAACTTATCCCCATCAACTTTTTTATTGGTGTCAAGAGTCTATCACTTATGATTATTTGGCAGTAGTGATTGAAATAGGCATACAAAATATTTCACTTCAGCCTTTATTTAGCCTGACCACTTGACGTCATGACGTCAAAATGACGTCGACCAGTTAAGGCTTAATGAATTCATGGATTATGATCTTTTAACTTCTATGTCTGCCATTTAATCGCAGAGTCTACTGGACATTTAATTCTCTAAATGTTCTCACAACTGCTAGCCTATAGATTAACACATAAGAAGCACTCCTTACGTCACTCGAGCAGACAGCTAAACTGACAGTCTGTTGTTTAGGGATACTGATACATTTTTTTGTCACATGTGCCCCCTGGGTGTTTTTCAGGGAAATAACTACCCGATAAATACTTTTGTGTAATGTATTGCTAAGCAAGCCATTCATAAAAAGAAATTTGAGTCAGTAATATTCTTATTGATCTTATTTGTTTATACCCGATGTAGTATGGTCACATCACATTTAAGTGGAAATGACTTTTCACCCATAAGTGGCATGATTACCATTAAACTAGTGCCTCTGTTTGCTCCATTTAACTTGAAGCATCTCCACCACTTTAAATTAAAGAGTGTGGAATTGTTTGTTTATACTACCTGTCAAACTGTATATCTATAACATATCTTAAACTCCTGATAGTGTTCTTACTCTCATTTAATGCTATACCAACAGGTAAGAACATAATTAAAGGAACAGTTTCAGATATAATTAAGTCAATAAAAGTATATTTAGAATGAAATACTCATGCCTATGTGCACTTATCTGATGTTCAGTGATAATTTTTCGAAGAAATGTAGGGGAGAGCGGGGCACAGTGGGCATGATTTCTTTTTTTAGTGACTTGACCAGAAGTGAAATCCTACAGAGAATCAAACTATGCACTCAGTTGAAGCCAGTCATATGTTCGATTTAACAGTGCTGTTAAGAAGTTAATAAATTGAAACCATTTCTGTGTAGATCATTGTAAAACCAAAATTTTTTTTTGACCCAATGTGCCCCGTATGTGGGGTACACTGGGTCACACTATGGGACACAGTTGGCCATCAAGTATGTTTCTTTTAAAAAAAATGTATAGTAAACACACCGAAACTCATAAGAACTGTAAAAAGTAAACTTTTAGTTCAAAATATGAATTTTTTTTAAGACTTGAACACAGATATGCTGCTGAAAATTTAAAAAAACAGCTTAACATTGAATAAAAAATTCTTTAACTGGAGAAAAAAAATCTTTTATGTGAAAAACTTCTATGACTTGTAAGTCGGTAAGGATTCGTAACCTAGGACCAATATTTACTTAAAAACAGCTCAAATATCCAGATTCTGTCTAAAATGGACAGATGAGATTTAGCTAAACTCGAAATGCTTATGCTCAGTGTGCCCCTCCGAAATGTGCCCCACTCTGCCCCGTCATCAACCATGTCAGTAAATCGAAAATGGCAGGAAGATGTGATAGTATTATGAAACAAAATATTTCTAATGAGAGTCAAATACTATCTCCTTCACCTGGGATTTCAAGTTTGTGGACTCTAACAAAATCTGGAGTAGCCAAGCAGTTTAACCAGTCCGCCAAAAATTCACTTTTGCGTCAGAAAAACAGTTAATGGCCGATAAATATTAATCAGCTTACATGAATTTATTGAATTTAGGAGGACAAATGGGGGCCGTATAGGGGAATTCCCCAGTGATGTCACAATTGAATTTTCCCAAAACAGTTAAAAATTACAAAGACTGGCATACTGTGCCCCATGGCTTACTGTGCCCCGCTCTCCCCTACACTTTTAATGTCCTTTTGAGGTTGGTTACAAGTTCCCAAACTCCACTTTGTGTAGGTGTCTGTCTAAGTTATAATGGTAAGTGATGACCCCAGACAAAGTGATCATTTCTAAACAGCTCAATGTATTGATTTGAATTTTCCGGACAAGGGAAATATGATATATCATCCCATTTGGGTGTTTGAATTACATACTTATGCCCACTTTATAGAAATTAAACATGTAAATATTTATTATGATGTCTATGAAACCAGTGACTTTTCTATAAAAACAGTCTCATGTATGTGAAATTCTCTTACTATGGTATTCTGCATTTAATTTTTGGGTATCTTTTTTTTTCAGGGTTTTTCTAAGATTTATCAACAGTTTTTTCCATATGGTGATCCAAGCAAATTTGCTACGTTTGTTTTTAATGTTTTTGATGAAAATAAGGTGAGTGGATTAAAAATTACTTGAACAAATACCAATTATTTCTGAGAATTGTTTCAGGTTTTTGTGTTCGAATCAGTGTTGGGATTTCGCCCGTATATTCCATACATGTCCGACACTATTTTCCAAACGTCCTAAATTGTCCGACCAGGAATATGCCCAAACGGACATCAAGATATGGTGAATAATATTCAAAATTTCAAAATTAATATAGTGTACTGAGTGTATAAATACCACTCAACCCGATTATTGTTGATAATAGGCTGGATTGATTTGGTAATTAAGTGATCAACATATTTATACACCTACCTTGATTATCATCTTAACTTGACTGACTTAATTCTTTGTTGGACAATTCATCAATCTAATCTTAAACAGAAGTCATTGCTTCCACTTTGTCGGACTATTCATCAATCCAATAAGAATGATTATAATTTTAATCTACTTGTTTACCTCGTTTCTCCATTGTCGGACATATTAATCGCATTGATGTGAGCCGACATTATGTAGAAACTAGTCATAGATGTCACATATTGTAAGAGTATATAACACCCAATAATCTGTCTGCGATATCACTTATGTGGAAGCGGACGTTAAATAAAGCACACACACATCCACAAACCTCCGATAAATACTAGACATAATAATACAATAACTGAAACGAAAGTAGAAATCTCGCGAGATGCGTGAAGTTAAGTGATGGAAACGTGACTGATGTCAGAGGAAGAATTCTATTTTGATAATATGTTGAATGGAGTTTGTTTTTAAATAAATTAAGTAGTTACTGCCAAAATAATTTGAAACGGGTACGAGTCGGCATGCTTTCATTCTATTGTATTATGACAACACGTAATTTTGTAGGAATATTACTATCATAAATTGAATACCGCACGGGAATTAAATATGAAAAATAAAATGTGCACCTATTTTTTTAGGTGCTTGAATTTGAAACAAGTATGGGTCGACGATTTCATTCTATCATATTACGACAACACGTAATTTTGTAGGAACATTACTGACATAAATTTGAATACCATACCAGAATTAAATATGAAGAATAACGAGGTGCACCTATTTTTTTAGGTGCGTGAATTTGAAACAAGTATGGGTCGACTGTAGTCGGCACGCTTTCATTCTATCGTATTACGACAACACGTAATTTTGTAGGAATATTACTGACATAAATTTGAATACCATACCGGAATTAAATATGAAGAATAACGAGGTGCACCAATTTTTTTATTGCGTACGATTTGAAGATTTTGTTGACACATGATTTTTAATTGTGGTCTGAAACCGCCTGCTTAAATAACGATAAAAGTTATGCCCCATTATTTTCGGTAAAAATGTCAAACAAGAAAAATTTTGAAATCCCAACACTGGTTCGGATACATATATAGTTTATGACAGACCGACACAGCACTGGCTAGTGGTTCATTTTAATCATCCTTCCATAAGAGGAAATGATTGTTTCCTGGTTTTTATTTACATTCCAGTGTGGTTGTATATTGTCATCATTCCGTCTTAATTGACATGAAATAAATATAAAGTCAGAATTTTCACCACACATAAAAACAATCTGATTCTTAAACTTCACTGGGAAAACATAATCATTCCAGATTCAATAGTTTTGTTTATTTTTCATCATTTTTATTACCTATATTCTATTTGAAATGAGTGTTATCATCTAATTACATGAAATGTCTTGAATAGACTGACATTTATAGAAAGAACTAGGATAATATTTTCTGGTTGTATAATTTGTCTTTTGGTTCCAGACATGAAAAATCAGAAGATTAAAAAAGCAATGATAATATTTATTTAAATATATTGATATTTGTATATGTGACTAATTTAATCAGCCATCTACATGGAGACATATTTCATGACTGGGGGTTCAGTGTTCATTCCACAAGAAGTCTGTGCTTTCTCTAAATTAACCAAACGTGAAATTGTAATTGACTGGCAACAGCAACAATGGTCAATCTGATTTACTTGTCTTTACTACACTAGGATCTAGAAGAGTATTTATATAACCTGCATTCTGATTGTTCTGAGGGATTAGCCAATGAAACGGTCTGTTGCTGAGAGTTCTTGACATGCAGTTCACGGAACTGTGGGCATCCCACTAGAAACATCAACGCTGATTGGTTTATCAAATGTCTGATGTCATGGAGTCAAAAGCCTTTTGCATGAGCCTGACGTGACCTACTACAACTGGGCAGATTTTCAAGTAGTGGAGGCCATCAAAAGTATAAAAAACGAAGCAAAATAACACTTGACTCTCATTAAAAGCTGTCATGTCCATTCAAATAGTAAAATGGGTTTTGTCTGCAATTGCGAATGAAACAGATGGAGCCCCACCCCCCACTCCCCAAATCAATATGGGGCTCACCTATGACATAGTGTACATGTCATCATCGATAAAAACACCAAACTTACTTTGGATGTTCCAATCTTGAGTCTGATTAATAAATTGCAGTAATATAAATATTCTGATTTCTAGAAACAATTATAACAGCTACTGTACATGTAGTCGATCAAATCCAACACTAATTTCCCTCATAGCACACTGTATGGCATATGACCGTCTTCATTAGCCCAGTTTAGGAGTAGGACATTAAACCCCATTTCATTTCATTTCCAACACTAGTTACCTCCCTGGATTGCATAAGTCTAAAGTTAGGCTTTTCCAGATGTGACTTTGATTTGAAAATATTTTTGTTTGATCACCCAGGATAAATAAAATAGAATTTAATGGAGGATTTACACTAAAAGTAAGACAATAACACATTTAGTAATTAGAATATAGCTATTTGTTTCACCAGACTTATCAAAACAGCAATCAAAACAGCAAAAGTGTTATTGGTGCTTTAAATAAAACAATAAAGATTCTGTTTTTGTTTCGCACTGGACTTGGATTTTTTCTGGCAAATTATAGCCCGTTCACTTAAAAGTTGAACTGGTAGAAAAACCCCGGGGATCGTTAAACCAGTTTAACTTAAGCGTCTGAACACGAATGTGGGGCAAATAAACCAGTTTAAAAAACCCAGCTCGCGCCCTGTCTTCAAGAGGGCTTTTTATTTTAAACTGGTTCATCTGAACGGGTTGGTTTAAAAACCCCGACTCCAGCTTGTTTTGAGCATGCGCAGTACGCAGTAAGTTACATTTATGTGAAAATATCGGGGTCAGGCAGTGCCAATGTTATCGAAAGGGTGCGAAAACCAAATAAAGAATATAAAGCTACCCATGCGTAGTTACCTCTTACCTCTGACCGAACCCGAAGAGGTCAGAATAGTTAAACTGGTTTGGCTTATAGTACGTGTGAACGCAACACGATGCTGTCTTAAAAGCCCCAGCAATAATGAATTGGTTTAAAAATAAGGGTCTGAACTGGCTGCTATACAGATGTCTGATAAAAATGACTTCTTTAACTCTGATGAAGTAGTAACAACTACTGCACCATGAGGTGATTTCTTTGGTGAGATAAATGAAGGAGTAGGTGGTGACTGAGACAGACTTTTAGTTTTTAAAGTCGATGAAGTACTAGGCCTAGTAGTATAGGTTAAGGCATAACAGCCAAAACATTTTGGTCATATTGTTATTTACTAATATAAATACAATTATCTGATTAAAATACAGATCTATATTTTGTTTTGTTTTTTATACTTTCGATGGCCTACACTACATGAAGATCTGACCGGTTGTAGCGATAGGTCACGTCAGACCCTATGACGTCAGACATTTGATTAACCAATCATCATTGATGTTACTAGTGAATTACCCACAGTTCCGTGCAAAACACGCCTAAAGCTCGTTGTAACAGACCGTTTCATTGGCTAATAGCTCACATCATGCAGAACATGTCAATGATAACAACTCTTCCAGATCCTAGTAAAGACAAGTAAAGACAAGACAAGTTTAAAGACAAGTAAAACGAAATTTTGAACTATAAAAACGAAACGAAATAGGATCTGGTGTTTTAATCATATTGAATATAAATATAGCATAGGCCTAATATAAATAACTACATTTCGCAATAGATAATATTTACATATAAGGCCACGAAATTTCACGTGAACGATACCTATCGGTTATGTGCAGGCGTGCAAGCTTCAAAACACGCGACCGATTTCCTGGTTACGCAAATTGAAATATCGGTTATGTTAACAAATTTATTCACATTTGATAAATTTTTATACAGGATGAACCTTTGTGACACAGGTCTAAATTACTAGTATTACAGCTTTTAAATTAAGGGCCAGCACAAACTCCATTCATTCATTCATTTCATTTCTCCATCATACCTGTACTTCGACATATCACCTATTTTGACAGCACATATTGACCATTTGCAAGCAGGTTGATTTAAAAATGCCCCCCATCCCTAATTCTTTAAATGATTAGTTATGCCACAAGTATTTGAAAGCATACCTTTGGATTTTCAAATACAAAGAGAGTTGACTAATTAACATGTCAGCTATATTTCCAAAGAATTTATTACACTGTTCCTTTCACTATAGCCATGCTGTATGGTGGTACCAAAGGCAATGACTCGTATGTACACATTTGTCATCAACTTTGACTCCCACCGGCACATGGTATAGCTGAAGATAATGTGATAATGTAAACGATTTTACTGTCCTGTCTATTTTAATATTAATATTGTTCAATAAAAGCTAACACAATAGGTGACCACTCAGCAATAATACTAAAATTAAAAATTTCCGAAAATGTACGAGGGAAAGGTCAATGGATCTTCAATAATAGCCTAACTTCCGACGAGAATGCTATGAATATATTAAACTGTCATGAATTTCATGATGAAAACGATAGGTGCTGACTTTGGAATTATATAAAGTTTAAAATAAAATCTAATACTACTATTATTTATTGTAAGAAAAAGCAAAGTATTAAACGGAAGCTAAAAGAAGAAAATCTAGGACAGATTGATGGAAAACATTGAAAACCAACTGTTAGATAACATTAATAACTCAGAGTATCAAACGTTACTCAATAAACTAGATATACGTCGTAATATATGAGGATGAAACACATGGAGCCATTCTAAGATAGAAAATAAAGTGGTATGGCGAGGGAGAAAAAAACTTACAAAAACAGTGACAGAAAAAACCCAACTTTTAACCATATTAAAACGCTTTAAGGTTACGAAATAACTTCTCCTGACCAAATATTGTAAGAAATTCATAATTATTATAAAAACCTATATGCATCCTATATGCATCGTGTGATGAATACCTTAATGTAGAAAAAAACGAATTTGCCAAAACTTGATGAGTATCAGAGTGATATGTTAGAATACAAAATAGATGAGGATGAATGTTTTGGAGCAATTAGAGACTTTAAAAAACCCCAAATCCCCTGGAAATGACGGAGGTATTGGCCACTAATTAAAAATTATGTTTTAAACTCCATTAATTATAGTTTTGAAAATAGAACACTGTCTGCGTCCCAAAGACAATCAACAATTAAATTAATTCCAATTTTGAAAAAGATAAATGAGCAATTAACTAATATGTGCAATTAATTAATATGTGTCATCTATTTATTTCGGGATTTCAGCAGGGGATATCAGTCTCACTGTTGCCTTGTTTTAATAATTCGCTTTAGCAGTGGGAGGAAACTCGAGGACCCGGAGAAAACCCACGAGGTTGGACAGGCCACCCTACTCCTTGTAACGTACAAGCCGGGATTCAAAACCATGCCACACGACTCAATAACAGACCTAATGATGCAATGGGCACGTATTAACCATTTGGCCACCTTACCCCTCCACCTTTTGAAGAAAGCAGGGGACTATTAAAATGGGTCCGTCCGTCACACTTTTGGGACACAATAACTCTGCTTCTAATTGAGCTTGAATTTTCAAACTTTGTGTAGATGTTAATTAGGTGAATGCCTTGACTGAGTTCGATGATGAGCATTTTCTACTTAGGGTAAACCGAGATAGGCAATTTGATTGATCAATGCTTTTGGACACAATAACTTTGCTTCTAAATAAGTCAGTGTGTTGAACCTTGGTGTATAGTTTCATTCCATCAATTTTTGGCTCAGGTTAAGCAGAGTGATAAGCAATTTGATTGGTCAAGACTTTGGAGCTTGACAGCTTTGATTCTAATTAACACCAAACAAAGCTCCATATATATGTTTACTGAAAATATAGCTAAATTTTTGTATATCAACTGAAATTCACGAATATTGTATTTTGTCTTATATTCAGTATGAGAAGAATTGTGATAAAATTTTAATAATTAATTAGCTTCACTTCCTGTTGAGGATTTCATAGTAGAATATAGTGATCAAAAGTGGATTTAAGAGATATAATGGATGAATATATCCCTCAGAGTTTTGACGTTTTTAACGGAGTTGTTCCTGATCATTTTACAAGGTTTCAATCGTTTCTGGAAAAAACAGGTTTTACCCGTCCAAAAGCCAACCCGGCGTTGGGTTTAACAATTAATGCTTTTAAAAAGTAATGTACTCTGAAAAGGACAGTTCTTGGATTAAGAATGATACTTCTTTTAGATAGTTGAATGTGGGATAAATGTTTTACACTCTTTGCTCAAAGGTCTTTCTTGCTCCATACAAAATCCCTTTATCAAGTGTTTTGTTATTTAACAGGATGGATATATAGAATTTGGTGAATTTCTACAAGCATTATCAGTTACATCAAGAGGAAATGTAGAAGAAAAACTTAAATGTAAGTGCATGTTTCTTCTTCACCTATTTATCTCCATTAGAGGTCACAATTTTTATCTGATTTTAAAAAACGTTCAAAGGTATCACTGTTACACCCCAATGATGGTTGACTTTGAATTTCGTGAAAATCAGACCCAAACTGCCTGACAACATGGCTGCTCCTCATATGCGAATAGTGTAAAAGTATGTAATACCCTCTAAAGGTCACAATTTTTATCGGATTTTGATGAAACTTGAAATAATGTTTATATCCTAAAGAACTGGTTTCCTTTCGATATTCGTGCATATTGAACTGTAACTTACTGGATTATGGCCCTTGATTGTAAGAAAAGTCTTATTTTTAGCTTGTGGACACTCTAAAGGTTACAATTATTATCTTATTTAAAAAAATGATTAAATATATCACCATTACACCATAATGAAGATTTTAAAAAACGTTTAAATACATCACCGTTACACCATAATGACAAGTGAGTTCAAATTTCGTGAAAATCCGACCGAAACTATCCAACAAAATGACGGCACCACATACGCAAATATATATAGTGTTTAAAATTATGTAATACCAAGGTTGTGGACCCTCTAAAGGTCATAATTTTTATCCGATTTTGATTAAACTTAAAATATATGTTTATATCCCAAAGAACTGGGTTCCTTTCGATACTTGCATGTAATGTCGGACTGTAGCTTCCTGGAATTTGGCCTTTGATCTTATGTAAAATCTTTTTGATATTTTTTTATACGCCCACATTGAAATGTGGTCGTATATTGTTGTCGCCCTCGTCTGTCTTGTGGATGCTCTATAGGCTAAAGTTAATATCCGATTGACTTTAAATTTATACACAGTGTTTAAGGTCATGAGATGAAGAAGCCTATTGATTTTCAGCGATTTTCGATAATTACTGCCAGAGTTATGGCCCTTGATCACTTCAAAAAATCTTGTGGACGCTCTAGAGTCTAAAGTTAATATCCGATTGACTTTAAATTTATACACAGTGTTTAAGGTCTTGAGACGAACAAATATATTGATTTTCAATGAATCTTTATGACTTGAACAGCTAAATCCATGATGTTAAAAGTTTTGTATACTAAACATTAGCATGGGGCAGAACTTTATAAAAACCAAACAAATTCTAATGGTTTTCTGATAATTACTTAATGAGTTGTTACTCTTAATCAGATTTTAATGTATTAATATTATAAATGTTTCATTACTGAAAAAAAAAAGTAAAAATATGTGACAACTCTGGTTGACTGCCCAGACGATATAGCTGCTGTGGGCGTATGTTTCGTTGCCTGGCAGCCTATCTTTTTAGCTTGTTCTCTGTCCATCTCTTGCAAAATGTAGGCGTATCTTGCATGGCAACCGCTTGTAAATTATTGTGGGGAATGCCCTCACTGTTTGTGATAACATTTATCTCCTGTATTATTATGTTGAATTATATTAATATTTGTAGCAGAATCTGGAATTTCCTTGATTCTGATAGACTGCAATTTATCATCTATTAGACAATAACACTTCTAATTTTGGGGAGATTTACTCATAGAATTCCTGAACATTGAAGTTTGCATACAAACAGCACACCTTAAAACTTATTTTATGAAAATGTATGGCAAGTCTTTATGATAGATATTCGTAACAAATATAGTTTATGATGCAGGATGAGAAAACTTTTATCAATAGGCCACTCTATCTCTTTAACCATTCCATTTAAATGGAGTTTGTAAGTATCTTTTTATATGCCCACATTTTCATGTGGACGTATATTATCGTCACCCCTGTTTGTCCGTCTGACAGTCTGTTTGTCCATTCACAATTTGTTTGTGGACACTCTACAGGTTCAATTTTTATCCGATTTTTGATGAAACTTGATATGCATGTTTGTATCCGATTTACAAAAAAACCGTCTGAATATATCATCGTTCAGCCTAATGTTGGGGGAGTTCAAATTTCGTGAAAATCTGACCAAAACCGATTGTTCGAAAAATTGCATATTTAGCTTGTGAAACGCTAGAAATCTCAATTTGTATTCAATTTTAAAAAACGTTTAAATGTATCACCGTTAAATGTATCAATGAAGGTTGAGTTCGAATTTCATAAAAATCTAACCGAAATTGCCTGACAAAATGTGGACAGTCTAGAAGTCACAATTTCTATCCGATTTTGATGAAACTTGAAATGTATGTTTATAATCCAAAGATTGGGGTTCCTTTTGATATTTGTGCATATCGGACGGTAACTTCCTGTATTATGGCCCCTGATTATATGAAAAATCACGTTTTTAGCTTGTGAATCCTCTAGAGGTCACAATTTTTATCGAATTTTAAAAAATGTTTAAATTTAACACTGTCACACCCTAATGACGGTTGAGTTCAAATTTCGTTAAAATAGACCAAAACTGCTTGACAAAATTGCGCATATCAGACCAGATCGTACAAAAAAATTTGTTCTTTAGCTTGTGGATTCTCTGTAGGTCACAATTTTTTATCCGATTTTAAAAAACGTTTAAATATATCACCATTCCACAATAATGAAGGTTGAATTCGAATTTCAGGAAAATCGAAATGAAACTGCCCGACAAAATGGCCGCTCCTTGTACCAAAATTATGTAAAAGTACGTAATACGAAGGTTGTGGACCCTCTAGAGGTCACAATTTTTATCCGATTTTGATGAAACTTAAAATATATCTTTATATCCCAAAGATCTCGGTCCCATTGCAGACCACAACTTCTTGGATTATGGCCCCTGATTGTACGAAAAATCGCATTTGTTTTTAGCTTGTTCTCTATCCATCTCTTTCAAAATGTGGACGTATCTTGCCTGGCAACCGCTGGTTAACAATTCCCTTTAAATAGAGTAACTACTAAATTATTGTATAGGTACTATTATTTTTTATCCGATTTTGATGAAACTTAAAACATATCTTTATATCCCAAAGATCTCAGTCCCTTTTGATATTTGCGCATTTCAGACCATAAATTTCTTGATTACTGCCCCTGATTGTACAAAAAATCCTGTTTGTTTTTAGCTTGTTCTCTATCCATCTCTTGCAAAATGTGTGCTTATCCTGCCTGGCAGCTGCTGGTCTTAATTAAATATAGCTCTTTTAAAACTTGACCAGATATAACAGTAATGAACATTTTGTTCAGTTACAGTCACAGAATCATCCTGCTAATTTATTATTTTGTCTACATTAATTAAACTATGATATTTATTACAGGGGCATTTAAACTGTATGATATAGATAATGATGGTTTTATAACTAAAGTAGAATTATTGGACATTGTAGAAGCTATATATCAGATGGTGGTAGGTATTCTGTATTTCCTTGAACACCTGAACACTTATTTTTATCAGCTGATATTTCAGGTGGAGTATGTTTTTACGTATATACAGCCACATTTTCATGTGGATGTATATTGTTGTCGCTCTGTCCATCTGGGCGTCCATTCACATTTGTTTGTGGACACTCTACAGGTCACAATTTTTATCTGATTTTGACAAAACTGGAAATATAGGTTGATATCCCATATTCGATTGATTTCGATATTGGCATATATAGGACCGTAACTTCCTAGATTATTGCCCCTGATTGTACGAAAAATCATGTTTTAAGCTGTTAGACCCCAGCGATCACAGTTTTTATTTATTTTTAAAAACCGTTCAAATGTCAACCTTACACCCTAAGGACTTGAGTTTGAATCTCATGAAAATGTAATTCCAAGATTGTGGGCCCTCTAGAGGTCACAATTTTTATCCGATTTTGATGAAACTTAAAAATATATTATATGTTTATATCCCAAAGATCTTAGTTCCTTTCGATGAAACTCTAAACATATCCCAAAGATCTTGATGCCTTTCGATACTAGCACATATCGGACCGTAACTTCCTGGATTATTGCCCAAGATTGTACGAAAAAATGTGTTTTAGCTTATGAACTGTCTAGAGGTCACAATTTTTACTTGATTTCAAAAAATGTTCATATATATCACCCTTACACCATGTTTATGATTGAGTTCGAATTTTGTGACAATCGGACCAAAGCTTGCCGTCAAAATGTCTGTTCCCCTTTACGCAAATATAGTGTCAAGTATCTAGTACTAAGTTTTGACGAAACTTAAAATATTGGTTTATCTCCCAAATATCTCGGTTCCTGTCAACTTCATGGATTATGGTCCCCGTTTGTTATCTTGACTTAATGGATTGAAATACTTGACTTAGTGGAATATTTGACTAACTTAGTAGATTACAAAACATTATTATCTCTTGACAATATACTTATTGTATATGAGCACAGTCATTTTAGGATTTCACTGTTGTGATGATAATGGACTATTTTGATGGAAATGTCTGTTTTAAACAATTGAAGGCTAGAATAACATGTATTAGTAGGTTAAATATGACCTTGTTCTGGATAAATCAATAATAGGTTCTGGATACGTCTAGAAATAATAACACAAGGATGTTTTGGGATATTGAATTTGGTATATAAGTAGCTAGTATTCCGATTAGTTCAAATAAAGTTGTTTAGACACACATATGATTGAGACAGGGGCACCTCGAAGGTGCAGAACTAGATACATAACTTTGACTTGCCATTTGATATATTTATTAAAGTATTTTTAAGAATGTTTGCTTGGTGGTACTTAAAACAAATGTGATTTAAAGAATATTGTTCCATTAAATTAGAGCAAGGACATATTCTCCTAATCAACTTGCCTCGCAAATTGTCAGATTAACATAAGAAATAGTTGATCAAAAGAATTCATAACCAGTCATTATATGAAATCAAATACACAAAAATTTAGATATCTCATTACAAATTTCATGCTTAAATTGCATGTGTGCGTTGACGCAAATAACGTTAGATTTTTGAGTGGACATTCCTCTGTATGTACGGGTATTATTCAAGCCAGATTATGGTACAGGATATAAATTTGATAATGATATGAATTAATCTTGTTTTTGTTTTAACATCAAAGGGAGGAATGGTTAATTTACCAGAAGATGAAAATACGCCAGAAAAACGGGTCAATAGAATATTTGCGGTAATGGATAAGGTAAACAATATTTAACATTTCTCTATTCAATTATTATACGTAGGTTAGGCCAAATTATTTTTACATTTCTTTGTTAATTCTGCTCATCAGACGAGATTACATTATATAAATTGAATATAGGAAAATATTGCTATTTGTCCCCAATAGCTGTTCGTGGCATAAAATTCTTTGATGTAGGTTAAAATAAAGTACATGTATTGAATTGGAGTTGATCTGATGTGTTTATTTTGATTAGTCATGTTACACAATCTTTAGGATTAAAATTTTGTTTTAAAAAGTTAAGAAGAAGTGGCCGTAATTGTCGTCGCCACTGTCCATCAGGATGTCTGTTCGGAATTTGTTTGTGGACACCTACAGGTCACAATTTTTATCTGATTCTGATGAATCTTGAAATACGTAGGTTTATATTCCAATGATCTTGGTTCTTTTTGATATTAGCATCTGTCGGGCCGTAATGTCATTGATTATGGTCCCCGATTGTACGAAAAATCCCTTTTCTTTTAGCTTGTGCGCACTCTAGAGGTCATAATTTTTGATCTGATTTTGATGAAACTTAAAATGTATGTTTGTAACCCAAATATCTTGGTTCCTTTCGATATTCGTGCATATCGTTTAAAGTTTAACATATAACGGTTACACCCTAATGATGGTTGAGTTCAAATATAACAGTTACACCCTAATGATGGTTGAGTTAAAATTTTGTGAAAATCGAACAGATACTGCTTGACAAAATGGCCGCTCTGTTGTCTTTAAAATGTCAACTATGTTTTACCAAAATTTGATTTGTTATTTTTGTAAATGTGGTCATATATATATATTGCTGTGGCCCCCGTCCGTTCGTCGTCCACAATTCCTTGTGAACACTCAACAGACTACATTTCTTGTATATTGGCAAGAAAAAGAGTTTTGCTTGAAGTATATTGAAAGAACCGATATATTTTGTAACAAATTTACATTTCTTGGTAGGTTAGATATGTTTTCCAATCGATAATCATGTATTTTAGATCATGTCTGTTGAGGAAATATATCTTTAAAGGAAAACCTATTGATCCCATGATGGAAAATGGAATATAGAAGTTGGAAGCACACAGTAGTACCGGCATATAAAATAAGCATAAATTCTGATAAATATAATAGTGCTGTGCAAATCTATACATGACTTAGAAATTATTGAAATCATTTCAAGAATAAATTAAACAATCAACTAATGAAATACAGATATTTACAATAGAAGAGATGATGTGTATAGAATCTGCAGTTAAATTCCAGGAAATATAAGGAATGATTGCTCTGTCCAATACACATTAGATATACATGTATATATTGAACTAGTTTTGGTTTGAAATGATATAAAATAAAAGTTCTTTAAATCCTTGGTTAAAAGTAATTAAATTCATCAACTTAACATATAATTGATCCTTCAATAAAATTTATTGATCTCAAAGTTACCATGTATGGTTTTAGGACCAGTTCCAGATTTCACAGGGTATCGGTTAAAACAATTAGATGTATGACAGCAAAGCAGTTTATCTAAACATCTACAATAAGCTAAAATAAACAGAGCCACTTCATCGATATTCAGGAAATATCCATAGATTATTTAGAGCGAAAACATGATGGATCCTGTACCCCTGCACAGCACGATGGGTCCTGTACAACACGATGGGTCCTATACAAATGGATTAAGATATTTAAATTTGAATGATCACAATATATCTAGGATTGCTCCATTACGACCAATGGAATTACTCTTAACTTGGTTGAACTAATATTCAAATGAGTTTCTGTTATATTCCAGTTTCAATGACAAATAACAGTGTTAAACTGTGCTAATCTTCCTATAATGGATGTTAGAAAGTAAGAAATATAATATATAAGTATGTATTTAATCATACTCTAAACTACTTTCTCTTTGTTTTATTCCATCCTCCTGTTTATTTGTATTCTTTTTCTTCTCGACTAGCTGTTGATTAACTTTACTCAATGTATCAGTTGTTGCATTCTTTGTTAATCTGTAAAGCACATATAACATGTGAGGACATTTGTCAGTCATTACACATACTATAAAAATAGGTATTAGTCGAGTCTCAGTCGGTAAGGCTTGCTCAGACTAAAATAATTTGACTGAAATTTTCAAATATTCATTTTTTTAATTTTTAAACTATTATAGCAAGAACTACTAACTTTTTATCTTAATTTTATATAAGCATCTTTAAGCTAATCAAACTTCTTGAATGAAGATTTCTGTATTAATGGTTTCTGTGCTACATGTTTAAAACATTCCTTTAAAATCAATAAGAATTGAATAATAATAATATCAAATACATACACTTCTTCCATTTCTATTTCATCATCAGAATCTTGTGGTACCTGCAGATATGGATTGTTAGAAGCTGGTCGGAACTTATAACCAGTAACAAATAAAAATAAAAATACAGCTATCTCTCGGAAAAATTCTGTCAACCATTCATGTCGGAATGGTAGTGTTATCTGGAATAAATTATCAGAATTAATCTATATTTCTATATGGTCTTACACATAACCCAGGTTTGGGCAAAATCCAGCCGGGTAAGTAATGTCTAGTGTTGACTGTCATATAATTAACATCCATTTTCCTCACTTTGGTTTTCAAGAATTTCAAATTTGTGAATTGTGAACTTTATGAAAGAAATGGTCAATGACCATGTATTATAAGGGTGTGTTGAAGGCAGCAGAGATCTTTCAGAAAATCTTTATTTCTAATTTGAACAGTTTGTATTATTTCTAATATTAAATGGTGCAGTGAAATGAAACATGAAAGTGTATTCTAGAACAAATAACTTACTTTTAACAGATAAACTATCATTCTAGTAAAATATATATAACAAACAACCTGCAAAAAAATTAAACAATATTCCCTTTATTATTATTACTATTATTACTATCTTCTGCTGTTTATGATGCCACATGTTAGTATACTTTCTGGACTTATAGTCATCATCAAACATTATGTATATCGAATAACTTTTCTTTGTAAAGATATCATTATTTCCTTTCATAATTTTAATAACTAATAACACAATATGAATAGTTACGAATATATACATGTATTTAATCATACATTATGCAGGAGCTAAATCTGTCTATTGCAGGTCTTTCTTTAGGCCTGAAATGTTATCTAAATTATTAATTAGACATTAATTAACCTATCCGGACCACATAACTTTCCATCACAATTTAACGATTAAATGGATAATCGAGACTATGCTGTTTATCGCACTGACTTTAGTAATGACGATCAAGGCTAGGTGGAAATTTCAACCGCTTAGTTCTCGGTTCATAGTGGATCAATTTGAATGAAATTTTCAGCAAATTGCCTTTACATTATCTAGTTTTTAACTATTATAGTGAGAACTGCCAACTCGTTATCGAATTTCCAATAATGTATCTTTAAGTACATTAATTGTAATTAAATTTTTTTTTTAAAGGGAGAGAGGTGATATAGGCCTGTTCTGTTCCCCAATTCTATTCTATAAAATATAGTTTTAAAAAAACCAAAACAATTATTTCTACTTATAAAGATGTGAAGGTGGCTAAGCTATAAAATAATACATGCGTGTCTGAACTGGAACATTCTAATTCAAGATTATTTTAATGGCTGATTTTTTTTCTGTTAAAAAAGCAAATTCAAAATCAGCAGAATTAAATCCTATCACTTACCATTATATAAAAATGTCTAAAAAATTTCAGTTTATTTAAATTCATCGCAGCTTTACCATCCACTGCTGATGCTTCTTGAAGGTGGCGGATGGACCTTAAATTTAAAGATTTGTTTTTGTTAAATAGATAAACATCCCTAAAAAATAATAAGCTCATTTGCAGGTTGATTTGATTAAAAATTTCAAATTTTCATGTTGAGAATTGTAATTATACACTTGACATTGATACAATATAACACTACTGAAACAGACATAATACTACAGGACAATTTAGGTCAATTGTCACTTTTTCATTATAGAGGGCGCCGTTCCGGACAGCCTCATGACTCTTAATGCATTACACATTATCAGAATCTTGGAAATTCCCACTTTCTATATGGGTCTCTTTAAGCCAATCAAAATACTTAGTTCATTATTCAAATACCACTCAAATCTATATAACTATATTACAGATGTTATAGGGAGAGAGAAATGGGGTTTAAAACTAGGTCATTTCGGGACTAACATATGGCTCAATAATTTGCTTGCACGTAAGGGTCTTTATCAGTTGGAGGAAACTGCAGGACCTAGAGGAAACCCACATGGTTGGACAGGCGACCTTATTCCTTGTCATGTACAAGTGTGGGATCAAAACAATGCCACTTGACTCAATGGCATTCAATATGATCTTAAGCGCACATGTTACATTGAAAGTAACAGTTAAGATAAAAAAACAGTGTGTAAAAAAACCTTACATGTGTATCATAATTGACTTGACACAATGACAGATCTTATGATCTAATGTGGGCACACTAGACCACCCGGTAGAAATTAGTGTTAAAGATGGTCAGTATGTAGAATGTTAGCATAATCTATTTAGCTCTTCTGATTGTCATAAACAATCCAGGCCATCTTGTGGCCTATACACCCCAATACCACAATACATACCATGCAACTGTAAACAAAATGGCTACACAACAGAGTAAATCCACAACAAAAAATATCTGTTTCCAGGTTGTGTAATGGAATTGTCCCTCATCACTTTCTTCTATAATAACCCAAGCTACTTGTTTTAATACCTATACTCAAATATAATATATTACATTTAACACTTGTTCTAATACCTATACTCAATATAATATTAAACTTAACACTTGTTCTAATATCTATACTCAAATATACAGTGGACTCTGTCAATTCCGACATCGTACAGGATTAATACAATATGCCGGATTACACAGCATGTCGGAATATTCAATTGCCTCAATACTGGAAGTTGTATTGTACCTTCAAATACCAAAGTATTATTATAATGGATAATGCACCCTCAAATACCCAGAACTTAAAATATGGAACGCTTTCTGTACATTCAAAGGTTTCCTCGACCTAGATCAGTTCTTGTATAAATCATGACGTTGTATACACTGCTCATGTCATCTGCTGTAAACAATCATGGCCGTGTCCAGCAGTAGTTTCACACTGGATCATTTATGTCTATCTAAATATGACGTCAGAAGGAATTCCTTGTAAGACGCGATTATCCAGGTCTACCATCTATTGTGATTGGAACGTGGCTGAATTTTATTTTTTGATGGTCGAAGACTGTTATTCTTGAATGTATAAAATGATTTTAAGAGCAGTGGAGTAGTGCACTAAAGTAGATATTTACTTTTTTGTCCAAATTGTTGTATTTTAAAACTTGTTGTGGACATATTCAAAGAATTAACCCAAAATCACAAAATCCCGTTCGAAGGTAAATAATGAAGAACGATCTTAAAGTACTTTGAGTTGATATTTTCCAACGTTTTTGGTGTCGAAATGTAGCTTATAACCTCTACTTTCTATCTACTGGTGTGATTATCAATATCTCTTTTTAGCATCTACTAATAGAATTTCCAAGAAAACTTATTGTTTTTTGCGTTTCCATGGATACCAGATAAACCACAGCCTATAGTCAAAATTTGACCAGTGTTTTTTTTGACTTGCCATTAACATTGTTCATACCAAATTTAAAGAAAATTCATGCAGGCATAACTGAGAAAATTTGACTTTTATTGTCATCGGCACCCATTATTATCATGCCTTTGGGCCAAGTTTGGAACATAGTTGGTAAAGAAAATTGGTATTTATTTGGTGATTAATATTTAGTTTACCACCCAAAATAACAAAGATAGGGTGCCAGGCAACGAAACATACGCCCACAGTCAACAAGAGTTGTCACATATTTTTACTTTTTTCGGTAATGAAACATTTATAATACATTAAAATCTGATTAAGAGTAACAACTCATTAAGTAATTATCAGAAAACCATTAGAATTTGTTTGGTTTTTATAAAGTTTTGCCCCATGCTAACGTTTAGTATAGGAAACTTTTAACATCATGGATTTAGCTGTTCAAGTCATAAAAATTCATTGAAAATCAATATACTTGTTTGTCTCAAGACCTTTCACTCTGTGTATGAATCTGAAGTCAATCGGATGATAACTTTAGCTTCTAGAGGGTCACAAGGTTTTTAAAAGTGATCAAGGGCCATAACTTTGGCAGTAATTATCGGAAATCGTTGAAAATCAATACGATTCTTCGTCTCATGACTTCAAACACTCTGTATCAATTTAAAGTCAATCGAATATTAACTTTAGCCTCCAGAGCATTTACAAGATTTTTTGAAGTGATCAAGGGCCATAACTCTGGCAGTAATTATCGAAAATCGTTGTAAATGAATAAACTTCTTCGTCTCATGACCTTAAACACTGTGTATAAATTTAAAGTCAATCGGATATTAACTTTGGCCTCTAGAGCATCCACAAGATTTTTCAAAGTGATCAAGGGCCATAACTCTGGCAGTAATTATCGAAAATCGCTGAAAATCAATAGGCTTCTTCGTCTAATGACCTTTAACACTGTGTATAAATTTAAAGTCAATCGGATATTAACTTTAGCCTCTATAGCATTTACAAGATTTTTTGAAGTGATCAAGGGCCATAACTCTGGCAGTAATTATCAGAAATCGCTGAAAATCAATAGGCTTCTTCGTCTCATGACCTTAAACACAGTGTATAAATTTAAAGTCAATTGGATATTAACTTTGGCCTCTAGAGCGTCCACAAGATATTTTGAAGTGATCAAGGGCCATAACTCTGACAGTAATTATCAGAAATCGCTGAAAATCAATAGGCTTCTTCGTCTCATGACCTTAAACACTGTGTATAAATTTAAAGTCAATTGGATATTAACTTTGGCCTCTAGAGCGTCCACAAGATATTTTGAAGTGATCAAGGGCCATAACTCTGGCAGTAATTATCGGAAATCGCTGAAAATCAATAGGCTTCTTCGTCTCATGACCTTAAACACTGTGTATAAATTTAAACTCAATCGGATATTAACTTTAGCCTCTAGAGCTTCCACAAGATTTTTCAAAGTGATCAAGGGCCATAACTCTGGCAGTAATTATCGGAAATCGCTGAAAATCAATAGGCTTCTTCGTCTAATGACCTTTAACACTGTGTATAAATTTAAAGTCAATCGGATATTAACTTTAGCCTCTAGAGCGTCCACAAGCAATAGTGGACGCCGTACCGGCGGACGGACGGGGGTGACGACAATATACGACCACATTTCAATGTGGGAGTATAAAAAGTGTCATATCTTCTCAACAAAAATTACAGTGCTAGCTTTAAAATGTGCATTTTAGACTGCTCAACGCCCCTTAAATGATAACATTTAAAAAAAAAAAAAAAATGTAACAAACCTGTAATGGTAAAAAGATGGCAAATAATTTCTTTTCTTTGTGACTCAACATGTGTTCTATAAAGTCCCATCCTGCACCAATCAATAATATTGTTCCAAACATCAATGCACCTTTGGTTCTATAAATAGACAAGATATCATATTATTGTATACAAGAAATACATTTTGACTAATATTACGATCAGTACTCTTCAGCTGATCAGTTTTTGATGTATAGGTATTTTGTTTCCCTCTGATTTATTCTAAAGAATGTGACAATTTTTAGCATCTTTCAATTTACTTATATATCAATTGAATGGTTTTTCTGTATGAAAACTATAAATTTAAAAGTATTTATGTTTTTTAAGGTTAAATTCTTTGAAATTCTAATTTTATGGCATGCAAATTGACTGACATAAGTTCTCAAGTCAATCAATTTCCCTGCCAATCAGTCAAAACTGGCAAATATGACTGATACAATAACTCTGGGGAAGACACTGACACACACAATGTAGACACTATAAGGTGTAAACAGCATTATGACTCTGTTAAATTTACAGTCCAAAATACATTAAATATAGTCATGAACTGGAAAGCAAAACCGTTTTTTAATGATAGCAGCTTGCTATTTAATATATTCAGGGTAATATTTGAATTAACCCTTTAACCATCGGATTGTTTTGTGGTTTTGACTAGGGAATGCATATAGTTAAGAATATATCCTGTAACTCTTTAAATCTAAAAGAGCTAAATCGCTATTCTTTGGCACCTAGCAATTGACACAAATGGGTCGCAACGCATATAATACTGTAATATGAATGTATAAACTGATTTACATTTAGCCATTTCTGTTTTTACTATAATTTCAAATCAGTTATGTTCGGCGAAATACGCGAGAAGTCTCAACCGAATGGCAATCTCTAGCGTCTGGTTATTCCAGTCTACACCGGTAGTATTTATTGTACATGCTCTCCAGATAAGAATATGGCATCACCGTTTGACATGACATGTTGAATATATCTAACCTCTAACGATTTGTGTACCAATGGTAAAATGTTTATTTTGTCTTAAATATGGGATATCAGAAGCCAGTCTTTTCCCTATAAGATCACAACATCAATGTTGATTTAAATTGACAAATAATTTATGTTTTCAATGTCGAAGATTTTGGGTGATACTGAGTTAGAGACTTAGCTACTTTAAGAATAAAATTCATACAAATGTATATATTTTTGAAAAGGTCTTGAATTCTTCTATTCAGTGGTATAAAATATTTAACATTTTTTGACATTTTTTACTGCAAAATGACCCAAATCCAAGAAGTCTAGGAGATAAAATACTGGCAACTTACAGATATACAATATACCAGAGAATAGCCCAGGCTTCATCAGGTATACCAGATTTAGCTATAAAATGACTGTTGATCTGTAAAAAACACAGAGTAAGAGAAAACATTAATTTTCATTTCTTAAACTGCATGGCTCAGACAATAGAGAGAGAGAGAGAGAGAGAGAGAGAGAAATGGGGTTTAACGTCCACTCGACACAAACCAGGTCATTTCGGGACTAAGATAGGGTTCAATTTTATTTCAATAATTCGCTTGAGCGTAGGGGTCCTTAGCAGTGGGATTAAACCGGACAACCCAGAGAACCCGGAGAAAACCCATGAGGTTGGACAGGCAACCAGACTCATTGTCACATACAACCGGGGAATCAAAACCATGCCAGTTGACTCAATGACAGACCTTACTCTACAGCGTGAACATGCTAACCATTCGGCCATCCAACCCCCTGGCTCAGACAATAGTCTAGGTGAACAAATATAGTATTTTAGAAAAAAAAAATTGAATTAAACAAAAGTGACAACAACTATATTGTGTAAGATGAAGCTCTAATAGGAATATCAGTCCTAAAAAGATTCTATTCCATTTAGCTTTTACAAAGATGTATGGAATTGAAATTTAATCGATGTAGCCCATTGCCTTTTTGTTGTCAGCAAAAATTTATTGATAGTAGCTAAAGTACATATAATTTGCTAGGTAATTTTAAGTGTTTAAGTTTTTTTTGGTTTTAATCATCTAAGATCACTATCTAAAGACTAAAGATCCCTTTTTAACTCTTCTTTTTATTACATATTAATGACAATGTTTATTAGCCTTCCCGGTGAACTATACTTACACCATGGAATAAACAGGATACGCTCTTAACCCATACAACAGCTAACATCAAATAGTGGATTTTATACACATCATTTTTCCTACAATGTAAAATATATTAGCAATAAACACACAGTACCCACAGAAACATGTATAATGTATATGCTATTTTCTTAAAGATGCACTATGTAAGATCTAAATCTGCTAGCTGTAGGTCTTTATTTTGGCTTCAAATGTTATATAAACTATTATTTAGACATTTATTGACATAATCCTATAATCAACCCTCTGAACCATTGGAGAGACGTGATCTACAACAGCCATGTTTGTTGTGGGCGGGATTTTAACGACAATTTACCTACCGTATGAGCGCAAGAATTACCATTTAAAGTTATGTAACAATGCAATTGAAAGTTATAATTAATATAATACATGCGCCTAATACACTGAAAAATATGGGTAATTTGAATGAAATTTTCAATATGTTCATTTTTCATTATCTAGTTTTGAACTATTACAACAGCAAGAACGACCAGTTCTTTATCTAAATCTTACATAATGCATCTTTAAATGGAGATCGCAGTCCTTCACGTTTAAGGCACGCTTTCGCTCTTGCGCCTCCCGACACACCTCGACTTATCTTTGGGGGAGTCGTCATTAAATACGCCCGCTAATAAGCTAAATCGCTCTCCTAAATATTGCGATTCATAAACTACCTTACTTTCAGTTTTTGTTTATTTTTAATAACCTCCTCCTCGAGCGATGAGCGTTTCCATGGTAAAACTAGGGCTGCCATAATTATTCATCAAACATATTGAATTCTAATGTAAGGCTCGTTTTAATTGGATAGCAGTCTAAAACCAGCCAACAGAATATGATGTTACTTGACAGCCTAATATGTTGCTGGATGTTGATGGAGAATATCCGCGGGAATGACAGAATGACGTACGTCTAATAATAACATTACTTGTTTAAAATGTTTTCATGTATGGCTTGTCTCATTAGCAATGCGTCGATTATCGCTATTAATAGTTTGGAGATGGTCAAAACAGTCAAATATGCGACATTTTAAAATTGAAATTACTGGAGGGCAAATAGCCACAGAGGGAGACAAAAATGGGTTTGTAAAATTGGTTTGGTCTTTAGACTTAGTGCAAATTGTGCACTAAGAAGCACGCTGACAAATTGATCAAACTGACGAAAATTCGTGAAACATATAAATTGCAAAATTAATAAAGAGAATACGAGACAAAACTAAAGTATATAAATACAATGTAGAATTACGAAGATTTTTTTTACGGGAGCTTTTTTCTCAATTTTTAAATTGGCGAGCTTTTCTTTTATAGCTCCCACACCATTTCGTAAACGTGAAAGACTGAGATCGTAAAATTGAAGAATTTGAATGTTACTGTTTAAGTTTATTTTGTAATGTACACATCTGGCACACATCTAATTAAAATCAGACTTATCTAATTCTTGTCCACACCAGATGAATCTGTTAAGATAGTTATAATCAGGAGGATAACAGAAATACATTAAAGTCTCTAATCCAGAGACAGAGATGTGGAACCCACATGTACACTAACTCTTTAAGTGTATGTGAGCAAAATCATTTACTTTAAAGTAATTTAGTCCAAATGGGCAGTTGTGCTGATTTCCCTACAAAAATCCAATGTTCTTCACATGTAACAAATTGCCAACACAGTTAATACCTATTTTAATTACATTTTTCGCTAAAATATCAAATTTTTCATGGCCTAATTCAAGCTAATATGTAGTCAGTTCGTTTATTTCACAGTTAAGTACGAAAACAAAATCAAAATACCAGCACTAGACAATCTCCTGCCTTGGATTCAATAGGATTTAAACCAGCGGCTGCCAGACAGGATACGCCCACATTTTGCAAGAGACGGATAGAGAACAAGCTAAAAACAAAAACGATATTTTGTACAATCAGGGGCCATAATCCAGAAAGTTATGGTCTGAAATGCTCAAATATCAAATGGGACTGAGATTTTTGGAATATAAAGCTATGTTTTAAGTTTCATCAAAATCAGATAAAAATTGTGACCTCTAGCACTATACGACTGGTACCGTGGAATCTCGGGTAAATAGCGTTATTATCTAATCTATGTAGAATTATTCATAAATATCATTGAATTTGGCCTAATAGCATTCAATTTGTCCTTGTATACAACTTAAATCTCAACGTGGAATTTTGATTACTAAGCGTTAATTGACTAGTGTTTAGTTTGTCGACACGTGTGTAATTATAAGCGTCCCGCTTAATTTTGACGACTGTTCAATAATTAGTTGGACCGTTCAATTTCCCGAGTTGTGAATAAATTAGTCAAGGTGTCCAATTACGCCAGGTATTCAATTCTGTTGCCGAACATCCAATTTCACATGCGTTGTTCAGATTTTAACGAAATGTTTATATTGAAGGAGTTGTAATATAGTAATGCTGCCGTGAAAACGTGTACATGTACAATGTACAGGCCAGTTTGAATAACAACATAATGAGTTCGGTAATATCGGGAAAACATTTACCGGCATTCTGTATCGGTTAGGATTTTTTTCTAACGCACTGTACATGAATATAATGTCGGCCAAAATGTATGCAACAATGAACAACTTACAATTTTTTTTACAACTTATCATTACATCTTCGTCTATAACTTAGATGTAATCCATCAATTATTGGCTGCTATAAAATCCAAACTTTAAATTATATACGTCATACGATGAGCTTGCAGCTTCAGTTAATCTAAATCAATCATTCATAGAGCACTCGATCCACTCCACGAGGCGCTTAACGGTAAGTCACATGGTCAGAAACGCGCCAATATTGGGACTATTTTCTTAGTCTGTCTGTGTTAATCGGTGACAAATCTCCGCTGTGACAATATACATCTACTTTAAATGTCGCCCAATTCATTTCGGTGGAAGCGGATATTGAATAAAGCCATTTCACACACGTGTACATTACATGCGCATGTCATATATTTATACAATGTCCACGATGTGTTACATTAATTGTCGCCTTCACTCCGTTATTTTGAGTAGCCTACACTTTCTGAATGATTCCATTCTTTTGTACGAATGCATGACCACTTGGACCAACTAATAGACCACTCGGACGAAACAAAAAAGACTACTCGGACCATACAAAAGGACCACTTGGACCAATAATAAAGTGTTGTTTTAATACGTTTATATTTGTGTTTGTATTAATATGACTACTCCAATCAATAATAAAGTGTTGTTTTAATTGTTGTTTTAATAATTGATAATAGTGTTTGTTTTAATATGCATATGTTTTCTTTGAAATAATAAAGTGTTATGTACTTACCCGTCGCATTGTTTCATCATGAAGCACATCAAAGAAAAACAATTAAATTGTTGATGTAATAAAGATATATATTTGCCAATAGGTACTTACCGGCAGCGGATATTCTAAAGTTATGTATATACTCACCTATAAATTGTTCGCCTCTTTGTATTATGATACAATATCATATTGTCTGTATTATATTTTTAAAATGAATAAGTCAAGCCTTATAATGTAATTTAATTGGTCTGTGTGGTCCTTTGGGTTGGTCCGAATAGCAAGGATAAATATGGGTACGATATTATGCAATATAGATGCCGTACAGTTATATAAATGCATTGTTTATAATTATAATCACGATTTACATACAGTTATAATTACAGAAGCAAATGCAGGTTCAATCAAGAAACTTGCGTGTTCACCGTCTAGTATAACTTTCGAGCTTCTGATATCTAGATTATAAACGTAAACATATACATGTATGTATAAACTTATAGATTGCAGTTACACAGGGTACATGTATATGCAGTAGGAATTCGGGAAGTTGGACGTACAAAAGAATGGAATCATTCAGAAATTGTACTCAAAATAAGAAAATTATAACGGAGTGAAGGCGAGAATTACATGTAGGCCAACACACTCGTGGACATTGTATAAATATATGACATGCGCATGTAATGTACACGTGTGTGAAATGGCTTTATTCAATATTCACTTCCACCGAAATGAATTGGGCGACATTTAAAGTAGATGTATATTGTCATAGCGGAGATTTGTCGCCGATTAACACAGACAGACTAAGAAAATAGTCCCAATATTGGCACGTTTCTGACCATGTGACTTACCGTTAAGCACCCCGTGGAGTGGATCGAGTGCTCTATGAATGATTGATTTAGATTAACTGAAGCTGCAAGCTCATCGTATGACGTATATAATTTAAAGTTTGGATTTTATAGCAGCCAATAATTGATGGATTACATCTAAGTTATAGACGAAGATGTAATGATACGTTGTAAAAAAATTGTAAGTTGTTCATTGTTGCATACATTTTGGCTGATGTTATATGCATGTACAGTGCATTAGAAAAAAATCCTAACCGATACAGAATGCCGGTAAATGTTTTCCCGATATTACCAAACTCATATTGTTGTTATTCAAACTGGCCTGTACATTATACATGTACACGTTTTCACGGCAGCGTTACTATATTACAACTCCTTCAATATAAACATTTCGTTAAAATCTGAACAACGCATGTGAAATTGGATGTTCGGCAACAGAATTGAATACCTGGCGTAATTGGACACCTTGACTAATTTTAATCACAACTCGGGAAATTGAACGGTCCAACTAATTATTGAACAGTTGTCAAAATTAAGCGGGATGCTTATAATTACACACGTGTCGACAAACTAAACACTAGTCAATTAACGCTTGTTAATCAAAATTGCACGTTGAGATTTAAGTTGTATACAAGGACAAATTGAATGCTATTTAGCCGAATTCAATGATATTTATGAATAATTCTACATAGATTAGATAATAACGCTATTTACCCGAGATTTCACGGTACCAGACGTATAGTGTCTAGAGGATCCATAACCTTTGTATTACAAACTTATACACAATTTGCGTACAATTTGAATTCAACCTTCATTATGGTGGAAGGGTGCTATATCTAAACGGTTTTTAAAATCGGAAAAAATTGTGACCTCTAGAGAATGCACAAGCTAAAAATGAGATTTTTCGACCAATCAGGGGCCATAATCTAGGAAGTTATGTTCAGATATATGTGATTACCAAAAGGAACCAAGATCTTTGGGACATAAACATGCATTCCAAGTTTCATCAAAATCGGATAAAAATTGTCACCTGCAGAGCGTCCACAAACAAATTGTGGACGGACGGACAGTACAAAATGATGCCACGCATTATTACATAGCGAGCAGCATAGATCGATGAAATTTCAATTCAACATATCTCTGCGAATAATGAATGGAATTGAACCATTTTGGACCGATATTCATCTCTCACAAAATTGTAGTTTGCAAGGGATTAATATTCCTAAATGAAACTTCAGTAAAATATTGTTCAAAAAGCTTTATTAACTTACTCTGCTTTACGTAGAACGGACAACCAAATACAACCACAGATAAAATACGATAAGAAGAAGACAAAAAATAAAGTTGGTTCTGGTTGACTTCCAGCAGATAAATAATTACCATTATTCTCTTCTACTACTTGTAACTGGAATCAAATTTCAAGTTTATGTTAGTCACTATGAAGGGTGAAGAATAAGATCTGAACCCTGCCACATAAATACTGATCACTTACCCTTACAAATAGCTTGTTCAGACACTCAAGTTGAACTGGAAAAATCCCCGGCAATCATTAAAGCAGTTTAACTTAACTGCCTGAACGCAAAAGTGGGGCAAATAAACCTGTTTAAAAAAAACCAGCTTGCGATCTGTCTTTTTTATTCTAAACTGGTTTATCTTGTCCGTCTGAACGGGTTGACTTTAAATTGCAAAGCGTCAGCTAACTTTGGACAAACGCAGTAACTAATATTCCTGGTAAAATGGAGGCATCCTGCAGTGCAAGTCTTAACAATCATCTAAACTGTTTAATTTTACATTACCTAGCATTTGTATTTATTTCTTGGCTGAAAGAGTTGGCATCTAAAAGTATTCGTGGAAAGGTATAGTTCAAACAATTTTTCCAGAATTTTTGACAGAGGTTAACACATATACCAATGCATAGTTAACTCTAACCTCTGAGTGACAAGGACAGAATAATCAAACTGGTTTGGGTTGAAGTACGTGTGAATGCAACACTATACTGGTTTAAAATCCCCAGTGATTTTAAACCAGTTTAAATATAAACATCTGAACGGGGTATTAATCTCTCATGAATTTGAAAAGTAGGGAAAGAAATAGTTTCTGTAAAATAGTGTCTATTCTGAAGCTTACCGTCATAGTTACTGTTGAGTCCACGTTGGGCTTAAAGTTCAAACAATTGTGGAAAAACAGACTGTATAAACCTTCTTCCGTTTCACTATTAATAACTACCAGAAACTAGAAATATAAAATTATAAATATATAAACATGAAATGATCAATCACTAACAACAATTGAAAATGATCAGCGATTATCTCTTACCAGAAACTGTGTAACAAGGCAGTACATATACACTCAAAGCCATTAAAAACGCAATGCCAAATTCAAAGTTTATTTACTGCAACAACTTTTAACAAATGTACATAACAATTGACAAAATAGAGAAAACAAGCATCTGTGGATAATTTCATGAAAGAATTCACAACAAATACACAAAACCAAAACGTTAGAGAACCATGAAACAAAGCAGGGGTCAGCTGAAGTCAATAACGTGTATGTCCACCCTGAGCTTTAAGTCACCTTGGCATGGATTGGCACAGATGTCTCACTACACACCAATGATTTTAGAGTTCCTGTGCCAACCCCGCAACAGTTTGTGGAGACACGGCTCAAGTTCGAACCCGTCCAAGTTCATCCCAAAGGTGTTTAATCGGGTTCATGTCAGGAGACATAGCTGGCCAATCCATAACACATGATGATTGTTCAGAAAGTCTCTTGTCAAAATGGCAGTGTGGAGTCGGGCGTTGTCATGCTGGAAAACCATCTGTCGACGGACGCCATGTTGAGCCAGCAATGGAAGCAACAACGGACGAAGGATGGCGTCAACATAATGTTGAGTGTTGAGATTGCCTTGGACCACCACCAACTGGGACGGAAGTTGACGTTGATAGTGGCCCAAACCATGACGCCACCTCCCCCAAGACGATCCATTTCCAGCACGCAGTTACAAACAACGCGTTCATGTCGGCGACGGTAGATACATGTAAGGTGACGTTCATCAGGAAAACTGAGGTTGAATCGGGATTCATCCGAGAAGATGACATTTCGCCATGATGTGTTGTGCAGATACCATTGATTTGTGGTCCATTGCTGTCTGGCAAGTCGACGATGATGCAAAAGGATTTGACCTTGGTAAGGTCGACTGCAGCATAATCCATGAGCAGCCAGGGACCTTCAGACTGTTTGAGTGCTAATCTGACGTTGCCGAGTTCCAACAATTCCCTGGCAGTAGCAGTAGCTGACTGGAAACTGTTGCGCAGATGACCTCCAGAGGGTCCACAACCCTAATACACAATATTTTGACACTTTGCGAACGAGGGGCGGCCATTTTGTCCGTCAGTTTTGATCCGATTTTTACGAAGTTCGAACCCAACCACCCTTAGGGTTTAACGGTGATATATTGTAACAGATTTTTAAATAGGATTAAAATTGTGACCTCTATGGGGTCCACAAACTAAAAACGCGATTTTTCGTACAATCAGGGGCCATAATTCAGGAAGTTATAGTCCAATATGCGCGAATATCGAAAATAATCGAGATCTGTGGGATATAAACATACATTTCAAGTTTTAACCAAATTGGATAAAAATTGTGACCTCTACAGTGTTCACAAGCTAAAAACGTGATTTTTTATACAATAAGGGCCATAATCCATGAAGTTACAGTTCGATACATGCCAATATCGAAAGGAACCGAGATCGGTGATAAACCTATATTTCAAGTTTCATTGAAATCGGATAAAAATTGTGACCTTTAGAGTGTTCATAAACAATTGTGGACGGACGGACAGGGGCGACGACACTATACGTCCACATGAAAATGTGGGCGTATAAAAATTTGGATGCTTAAATATGTTTATAAGTTTAGTCATTAAAATAAATTAAAAAACAACTGACTATATTTTTATATTCAGGTCAGGCAAGTATTTCTGAAGGGCTAGCAAATTTTGTCATGACACTTGTGGTTCAAAAGTGAAATTGTGCACCCCTGGTAAAGATAAAAAAAAAAGTGTGTAAAAAAAAACTTACATGTGTATCATAATTGCCTTGTTTATTTTTCTTTATGTCAACCTGGTTACGAAGAACATCTGGTGTAGTTTCCTTGCTTACAGCAGTCTCTGGTTTTACTGGTGCTTTTGTAGAAATATTTGTATTGTTTTTAGAAGTTGGATTTGTTTTTACCTGAAAAAGTCAATTTTTGAATTTATGGATAAATTAAGCAATTTCTGTTACATAAAGAAAGGTTGCCAGGCAACGAAACATACGCCCACAGCAGCTAAATCGTCCGGGCAGTCAACAAGTGTTGTTGCATATTCTTACTTTTTTCGGTCATGAAACATTTATAATTCACTAAAATCTGATTAAGAGCAACAAGTAATTATCAGAAAACCATTAGAATTTGTTTGGTTTTTATAAAGTTCTGCCCCATACTAAGGTTTTGTATACAAAACTTTTAATATCTTGGATTTAGCTGTTTATGTCATAAAAATTCATGGAAAATCAATATACTTGTTCGTCTCAAGATCTTAAACTCTGTGTATCAATCTGAAGTCAATCAGATGATAACTTTAGCCTTTAGAGCGGAAATCGTTGAAAATCAAGGGCTATAACTCTGGCAGTAATTATTGGAAATCGCTGAAAATCAATAGGCTTCTTCGTCTCATGACCTTAAACACTGTGTATAAATTTAAGGTCAATCGGATATAAACTTTGGCTTCAAGAGCGTCCACAAGATTTTTTGAAGTGATCAAGGGCCATAACTCTGGCAGTAATTATTGGAAATCGCTGAAAATCAATAGGCTTCTTCGTCTCAAGACCCTAAACACTGTGTATAAATTTAAGGTCAATCGGATATTATCTTTGGCTTCTAGAGTGTCCACAAGCAATTGTGGACGCTGGACCGATGGACGGACGGGGGCGACGACAATATACGACCACATTTCAATGTGGGTGTATAAAAATGAGCTTAAGTTTTGCGTCAAGACACTAATTTTGAAGTTAATATATGAAAATATGCCACACTAAAAGAATTATGATTAAAAAACACCAAATATATTTAATTTGGCAGTTTTTTTGACCAACAGAACTCAAAATACAGTATATAAATTGAGACATATGTACGCACTCTGGCTAAATAAAAAAAACTTTAAATTTGTATGTAACTTTCGCAATTAACTTAGGCAGTGGTAGAGATATTTAGCTTTAACATTAATTTTCAGACTCAAGTCTTTTTGGAAGGCAAATATGCTGGAAACTCAACACAGAAGAACTATCATTTTTACACATTTGGTTCAGTTTGAAATGACAACCCACAGAAATGCTAACAGCAAACAAATTGAGTAAATTGATGACAATAACCATCTGCAAATTTGAATACATATCTGTGGTCTAGTCAAAATATTAAGAGGGTCCAATTGGACAAAGTGCATGTACCAGAATTACATCTATACATAGATTAATAATGAAACTAATAAGTATGATACTATTTTAAGCATACATCATTCAACAGGTTCATTCAAATCAATCAATAATCATATGATTACCTTTATAACGGTAGGAGCAGCAGATGGAGCAGCAGAAGTTAAAGTGGTAGTAGGAGGAGTTTTAACGGATGATTCTTTTACTTCTGGATCACCTTCACTATCTCTTGTTTGACGTCGTAGAAGGTTATTATTAGCTACACTCTGTGCAATAGCTTCTCTTCGAGTCTTACGCTGGTCATGTTTTTTATCACGATATTCTTTCTGATTTAGGTTTGAGACGGTTAAATTAGTAACATCATTACCCACTCTTTCGATAATCACTCTAAAAATATAGAGAAGGTAAATAAATATAAGTGCTTAAGAAAAGTTTATTTGTAAGGTTACTATTAACTAAAGAGAGCTATCTCTTACTATTTGGGTAGCCGTAATGTCTCACTAAATACGGCGCTGGCTGAGTTCAATCCCGGTGTTGGCTGAGAAAGTGTCTCAGTATTTTCTGGTGTGGTGCCCCTTTGTCTGTAGTGACGGGTGGAGGAGATGAAAAACTGGGATCCCTAAGTAAAAGAACCCTTAGTTGACAGTTGAAAATCGAAATAAAAGTAGGTGGTAGCACTCCCTCATAGTACACTGAGCTTTGTGTCATGGTTTTGAATTTTTGGGCCCCCTTGAAGTTTTGTGCCCCCTTGAATTTTTGCGCCCCTCGCAAATGGCAAAATATCACAGTTTTAATGCGGTTTTCAACATTATAATGATAATCATAATGCCCAACCAGTGTTCAAACATATACTGTGGGTCAGAAATGAAATGAAATATGGTTTAACGTCCTACTACTCTGTTCTGACTGAGCTAATGAAGACGGTTATACACCATACAGTGTGCTACGAGTATGAGGGAAATTTTGTCTGGGAGGTGGCACTATGGCCTACTCTTACATCGAATTCCAACTGCCAAGGGATCTTTTACATGCATACCAATGTGTACACCGGACATCAGTCTTTAATAACATCCTAACAACTAGACAGTTGTCGTTGTCAGGCCCTCCGTCATGCATCACTGACAAGGGAAACCACGTTGGCAAATCCCAATGAACTTTCTCAGCCAATGCAGGGATCCACCACGCAACCTCCAGGCTAGCGAGCCAGCATCTACCCACTTAGCCACTGTGGGTCAGATATGCTACAAATTGACTTTAGAAGCCCAATATTACCCGGCGGCACTGGGAGGGACTGCCACCCCATCCCCTCCCCGGCACACACATCCACTAGCCCGACGCTACCAAAAATAACTTACAGGCTAGTGATCTATTTAGCCGTACTAGTCCTGGGCTAGGGCCCTTTCATTGGTTTGTGAATTAAACTAGTGACGATATAGATAAATAAACTATAAAACATCCCACATTTATTTCTCAAATTCCAAGGAAAACTTAATCATAACAATAGATTTTCTGTAGTAAAACTTAGAGCCGTATGGACATTTTTTGTACCCCTTCTATTCATTCATTCTTGACATTTCATTTCTCCATCTTGCACGCTTTGACGGGTCTCGTATAAACCAGTTGAAATCAGGTTGATTTAAAAACAAAAGACTCATTTATACTTCATATTAGATTAGTTCTGACATAAATATTTGAAAGCATACCTTTGTATTTTTAAATACAAGATAATTTTGATTATTTAACATGTCAGGTATTTCCAAAGAATTTACTACACGTGTTCATTACACACACCCCATGATGAATGGTTCCAGTGACCCGTGTGTCGTCAACTTTGACCCTATCGGCACACAGCATGGCACTCCAGTGATAACATAAACAATTTTACTATCCTGTCTATTTTAATATTATATCAGCACATCAAACTGATTTTTTTCATTTTGAGACTCTTTATATAGTGACCTGGTAAATAAATACGGTAAAACAATTAATTTGTCAATCAGTCGAGGCTATCTCGTGCTTTGCAGTAAGTGCTAATAATAACGTAACGTTTACAAATCTTCGAACGGGAATTAAAGGACATAAATTTACCGTGATATATAATAAATGACATGTGCTATATGAAGTATTTATATGGTCTTTAGTGAAAGAAAACATTGTTGTGGCTACCATTCCTGGTTTTGAAGGTCAGATATGATATGAAAACGAATATCGGTTTGTAGTTTTTTTAACCGTTTCATCAGTGCGCCCGAACCGTGACCGGTTAACCGTGTACCCGTATACATCCTTAATTATTAGGCAATCAAGTCTACGATCTTTATTAACCAGCGGCTGCCAGGCAGGATACGCCCACATTTTCGAGAGATGGATAGAAAACAAGCTAAAACGAAAGTGATTTTTCCTACAATCAAGGGCCATAATTCAGGAAATTACAATTCGATATGCGCAAATATCGAAAGGAACCAAGATCTTTGAGTTTTAAACTTACATTTCAAGTTTCAACAAAATCGGATAAAAATTGTGACCTCTATAGGGTCCACAACCTTGGTATACCATATTTTTACGCTATTTGAGAACGAAGGGCGGCCATTTTATCTGTCAGTTTTTGGCCGATTTTCACGAAATTCGATCTCAGTCGTCCTTAGGGTGTAACGGTGATATAATAATATGATTTTTTGAAATCGGATAATAATTATGACCTCTATAGGGTCCACAAGCTAAAAACGTGATTTTCCGTACAACAAGGGGCCATAATTCTGGAAGTTACGGTCCGATATGCGCGAATATCGAAAGGAACCGAGATCCTTGGGTTATTAACTTTCATTTCAAGTTTCAACAAAATCGGATAAAAATTGTGACCTCTATAGGGTCCACAACCTTGATATACCAATATTTTTACGCTATTTGAGAATGAACGGCGGCCATTTTATCTGTCAGTTTTTGGCCGATTTTCACGAAATTCGATCTCAGTCGTCCTTAGGGTGTAACGGTGATATAATAATATGATATTTTGAAATCGGATAATAATTATGACCTCTATAGGGTCCACAAGCTAAAAACGTGATTTTCCGTACAATAAGGGGCCATAATTCAGGAAGTTAAGGTCCGATATGCCCGAATATCGAAAGGAACCGAGATCTTTGTGTTATAAACTTACATTTCAAGTTTCAACAAAATCGGATAAAAATTGTGACCTCTATAGGGTCCACAACCTTGATATACCATATTTTTACTTATTTGAGAACGAAGGGCGGCCATTTTGTCTGTCAGTTTTGGGCCAATTTTCACGAAATTCGAACTAAGCCGTTCTTAGGGTGTAACGGTGATAATACTATATTAACACGTTTTTTTAAATTGGATAAAACTTATGACCTCTATAGGGTCCACAAGCCAAAAAACGTGTTTTTACGTACAATCAGGGGCCATAATTCAGGAAGTTATGGTCCGATATGCGCGAATATCGAAAGGAACCGAGATCTTTGGGTTATAAACATACATTTCAAGTTTCAACAAAATCGGATAAAAATTGTGACCTCTACAGTGTTCACAAGCCAAAAACGTGATTTTTCGTACAATCAGGGGCCATAATCCATGAAGTTATGGTCCGATAGATGCCAATATCGAAAGGAACCGAGATCTTAGGGTGATAAACCTATATTTCAAGTTTCATTGAAATCGGATAAAAATTGTGACCTGTAGACTGTTCACAAACAATTGTGGACGGACGGACGGACAGGGGTGACGACAATATACGTCCACATGAAAATGTGGGCGTATAAAAATGATAGGTTGGCAGGCAACAAAACATATGCCCAAATATTGAAGATTAAATCTTGTACCTTGTCAAACTATGGACTAGTGGATATTAATGCCGGGCTAGTGGATTCAAAATTTTTTTTACGCCCCTGTTTTTTGGGGCCCGATCTGGATCTTGTTTCTCATGCAAAACCATGGGTCACCACGCCCCCGGCATAACGAAAGCTTGTCTTCATTAGTCCGGATGAAGCAGAAAAGTAAGACATTAAATCGTTGTTCATTTATTCATTCCTCTCAATACACAACAATAATAATGGACTTTATTATATATATATATATATTGTTGTGTGAAAATCATTCTTATTTCGATAACCTATTCAACCTACCTTTCATTTACAAGATCCATTTTAAAAAATACAACTGACATTTGGTCCTTTGTTTTGTCACCAGTTATTGTTGTATAGTATTGTAAAAAGCATTTTGAGGTATGTTCACTTTCCTGAAACAATAAAATATTAATTACAATAATAATAATGTACATTTATATAGCGCTTAATCCATCCATGAGCATGCTGTAAGTTAATAGCTCCTGTGGATAATACATCGTGAACATATGTGTCTTAAGCCTAGATCGAAATTGAGCAACTGTTTCTGAACACTTTATGTTGTCAGATAAGTCATTCCATAGTCGTGGACCATATACACTGAAGGCTTTATCACCAAAAGATTTTAATTTAGTTGAAGGTACAACAAGTGATAGATTATTCTGTGAACGGAGTGGTTGGTTTGGTACATAAGGCTGCATAAGATCTGTGATATAGGATAGAGCTGAATCATGCTGAGACTTGTAGACCAGTGTTAGGATTTTAAAGTTTATACGAGCCTCTATTGGTAACCAGTGAAGTGATTTAAGGACTGGGGTTGGGTGGTAAATTAATGGCCAAGTGGTCTGACATGCACTGTAGAACATAAGGCTTGTTATCTTTGCAAGTCATGAGTCCAACCCCTTCTTGTATGTGACCAGAAGAAGGGCCACCTGCCTAACTTTGTGGGTTTTCTCCTGGTTGCTCCTAATGGACTTAGTCCTGAAATGACCTAGTCATGACTGTTTTTTTTCTATCAAAATCACAAAGTCAAAACAACTCACAAACATGAAATTAATAATATATCTTTTCTACTAAATAAAACAACCAGTGGTTGGCAGGCTAGATACGCCCACATTTTGCAAGAGATGGATAGAGAACTAGCTAAAAATAAAAGTGATTTTTCATACAATCATTGGCCATAATCCCGGAAGTTATGGTCTGCAATGCATGAATATCGAAAGGGACTGAGATATTTGGGATATAAAGATATATTTTAAGTTTCATCAAAATTGGATAAAAGCTGTGACTTCTTGAGGGTCAACAACCTTGGTATTACATACTTTTACACTATTTGCGTAGAAGGAGCAGCCATTTTGTCAGGCAGTTTCAATTGATTTTCAGGGTGTAACGGAGATACATTTCAACATTTTTTAAAACCGGATAAAAATTGGGACCTTTAGAGGGTCCAGTTACTAAAAACATGATTTTTTGTACAATCAGGAGACATAATCCAAAAAGTTACTGTCCAATATGCGCAAATATCAAAAGGAACCAATATCTTTGGATTATAAACACATTTCAAGTTTCATTAGAATCAAATAAAAATTTTGACTTCTAAAGTGTCCACAAAACTTGGTATTACATATACTTACATCCCACTTCTACTCGTTGCCACTGGCAACCTTTGATAAAACTGTCCTGTTTATTTGCAATACATGCATAAAAGTATCCGTTTATTGGAAATGTACAGAAAGAGTACTGTTCATTTTTGATACACGGATACTTTTAAGCCGTTTTAGATACCTATCAAGCAATAAGTAGCGGACGTTTGGTCCGACCCAGATCGCAATTGATAACGTTGGCTCTATACAACTAGTCAAAATCATAGTAACAAAACAAAATGGGGGGAACTACATGGCAGTTCAAAAACATATACAATGACATTAAATTAACATAACAACATATTACAAAAATCAATTATTATAGATATCAATTGGCATCTATTTCATAATTTGGTTTGATTTATATTAATATGCAAAATATATAAATTAGAATATTGAATAATTATTTTAATTAATTGTGATGATAGCAGGCGCAGTTCTCTTGTTGGACACTTCACAGGCATTGAAAATAAGCAGGATGAAAAAAAAACGCCTAGAAAGTCATAAACTTTATTACAAAATAAATTTCAACGGAAGAACCATCCGCCGATGCATACTTTCACCAGGAATGACCCACGTTTCGCATTTCCTTTACACTACGTTTAATAATATTGCAGTCCTCTACGCCATAGACAAGTTGTTTTGACGATGTGGTCTAAACAAACACGTGATTATTTTACGCTCAGAGTATCATAGCAAGACGCACGTGTAAATACTACTCAGGTCGTCTCTCCACTGCGAAATCATTCTACCATGAAATGTAACGTGAGGCTCAGAAAGGGATAAATAATGAAAGAGCAGAAAGTATTTGTCACTTTTCGGTTGAAACGACTCGATAATAAATACTATTTTTCACATTTTGCTTCACAATACTCGATAGAAATGTGATGTAAGTAACTTATAAGCACCTTTCCTCGGTGTATCGGTGAATATCAGGACAGTTTTGGTCGCTAGCCGCCTCGGCTGGGCCCCTCGACCAAAACTGTCCTGATATTCACCGATACACCTCGGAAAGTGTGCTAATAACTACTACATACTTTTACACTATTTGCGTACAAGGAGCGGCCATTTTGTTCAGTAGTTTGGGTAAGATTCTTACGAAATTCGAACTCAACCTTCATGGATGTGTAACGGTGATATATTTAAACGTTTTTTTAAAATTGAATACAAATTGCGACTTCTAGCAGGTCCACAAGCTAAAATGCTATTTTCCAAACAATCAGGGGCCATAATCCTGGAAGTTATATTTGGATATGCGTGATTATTCGAAAGGAAGCGAAATCTTTGTGATATTAAACATAAATTTAAAGTTTCATCAAAACTGGATCAAAATTGTACCGTATAAAGGGTCCACAACCTTGATATACCATATTTGTACACTATTTGCGTACAAGGGGCGGCCATTTTGTCCAACAACTTTCGTCCAATTTTCAAGAGATTCGAACTCAAACGACATGATGGTGTAAGGCTGATATATTCGAACGTTTTTTCGAACCGGATAAAAATTGTGACCTCTAAATGGAATGCAAGCTAAAATTTCATACAGATCAGATGATCACTTTTGTCATTCAAACGTTCACAAGGTTCACAACCGCCATAACTCTAGAAATTATTGACAGAAATTGTTGAAATTCAATAGACTGCTTTTTCAGAAATTTAAATGATGCATATAAATTTCATACACATCGGAAGATAACTTTCATCAATCGAGCATTAACAAGGTTGAACAAAGTGAAACAAGGGCCATAACTCTAAAAATAATAAACGGAAATTGCTGAAATTCAATAGGATTCTTCTATTTACTAATTTAAATGACGCATGCAAATTTCATACAGATCAGCAGATAACTTTTGATGTTAGAGGGTTCACAAGGTTCAATAAAGTGAAACAAGGGACATAACTCTAGACGTAATAAACAGAAATTGCTGAAATTCAATAGGCTTCTTCGTTTCACTAATTCAAATAATGCATATAAATTTCTGAAAGATCGGATGATAACTTTTGGCGTTAGAGCGTTTACAAGGTTCAATAAAGTGACACAAGGGCCATAACTCTAGACGTAATGAACAGAAATTATTGAAATTAAATAGAATTCTTCGTTTCACTAATTTAAATCATGCATATAAATTTCACAAAGATTGAGTGATAATTTTTGGCATTAAATTTGAGCGTTCACAAGGTTCAATAAAGTGAAACAAGGGGCATAACTCTAGACGTATTAAACGGAAATCGCTGATATTCAATAGGCTTCTTCCTTTCACTAATTCAAATAATGCATATAAATTTCAGAAAGATAGGATGATAACTTTTGGCGTTAGAGCGTTCACAAGGTTAAACAAAGTGAAACAAGTGCCATAATTCTAGAAGTAATAAACGGAAATTGCTGAAATTCAATAGGCTTCTTCGTTTCCCTAATTTAAATATTGCATGTAAATTTCACAAAGATCCGATGTTAACTTTTGGCATTAGAGCGTTCAACAAAGTGTAACAAGGGCCATAACTCTAGACGTAATAAACGGAAATTATTGAAATTAAATAGGCTTCTTCATCTCACTAATGCAAACAACATTTTAAAACAACTGGATGATAACTTTTGGTGTTAGAGCGTTCACAAGAACTTGTGGACGACGGACGGACGGACGGGGGCGACGGCAATATACGTCCACATTTCTATGTGGGCGTATAAAAAGTGTGTAAAAAATTATGGACGAGAATCTTTCATTACATTATGCCAGCAGTTTAGCTGGATCAATAAACACCCTAAAAGCTACAAGGATTTTCATGTAAGCTTATCAAAATTTTGTTTGATAAAATGTGTACCGGTACATAGATATAATCCTTGAGTGGTATTTAGCAATTGAGCACATTAAAAAACACAACACAACTTATATGGAAAACAATCATTAGTTTATACACATACAGCATGATGTTTCGCCGGTATTCTTTTATCGTTTTCAAGTACAAACTTTGATGGTTTCTTAAACATGCATTATGCAAGAGCAAAATCTGCTTATTACAAGTCTTTCTTTAGGCCTGAAATGTTATCTAAATTATCAATTTGACATTAATTAACTTATCCAGACCATAATAAACTCTCGATGTCAAGGCTAGTCTTCGATGTAGGCTGGATTAGATTCCTATATGCCGCTAACGGCCAAAGATAATTAAATCAGAAAAAGTGGATAATCGAGACTATGCTGTTTATATTAATGATTTTAGTAATGATAACCGAGACTATGCAAAAATTTCACCGGCTTCTTTCTCGGCTCATAGTGGATCTACTTGACTGAAATTTTCAGCAAATTACCTTTACACTATCTAGTTTTTAACTATTATAGCGAGAACTGCCATCTCTTTATCTTATCTCCCATAATGTATCTTTAATATCTTCCAAAAAAGTTGGGGATATTCAGAAACAATACAAAACTGCGGAAATGCACTGCTGTTTTTATTAGAGGTAACCAGTGTATGTTAATAACAGGCCAATTGCTTACACATGAACATAAACAGTTCATATTGGCGGCTTATCTGACAGACCCATTTCACTCGCAAAGGGACACACCGTCAAAAGTGAAAATGGACGTTTTTTTATTTTTGTCTTAATAATGAGTAATTACTCCACCAATCCTCAGACATTCAGCAATTCATCGTGGCATGCTCCTTATCAACTGTCCAATCACGATTTGGGGCAATCTGACCCACTCCTCTTGCAGTGCCACGGCCAATTCTTGCAGTGTTGTCGGTTGACTTGACGAACACGTCTCCCGATCAAATTAAACGTAACACATTAAAGCAAGGATACGCTAAACAGTAAATCTTATGCAAGAACCGATAGGAAAGCAAACATGGATAGATAAACCATATCGCAACCTGCATAGGTATTTGCATTTCAATATCCCCTACTTTTTTTGAAGAGTATATATTTGTGAATTGTGCCATACACAAACTGTCAATAAACAATACAAAACTGTAATTAAGGCACTCTACAAGAACTCACCATATAAGACAAGCCTGTACTACCACTTTTATCTAAAGTGAAGCCAAATAACTGGAAAAAAGAATAGATTGTAGAAGTGAAACGAAACTTTTCAACAAATTTAAACTTATATTAATAATGAAGTCTTTTATTTCAGAAATATGTTTGCAACATATACTGATCTGATTGGATAATGGACTGAACAGCCTTGAGGATGCCCATTATAGTGTTTTTAGAGAATAATTGTATAGAAAATCATGATCATGCTTGACAAATTTGGTTGTATTATATTTAGAGCTGTCCTCATTTACTAAAACTATAAATAATATGGCTCCTTTAGTTTACATGTATTTATAAGTCTTGTTTATCATAATGTCATTAAAATAAGTTCACTTACTGTCACATTTTCATCAGGAAGAGTCTTGGAATTTAGTTTATAATTAAAGTTAGTAATATTAACAGACAGAGTTCCTCCTTTCAGAAAACCAAATGAACTAAGGGTAATCCGTTTTCGGTCATCATCCTTTGAAATACAAAAATGTTTTACTCAGTAAACCTGGAAATTAGTCCCCTAATTAAAGAGGAAATATGGATTTTGTTTTTAATTTCAAAACCAAAGATTAGACACATATATTTTTTAATTACTCAACCTCAAGCAATACCTAAACCTCTTTGATATACATTTATAGCAATATGTATTCCTCGATAAATTTGGGCATATGTTTGAATTTATTCTTGGACATTATGCAGGTTAACCTAGAAATTAGAAGTTATTCTCATCGATATAGCTGACGCGATAATTATCATGCACTGGGATAAATCACTAATCTGGCACAGGATGTATAGGCCTTGGGTTCCATGAGATTTTCATTTCTGAGGATGCAGCATATGTCTGTGTTTGTTTAATAATTTCAGTGTCGTTTTGGGCATAAGCATTTCAAGTAACATCATTGATATCTCCATATTGATTCTATTCTTTGGGCATAAAATTTTACACAGATACCTACTTCACAAAATAAATCGAAAAAATAAAATCTAATTAAGTCAACATTTTTAATTTCTAACCAAACCAAATAGGCCTCCATGTAGATTTACTTTTTTCGCACCAGGCTTACCTAAATTTCGTTTCATCTTATATGGCCGAGTTCTTAAATTTGTGCGTTACCCTTTCAATGATGTCCGCCAAGTCGGTTAGAAAACAGAGACATATTTTTTAACAGCGTGTTGTGTCGCTCATACTGACTCTAGCGAGGTAAGCAAGGTCTTATTTTCTCACTAAGATGTTCATTTATATTGTTCAGGCGTTCACAGGGACTGACAAGCGACCGTTTAGCAGTAAAAAGTTGCCCAGTAAAATTGACTGGGAAACCAAATCTGGTCGACAAGGATTCAATAGAAGGGTCCCTGAACGTAGCTGGTCGAGTGTAACGAGACCTACGTTCAGAGCTGAAATAGTGTGTGGATTAATGTGCCTGAAATATGGAAAATCTACAGAGACATATTGATTTAGTACATTGTCATTGGCCACTTGGCTTTTTTTTATGTTTAGTTGATAGTTCATGCCTATGCTATTAATGTTAATAACGTATAATTACACATGTAAAGATAGCCTACATATATAATTAAACGGGGTGTAGCAAGACATAACGATGCTTATTTTCTTATTCTAAAACCAATGCTGACGACGTTGCTTGTGTGTATCTACATGTATCAATAGTATGACTGGTGAAAGTTGGCAGTGTCAGAGTGAGTGACAAATAAATTGAAATCTCTGATCTCAAATAATAGGGAACACACGAATGAATATCACCCGATGGAACAATGAAGAACAAAACTCAAAGATATTTGAATTATAATTACCGTCAGAATTAAGTCATGTCGTTTTCCAAGTGTAGTGCTGATGACCCCCAACATAGTCATTACTCGCAAAAACATGTTTATTTTCTGTGAATAGAAGTTTCTTCTTCCACATATCTCCATTCTCTATTTTAAAGATATTTGTTACAAGCACAGTGATTGGATAAACCTGATATGTTTACCAATCAGAAAGATGGTTTTAATATATGGGAAAAGGGGGGGGGGAAACTGTTAAAATATTCATTACAATAATTCACGATTTTCTTTTTTGGGTTTATATAGCTTTGAGAAAAATTCAACGGATAATATGTTTGTGTTTGTTTAACACCGTTTCTCTTACTAAAACCTATTATAGTCTAGAGATAACCCGCTCTAGAAATAAAATGTTTAAGAAAACAAAAGTAGATCGGATGTAGAGAAGTCTCTATTATCCAGACGGGTGGCATTAACTCGTCCACATGTAAAGTCATCTACAGTTAAGTCGTCCACAACCTTTGGTTAAGTCGTCCACAAGCCATTGGTTATGTCGTCCACAACTAATAGTTAAGTCGCCCACAACTAACACTTGACTCGTTCACAACTGATACTTCACTCGTACACAATTTAAATATATGGAATAAATATGTTTTACTCGCTGATTTTTGTTGATTACCGATCACGACCGAGATTAGTTCACCAATTAGTTCACCGCTGTCTTTTCGCCATGTTTGTTAATTGGCGTTATGATTTTAGATTTTAGGTCAGTTACCGATGTGTTTGTAGTAAAGTATATCCGTATTGTAATTTAAAGGAGCTAAATCGCTAATATTTGGGACCTAGAAATGGACCCAAATGGGTCGCAACGCATATAATAATGTATTCTCTTCCTAAAACTCTTGTAAGTCAGTTACAGAAAATCCAGAATAAAGCAGCTCGAATCGTATCTCTCACCAAACCATCTGCCAATATTACACCTGTTCTAAAACAGGTACATTTATCAACGCATCATTTTCAAAATTAACACAACTGCTTAAACGATCCTTTGGCACCACCCTATTTATCCGATTTGATTAAACAATATGTACCTTCTCGTTCATCTCATAAAAACCAACTTGTATGTCCAGTACAGAAGCCAAAATTTGGCGAGAGAGGTTTTGCGTACGCAGCACCTAAAGAATGGAACAAATTGCCCCTGGAAGTCCAAAATTATGGTGGCTGATTGGTATCATGTCGTAATGTCGTGATGTCGCCTTTCATAACGCGACAACCCGACATCACGACATTTCTACCCGACATTACGACAACCCGACAACCCGACATTTTTACCCGACATCACGACATTTTTACCCGACATTACGACACTAAAAATGTCGTAATGTCGGGTAAAAATGTCGTGATGTCGGGTAAAAATGTCGTGGTGTCGGGTTGTCGTGTTGTCGGCTTGTCGTGATGTCGGGTTGTCGCGTTATATCTTGACCATGTTGTACACCTCTATATTCGTTTAAAAAACAACTTAAAACACATTTATTTAATCAGGCTTTTAACTGACTCTGTATACAATCGTTAACATGTTCATAATCTTGTTGTTTATTTATGATTTTCCTAAGGCTAAGCAGAGATAAGCAATTTGATTGGTCGATGTTTTGGGACACAATAACCTTGATTCTAGCTAATTCTGAGTTTGATCATGAGAGAGAGAGAGAGAGAGAGAGAGAGAGAGAGGTTTAACGTCCACTCGACACAAACTAGGTCATTTCGGGACTAACATATGGTTCAATTTTATTTCAATAATTCGCTCGCGCGTAGGGGTCTTCAGCAGTCGGAGGAAACCGGGGGACCCGGGGAAAACCCACGAGGTTAGACAGACGACCCTACTCTTTGTCGGCTTGGGCTGGAAACCACACCACTTGACTCAATGACAGACACACAGACAAGGGCAGCTTCATAATATGTTCACATTATGAAATGAAATGGGGTTTAACGTCCTACTGTTCTGCCCCGACTGAGCTAATGAAGACGGTTCACATTATGAATGTGGACGTATACAAATGGATACGAATGCAACTCAAACTGCACTGTGAGTGTCATAGGCGTACGTGGCCGAACTTGTTTGGGGGGCCAGCATATTTTCCCGACAAATATATTTCTTTAAGAGTGCGCTAAGCGCTAAGCGTCCGACGGGGGTTCTGGGGGGCCTCCCCCATAAAATTTTGAAAACCAGACCACCGTAGAAGCGATTTCCAGGCATTTCGAATACTTTCTAGTAATTTGGAGTGGGTAGTAAATTATGTCAGTTGCAGCATAAAAACTGGTAAAAGTCATCTTTAAAATACAAGCTCTATTACTACGAAAACAAAGAACAAGTCGAACGATTTACTTTTGCCACATTTTTCATTTTATGAGAATTCACATTCAGGGAAGGCATAAACAGAGAGTTTATACTGCTTTTCAGATCACTTCTATCACTGGGCTCGTCCGGTGCATGGAGTTGGATGCCAGTATACAGGAACACAGTCAAGAACTGAGAAAGGCCATGTGTACGTGCTAGTTCTATTCAGATGGCGTACGTGTTCATCATTGACTGGACTGCTTTCTTTCCGCTTCCATATTATTAAAAATATTCAAAACCCGACAGACGGCGCGACGCTTCCCGACAAACTGAGCATTCATTCCTGACAAGACCATAGCCTTCCCCGACTAGGCCATACCCCTACCCCCACCCCATTTTCAACAACTCCTCGGCTAATGACCGATCTCACAAGATCTCACAATTCTGAGCTCTTTTCAGATTTCTATTTTTTTTCATGAAAATATTGGGGGGGGGGGGGCGGCGCCCTCCCGCCCCCCCCCCCCCCCGCCTCGTACGCCTATGGTGAGTGTGAATCTACTTCCACTTGATCAACCATTTTCTTAATTGCCAGTTTTTTGTTATGAATATCATCGTGGCCGCTTATAACATTGATCATGGAAGTCGACAACTCGACAACCCGACATCACGACAACCCGACATTTTTACCCGACATCACGACATTTTTACCAGACATCACGACATTTTTAGTGTCGTAATGTCGGGTAAAAATGTCGGGTTGTCGTGTTGTCGGGTAGAAATGTCGTGATGTCGGGTTGTCGCGTTATGAAAGGCGACATCACGACATTACGACATGATACCAATCAGCCACCATACAAAATAGTCCAAACTTGACTATTTTTAAACGACGTCTAAAAACCCTGTTTTTTTACCCAGACTTTTCAACTATAATTTAAATGCTTCACTTTCCATTTGTATATTGTAACTTGGCTATTCCTTTGTATTCTTTTGTTTATTTGTATATACATGTATGTTTTTTTATAATCATATTTATATCTACATTGAAAAGGGCCACAGAGCAGTCAGACCGACTGAATGTTCAACGCTATAGAAAACGATTATTATTATTATTTATTATGTCCCTAACATTACACAATGTCGTGTGTACGACTTAACCCAAACCAACATATTTCTACATCCCGAAATTAAACTAAGACGTGTGGACGAGTCAATCAATGCCGTGTGGACGACTTAACCAGATTTTTCGTGTGGACGACTTTGGTTATGGGCGACTTGACTGAAATTCATCCAGACTCCCACTCGGCAAACCTCAACAGATTCCAGTACCCTACATCTGGACACAGATCACCAAATATTCCTACGCCGTCACCCCGTCACCCACCTTTTCCTTTTTCCCCCTTTTGCATGGCGATTTTTGTTGACTTTTTGGTGTAGAATTGAGGAAAAGGGTTTGAAAATACATTTTCTGTCAGGTTTTGGTGAATATTCATAATTTTGATGCGGAAGGATACAAGAGTTGAGAGGTTGGTTACGTTGAAATGTAGGGCCTGAAATTGCATGTTTACTTGTCTCCACTTCCAGCTTGTGTATCTCAAGTTTTTCATGAAGAACCTCATACGTGCTTTTGGGCAAGTGGTTGCAACATGTTGCTCCATCTGTGGTAGAAAGCGTTCTACCCAACGAAAATTTGGGAAAAAGTTAGAGCCGGTCTAAGATACGAGAATTAACATTGGAGTCAATGGGGAAATCTTTAGTGATCTGTGTCCATCTAATCTCGGCTGTATGACAAAGTCCGCCATTAGCACTACTTTCAAGTTCCCGGATTACAATGGCGTTGTCCATGACGACCAATGACGTCATTGATGACGACGTATTTGAAGAATGTTTTATCTTACAAAATTTTCAAAATTTGAAGCTGTTTTTCTTTCAAGTTTATCCGATTTTCTTTAGACAAGGACAAATTTGCACTGAAAATTCTACACACTCTTCGAACGACGCAATTTTGAGAACTTCTTTCTAAACGCGGGCAAGTTTCCCTTATAAGTAAACCGGTGCCGCATCGCAAATGTATAGGCGTAGGTACATATCACTTACTGTCATACAGCCGAGGCTAGATGTAGACTACCGGAATCTTCCGAGGTTTGCCGAGTGCCAGACTCCGAGCTAGATGTTTATGTCTGCGCATGTTTTAATATTAACCGGAAGCTTATTGAGTGAGAGATTTTAGAAATTTGTGCAGTATTGCTGGCAGAAATATTACTTACAATTACAAGGAAAAAATAATGTCAGATTCAGATGATAGTGATTATTCAGCCCCTGATAGCGACGCAGGTATAAACAAAACATAGAAAGAAGCAGGGACTGGGATGTAGGTTAAAATAAAAGGTTGACATTGCCATTCATTGGTGGGTTGATTTTGTTCATGTTGTGATCTGAAGAAATGAATTGAAGTTAGAAGAATAGACCAGGCCTAGACCTACTTGATCGTGGGATTGGTTATTTGCCACCCACGTGCCGAATATCAAATAAGAATGCTAATAATTTTTCACCCCCAGATTTAAACAGTTAACCGATTGTTTTGGGTTGGCAAATAACCAGGCTTCTTTCAGGGAAATGAAAGACAGAAACCACCATTTATTTTATTTTGTAAATTGTAGTTAGTCTAGTAGTAGGCCTAGTACACTAAATCACGTTTAAATAAACCAAATGTGTGCTTTCGCTCCTGCTCCTCTCGACGCACCTCTACTTTTCCTTTGCGGGAGTCATTAAAGACTATTGCAAATTAGCTAAATCGTCTCCTAAATACCTGTATTGAGATTATTAAACTACTTTCAGTTTTTGTTCGAGCTATCACTCGGTTTCCATGATGATAATTCTGACGCTACCATATTCACCAAACATATCTAGAAATGGTTCCACTACTGATGTCTTACTCCAGCCACAGTAGTGGACCGTCCTAAGGCCGGTATCAGTCATTTGGGACTCACGTCAATTGGGACTCAACATAAACGACATTTGGGACTCAGTTGACGATTGGCGTCAATTGGGACTCAACACTAACGACATTTGGGACTCACTATAAACAACAGTTGGGACTATTTATTTATGAGATATATAGTAACAGCTGTCTTAGTTGTCTTTCGTTTTATTTAGTTGATCGGCGATTGTTGAGACCGCGATTAACACTGCTAGTTCTCCTTTGTTTTGTTTTATCTGCGAGTATAAAACTTCTCCTTTGTTTTGTTTTATCTGCAAGTATAAAACTTGACAATAATATATTGTTGAAAATTGGTGTATATTTAGTAATACTTTGTTGTTTTTCTTTTATCAAATAGTAAACGAGCTTGATTGACCGACCACTGCTAATGTTTTTTCGTGAAACGGTATAACTGCAATCAACACACGGCCGCCATTCTCGATGATTGACAACTCACATTTTTCCTCATCCACGATAGAACCGTTAGGTTTCTTTGAACATACTGCAATAACATTGGGATTATCAGTTAATCACCTTTAATTATCCCACTTTGATCGTTGTCATTTCTTATATTTTCCACAAAAAAACTTTGCCTTGTATAATACGCACTAATTTATCGATTGGTATTGCCATCTACGACAAGCATGTCAACGTGCAGCTCACGGATTATCGTTAACAATTTCTAGGGGCTTGTAAAAAAGATTGCATGTCATGTAAATATTTATTTTGTTTTTTGTGTAGGTCATTTTCAAATAAATTCATCAGCATATTATTTATTTTAAATATATAACTTTTATGAGAAACAATGATTATCAAATAACCGTAAGTGCAACTAATGTTTTATCATTTGGTTGAGCCTTTTACTAACCACGTGTTTCATGTTAATAAATATTTTCTTTTGTGTTTTGAATTGGCCTATTTCTAATAAATTATCCCGAGTCCCAAACGTCGTATACCCGAGTCCCAAACGTCGTATACCCGAGTCCCAAACGTCGTATACCCGAGTCCCAAACGACGTATACCAAAGTCCCAAACGTCGTATACCCAAGTCCCAAATGATGTGAGTCCCAAATGACGTGAGTCCCAAATGACATGTAATCCTTCCTTTGCGCAAGTTTTGTTTGACTACAAAAAAGTTACTGGCCTATAACTCCCTTAATTTCCAATTACACTGACCCCAAACTGTACTGTACATAGCTTAACATATAATAAACCAATTCTCATTGAAATAAAGGTGAAACCTTACCGCATAATTATATGATTTGATTTAACCCAACTGCTATGCGAAATTTTTGTTCAGTTAAAATGGCCGCCGTACCAAAATCGTGATATTATATCACTCGAAAAATACAGAAAAACTATTCTGTATGATGAAATTAAGATTTCTGTGTGTCACTCTTCGTAACATAATCACTTATTTCCATGCAAACTATGATGATATGTGTCGAAAATTTTGCAACTGAACCTAATTTTACTTGCGTAAAGAGTCGAAGAGTGTATCAAGACAAGAATTATCTCGGCTAAAAATTGCAGCTACAAACATATCCACCAAATATTAAACAAGACTAGAGCATAAATACAATTTGACCCTCCTTAATTCAAGGAAATGTAGAATTACTCTTGCAATATAATTAAGAAAGAGTTTTTTTATGGGAGCTTTTTTCTCATTTTTGAAATTGGCAGGAGCTTTTTATGGCTCCCGCATAATTTTATAAACGTGAAGGACTGAAAGTAGCATACGTGTGAAAAGTTTGGTGTTCTAGGGTTAGGTTTTATTTAGCAAATAACGAACATAGGTGACAAATAACCATAGAAATATTTGATGTGATTTGGCAACCATATACCATTTTTTACGGGGTATAAGTCATTGTGGAGCATAAATCGAATCGTCTGTTCAAAGGAAAAGTTGTACACAAAAGTCAACCTCAAAACGGTTTTAAAAAATAACACAGTAAATTTTACTGTTCGTCATCGAGTACACCACATGGACCATGTGCACTGTGTAGACCTGTCGAGGAACACCAATACATCAGCGAACCGTCAACCTGAACCACCATTTGTGTGGAGTTTGAAAGGTTGCCGGACCAAAATGTTGTGATACCAATTAACCCTATTTATAATATATAAAGATTAAACTTTAAATTTGCTATAGCATTGTAGTTGAAACATTTTTAATTTTTGTTTGAATTTTTTCGATTATCCAGTCTTTTTCTAATACTTCTCTTTTATAATTGTTAGTAGAACGGATTACATCGATAGTCCAGATCCCAAATAGGTCAAAAATAACATTTGTATGGTTACTACTTAGTATTGCATTTTGTAGTTACAAGTTACATACAGAATGTCATTTTTATACGTCCACATTCATAATGTGAACGTATTATGCCGTCGCCCCTGTCTGTGTGTGTGTGTGTGTGTGTGTGTGTGTGTCTGTGGTTCGCCTACAGGGCGCAATTCTTCATGGATTTTCTTCAAACTTGGTATACTTATTCCTTATACCCCAAGGAAGATCCCTATTGTTTTTGGTGCATGCCCGACCCCCCGGGGCAGAGCCACGCCCATTTCTAGTATTTGTTTGTTTGTCGTCTACAGGCCACATTTCTTAACTAATAATCTTGAAACTTTGCATACACATTCTTTGTACCCTAAGGAACATCCCTATCGTTTGGGGTGCATGCCCAACCCCCAGGGGCAGAGCCACGCCCATTTTCTTTTCGTGTGTCTTTGTGTCGCCTACAGGGCGCAATTCTTACTGGATTTTCTTCAAACTTGGTATACTTATTCCTTATACCCCAAGGAAGATCCCTATTGTTTTTGGTGCATGCCCGACCCCCAGGGGCAGAGCCACGCCCATTTCTAGTTATTCTTTAAGTGGCATTTAGCGATCAGGGAACAAATTAACAGAACACAGTTTTTATGGGATACAATCACTAGTTTATTCTAAAAGCACGACGTTTCCACAAGTATTCTCTTATCGTTATCAATCAAGCAAAAAAAAACAAAAAAAAAACGTCATGCTTTTAGAATAAAGACATCGATTGTTTTAAAATAAAAATTGTGTTCTGTTAATGTGAACGAAATGTTATACTGATAGCAGTCCTACAACCCAGTTTTATTTCACAGACCCTCAATGCAAACTGGACCATATCAAACAAAACAGGAATGTGGACGTATATTGCTGCGTTAGCGATGCTCTTGTCTGTAAAATGAACAATATTAGACGCAGGTACGTTGGTATAATTCCATGAAACAAGTATGATTGAATTAAAAATTTGGCAGCGTTAGTGAATGTCACTTTGTTTTCAAAAGTTGACTTTCTATATTTTATTTTTCGCTCAAAAGATAGAAATGGCACTGGTTTATCTTTGGTGAAATAAAAAAGAAAAGAAGAGCTGTAGATTTAATTGAATTTGATATGGTTATTGTCCTCCGCCTTTCGAATAAAGCAGGGGACTATTAAAATGTGTTCGTCCGTCTGTCTGTCCGTCCGTCTCCTTCTAATTGAGCTAGAATGTTCAAACTTGGCGTAGCTGTTTATTAGGTCAATGCCTTGATGGAGTTCGAAGATGAGCATTTTCTGCTTAGGGTAAGCAGAGATAAGCAATTTGATTGGTTGATGCTTTGGGACATGATAACTATAGTTCTAATTAAGTGAGAGTGATGAAACTTGGTGTATAGTTTCATTACATCAATACCGTGACTAAGTTTGATAATGAGCATTTTCCGCTCAGGGTAAGCAGAGTGATAAGCAATTTGATTGGTTGATGCTTTGGGACATGATAACTATAGTTCTAATTAAGTGAGAGTGATGAAACTTGGTGTATAGTTTCATTACATCAATACCGTGACTAAGTTTGATAATGAGCATTTTCTGCTCAGGGTAAGCAGAGTGATAAGCAATTTGATTGGCCGAGACTTTGGAACACAATAACCCTCCTTCTAATTGAGCTAGAATGTTCAAACTTGGTGTAGGTGTTTGATTGGTCAGGACTTTGGAACATAACAACTCTGTTTTTTATTGAGGTAGAATGTTAAAACTTGATGTAGATGCTCATTAGGTGAATGTCTTGACTGAGTTCAATGATTAACATTTCGAGCTAAAGCTAAGCAGAGCTAATCAATTTCATTGGTCGATGCTTTGGGACAAGATAATCTTGATTCTATCTGATAGAGAGTGATGAAACTTAGTGTATAGTTTGATTGCTCGATACTTTTGAAAAATATAAATGTCCGATTAATTAATGTGTCATCTATTTATTTTGGGATTTCGGCGGGGGACATCAGCCTCACAGTCTTCATTCAAATATTTATGTTCATAATAGATAAAGCCAATGTTGAGCTACATCTAACCCATTGTGTATCAACACTAAGCCCAAAATAAAAGTAAAATTAGTATACTTGTAAATCTTTAAAATAAAAAAAAATGTTATCATTTTCTCATCACTAATAAAACCCCCACCAGATTTATGCAATTCAATGATTTATTTTGACCTAAATAGTCTAAAGAAAATAAAATGATAACATGGATATGAATGGTTAGTTAAAAACCTGTATTGAATCAAATGTTTGTACATTTCAAATACATTGTAACTGCTTATACTTATAAAATTATTTCTATTTTTTATAAGTTAGAGTAGGTGCAGAACAGTATGATGTTAATATTATTATAAGCCATTTATTTTAATTTTTTCCTAAGAATACATTTTTTATCCAACCAGTTTGAACTCCGAATTAACGTTTTTATTTTCTTAAGCTACATATATTCAGAACAAATCTTTTTTTTTTGCTCAGCTATATTTTATTGTATTGTGTTTTATTTATACAGATTTTTTCTGTGTTTTAGGGGCTGATGACGATCATGATAAAAGCAGTGATGTAGAAAAGGGCAGTGACGGTGGTCATAGTGATGCTGGTAGTGATGATGGAGAAGACCTGGATGAAGAAGAAGATGAAGCAGAAGAAGAAAGATCTATTAAAAAGAAAAAGAAATCTCATGTCAGTAATTTTATTTTGGAAGAAGCTGATGTTGATGATGAGGCCGATGAAGAAGATGAGGAGTGGGAAGATGGTGCTGAAGACTTGATAGAGCGTAAATCTACATATGATGGACCTAGTGCAAGAGAAATTGAAAATCACCAGCGACTTCGTCAGATTTGGGACAGTCAAAGAGAAGATGAAATAGAGGAATACTACAAGCAGAAATATGGCGAGGGTTCTGCAGTTGAAAGATTTGGAGATGGTGAAGAAATGTCGGATGAAATTACACAACAAGGTTTACTTCCTGGCGTTAAAGATCCAAATTTATGGATTGTTAAATGTCGAATGGGAGAAGAAAAAGCCACAGTTTTATTACTCATGAGAAAATTTATCACCTACCAATTTACCGAAGAACCATTACAGATTAAGTCTGTGGTAGCTAAAGAAGGGTTAAAAGGTTATATCTACATTGAGGCTTATAAACAGACTCATGTTAAACAAGCCATTGAAGGAGTGGGAAGTTTACGAATGGGTATCTGGCAACAACAGATGGTACCCATCAAAGAGATGACAGATGTGATGAAAGTGGTGAAGCAAACAACACAGCTTAAAACAAGATCATGGGTACGTCTTAAGAGAGGTGTTTTCAAGGATGATCTCGCGCAAGTGGATTATATGGAGCCATCTCAGAATATCGTTCATTTGAAGATGATTCCAAGAATAGACTACACAAGATATAGGGGAGTTCTTCGAAATTCTGCCAATTCTGAAAAACGTAAAAGAGGAAGGCGACCTGCTCAGAAATTATTTGACGTTGATGCTGTAAAAGCTATTGGGGGAGAAGTTTCAACTGATGGTGATTTTCTGATATTTGAATCAAACCGATTCAACAGAAAAGGTTTTATGTTTAAAAGCATGGCCATGTCAGCCATCATGGCTGATGGAGTAAAGCCCACATTGTTAGAGTTGGAGAAGTTTGAAGATCAGCCAGAGGGAGTAGATGTTGAGCTTGCACCCAAAAAAACAAATGATGAGGTAACGCACAGTCTGGCTGATGGTGATGTTGTGGAGGTATGTGAGGGTGAATTGATTCATCTACAAGGTAAAGTCATCAGTGTAGATGGTAACAAAATAACTATCATGCCCAAACACGAAGACTTGAAAGATCCCCTAGAATTTCAAGCTGTTGAATTGAAGAAATTCTTCAAGATGGGAGACCACGTTAAAGTTATCGGAGGTCGATATGAAGGAGATACCGGTCTTATTGTACGTGTTGAAGACAATGTTGTTGTTTTGTTTTCGGATTTAACCATGCATGAATTAAAAGTTTTACCAAAAGATCTTCAGTTGTGTATGGACATGGCTACTGGTGTGGATTCTATGGGACAATATCAGTTTGGTGATTTGGTTCATTTAGATCCACAGACAGTTGGATGTATTGTGCGTTTGGAAAAAGAGAATTTTCAAGTGTTAAGTATGCACAATAAAGTTGTAAGCGTCAAGCCGCAAGCTGTTACGCGAAAGAAAGATACGAAACGTGCCGTCGCCCTTGACTCTGAAAATAACAATATCCAGGTTAAAGATATTGTAAAAGTTATTGATGGACCTCACTCTGGTCGACAAGGAGAAATCAAACATCTCTATAGAAGCTTCGCTTTCTTGAATTCTCGATTGATGACAGAGAATGGTGGATATTTTGTCTGCAAAACTCGTCATTTGGTCCTTGCTGGTGGTTCCCGACAGAGTAACACAAGCCTTAATGTTGGTGGATTTCCCATGTCTCCAAGAATTTCCAGTCCTGCTCATCCAAGTGGTGGTGGAGCTGGTGGTGCAGGAAGAGGAAGAGGAGGTGGTGGTATCAGCCGTAGAGATAGTCAGTTTATTGGTAAAACCGTTCGAATCAAACAGGGTCCATTTAAAGGTTATATTGGTATTGTTAAAGATTCGACAGAAACAACAGCCAGAGTTGAACTTCATTCCAGTTGTAAAACAATCTCTGTAGATAAAAGTAGATTGGCTGATGTTGCTGGAGGTAAATCAGGAGGAGCGACTTCCACCTATGGCAGAACACCAATGTATGGTGGACAGACACCCATGTATGGCAACAAAACACCCATGTATGGATCACAAACACCATTACAAGATGGAAGCAGGACACCACATTATGGAAGCCAGACACCATTACATGAGGGAAGTCGAACACCAAGTGGAGGCTCAAGTGCGTGGGATCCTTCAAATGCTAATACACCATCTCGAGCTAATGATTTTGATTATGCTTTTGATGATTCTCCTTCACCATCAGGATATGCTGCCACTCCAAATCCAGGAACACCGGGATATCAAGCTGACAGTCCAATGGGAGGACCATATACTCCACAGACTCCCGGCAGTGCTTACTCCCCTTATGTTGCTTCTCCATCACCCTCTAGTTATCAAGCTCCAAGCCCAGGTTATACTGGAACACCAAGTCCAGCAGGATACAATGCTAGTCCTTCACCTGCTGGTTATGGAGCAGGAACACCTTCACCTGCAGGCTACAGTCCTTTAACACCAGGAGCACCCTTTACCCCAGCTACACCTGGCACTGCCATGGATCACAGTATGGCTGATTGGCACACCACCGATATTGAGATCAACATCAAAGAAACACACGAGGATGAAAACCTCATTTTCCAAAAAGGTATCATTCGAGGTGTGTCTGGTGGCAGTTGTTCAGTTTATATCCCAGATGAAGATAAAGTAGTGAATGTGGCGTGTGAACATCTGGAACCGGTTCGACCAGAAAAACATGACAAAACTAAAGTTATATTGGGAGACGAACGAGAAACAACTGGAACTCTTCTTAGTATTGATGGTATTGAAGGTGTAATAAAAACCGAGGAAGGCCAAATTAAAATGTTGCCCATTATATATTTATGTAAAATGGCTTCTTAAAGACTTCTTTTAATGGAGTCGGTCCTTAATTATGTAAACTTAAATTCTTTTAAAATTAATTGTAATTTAGCTAAATGGTGTGCATTTTGTAGACCTCTTATTACTAATTTTGAGCTTTCAACATATTTGTCAGAAATGCACAAAATTTGTAGCTGTTGGTTGATATGGTGTTTGTATCAGTAAATTCAAATATATATATATATATATATATATATATATATTTATTTATTTAGACCATAGCTGGTCACAACTAATATTGTAGCTTTAATTCAGTGTTCCAGCTGCCATTCTAAAATGTTATGGTAAATTTTTTTCAGTAAATTTATGGTAAATTTTTTTCAGTAAATTTCCCTACTTGCCACAGCTAACCAAAAAATGTTAAATTAAGTTTCCATTTTAAAGACCCCAGCAAGTCACCATTATTACCATTCATTTCATGTGTATATATCTTCATGACACTGTATATAATATAATCATTTTCACTCTCAGATCCAAGAGGTTGACCTGGTAGTTTGATTTGTGCATTTGTTTGTTAATGATACTTCCATAACTTCATTATTGACATCATTTGTTTATTGATCATATATGTGGTGTAAAATAAGAAATTATTATACCATCTTGTGACCAAGGAATTTAGGCTTATAATTTGTAAAATGTGTTGATAAAACGAAAAAGAGTGACACTTGTTAAATTCAGATGTAAAAGTATTATTAATTAAGGAGTTCTCAAAGTCTTTATTATACTATTAATCATAATGCTTTTCACTAATTTAGTTTCAAATCTGACCAGAAATTTATTTATTCATTAAAAATATAGTGTGTCTTAAAAAGTCCCCCCCCCCTCCTTAATTTTTTGGGTTAATGGTCATGTTCCTTGTAAAATAAACCTAAAATTGAATTTCTAGATTATTATTTTGATTTTTAAATAAAAAGCACTTTGTTTCTTTTCTTCTTTTTGGGGTTTATCTAAGATTAAAATACATCATGTAAGCTTAAAATATTTTTCTAGCCCTTTTATACACATACATATACCAGTATTAAAATACATCATGTAAGCTTAAAATATTTTTCTAGCCCTTTTATACACATACATATACCAGTACTGCAAATGATATGTACTAAAAGAATTAAAATTGGTATCTTTTGTAGGCCAGAAATACTTTGTTTATATCAAATGTAAGGCAAAGAAAATAACTTATTCTATGATCACTTTCCTGAACACAAAGTACATGTAGTTTGTAAAATTGATGTATTTATAGTCTTATACTGAAATGCTGTAATGAAAAATAAAACCTTTATTTATGATGAAAATTTCAAATCTTATTCCAGAGTTCAAGTATCACTTTATAAAAAAATAAGCCCCTGTCCGTCTGGACGTCCACAATTGTTTTTGGACACTCTACAGGTCACAATTCTTATCCGATTTTGACGAAAAATTGAAATATAGGTTTATCTCCAAAAGATCTCGGATGCTTTCGATATTGGATTTTTATACACCCACATTTTCATGTGGACTTATATTGTCGTCGCCCCTGTCTGTCCGGACGTCCGTCCGTCCATCCACAATTGTTTGACAAAACTTGATATATAGGTTTATCTCCAAAAGTTCTCGGATGCTTTCCATATTGGTATGTATCGGACCGAAACTTCGTGGATTATGGCCCCTGATTGTATGAAAAATCAAGTTTTTAGCTTGTGGACCCAATAGAGGTCACAATTTTTATCCGATTTTGTTGAAACTTGAAGTTTGAGTTTATAACCCAAAGATCTCAGTTCTTTTCGATATTCGCGCATATCAGATCGTAACTTCCTGAATTATGGCCCCTGATTGTACAAAAAATCACGTTTTTAGATTGTGAACCCTATAGCGGTCCTAATTTTTATGCGATTTAAAAAAACGTTTGAATATATAACTGTTACACACTAAGATCAAGGATCCTTTTGATAATCGCAGATACCCAAATTAACTTCCTGGATTATGGCCCCTGCTTGTTCGAAAAATGGCATTTTTAGCTTGTGGATTCTCAAGAGGTCACAATTTTTTTTTCCGATTTTAAAAAACGTTTAAATATTTCACCATTCCACCATAATGAAGGTTGAATTCGAATTTTGGAAAAATCGAAATGAAACTGCCCAACAAAATGGCCGCTCTTTGTACACAAATTGTGTAAAAGTATGTAATACGAAGGTTGTCGACCCTCTTAGAGGTCACAATATTTGTCCGATTCTGATCCCAAAGATCTGTCTCTTTTGATATTTGCACATTTCAGACCACAACTTTCTGGATTATTGCCCCTGATTGTACAAAAAATCCTGTTTGTTTTTGGCATGTTCTCTATCCATCTCTTCCAAAATGTGGGTGTATCCTGTCTGGCAGTCGCTGGTTAAATTAAATCATTAAATTATGACCATATTTTAATCTGTTTAAATCCCCGCCATTCGATAATCTAGAGAGTTGATTTTAGGTTTGACATGTGAATAAATGTCTAAAAAATAGTTTATATAACTTTTGAACCCAAAATAAAGACTTACAATAGGCAGATTTAGCTCTTACATAATGCAGTATGCCATGTGGGAAATTTCGCCCCTGTCCGTTCGTCTGGATGTCCGTCCGTCCGTCCACAATTTGTTTTTGAACACTCTACAGGTCACAATTTTTATCCGATTTTGATGAAACTTGAAATATAGGTCTGTCGCCCAAATTCTCGGTTCCTTTCGATATTGGCATGTATCGGACCATAACATCACGGATTATGGCCCCTGATTGTACGAAAAATCAGGTTTTTAGCTTGTGAACACTCTGGAGGTCACAATTTTCATCTGATTTTAATGAAACTTGAAATGCATGTTTATAACCCAAAGGTCTTGGTTTCTTTTGATATTTGTGCATATTGGATCGTAACTCCCTGAATTATGGCCCCTGATTGTACGAAAAATCACGCTTTTAGCTTGTGGTCCCTCTAGAGGTCACAATTATTATCTGATTTAAAAAAAAAACGTTAGAATATATCACCATTATGACGTAATGTCGGTTGAGTTTGAATTTCGTGAAAATCGGACCAAACTGTTGGACAAAATGGCCCCCCTCGTATGCAAATTGTGTAACATATGGTATATCAAGATGTACCCTCTAGAGGTCACAATTTTTTTCTGTTCAAACCTGGTGTAGGTGTTTATTAGGTCAATGCCTTGATGGATTTTGAAGATGAGCATTTTCTGCTTAGGGTAAGCCGAGATAAGCGATCTGATTGGTTGATGCTTTGGGACCCAATAACTTTACTTCTAATCAAGTGATGAAACTTGGTGTATAGTTTCATTACATCAATGCCTTGACTAAGTTCGATAATGAGCATTTTCTGCTCAGGGTAAACAGAATGATAAGCAATTTGATTGGCCAAGACTTTGGAACACAATAATGCTCGTTCCAATTGAGCTGGAACGTTCAAACTTTGTGTAGGTGTTTATTAGGTCAATTCCTTGATGGGAGTTCTAAGATGAGCATTTTCTGCTTAGGGTAAGCAGACATAAGCGATTTGATTTGTTGATGCTTTGGGACATGATAACTTTAGTTCTAATAAAGTGATAGTGATGAAATTTGGTGTATAGTTTTATTACATCCATACCTTCACTAAGTTCAATAAAGAGCTTTAACTGTTCAGGGTAAGCAGAGCGGTAAACAATTTTATTCGTCAAGACTTTGGAACACAATAACTAAAATGTTCACACTTGACGTAGGTGTTTATTAGGTGAATGCCTTGATGGAGTTCAAAGATGAGAATTTGGGAACACAGTAACTTAGTTCTAAGGACATTAATAGGTAAGCAGAGCGATAAGCAATTTGGGGTAGAAGTTTAAACTTGATGTAGATGTTCATTAGGTGAATGTCTTGACTGAGTTCAATGATCAACATTTTGAGCTAAAGCTGAGCAATTTCATTGGTCGATGCTTTGGGACACGATAACTTTGATTCTATCTGATAGAGAGTGATGAAACTTAGTTGGTAATCAGTTTGATTGCTTGATACTTTTGAAAACCAGCGGCTGCCAGGTAGGGTACGCCCACATTTTCGAGAGATGGATAGAGAACAAGCTAAAAAGAAAGTGATTTTTCCTACAATCAAGGGCCATAATTCAGGAAATTACAATTCGATATGCGCAAATATCGAAAGGAACCGAGATCTTTGTGTTATAAACTTACATTTCAAGTTTCAACAAAATCGGATAAAGATTGTGACCTCCATAGGGTCCACAACCTTGATATACCATATCTTTACGCTATTTGAGAACGAAGGGCAGCCATTTTGTCTGTCAGTTGTGGGCCGATCTTCACGAAATTCGAACTCAGCCGTCCTTAGGGTGTAACGGTGATATAATGATACTTTTTTTTAAATCGGATAAAAATTATGACCTCTATAGGATCCACAAACTAAAAACGCGATTTTTCCTACAATCAGGGGCCTTAATTCAGAAAGTTACAGTCCGATATATCGAAGGGAACCATGATGTTTGGGTTATAAACTTACATTTCACGTTTCAACAAAATCGGATAAAAATTGTGACCTCTATAGGGTCCACAACCTTGATATACCATATTTTTACGCTATTTGAGAATGAACGGCGGCCATTTTGTCTGTCAATTTTGGGCCGATTTTCACGAAATTCGAACTCAGCTGTCCTTAGGGTGTAACGGTGATATAATAATACGGTTTTTTAAATCGGATAAAAATTATGTCCTCTATAGGGTCCACAAGCTAAAAACGCGATTTTTCGTACAATCAGGGGCCATAATTCAGGAAGTTACGGTACGATATGTACGAATATCGAAAGGAACCGAGATCTTTGTGATACAAAATTACATTTCAAGTTTCAACAAAATTGGATAAAAATTGTGACCTCTATAGGGTCCACACTCCACAACCTTGATATACCGTATTTTTACCCTTTTTGAGAACGAACGGCGGCCATTTTGTCTGTAAATATGCGCGAATATCGAAAGGAACCAAGATCTTTGGGTTATAAACTTACATTTCAAGTTTCAACAAAATCGGATAAAAATTGTGACCTCTATCGGGTCCACAACCTTGATATACCATATTTTTACGCTATTTGAGAACGAACGACGGCCATTTTGTCTGTCAATTTCGGGCCGATTTTCACTAAATTTGATCTCAGCTGTCCTTAGGGTGTAACAGTGATATAATAATACGTTTTTTAAATCGGATAAAAATTCTGACCTCTATAGGGTCCACAAGATAAAAACGCGATTTTTCGTACAATCGGGGGCCATAATTCTCGAAGTTACTGTCCGATATTCGCGTATATCGAAAGGAACCAAGATCTTTGGGTTATAAACTTACATTTCAAGTTTCAACAAAATCGGATAAAAATTGTGACATCTATAGGGTCCACAAGCTAAAAACGTGATTTTTCGTACAAACATGGGCCATAATCCATGAAGTTTCGATCCGATACATGCCAATATCGAAAGCAGCCGAGATCTTTTGGAGATAAACCTATATTTTCCTCAAGTTTCGTCAAAATCGGATAAGAATTGTGACCTGTAGAGTGTCCACAAACAATTGTGGACGGACGTCCGGACGGACAGGGGCGACGACAATATACGTCCACATGAAAATGTGATCGTATAAAAATAAATGTGCTATTAATTAATATGTGTCATCTATTTATTTCGGGATTTCGGTGGGGGACAGCAGCCTCACTGTTGGCTTGTTAACTTTTGGACCCACTAGAAGTCACAATTTGTATTCAATTTTTAAAACCGTTTTAATATATCATATCACCATTACATATCAATAAAGGTTAAGTTCGAATTTCATAAAAATCTGACTGAATCTGCACAGTCCCGTAGCTAGCCCAAAATTGTTTGGGTGGGGTGGTGCAAGGGCTTCTGGGGGCGCCGATGTACCAACACTTAATGGTTCACGGCGAACGACACTGTGGACGCGCACGCGCCTAGGGTCTAGAGTGTTCTCGGCCCAGAAAATTTTGGAAAATAGAATTTGGACTAATGAAAATGAAGGAAAATTTCAATTTTGTGGCAGAATTTGCAATATTGGCGTATTATATTTTATGTGAACATCCTAACCAGCGGCTGCCAGGCAGGATACGCCCAAATTTTGCAAGAGATGGATAGAGAACAAGCTAAAAAACCCAGATTTTTTGTACAATCAGGGGCCATAATCCAGAAAGTTATGGTCTGAAATGCGCAAATATCCAAAGGGACTGAGATTTTTGGAATATAAAGATATGTTTTAAGTTTCATCAAAATTGGATAAAAATTGTGAGCTCTAAAAGGTCCATAACCTTTGAATTACATACTTATATACAATTTCCATACAAAGAGCGTCCATTTTGTCGGCAGTTTCATTTCGATTTTTCCAAAATTCCAATTCAACCTTCAATATGGTGGAATAGTGATTTGAACGGTTTTTAAAATTGAAAAAAAAATGTGACCTCTAATATCCGATTGACTTTAAATTTATACACAGTGTTTAAGGTCATGAGATGAAGAATCCTATTGATTTTCAGCGATTTCCGATAATTACTTCCAGAGTTATGGCCCTTGATCACTTCAAAAAATCTTGTGGACGCTCTAGAGGTCAAAGTTAATATCCGATTGACTTTAAATTTATACACAGTGTTTAAGATCATGAGACGAAGGAGCCTATTAATTTTCAGCGATTTCTGATAATTACTGCCGGAGTAATGGCCCTTGATTACTTTGAAAAATCTTGTGGACGCTCTAGAGGCTAAAGTTAATATCCCATTGACTTTAAAATATACATAGTGTTTAAGGTCATGAGACGAAGAAGTCTATTCATTTTCAACAATTTTCGATAATTACTGCCAGAGTTATGGCCCTTGATCACTTCAAAAAATCTTGGGGGCGCTCTAGTGGCCAAAGTTAATATTTGATTGACTTTAAATTTATACACAGTGTTTAAGGTTTTCAGCGATTTCCGATAATTACTGCCAGAGTTATGGCCGTTGATCACTTTGAAAAATCTTGTGGACGCTCTAGAGGCTAAAGTTATGTCCGATTGAGTTTAAATTTATACACAGTGTTTAAGGTCATGAGACGAAGAAGTTTATTCATTTTCAGCGATTTTCGATAATTACTGCCAGAGTTATGGCCCTTGATCATTTCAAAAAATCTTGTAAATGCTCTAGAGGCTAAAGTTAATATCCGATTGACTTTAAATTGATACAGAGTGTTTAAGGTCATGCGACGAAGAATCATATTGATTTTCAACGATTTCCGATAATTACTGCCAAAGTTATGGCCCTTGATCACTTTGAAAAATCTTGTGACCCCCTAGAAGCTAAACTTATCATCAGATTGACTTCAGATTCATACACAGAGTTTAAGGTCTTGAGACGAACAAGTATATTGATTTTTCAATGAATTTTTATGACTTGAACAGCTAAATCCATGATGTTAAAAGTTTCCTATACTAAACGTTAGCATGGGGCAAAACTTTATAAAAACCAAACAAATTCTAATGGTTTTCTGATAATTACTTAATGAGTTGTTACTCTTAATCAGATTTTAATGTATTTTAAATGTTTCATTACCGAAAAAAGTAAAAATATGTGACAACTCTTGTTGACTGCCCGGACGATTAACCTGCTGTGGGCGTATGTTTCGTTGCCTGGCAACCTATCTTTTGACTATCAAGTTTCATCAAAATCGGATCAAAATTGTGACCTCTAGAGTGTCCACAAGCTAAAAATGCGATTTTTCGTACAATCAGGGGCCATAATTCATGAAGTTTCGATCCAATATGCGCGAATATCAAAAGCAACCAAGATCTTTGGGTTATAAACATGCATTTCAAGTTTCATCAAAATCGGCACAAAATTGTGACCTCCAGAGGTCCACAACCTTGATATACCAGATATTTACACTATTTGCGTACGAGGGGCGACCATTTTGTCTGGCAGTTTTGGTCCGATTTTCACGAAATTCGATGGACCACAAGCTAAAAAAGGCAATTTTTCGTACAATCGGGGCCCATAATTCAGAAAGTTACAATCCGATATGCCCAAATATCGAAAGGAACCAAGATCTTTGGGTTATAAACATGCATTTCAAGTTTCATCAAAATCGGATTAAAATTGTGACCTCTACAGGGTCCACAACCTTGATATACCATTTTTTTTTACACTATTCGAGTACAAGCGACGGCCATTTTGTCCGACAATTTTGGACCGATTTTCCTGAAATTCGAACTCAACCTACATTCCGACGTAACGGTGATATAATCAAACGTTTTTTAAAATCGGATAATAATTGTGACCTCAAGAGAGACCACAAGCTAAAAAAAGGTGATTTTTCGTAAAATCAGAGGCCATAATTCAGGAAGTTACGATTCGATATGCGCAAATATCAAAAGGAACCAAGATCTTTGGGTTATAAACATGCATTTCAAGTTTCATCAAAATCAGAAAAAAATTGTGACCTCTAGAGTGTCCACAAGCTAAAAACGCAATTTTTCGTACAATCAGGAGCCATAATCCATGAAGTTGTGGTCCGATACATGCCAATATCGAAAGGAACCGAGATCTTAGGGAGATAAACTGCCAGACAAAATGTCCACTCCTTGTACACAAATAGTGTAACAGTATGTAATACCAAGGTTATGGACCATCGAAAAATCACTTTTGTTTTTAGCTTGTTTTCTATCCATCTATTGCAAAATGTTAGCATATCTGATGATCTAGAGAGTTGATTAAATGTCTAAATAATAGTTTATAATGTTTGAAGCAAAAAGAAAGACATGCAATATGCAGATTTAGCCCATACATAATGCATCTTTAAGTGTCGACCAAAAAAACCCAGAAAAATGAAATGTTGGAAATTTTGCACGGATAGACGACTTTTATTTCGATTTCCAACTGTAAAGTTGTTTTATTTTATGTGTACAACAATGTGTATACAGGGCCTGTGTTTTGTTCCATATGAATGACTTGACACTTTTACTCACCAGTTCCTGTCCGTTCTTACAAGAGGAAACCGTACCAGAAAATCCTGAGGAACTTTCTCATTGTGAACCCGAGATATCCTGCTAGGGCCTTAATCACTGGGCCCCTGTATGGGTCTGGATATTTGTGACTACCATAGGCGTATGAGCCAGGGCGGCAGCTGTCCCCCTAATTTTCGGGCAATCTGACTTTTTGAGAGGCGGGTAAAGTGAAAACAAAAATTATTTCATCTAGTTGGTAAAAAAACATTCCCAAAATATAATAAAACACTAATTTTACTTATCTTATAATTGAATACTACAAATTTGTACTGAAAGGACTTATGTTTTTAAACTTTTTGTCTGGAGCCACTCTACTTTGTGTGACATTTTCAGGCATCGATTATTATTTGTGAATGCAGCTGCAACAGTCTGATTGAATGCTTGAAATTCAGGTCGAATAGAGTGAGATTTTGGTTGCAATTTGGGATTCAGGGAAGTCACGGTATAGGCTGTATTGGACTACATTGAAGTTGCTGTATTGATGGGATTGAATAGCAGGAAAACGCGTTTGCGGCAGTTAAACTTTCAAAATTTTCTCCTGATGGTCCCATCTCTGTGGACCGTAACGATAGTTTGTTGATTGGAATTCGAGTCAGCCACCTAAGTTAGCCTATATTAGATCATTTTAAAGTTGCTGTATTCATGGGATGGAATAGCAGGAAAATGCGTTTGTGGCTGTCAAATTTTTCAAATTGTCTTTTGGAGGAGGCTCCTACAGGGTAAGCTCTGCACTTCGCAGACGACTGGCACCTCCACGGTGACCCGAAATTTGTTCGGGTATTTCAGGTTCTGCCCCCCTCCCCGAACGTTCATCGAGGCTGTTAATTTTCTAGTTCCAGACACTATTTGCTCTAGAAGTACTTGAGACCATATAATATTTATCGCTAAAATTGAGCAATAATTTTACAATCCTAATTATATCCATGCTTACGAAGGTGACTAGTAGTAGTATACCATCAGCTTCCACTGAAGTATGAGGATGACTGGTCACATGGGTGTACTTACAGCTGTTTGAATGGGGGGCACTTTTACCAGAGGTGCATGCAAAAGGCCATAAAATTAATATGGCAATGTGACCACAGAGAATACAAAGCATTACTGCAGAACTTTGATTTAACTTCAATAACTATCTTCTAGCCCTACCTTTTTAATATATCAGCGTCTCACCATATAAACAGATGTGTTGTTAAGAAGTCCAAGAGTATCACAGTCTCGTCATAAATAAAATAGACCAGAGGACTTTCAACAATTTTATCTAAGATTTGATAATAAAGCATCAACAATAAAAATAATAAACAACATATATGACAGATAACATTATGCTCATAATAAAATGCCGGTCTATAAAATATTAAAATAATTTGGCACATGATAATTAATACCAGTAAACATATTTAAAGGGGCCTGTGCAATAAATTTATTGGGGCTGGCTATTATATTTAAAGTCTCTGTGCATCATTTGCATTTTTCGGAAAATATCAAAATTTCCATGACATAAGCAGTGGACACATAATTAGCCGAAGCATTCAAATCATTTGGCCGAATGGGTGGACAGATTGCATCACCTTTCACGTCACATGATTATACATGGCGGCGACCAGGTCTTCAAACAATCATGTGACTTTTCGATATGAGTGGTGATAAAGCTAATGAATTCTACAATCGGGCAAATGCTTCGGCAAAGCGGACACACTAGCGAATATATCAAAGATGTTTAATTCGACCAAATCATTCGGCTAGTGTGTCCACCGCTTTAATCCACATAAAACATGAATTCAAATTGATTATTGTAACAATTAATTTAGATTCAAAATGAATATATCAACGATAATCTCCGGGCATGGAATCAATTCGATTAAAGAAGCCCAATCAACAGATTCAGCGAAACTCACAGGCAGTGCCGACGTATGTTGACCATGTCCTATACATATTGTCTGTCGTAAATACTGAACTGAAATGAATCACTTTTGGACTGATATTCCTTTTAAAGATTCAATATTGTAGCTTGCAGGGCATTATCAATCCCTCAAATAATGTTCAGAGACCTAATTCATACAAAATAAATAGAAAAGATTGAATTAAGGTGGTCCTGTTAAAATACTAGACATCCATGTCGTTCAGGTGCCAGACTGCGCGAATGAGTGTCGGAGTTCAATTTTCATTTGAATATATGTGGAGTAATTTGTTATATGACAGGCTTGTGGAAATATTGGATAAAAGACAAAAAATGCATACTTAAAATACATGTAATACATCTTGCATGAAACCCTATAATTAACTTAATGAACACGTGAATGGAATGTATCCCCTGTATGATAATCTCATCCTAAAAATAAAACACTATGATATGTTAAATATTAATCAATTCTCTGGTACAAATATGTCTCTTGGGTATATTAAATATTGATCAATTATCTGGTACACATGTCTCTTGGGGATATATATATATACTATACAATAGGCATTGAACGAGTTATTATAGACAATTTTTATAGCATATGCGCGACTTCAGTCCTTGCTAAAAACTGTGAATCAATTATGGTACTCAAACTACCGGAATAGGTCATGATTTGAAAATAAGGCTGTGAGCTGTCTCAAGATAGAGATAACCAATGCTAATGATTAGCGGTTCAATGGATAGGTCATATTGTACGACTTGAAATCAGGTGAATAGGGGGGGACAACTTGATACGAGACATATTCATTGAGAATAGTAACTCGTTGAAGGCCTATTAATATCTCAACAAAATGGTTCTGACCGTGTTATTCTAGGAGATAACTGTCTACGATCAGGACTTGGGTAGGGATAATTTGGAACTTCTTCAACTTCTTCACAGAAGCGAATCTTTTTAGAATTCAAACGATTAAATTCAGCACATGATTTATTGTCTGTGTTATGTCTTGGTGATTCATTCAGTTCTGCCTGTACTTGTATCTTCTGTTCTTTAGATAATAGAACTCTCTGTCTGGCTCGTTCTTGTAATTTCCCATTGACATCTTTAATACGTTCTTCAACCTAAAACCATAAATATTACAACTTTCATATGAATGGTTATGATCTTGTCAACAAATTTAGTAAATGATTTTGATTTACAATGAAAAATGAAATATACCCAGGTGGACTAACACCAAGATTGGGGGGACAAACTTGACAAGATAGGTGCAAGTAATTTTCTCATGTCTTCTTTCTTGATATATCTACTTTCACTTTTTAGACACCAGTGGACGGTCATATTGAACATTTTTTGTAAAGGAGAATATATTAAACCTACATCAGCTATTTGTTTCTTTAGTTGTTCATTTTCTGCTAGTAACCTCTGATGTCTTTCTTCTTCTTCTCTACTCACTAGAGAATCTGTCAGACCAGAATTATCTTGTTCTTGTTGAACACCATTACGTTTTATTTCTACCATCTATATTTATACAGATAAAATGTATATAATTTTATACATGTAATAATACAAATGAAATTAAATGTGGTTTAACGTCCTACTTTTCTGCACCGACTGGGCTAATGAGTTCTGTCAAGGGTTCTTTTACGTGCACACTAATGACTATACATTGTACTTTCTTGGCCAACACTGGGATCGAGAGAGAGAGAAATGAGGCTTAATGTCCACTTGACACAAACCAGGTAATTTCGGGACTAACATATGGTTCAATTTTATTTCAATAATTCGTGAGGTGGGGTGGGGTGTGTGGATGGCTGAATGGTTAGCACGTGCGCACTGTATTATAAAGTCTGTCATTGAGTCAACTGGCGTGGGTCTTTAGCAGTGGGAGGAAACCGGAGGACCTGGAGAAAACACACGAGGTTGGACAGGCGACCTTACTGCTTGTCATGTACAACCGAGGAATCGAAACCCCATCAGTTGACTCATGGTACAGCGCGCATGGGCTAACCATTCAGCCATCCAACCCTACACTGGAATCAAACACAGGGCCCTGCAGGTTTAATAGCGAGCCAACGTCTTACTCACTGAACCACCATGGCTTTCATAACAAGCCAACAGTGAGGCTGATGTTCCCCACCGAAATCCCAAAATAAATAGATGACACATATATATTAATCGCACATTTATTTTTTTCAAAAGTATCAAGCAGATTATCAACTATACACTAAGTTTCATCACTCTCTATCAGATTATTCAGATTGAATCAAAGTTATCTTGTCCCAAAGCATCGACCAATGAAATTGCTTAGCTCTGCTTAGCTTTAGCTCGAAATGTTAATCATTGAACTCAGTCAAGACATTCACCTAATGAACATCTACATCAAGTTTAAACATTCTACCTCAATTAAAAGCAGAGTTATTATGTTCCAAAGTCATCAAACTTAGTCAAGGTAATGATATAATGAATCTATACTCAGAGTTTCATCACTCTCACTTAATTAAAACCAAAGTTATCGTGCCCCAAAGCATCAACTAATCAGATTGCTTATCTCTGCTTACGGTAAGCAGACAATGTTTATCATCGAACTCCATCAAAGCATTCACCTAATAAACGCCTACACCAAGTTTGAACATTCTACCTCAATTAGAAATACACATTGATAAAAGTTAAGTAGACAAATTTAACATCAAAATGTGAAAAAAGAGCCCAAATATCATGTATGAAAGTTTCAGTTGAAAATATTGAGCCGTTCGTAATTAATTGCTAGATATGTTAAATGAGGTTATATAATTAATTTTAGGAATTCCACTGATAAACTGTACGAGTGACTTGGTAATAATAACACTTCCTTTACCAAGTAAATATTTATTGAATACAAGTGGACTATTCATTGAATTAAAAATTTTCGGAAGGAGAATTTTCAAGGTCATTACGTTGACAATAGGACTTCTAACAAATATACTGTAATACAAGTACCTACTCGAACATTTTTTCAGCTTACGTATTGATACGTTTTTAAACTGGATTTATCCAAATATTGCAATATGTAAGAGTTGACAAAATAAGTGTTACTTAAATCACCCATTTTTTGCAACTTGGAAGGGGTGTTAACCAGTAACCACAAATGATAACTACACAACAGCCATTCTTGTTATTTTATATAGTTGATATTTTGAGAAATATTGAAATACCTACTTTTGGAACGAATAGCAATCCCATAGAGAGAAAACTACACAATATAATAGCTAGTGATATAAAAGCAAAACTAGCATCTTGTTGATTACCAATGATCAATGTTATAGGAGCTGTTATAACACACATCACCTAAAATAACCCAAAATAAAGGAGTTACACTTCTTTGAATTACAGTAGGTCAAAATAAAGTATTGAATTGGGTTGATCTGATTTGTTACTTGGATTAGGGACGCAACAACATCAAAACGAATACATTTTTATTTCGAAAGAATACTTTTTGACTTAAGCAAAAGTTTGTTTACGGATATTAGTTTTGTTTTTGGCTCAAACTGTCCACAGTTATATCTCAACACTAGCAGAATACACAGCTTTGCCCAGGGCCCAAATTCGCCAGGGGCCCAAAATTTGGACTGGGAAAATTCACCCAAGGAACAAATCGTTTGGGGCCCAAATTCACTAGACCCGAATTCGTCTAGGGCCAAATTCACCCAGAGGCCTGAATTGCCCGGGGCCCAAATTTCCCAGGGACCCAATTCATCCGTGGGGTCCTAATTCGATGGCCTATAACATTCACAGGGTCATGCTAGTTAATTTAATACCACATATGTGGATGCCGGCGACGAAGCGCGATAGGCAAACATACACACATCTTTGATTTTATTTGTATAGAAGATAGATTTGTTCAATTTGTGGATATAAAATTTAAAATCTAGACAAATACAACCTTCACAAATCATATCACATCAAATTTAATTAAACTGAAAACTTTAAGATCACTTGGGAGTATCATATCAAAACAGCAATATTCAAAGAATGGACCTACCACCACATTGTAGATTCCCATGGCAACAAATCTTGAATCATTGACCTGTTTCAGCTTGACACTCCTCAATTCATACGATAAAAATATACCAAATATCAATAGTATCGATTTATACCCAAACAGTACTCCTAAAATACAGTAGATATAATTTTCAGTGTAGGTATTTAAATTTATGTATTGCTAAATATTTAGTTAAGAAAGAAATGTCTAGCCAAAGATATCAAGGCAATTTTAAAGCTTGTTGTAGAGAAATGAAACAGTACGTACCTGAAGATTATGCACGCAACCCTACCCCTTGCCAAAATGGGATCAAACTTCAAGAAACCCTACTGTTTGCTAAAAGTGGATTAAACTTGCATCAATTTTGCCACATAATCTCAATATTTCTACTGAAATGATCCACTACACAATTCATATGAACCTTCATTATATTTAGCATAAGCTACAATACAAGGAACATAAAAATTTTCTTTAGAAAAAAAAATACTTACCTAGCCAAACAGATAAATGTTCTGAATGACAATGTTCAAGCTGTGGCAGTAATTTGATATCATCTTCTGTATTGATAGGATTTTCCAGCGGGAAAAATTGTAGTTTACGTTGTAGAGGATCCATAATCTGCCAAACGGTCAAGATGGCTACATCAAACAGTAAAAACACAGCAATAACAACATGAATTTCCCATTCCTAAAATCAAAGTGAAACAAATACATACGAATTACCTTATGGAGATAATTTATTCGTATCGGTTCATGGGGAATTCACACGTGCATAGGTTTATAGTCTCTGGCAAAAGTTAATGGTGTGTTTGTTGAAATAAAGAATTCATCCTTATACAAATAAGTTGTCTCCCCCAGTTATTTTTCCAATGTGGATTTTGCCACCATTTAGTTTTTGAACATTTAACTGTACCACCATTTACTTTTCCAAGGGTAAACTCTGCCACCATTTGATTTGCAATGGTCAAACTGGGTCACGATTTTGTTATCATAATTTGTAAACTGTGCCACTATTTAATTTTACAAGGGTGAACTTTTACACCATTTGGCTGAACAAGACTAAACTGTGCCACCATTTAGCATTACAAGCCTAAACTGTGCCACTATTTAGCTTGACTAAACTGTGACACTATTTAGCTTGACTAAACTGTGCCACCATTTAGCTTTACAAGACTAAACTGTGCCAACATTTAGCTGTACAAAGGTAAAATATACCTCAATTTAGCTTTACAATTTTAAAATATGCCACCATTTAGTTTTATTAAGGATACACTATACCACCATTTAGGGCTACTATGACCTTTATAAAAATATGTCATCAGAAAATGTACCTTTATAAAAATAAATATTAGAACAATTTATCCTTGGAAAATTTAAGAGGCATTGTGGGAGATTAGATAAAGAGTTGACTGTTCTATAATAGTTAAAAAAATAGATAATGTAAATAGAATATGTTGAAAATTTAAGTCAAATTGCTCCATTCTGAACTGAGATATTAGCTTGATTATCCATTTTTGGATTTAATCATCAATGAGCATTGAGCAGCAGATTGGTTTTAAATCCAGTAAAAATCTGACACATAAGATGACATCGAGAGTTAATTATGGTTTGGATAAGTTAATTAATGTCTAATTAATAGTTTATATAACATTTCAGGCCTAAAGAAAGACCAGCAATAGGCAGATTTAGCTCTTGCATAATATTATGTTTAATTGGTGGCATAATTTCAACCAAAGAAAACTATAATTAAAACCAACCTTTCTCTCTTTCTTCCTGGCAGTTGTTAGTTGATGAACCATCCATACTTTAGCAAACATACTACCATAACCTAGTGTAAATCCTATAGATAATATCCAGGCTCCTACCTATAAATAATACAATTTAAAACATGAATCACAAGTTAATCTAAATCTAGAAAAGGAATATTGTTCAACATAATTCTTCTCTTTGTTATCTTTTTGGTAAAGAGGGGGTTTTGCTTAGACTGCAACGTTTCTACGGATTACTCTTCTTTCGATTCAAAAGAGTTCTGCTACATACAAGAAAGGTCCTCTGGGACTGTCTTGCCATCTGAACAATTAGACACACTTTTAATGTGTAAATTATGAACACTGAGCAAGTTGTGGTTATTATATAATCCAATATTTATGTGTTTACCTGACAAACAGTAGAATATTGATGTTTAGGTACAAACTTGCCATCTAATCCCACCATAAATATACACAATAAACATATCATACATCCAATACATGTTATACTATTTACTAATGGCTGAGAATAGGCAATGATTCTGTAAAATATAGATAATTATAGTTTGTATTAAAAGAGTGTCGAATTACACAGGCCTTATATGACAGGCAGAAGATCAGACCTCCATGATACACCCAGACCAAAAATGCTATGACTTCTAAATTATGCCAGTAGGTCAATTGTTTCATATTAGCTAGAATATATTTTCAAAGAATATGACAATTTCAGCATTGTATTTTATATGTTTTTAATCATAAAATTATCTAAATTTATTGTTTTTTTAATGGTATGTAAATTCTCCAGATGGTCAATTTTACCATCTCAAAAAGTTTCATAAAATATCATATTTGATGGGAGTAGAAACTCCTTCATATTTTTTTAAGTATTAGCTTTTCAACTTTTACATATTTTTGTTGTTTTAAGAATAGTATCCCTATTTGTTATTAATGTACTCTATTAGAGACAGAGAAATAGGGTTTAATGTCCACTCAACACATACTAGGTTACTTTCTGGACTACCGGTAAGTTACAGTACATTTTAGTTCAATAATTCGCTTTGTAATTTAGTAATAGGAGGAAACCACGAGGTTAGGCAAGCGACCCTATGCCTTGTCACATGTGTTAGACCACTCAGCCACTGGAACACCCCCGCCCACACCCCTCTCATTTTTAAAATAAAAATCTTACCGTCTTTGTCTATGAAGATGATTGAAAACTAAACAGATAATTCCTGCTATAATACCCAGAAATGCCACACCACACATAGAATAATACAGAGCTGGGGATACAACTCGTAAAGAATTCACCACTACTGTCTTATCCTGGGGGATTTTACCACCTAAAATAATATCAATTTTCAAAAAACAATTATTCACATTATATAAATATACTCCCTGGAAAATAAGATATCTGTACAAAACTATGTATTATATGATAATGAGGAAAGTGGAAGGAGAAATTTAAGATTATCACTAGATAATAACTGGACAGTCATCATTCTGGTTCAAGTCATATAGAAGGAAACTAGTCATCAATTTTTCTCTTATTTTATATATTGTCCAACCTCATGGGTTTTCTCCGGGTCCTCCGGTTTTCTCCCACTGCTAAAGACCCCTACGTGCAAGCGAATTATTGAAATAAAATTAAACCATATGAAATGTCCTAGTTTGTGTCGAGGGGACATTTAATCCCATTTCTCTCTCTCTCTCTATTTCATATATTGATGTGTTGACTAATATTCTTATCTAATATTTTATTTTACCTTTCCATTTTTCTTTTCCAAACCATGTTAAATTATCGGCCACAGCATCATAATAACCTAATTTATGATATGTACCATCTAGAGAAAAAAACAACAATATTTAATACAAGAAAGAATGAATCTTTCTTGGTGTCATTATCAATGGAAGCGAGAAATATTTTGCTTGTAAAAATAAATGGATCTAAAAACTATAAATTTGTGTTTAGCTACACACATAATCTGTTCAACAAAATCATTAATATGCTTCTTATGAAAAAATATGATTGAAAAGTGAATAAAATACAATAATTTGATTAACAAAACCTGTGAAAAAAATGATAAGGTTAAAGATGCAAACTTACTTATCATTTGTTCTATCTGTGTCCAGGCTATTCTGTCACCTTGTGATGAAAACGCTACATTTCCCTATAATTATTAATAATAGTACTTATGATAACTCAAGTAAATGTCCTTATAACATACATATAATAGAACCCATGTTAACTTAAACATACATTATGCAAGAGCTAAATCTGCCTATTGCAGGTCTTTCTTTAGGCCTGAAATGTTATCTAAATTATTAATTAGACATTAATTAACTTATCCAGACCATAATCAACTCTCGATGTCATCGCTAGCCTTCAATATTTACTGGATTAGGATCTGATTTGCTGCTCAAAATTCATTCATGATTTTATCATGAAATGGATAATCGTGACTGAAATGGATAATCGAGACTATGTTTTTTATCGTACCGACTTAAAGATACATTATGGGAGATTAGATAAAGAGCTGGCAGTTCTCACTATAATAGTTAAAAACTAGATAATATAAAGCGAATTTGCTGAAATTTCAGTCAAATTGATCCACTCTGAACCGAGATTTTAGCGATTGAATTTTTGGCCTAGCCTAGTCGGTACGATAAAAAAACATAGTCTCGATTATCCATTTCATGGGATTAAACATGGGACCAGGTTAGCGAGGTAACATCTTACTCCTTGTGGTTTAATGTCCACTCGACACAAACTAGGTCATTTCAGGACTAACATATGGTTTAATTTTATTTTAAAAATTCGCTTGCGTGTAGGGGTCTTTAGCAGTAGGAGGAAACCGGAGGACCCGGAGAAAACCCACAAGGTTGGACCCCTGTAAACTTAAGTAAAATGCTACAATTACCTATAATATACATATAACAGTACTCATGTGAATTTAAAGATACATTATAGGAGATTAGATAACGAGTTGGCAGTCTCACTATAATAGTTAAAAACTAGATATTGTAAAGGCAATTTGCTGAAAATTTCAGTCAAACTGATCCACTATGAACCAAGAAATAAGCGATCGAAAGTTCAGCATAGCCTCGGTCATCATTACTAAAGTCGGTAGGACAAAAATCATAGTCTCGATTATCCATTTAATCGTTAAATCGAGAAGGAAAGTTATGCAGCAAATCGGATCATAATCCAACAATTATCACAGGCTAGTGTTGACATCAAAAGTTGATTTTGGTCTGGATACTTTAATTAATGTCTAATTAATAGTTTATATAACATTTCAGGCCTAAAGAAAGACCTACAATAGGTAGATTTAGCTCTTGCATAATGTATGTTTAAGTAAATTTCCTTATAATAATGATATACATATAATATAATACTCATGTAAACTTAACTTAAATTTCCTTACAATATACATATAATAGCACTCATGTTAAATTTCTTTATACATATAATAGTACTCATGTTACCTTAAGTACATTTTCAAATAATATATTATGCATACCATTACTTGGCCTTGATTAAAATACATAAAGCATGCTTACTGAAACACCAAGAAACTTTGTTGAGTTCATAGCTGAGTAGATTTCATCTGTAATGTCTTTATTCATATAATCAAAGTCTTCCAAAGTCAAATTCTTCTCAGCTAATCTGAAGAAAAAAAATATATGCTTTGTTGTTTGGCTTTGTGACTATAATGTAATCAAATTGTTCTAGTTATGGCTATCAGCCAGTCTATGGAAGACTGCTTAAGGCAAAACTGTAAATAACATCAACGTACGTAGGTACTAATATCAATGAAAAGGTTGAGTTAAAGCTGGAAATATTTTAAATCAAGATTAACAATGCGTAAAAGTGTTATTAACTTTGTTATAGATTATTGGTAATTATTTGATATCTACCTTATAGAGGTTTTATTTAAAGCAAAAGCCATTGCCCAAACAGCATCATAGGCTAGTGGTGCTTCAGGATAACCTCGAACTTTACTTGTATCTGTTTCATTCAATGCCTCATTTAATCTAGTGGTAAAATTCTTAGCTGTCTAAAAAACAAGAGAATTCATTTAATCAAAAAATAATTTGGACAATCTCCATTTTGGAATTGAATGTTGTACTATGATTTTAAAGATGTATGCTAAATTAATTTTTAACAACCCCTCCAAATTATTTCTATCTATTAAATCATGTCTATGGTGTTTCTTTAGTTTAAAAGCAATTAGGGTTTTCCATGGAAGTAAATGTAAACCACATGAAGATATACAACAAACATCAAGCACAAGTCAGTGATGTGTATAAAATATTATTAAGTGGGAGATATTTTATTCTAATATCCATTCATTATAACAATTATTCATTATAACAATTAACACTAATTTCTTTGTATACCCTGCATTCTCACCTAATATTCTTATTCAGAACATAACTTGGAATGGGGATGGGGAAAGACCAAGTCTATGTTCAGCACCTCTGCCCATACAGTTTTTAATCCATTGTAACATAATAATAAAATGACTTATTTATTTACCATTCCTACATCAGTAATAGAAGAATCTTGATGAAGTATAACAGCTTCTGTTGTAAAATGACCTTCTAAAGCTTCAGCCAATTGTTCACCAGTACAGTTTATACTGTCATCTTTCTGTTTATACCAATTATCAGGATACCAACCAATTAAAAACCATACATATTTCTTACCATATAACTTTTCTTTATATGCCTATAAACAAATCATTAACTATAAATCTGGTTTTTGAAAATAGGGTTGGTAAATGGTGGCAAACAAACTCTTCATCTATTTTTCATAACAAATAGTTTCTGATGTTCAGTATGACCACAGGATGACTTATTGCCAGTGTCCTGTATTATAAAGCAGTAAAGACCTACATACAGATAAATCAAACATTTTACATCTTTATTGACATTAGATGTTCTCAACTTTACATATACTTTGTGAAACAGATCCAATAAAAACAGAATGCCATGTCTATTACCGAACTATATACGTTTAATGTTGAATTGCAATTTATAGACTAAAATATCAATTTACCTGACAGAACACCTTCCTGGCAACATCTTCATAAAATAATCCCACAATAATTCTAGCATCTTGACGCTTTAAATCAGAAAAATAAACAAATGTTATATAATTATCATAATTCTCATACAGAAAAGAACAATCATTTTTTAAACCCTTGAAATACCATCTGAACCTTTACTTCATCAAAAGCATTTCCATATTCTTGACAGTCATCTCACATAAATCTAATAGTATTTTTGTATTCTTTAATAACTAAAATCATAGTCCTACTCCAAAAATAAGGAAAGGTTGGTATCACTTTTGGATTAAAGCTCTAGATAGATTTACTATCGATAGATTGTAAAATTCCATTTTTCTAGGTTTGTTATCTAAACATTATTTTGGTAGTTATTAAGAAAACGTACCTTCAAACTTCTTACAGCATTAATAGGATCAGTGAGAAAACTTTGTGTGACTGTAATATGTATTCCTGCAGCTTTAACTCTTTTATCTAAATCTTCTTTAGTCTAAAAATATTCACGAATTATCTCTACTGATACATCAAAATCAGACACATTACAATCAATATAAAAAGCATAGCAGCATTACAATTTTCTAAATTATAATCATAATCATACATTCGTTTACTAATCTAAATAATGCATATACAAATTCAATACAGATCGGATGATAACTTTTGTCATTAGAGCGTTCACAAGGTTCTACAAAGTGAAACAGGGACCATAACTCTAGAAGTAATTAACATAAATTGTTGAAATTAAAGATACATAAGTTAAGAGTTTAATAAAGAGTTGGCCATTCTTGCTATAATAATTCAAAAATAGATGATAAAAAAAGAAAATATTGAAAATTTCAGTCAAATTAATAATTTCTATAACATCTGAAGCCTAAATAAAGACTTGCAATAAGCAGATTTAGCTCTTGCACATAATGTATGTTTAAATAGGCTTCTTCGTCTCACTATCAAAATGATCAGATAGTAAATTATGTAGACAGTAGAGTGTTCACAAGAAATTGTGGACGACGGATGGACATACCAACAGACAGACATACGGATGGAGGCGAAGGCAATATACGACCACATTTCCATGTGGGTTTATAAAAATTGAAAATGTTTGGTCTCTACATTATATAGATTTATATCCCTGCTTCCGAGAGCAAAGTTAATAGTAATAATATGGTATAAGCATCTACTCACAGATTGAAACACCTCTTGTGTGTCTTGAATAGTGGCAATTTTTGTCCAACCAAACCTCTTAAAGATTTTGACTCTAGTGGGATTGTGTAGAGTTGCCGAAGGATGAGTTCTGAAGAAAGTAGGAAATCTTTGTCTGTTTGACAGTGCTGGGGAACTTGCACCATAGGCTAACTGAAAATATCAAATACATTGACTTTTGACATTGAAATAACCATGTCTTTAGTGAAAGCGATAGATAACTGATTGATAGATTAGCTTAATATCTACATAACTGACTTTTAAAGCAATATAAGATAATATAATTTTTTCTGTTACTTTATCTATAAATAAAAGGCAATTAATGGAAAGTTAATTTTTAAGAATAATTGAGGGGTTTCAATTTTATATACTATTCAAAAAAAGTAGGGGATATTTGATTTTTAAGTGTTATTAAAGTCACCTAATGAAACTGACGAAGAAACAAATGACAAAATGAAATGAAGTTCACATTCATCGATTTATTCCAAATGATCGTTAGACTAAGTAAGGCACAGACTGACCATTATAAGGGTAAAATGATACCTGGGGTCAAACCGCAAAGTTAACACAGCATCACAACCAAGTCAGTAACGGGTAAATCCTCCTCTGTTTGCCAAACAAGCATTGATCCGACGTGGCATACTCCTAATGAGACGTCTAAGGTCATTTTGGTCCAGATTGTCCCATTCCTGTTGCAACGCAGCAGCAAGTTCTTGGACATTGGCAGGACGTTGTTGACGTTGACGTAACCTCTGTCCAAGCATGTCCCAGACATGCTCGATGGGGGAGAGGTCGGGACTCAGTGCTGGCCAAGGTAATGTGGTGATGTTCTGTTGTTGGAGGTAACCTGTAACGATCCTGGCCCTGTGACATCTTGCGTTGTCATCCTGGAAGATGTGCGAACGGCATAACATGGACTGCCAAGATGTTGTCCCGGTAGTACTGGCCTGTAACACGCCCTGCAACAATATGGAAAGCCGTTCTTCCAGCAACAGTGATGCCTCCCCACACCATAACAGAACCACCCCCAAATCGATCATGTCTGATGACGTTAACGTCTTGGAAGCGCTCGTTTCGACGACGCCACACCCTCCTACGTCTGTCCAAAAAATCAACAGTGAACCTTGACTCATCTGAAAACATCACATTGCTCCAGCGTCGATTATCCCAGTGTTGACGATCCCTACACCAACGACGTCTTGCCTGAATGTGATGATCTCTCAAACAAGGGATCACGCGAGGACGTCGGGCGCGAAGGTGACCCCTATGCAGTCGATTCCGAATCGTCTGGCCACTCACTCTCACACCAGTGTCTGTTTGAAGACGAGCGCTGATCTGATTTGCTGTGATGACACGATTTCTCAAGGCCAAGGTATGGATAAATCGATCCTGGGCTTGAGTTGTCTCCCTTGGTCGACCTGAGCGTGGTCTGTCCTGTACAGATTATGTATCACGGTATCTGGACCATAGCCTGCTTATGACAGACTGAGAAACATTCATCGTCCGCGCCACAACCGTCTGTGTTGTGCCGATCTGTAGCATGCCAAGGGCACGTAACCTTTCATTTTGGATAAGCCGACGCATATCAAAATTTGTTTTCTGGTCACTAAAACAATTAAACTGATGTTTCCACCCTGGAATTCAATGCCACAATGACTGTAACATTCAAAGTCAGAGTCATGCAAATCTTGGGTTGGACCCCCATGATGATCCCAAGCATCACCTGCATTCCATGCGGTAGCTATTGGTGCGTTTGGGCGTCACATGTAACTGGAAATGTTTCTTCTGTTAGGTTCTATAGTGACTTTTTTCGTAGTCATTTGCATATTTTAGTAGTATGCCCCCAAAATCAAATATCCCCTACTTTTTTTGAATAGTATAGTTTCAAATGATGTCAATTGGAGAACTAGAGTAAGTACAAATGTACAACATGCAACCAATTAACCAGTGAGTCAATCATACAAAGATATCACAAATTAGACTATGCATTGGCACAGTATTAATATCTTTACAATATATACTTTCGTTTGTACAAATTTGCTTTTTCTATATAGACCATTAACAACCAAAAATTCATTACCACAACTAAATTCCACATCTTGGCTGCTTGTGCTACGAATGTTGACACTATACTACAACCACTTAGTACCATTAATTTAGGAGGTTTAGAATATAACAGATTATATAAAACTTTAGTTCCTAGACCTGGCATACACTGAAATATATAAAATAAACAAATCTTAGAGGATTGGTTAACAACTACAGTACAGTTATAATCTACAATACAGTTATTTTAAAAAATGTTTGTATGTCTTACTTGGTTAGTGACTTGGCAAGCGCTAAATAATTAAATTTTGAAAAATTAAGCGAAGTCAGTTCGCTTACTGATTTTTGTTAAATTTTTGGCTTACATAACACACAATCAGTTACATGTAGGCTATATTTGAACACTGACTTTATCTATGGTCATAAAACTTTGAACATAGACTGCCATATACAGTTTTCCCAAACAAATAAGTATATAACATCCAATGAAATCCATTTTTATTTTTGACACAGATCAAAGAAGAGTAGGCCCCTACCAATTTAAAAATTTTAAATCTATATAATTATAATATACCGGTATATCATACCTGACTGTCATCATAGCTCATTTCTAATTTATACTCTGATAAAATATCTGTTCTATTATTAACATCTTCCAGAGCCATCAACACTGCTGGAAGACAGGCATTCCCTCCTGCCCAACTTCCTGACATAGGAAATATACCTCCCACAGCTAATGTTTTCTCTTTAAATCCATTGCTCAATGGTGAAATAGAGACAAACAATATAATAAACAGCAACAGATTTGGAAGGATAACAGTTAAAAGCTTCATTACTACTATTAATTGTAGTAGGCCTACATTAGCATATTGGCCTGAAATATAAGAAAAGGCAATATATTAAAAAGGAAACAGCGCTGCTGTATAAGAACTTACGAATTCCATCTGATATGTTCAAATCTAATTAGATAATGTGCAAAATTTTGGTCAAATCTGAAAATATTCAAATCTAATTAGATAATGTGCAAAATTTTGGACAAATCTGAAAATCTATTTCTGAGTAAATCTGAGTTATGGAGGATACTGAATGAATTAAATAGGATTTATAAGGTCCTACATTTCTGCACCAACTGGACTAGACCTAATGAAGACGTCATGGAGGTTAATAGATTCCCTTTTCGATGTTACATTCTATAGAGCATATATGGTTTTCTACGAATTCAATTTAATTGGTCTGGTTGAGTCGATGACTGGGGTTGGTTAATTTAATTCATTACCGTGCATTACGATACATAGGCCGAATCATAGGGCCATATAGGCTATTTTCTTGAAATTTAAGCATTTAAAGGCTCAATACCACTCTTGTTGTAACTGAATAATATGTCCCAATCTTTATAGTGGTCAACAAATTGTACTATTTTAGAATATTTCAATTAATTGATGATACAAATTTCATCTTAACACACCTTATTTAAAAATTTTGAAAAATTCAACATACCGGTACCGGTAATGGTTTGAAACGTCTAACGTAAACCTTTTCAAATGAAACTTCGATTTAAAAATATTTTTGAACCCTCTGCACAAGTAAAATAGGTTGTAATGGATAATTTACACAACAGGTTGGACACTTAAACATCTAGTACTTAGATAGAGATATTATTTATTTTCTGGAGCTTTCAAGCCAGCAAGAGTGTTATTGTCCCTTTAAATTAAAACATGTAACCTTTTCGTTGTTACGTGCTAAGCAATTTTTCCGGTTGAGCTTGATATAAAATTGGAAAGAGATTAAACAAAGTATTTGTGCAGACAATTTTGACACAGTGCAGTGAGTGGGCGAATAGACGTGTGCATGATTCATGATAGAAACATTGTCATTACAAATAGTAATACAAACTAGCCTAACCGTTTTGGCGTTAGGCTACAATTCTTGGAGAAAAATTATGAATATTTTATCAATGGTCTAGCTATTTGTAACATCCAGGAAAGGTTACTTTTAATAAGAAAATGATGGGAATCACTGAAAGACAAAAACATTTGCGCAGTCGCGTAAAATAAGAAATAAATTATGAAAATTCGGCTGCTTGAATTTCTCTCTGAGAAATACGTCATCGTTTCAGTGGTGATGTACAAATTTACAACGGGGAATAATAACAACATCTGTCAATTTATTATTCACTTATTCTTAATTTATTTGTCTTTGGAAATGGTCATTTTGTTCTTTTATAGAATACTTAAATTGTAAGAAATATATTGTTTAGAAAGCAAAACCCAGTAATTATTTCAATATCATTTCGTATTATTTTTTATCTAAAATTTGTTATCTTCACAAACACGTGGTGTTGTTTACATTTTTGAGGGAAAGATAATATAAACTCTTCAATTTTAATACAAAATGCCAAGTTTTCGGTAAGTTTAGTTCAACCATCAAGGCATCTTTGATATAACTTTACAGATGGGCTATGTCTAAGTGATTACTGTTTAAAGGAGCTAAATCGCTAATATTTGAGACCTACAAATTGACACAAAATAAAAAAAATGGGTAGCAAACTCTTGAAACTGATTTCTACATTCAATCGTTTCCCTTTTTACTCTAATTTCAAACCAGTTATGTTCGGCAAAATACGCCAGAAGTCTCAATCGAATAGCAATCTCTAGCATCTGGTTATTCCAGTCTACACCGATAGTATTTATTGCGCATGCTCTCCAGATCACCGTTTGACATGACTTATGGAATATGTCGGCCTAGTACGTTGACCCGGCTACTTTAAGTTTGACTTCCACTACTAACCCAAAGTAGCCGGATCAACGTACTGTGCAAGTATGTCTAACCTCGTTCTTTCGTTTCGCTTATTACAAATTGCGCTGAAACGCATTATGGTACACGATTCGTGTACCAATCATAAAATGTTTATTTTGTCTTAAATATTGGATATCAGCCTGGTAAGATCACAACACCAATGTCGATTAAAATTGACAAATTATTTGTGTTTTCATTGCCGAAGGTTTTGGATGATATTGAGTTAGAGACTTAGCTACTTTAAATTTTACACAAAATCCAACAAAATTGACAATTTTGTGATAGTATAATTTTTAAATTAAATGCAAAAACAGTAAATCTTTAAATGTAATTTGTAAATAGCATGTATTTTTTGAGCAATTGCTTTGAAACCTGGCAGAATTAAACAATCGCTCAAATATTAGAATTTCAAACCCATTTACATTTTTAGAATTGGACTTATACTTTTTTTTAATAATAAATTTTTTTTTATTAAAAATACATTATGCAAGAGCTAAATCTGCCTATTGCAAGTCTTTATTTATAATTTAGGCTTCAGGGCCCTGTTTCTCGAAATCTAAACTAAAGATAAAATCAAAATTTTAGTAGATACTTCAATTTTGATTGGCTAAGCACTAAAATCAATCTAATATTATCCAATCAAATTACTAAAATTTGGAGTTTATCTTAGTTAAAATTTCGTGAAACAGTCCCCAGATGTTATAAAAATTAATAATTAGACCTTTATTTACAAGACAAGCTCAAAATCAACTCTATAGACCCACAGATGGCTTGGATACAGTTTGGATTTAAGCAGTCGTTCATTTAAAATTAAATCAATAAATGGCAGACCAAGCTAACGTCACTACCGGAAACTGGTGATGAAAGGCCTGCCTAGCGAGGCTACCATAGCCATTGAGCATGTTACTTGATAATCAAGAATATGTGGGTGGAGTTATCGTCTGTCAATCAAACGATCGCAAATTCTCATAGAAGGTGCAGACACAAGTGATGCCTATTTCTAGTCCAAACTTCCAACAGTGACGATTCCGTTCAGAACAAAGTAATTTGACTGAAATTTTCAACATTTTCTTTTTTTATCATCTATCTTTGAATTATTATAGCAAGAATGGATAACTCTTTATAAAACTCTTAACTAATGTATCTCTAATTTTGTTTTTCCAGTCCGAAATCATAATCTGGTCCAATAAGTGGTAATTTGATTCCAGTGCAATGTAAAAAAATTATTTTTCAATGAATTATCATGAGACTTGGTAGAGAAACTGTTTGTGTACTCCTAAGTAAATTCACAACCATTCAGATGAAAAATAAGACTCCCTTTTTGCAGGAAAAGTAGTTATCAATGAAGAGGGTTAGGCTTAAAGATACCATCCCGTGTACAAACTGGGTAATTTGATGATATATTTGGACTAAAAACATATTCAAACTAATTAATTGATCATAATTTTGCTTCAAATCCTTCTCAAAACATTGTAATTGCCAAGGAATACCCCTGGTATAAAAAATCAATGAAAAAAGTCATGTTTGTGTCACGTGACTTACATATGTACCTCTCTCGGTACCTAGCAACAGATGCGAAGCCGGAGGAGAATTCATTGCACATACGATGTTTTCTTTAATCGCTGACTAAATAAATTCTAGGATTATCCACTGCCCAATTTTTTTTCTGTGGTTTTTAACTCAGAAAGTGTTGCACCATCAATTTTATCATCATATACATCAAGCGCTCACTAACCCTGGGAGATTAGGCAAACTTTACGTGCTACCTTCGACGTTACTCGAGCAGACATCACTAATCGTCGGGTTGTCGGTTAGGAAAACCCTTACTTATTTGCCCTGTATGCACTCCATGGGTGTTTTTCATGGAATCCAATATTTTTCTAGTAAGATTGGATGTTTCTACTTTCCATATATACCAAAATTGCCATACTTTTATTGGAAATAAACACCCGATAAATACTTTTCTGGGAAAATATCTTTAAATTTGACAATTGTTTGTTATTTCTCCTTTAAAACATTTGCTCCCATCACACAAATACTAAAATATGCATTTCAAGCAGGGGGAGAAAGAAAGATATATGGAGAAAGAGAAAGAAGGGTGTTGAGAGAGGGTTGTAGATTGTTTTGGACATGGTGTGTGTTAATGTAATTTCAAAGATGTGAGGATTGAAGAAAAACAATACTGGGCTCTACGCTGTATAGACAAATCCTCACTTATGACATCATTTACGTGGGCATACTCAATTTTTTCAGCAAAAATGCGTGTATGTAGAGCAGGCCTTACGCATTAAGATCCTGAATGATTTTCCCTTGACACAGACAAGATCATTTTGGGACTAACATACACTACCATTTTAATTCAATAATTTGCTTGTTAGTAAGGGTCTTTAGCAGTGGGGATGCCGCAGAGATAACCCACGACTGACATGAGGTTGGGCAGTTGACGCTACTCCTTGGAAACTGAATCTTAACACATAATAATACTTTTAATCTGATTTATTTAAAAGTTTTAAACATGTACATTTATGGAACATGAAATTGTACAAAAATAAAATTTGTTCCTAATGCAACTGACTTGTTATACCAGTACCTGGAAATGATATAAAACAGTAAAATTACAAGGTTTTTAAGGTTTCATGTAAGGAAATATTTAATCAATTCAATTTAATTCTAAATAAATAAATAAATAAAACAAATAGATATTGCTTATTTATTTAAAATAATAAAAATATATGGAATTATATAATAATATTTGGAAGGTTTCAAACATTCTAATGTGGTTGTATATTGTCGTCGCCCCCGTCCGGCGTCCACAAGCAATTGTGGAAGCTCTAGAGGCTAAAGTTAATATCCGATTGACTTTAAATTTATACACAGTGTTTAAGGTTATGAGATGAAGAAGCCTATTGATTTGTTAATATTCGATTGACTTTAAATTTATACACAGTGTTTAAGGTCATGAGATAAAGAAGCCTATTGATTTTCAGCGATTTCCGATAATTACTGCCAGAGTTATGGCCCTTGATCACTTTTAAAAATCTTGTGGATGCTCTAGAGGCTAAAGTTTTTGACTTTAAATTTATACTTAGTGTTTAAGGTCATGAGACGAAAAAGTCTATTCATTTTCAGTGATTTTCGATAATTACTGCCAGAGTTATGGCCCTTGATCACTTAAAAAAATCTTGTAAATGCTCTAGAGGGTAAAGTTAATATCTGATTGACTTTAAATTTATACACAGTGTTTGAGGTCATGAGACAAAGAATTATATTGATTTTCAAGAATTTCCAATAATTACTGCCAAAGTTATGGCCCTTGATCACTTTGAAAAATCTTGTGACGCTCAAGAGGCTAAAGTTATCATCCGATTGACTTCAGATTGATACACAGAATTTAAGGTCTTGAAACAAACAAGTATATTGATTTTCAATGAATTTTGATAACTTGAAATTAACAGCTAAATCCATGATATTAAATGTTTCGTATATTAACGTTAGCATGGGGCAGAACTTTATAAAAAACAAACAAATTCTAATGGACTTAATAAGTTGTTACTCTTAATCAGATTTTAATGTATGATAAATGTTTCATTACCGAAAAAAGTAAAAATATTGTTAATTTTTATCTGTAAATACTCTGCAGGTTGTAATATTTAACAGATTTTGTTCAAATTCAGCATATCAATCATTTTTATAATGGGGTGATACCAATTTATATTGTTCCATATCCACCCGCCAGGGGCAGAGCCACACCCAATTTTTGTATTTATCGTCTACAGATTGCAATTCAGAATGGATCATTTTGGAACTTTGCATATATATTCCTTATGCCGTAAGGACAGCAACTGTTTATTTTGTTGCATTCCCCGACCTTCTGGGGCGGTGTCACACCCAGTTTTTTATTAATATTTAGTCTGTAAATTTGGCAAAACAAACCCAACGACTAGTCTTCTTTGCCTCCTGTCATATTACACCCATTGTAGCCATTTCGTATTTCATTCTCTTCATTTTAAAAAGTTCCAGCAGAAAGGATTCTAATCCAGTGTAAATCCGACATGTAAGATGACATCAAGAGTTCATTGTGGTTTGGATAAGTTAATTAATGTCTAATTAATAGTTTATATAACATTTCAGGCCTAAAAAAAAGACCTGCAATTGGCAGATTTAGCTCTTGCATAATGTATGTTTAATATAAAACCGGAAGTTATACTTCATGACAGAACTTTTTTATATTAATTGTTAGTAGACATCAGGGTCATCATACATACAAAGGTCAAGGGCCATTGAAAGGTCACCATCTATTAGGTGAAATGACGAACAAAATTCAAAGTGAAACTGGAAGTAAACAAAATCGAAATTCAAAAATCGGCTCCCTAAGAATTGTTGCCATTTGGAGTAGGTTCAATACAAAAAATAATTTTCGAAAATCCTAATTAAAATGGTGGCTGAATATGTTTTTTGTAAAATCCAATATATGGCGGCCAAGCAGTTCAAAATGGAAGATAATATCTGGGCCTAACACCACCATATGTCATTTTTGGTCTATTTTTAAAATGGAGAGAACTATTCATGTTCAGGAAAAATCGGAAGGCCTCGTTTATTATCGTAACACCAGTATTAATGACTAGCTTGTAATTATATTTCCGATTCCTTGCCTCAGAGTGAAGTAATTTGACTGAAATTTTCAAAATATTCTCTTTTAATTATCGATTGTTTAACTTATAGCGAGAACTGTCAACGCTTTATCTAATCTTACCTAATGCTGTTTTAGTTGTTTTGTATTTTTCAGATGCCAGGTTTGCGAAGAAAACATTGCCAAATACACATGTCCTCGGTGCAAACGTAAAACATGTAGTTTGGTCTGTGTAAAGAAACATAAATATGAAAACAAATGTGATGGGGTCAGAGACAAAACTGCTCATGTTGCAGTTAAAGATTTCACTGATAGAGATTTATTAAGTGGTAAGTAAGTCCAACATCTATGTTCATATGCATAAAATATATTTATGAGTAGCATTCAACCACACAAGCAACCATTTAATCACTACATGATTTTCTGAATTTTGAAAAAAGCTTATAGAAATAAATTGGGTTGATTCATTGAATGGTTAATGTAAATTCCATACAATTGTTAGCATAATATCAGTCTACCTACACGTGTTACAGAAGTTGCATACAAAGATGGGTGACAGAAACGTCTAGCAATGTGGCATATGCCCCCATAGATCCAATAGAAAAAAAGCAGGTTACGAGCGATGGCATCTGGATATTACTGATATATTATGTTGGTATGAGTTCCATACTAAATCCATATGAAATAATCCCCAGCAACAAACTAGACCAAACTTTGTAGATAAACCTTTAATTTATGACAGTCATGTCTAATTTGCTTATGGGCATTATTTTATGTCTTACACATAAAACTTCCTGTGTTCAGATTACAGATTTTTGGAAGATACATCAAGGAAAACAAACAGTATTACTAGAGATGTTATTAGACTAGAAAAAGAAAAACCAAGAATGGTGAGCATACATGAAATTTGTCTTGTAATTTGAGCTTTTTTGGGGGAATAATTAGATAAGCAATTATTGCATTATGCTAGAGCTAAATCCGCCTATTGCAGGTTTTTGTTAGGCCTGAAATGTTATCTAAATTATTAATTACAAAAATAAAAATGGTTGGAGTGCCCAAGTTTAGATTTGTCGTTGATTCCATGAAATGGTTAGGTTTTAGAACGTTAAATACTGTGTGATTCAACATGGCGCCCGAGGTGTTTAATATGAAATAGGTACGAAATAGTACCAAATGGTTTATTGGTATGAGACTGTAATGCCTTGGAAATCGGAAGTTGGAGGCGACTAATATGTGTCTCTCTATTGGTGGACCGATGTGAGATTGTTCGTTGTGTTAACTGGACGAGTCGGCCTATTCACCTTCGGTTATATGTCAATGTCAAATAAGCAGATTCTTATCGACACAATCGGCTCTGGCCCGGTTTGATCCTATGTACACCTCGTAGCTGAGAGAAAAAGAAGAGTTTTCTAGCCGCGTGATTATCTTCCGTCAAAATGGTGGTTGATTCCGAGGCAAGAGAAGAAATCACGACTGGCCGATTTAGTCAACAAAATTTGCCATAATGAGATCGTAAGCAGAAAGTGAGATAATATAAGAGATAAGGTGGCTATGAAGACCTGGTTATCCCGAATGTCAGTGACTAGTTTCGTTCGTATTGAACTCTTCAGACTGATTGGACTCACGTGTTGGGCGTTTTTATTTATACTATTCCGAAACCCCGGTGGGGTTACTAATTGGCGGGGTTACCAGGGTTGGCCCCTTGGCGGGGTTTGCGAATTTGTTACCGGGGTCGGTAGCTCGCTTACCGGGGTTGTACAGAGGTTTGACAAATTGGCAGGGTGCCGAATTTGTTACCGGGGTCGCTAGCTCGCTTACCAGGGTTGTACTGATCGTTTAGATTGAAGTGCTAGTGTCCATAATTTGCTAACTAGGGTGCCTTGGGTTGGTTTGTAACATTGTTACTTGTCATAACAATGAAGGGATAGTATATAGACAAGGGTGTTGATGTAACACCCGTGAGAGGGGTATAAGGCTAAATATGAATCCAAAGTTGGAACACTCAGGGGTAGAGCATTGTGATACAAAAATAAAAATGGCTGGAGTGCCCAAGTTTAGATTTGTCGTTGATTCCATGAAATGGTTAGGTCAAATTCGCAAACCCCGCCAAGGGGCCAACCCCGGTAACCATAGAAACCCCACTGGGGTTTCAGAATAGTATAAATAAAAACGTCCAACACGTGAGTCCAATCAGTCTGAAGAGTTCAATACGAACGAAACTAGTCACTGACATTCGGGATAACCAGGTCTTCATAGCCACCTTATCTCTTATATTAAATTATTAATTAGACATTAGTTAACTTACAAAGACTGTAATCAACTCTCAATGCCATCGGACGCCTGCGATACTTAGTGGATTTAAATACCTTTTGTGGTGGATGAAATAACCGTAAAAATGTATAATCGAGTAATTATGATCGAGGCTAGCCTGTAATTGAATCGCTAATATCTAGGCCCAGAATGAAGTAATGGGAGTGAAATTTTCAGCATATTCTCTTTTCATTATCTATTTTTTAACTTTTATAGTGAGAATTGTGAGCTCTTTATCTAATTTTACCTAATGCCACTTTAAGTAAATTCTGTCTGTCAGTTTAAACTTGAGGTTTCAAGGTGTTGAGTTAATGTTGTTAAATGTCAATCTGTGTTTGATTTAAGAAAATTGTTTAAAATGACATGAATCAATCAATCATGTTTTTTTATCAGTCCCAAGAAATGAGAAGCAAAACATTACTAGAATGTAGCTTTTGTTATGAAATCAAATCTGAAGAGGTATGATGTTCTAAAACTTGTTTAAAATAATATATTCATATGTTTAAAAAGTACAATATTTTACTTATAGCTGAACCAGTTAATACGTGAAGCTAAGAATAGAGGAATTGATTTAAAAGTTTTACCATACCCTATGACCAGACGGAAGACAAATACCACAAGATATTTTCGTCAGTAAGTAACTTATTTATGTTTGCAATCTTGCATTTAATGCTCATTTTAAAGCGCTGCACATCAGATTTGAAATAAATAAACTTGCAGAATTGTTCTGTTTCTAATTTAAAAAAAAGAGAGCCTGTTGAAATTCAGGGTGATATTGTGTCTGCCACTGCAGCTACTATTCCATTGATTTACATCCCAACATAATGTAAAACTCTTGCCTTCCTTTTCAATGCGTCTTGTGGATATATTTTGTGATCTATGAATGCTATGTTTTAAGTATATTTCATAACTTACCATGTTTGCTTCGTAATATTTGTAGTATTATATTATTTACTATTATTTTAGGGAAAAAATAATATTTTGGCGTGTTGATTTAGTGTTTCCACAAGCAAGTGTAAAATATACAGAAAAAAGGTATAAAATTTCGTATTTATAGACTTTGAATGTGAATGCTGTTAGAATTGATGGTACTATTGTGGATGCCTCAGCCAACTTTACACTGAATTGATAAATTAGTATATTTAAATTATTTATATTTTATATGACAACTAGAAAATCGAGTTATATTATAAAATTAGAAAATCAAGTTATATTAATTTATGCAAGATAAAGTCCCACGTGGCTAAGTAAAGTCTTGTTTTGTAATCCAAGAGCTATGACATTGATATATACATCATATAATTAATTCTACTGTAATAAAAAAAACAGGGTAAATACACATACATAACACCTTATAATATACATTGTTTAATTGTATTAATTACCAAGACCAATATACATGGTCTTCTGTGTATATTCCCCCAAGAACTCACAGTTAATGTACATGTATGTATAGCACACCCTGTGGCTATTCCTATATTATAACCCATATTTTAGAATACACAATAATAAAGAAGAAGTGCAACTTGGTTTAATTCTAAAAGAGCTCTTTGGACACAGTACCTCAAACAGCGTGCCTTTACCTACAGGCATGGGGGTGACATTTCACTAATGAACAAATGATTTAGTTGACAAAACCTTACACATTTCTGAAGTTTCAGTTTGTAGAACGTATCAATTACAACTGAATCAATAGAAATAAAATAAAGTCCAAGTTGGAGCATTATAAGAATACACTGACAGACATCTTTTTGACTAACGGTTCGTTCTGTTAATTCTTAATCTGCCACTAGCCTTCTTGATGGTCTTTAATTTTGATAATTGATTATAAGCCCCATATTGAATCATTAATAGGGCTAGGCTAGGGACAGTTGATCACATGGTCTGTCTCAATGCAGAGGATCAAATAATGGTTAAACCAGTAGGTTTATGTTAATATCATCAAAGGACATTTTATTGTTTTTGATATTTAGATGTGAAAATAAACTAATTTTTATACGCCCACATGAAAATGTGGAATTATATTGCCGTCGCCCCCGTCCGTCCGTTGTCCACAATTTCTTGTGAATGTCCACAATTTCGACAAAAGTTATCATCCGATCTTTGTGAAATTTATATGCATTATTAAAATTAGTGAAACGATGAAGCCTAACGAATATCATCAATTTCCGTTTATTACATCTAGAGTTATGACCCTTGTTTCACTTTATTGAACTTTGCGAATGCTCTAATACCAAAAGTTATCATCCGATCTTTGTGAAATTTATATGCATTATTTAAATTAGTGAAACGAAGAATCCTATTGAATTTCAGTTTATAGAACCTTGTGACTCCTCAAACGACAAAAATTATAATCTGATCTGCCCCAGTTACCTACAAAAGAATAAATATGCGACAACCCTTTTCTCGACCAGCTGCTGTGGGCGTATGTTTTGTTGCCTGGCAACCTATCTTCTATATTAACAGGACTGATGAAAACACAAGTCTTGATGAAATATTAAAGAATTATATATCCCCAACAGAATCTGATCCAGTTATAAGACAAAAGTTAAAACAATATGTTCAGACAATGAGTGACGAAATCAAGATATTTTTATTAGTAGAAAATAGACCCAGTAATGATAAAAGGTATATTAAACTGCTCTTCGCTGTGTGGACATCTTTATTTGATTGCTCTCTTAAATCACTATAGATTCATAATATGTCCGAAACATTTTCATAGATTAATGAATTATCTGCTAGGAAGAAGAAATATGTTATTGCTCCAATCTGATTAAAATACAGATCTATATTTCGTTTCGTTTTTTTATACTTTCGATGGCCTACACTACATGAAGATCTGACAAGTTACAGCTTTAGGTCACGTCAGGGGTCAAAAGACAGACTTATGACCCTATGACGTCAGACATTTGATTAACCAATCGGCCTAAACCTCGCCGTAACAGACAGTTTCATTGGCTTATCCCTGACACCATTCAGAACACGAGTTAAATAACAACTCTTCCACATCCAAGTGTAGTAAAGACAAGTAAAACGAAATTTTGAACTATAAAAACGAAACGAAATAGGATCTGTGTTTTAACCAGATTGGTTATTGCTCATTCACATTTATTGCTTTTGTAGGTATTTTGGACTGGATAGCTCAAAGACACTAAAGCAGAATTTAACAGAAAAAACAGTTTTAGAAAATCCTGTATTAACCATTGTTCTTAAAAAGAACTGGTCTGAATATACTTTATTATCTGAAGGTAAATATGTTTATGTAGTATTATGTACTATTGCCTATTGGTAATATGTATGGTTTAATGGTTGAGGATGAGACATTAAGTAATATATTAATATTGCACGAGATCATTAAACAACTTAAAATACAGACACTATCATACACGTGCATTTCAATGAAATGGTCATGGGAGTCCAATATTTCATCTAGTATAATAATGTACAATTGGCACGTAACCTGTACCATTATTTGAAATTATGGTACGCCGACATCAAAGGATGACGCCACGTCTGTATTTTAAAAAGCTTTATTGGTGATAGGTGATCAGTGACTTCCTGGTTGCATGCTTGATCCTCACTTGGCCGTGTCAAATCCTTGTAGCCTCTGACAAGACACTTTTATCTCTGTATTCCATCTTTCCTTGTATGTTGCAAAAATTTGACTGTTGTGGTGCAATTTAATGACCTCTTAAGGGAGGTAAGATATTACTATGTCTTCTCATTTGACATAGTCTTCATGGGGTTAAAAATTACAGGGGTGGTTGGGTGGTCTGAAGACGGGAACTTAGGATCATGTCTGTCATTGCAATAGGTGGTGTGGTTTCGATCCCAAGCTTGTACGTGATAAGGAGTAGGATAGCCTGCCCAGCCTTATGGGTTTTCTGCCATCTCTAAAGACCAGTACGAGCAAGCGAATTATTGAAATAAAATTGTACCATGTCAGTCCTGAAATGGCCTAGTTTGTGTCGAGTGGACTTTAAACCATTTCTCTCTCAAAGTTACATCTAGACTATCATAATGGCCATATTGCTAAGTAAATGCCTTGAATACATGATTGTCTGTAGAGATATAGGTGTTTCAGTCATTCATGTATACAGTTCCACCAAGCAGATTAAACTCATAAGATTATACTTCATGAGGTGTTCTGCACATTTGTCAAGCCCTAATGACATCTATTAAACTTACTTTATATAAAATTTACTTGCTTAATTTCTTATATTTCGATCTTTATGCAAATGAGTTTAATTATATACCTTTGTAGAGGAAGAATTAGAAGTGAAAGAAAAGCTCAAATTAGAAATAGCTAAACCAGTAGTTAATAACAAACACAATAGATCACAACAAAATTTGAGATCCAGTAATATCAGACGAAGACATCGTCCCAGGAACAGGACTACAAACCATAATGTAACCCCATGAAATTTCAAAAGTATGACATCTGTACATAAACTAATTTTTGTTATAAACAATTGTGTTTTATTTCTTTTGTGTTTAATGGATGTTAAACCCCTATTTTGTGCTCTCCACAATCATGAATGTGATGAGACATATTTCTCTGCGCAATCAAATACATTATAGATATAACTTTTCAGACGTGGGGACCAATTGACCCCAAGGCAAATCGCCTATAACGCTGTTCGCCTGTTGACGTTGAAGCTTGTTAAGAACAACCATAATATGGTATCTGAAGATATTTTGTTCCTCACCTGTGAAGGAAGCATTCCCCATCAACATTTTAAGGACATTTAATGCGATTTTTAGACCTGTAATTTTGAAATTTACCTTCCGGAAATACGTCAGAATGCACCAAATTGAATCTAATTTACCAACCCCGACCCCCTGTTATAACGTTTAGCGCCTTTGGCACTTGCAGCGGTGGGCATAGCCCACCACAATTAGTTAAGCAATTATCCAACCTAACGGTAGACCCCCCCCCCCCCTGATGTGTGTACATCAGCAGTTCACAATTTTGAAAGTCTTAACCATGGAAGAGACCAACATGTTGGTGGCAAAGTTAAACCTTTATTTTAGTTTGTCATTAACTCTGCTGAGTGCTCAAACTTGGTGTAGGTGTTTATTAGGTGAATGCATTCACGAGTTTGAATAGGAGTATTTTCTGCTTAGACTAAGCAATTCCCCCCCCCCCACCCCCCGCCTTTCAAAGAAAGCAGGGGACTATTAAAATGGGTTCGTCTTTCTGTCTGCCGTTCGTTTGTTCGTTCGTTCATCTGTCTGTCTGTCACACTTTTTGGGACACAATAACTCTCCTTATAACTGAGCTAGAATGCTCAAACTTGGTGTAGGTGTTTATTAGGTCAATGCCTTGATGGAGTTCGAAGATGAGCATTTGCTGCTTAGGGTAAGCAATTTGATTGGTTGATGCTTTAGGATACAATAACTTTAGTCCTAATTAAGTGAGAGTGATGAAACTTGGTGTATAGTTTTATCCAGTGGCGGATTAAGCTCCACCAAGGCCTGAGGCGGCAGTTGCTGGAAGGCCTATTTAGTTTTTAAATAGGGCCTATTTAAAATGGCGTGGGCCTAATCCTTTCCAAAAGGATGCATGCTGCCACATCTAAAGAAAAGCCATACAAAGACCGCGTTGTGTCACTTGGATAATTAACTTATTCCTGTTGGAACGGCTAAGTGAAATAAAATACTATTGAAAAAAAGAGGGAAGAAATTGTGTCTTTGAAATATCGATGGAAACCTTGTGTGTGCTCGACCACAATCAAATTAGCAGAAAACAGATGTGCGGTGATACTCCAGTTGACTGAGTTAAGCGATGGGCTTCAGAAGTCCTCAAACCAGCTGCATTGAGTCTGATATAGGCCTAGCTGTAATACCTTTACTAAAGGCCAGCTGTCTGTTTTTTTTAAACTTTGGCCGCATTAAAAAATTCTTGTTAATTTTAGAATTTTTTTCTTCTATTCTATGTATATAATGGAAATATTATGCTGCCCATAATGAGGAAATGGGCTGTCAAGAGAGCCAAGTTCCTACACCGCCTCAGGGTAGTTCCCCAAATAAAAAATATGGCATAGGGTCAAAAATTCAACTTCATCATATGATCATTTTCGGAGCCCAAAGTGGATCTTGCTGCGCCTTTTAAAACTGAATTTGTACATGAAGGACATTTCTATCAGGGGCCACCTCTCAAAATATTCCAGTCTGATTAAAATACAGATCTTTATTTCGTTATGTTTTTTTTTATACTTTCGATGACCTACACTACATGAAGAGCTGACTGGTTGTTGCTATAGGTTACGTCAGAGGTCGTACGAGCGGCAAGTGAGCCTTCGGTAAGGTTTTCGTTGTTCACTCGAGTCGACACCAGACCGTTCGCGTTTTGAATCGAGTTGGTCACATGACTGACTCGAGTCGCATCACGTGACTAACCCGTTTACTCCCCGTAAAAGGGTTTGTCACGTGACAAAATGGCGTCCTATACGCAAATAAGCCTGTCTCTCGATCACATACTGACGTCGTAACTGTTTTGATGTCATGTGACTACTCGGACTACTCTGACCGTTCGGGATGTTTCACCCGGGTAAACTCGGCAATGGAGTCGACTCGAGTGATGCGAGTAAACGACGAAAACCTTACCTATGACGATAGACATTTGATTAAACAATCAGCATTAGTGTTTCTAGGGGCTTACCCACAGTTCCTTGCAAAACACGCCTAAAGTTCGCCGTAACAGACCGTTTCATTGGCTAATACCTCACACTATTCAGAACACGTCAATGATAACAACTCTTTCAGATCCTAGTGTAGTAAAGACAAGTAAAACGAAATTTTGAACTATAAAAACGAAACGAAATACGATCTGTGTTTTAATCAGATTGAAAATATTCTTAATATCAACCCCAACGTATATGGGCAACGGAAAAATCTCTTGTATCGAGTCTCCGGATGATGGATTGGCTGGAAACTGGGACCAGTTTCAAATTTTTTACAAATGTTGCCCCCTGCAAATAGAAGCTTACATTAGAAAATAAGTTTAGTAAATTATTTTATATGGTTTGTTTCTTTCACGTTACTGTTGGAACTGGTGACATTTCTCCCACTGCTACATCATCTGCAGCTACTGGTAGTGCTGCTTACATCCATCATCAATCTACTGCTACTACATCATCTGCAGCTATGGGTATTGCAACTGGACAGCATATTGTTTACAACCTTTTGGAATATTCGATTGGAGACCCAGGCAGTAGCGATAGGCAGCACATATCACCTTTCCATCTAGAATCAACGAATCAAGATCAAAAATCCCACTTCGTCAAGAAATCAGCTCCCATTCGGTTCTCAATTCAATTATTGCTATGTAATGTGCTAAAGGATTGGTCTTAATGTCCTTAGTACACTCTTTCAATCTATGAAGTCATTTCATTGCTCATATCTGGGATATACCACATTCTATATACCACGCCCCCCGAGATGAACTTAATCTGCCGACCCCCACCTTTTGCATGGTACATTCTTGAGCTTAGATTTTAAGTAGACTTCAGTTTAAGCAGAAGCACGTTATTAAAACTTAAGCATAACTTCGTTCTTCTACGCACAAGTCCCGAGCAAGGTATAATGACTTGCTTACCAAACTTAAGCCTGTTTCTGCTTCAAACAAAATGGTGACCGTAGAGTTATTCGACAGCATTTCCTACATCTTTTGATACCAAAGAGGCAATTAAAAGACAGAAAATCCTTTAGAAACATATTCTCGAGAAGAAGAATGCTATAGAAAATTTCGCTTCTACCCTGAAACCATTTTATTTATTTACCAATTAGTAAACAACACAAACACACAGGCAACTTTAAGATCAAGTGCTCGCGTTTTGTTTTTTTTTGCTTGTGGCACATTTTATGTGTTAGGGGTCATGTCACATGCATCTAAATCGACCATTTGCTGGGAAGCAACTGACCAAAAAAATGACGTAATTCGCATACCAAAAGTGTTTTTATGCTTAGACTCATACTTGACTTGTGCTTACGTAAGAACTGTCTTCAGAAATGTCTAGAGACGGTATTTTATAAAGTTTCTTACGTAAGAAAAAGTGAAGCATGACTTTGTGATTACTTTAAGAATTTCTAGGAACTGGGCCCAGGCTAGAATACTTGGGAGTGATGACGACTTGAATAATGTTGATTACGGCATATTGTTGAGGAAAAAAAATTGTATTCATTGAATTTTAGACTGCATTTTTTTTTTTTTTTTTTTTTGTGAACTGTGGAACTATATAATATATGTTGCCCTTGAAGAATCATATTACAGGTACGTGTGTATATGCATTTTTCAGAACTATTTTCCCTGGTAGCACATGATCCATACTTGCAGAATATAACTTTTGTTGGCACTTTGGGCATTAGCAATTTTATATTTTGTCACTGAAAATTGTCAAATTTTGCCTCACAGGCTAGAAGAAGTTCATTTACAGTATATATGCCAGGGTTCAAATGGGTTAAGACTCACTACATCAAATCTGCTAAGGCCAAGTTTGATTGCTGGATGGTTTACAAAAAGACAAATATGCAATTAATTAATATCATCTCTTTATTTTGGGATTACGTTAATTAAGGGACATCAAGCCTCACTGTTGGACATGTTAGCCTTGCAAAGAAAACACAGTGAGAAATTGGTATTCTATTTGAATTTCTGAAATGAAATGGGGTTTAATGTCCTACTGGTCTGCTCCAAACTGGGCTAATGAAGAGGGGCATACGCTATACAATGTGCTATGGGAAATTTTGCCTGGACAGTGGCACTACGGCCTACTATTGTCTCTTACATTGAATTCCAACTGTCAAGGGATCTTTAATGTGCACGCCAATGCGTACACAGGACCTCGGTTTTCCGTACCATCCGAACGACTAGACAGCTGTCCTTGTTAGGCCCTCCATCCTGCATCACTGACAAGGGGGAACCACGCCGGAAAATCTGGATGAACTTTCTCGGCCAATGCAGGAATTAAACACCCGACCTCCTGGCTAGTGAGCCAGCGTCTTACCCATCAAGATCCCCCTTTCTCTATTGACATCTTCAGTGAAGCGGTAGAAAATAATATCTTCCTTTTGTATATGCAGCTTACATACATTTTTCAGCTATCTAATTGTTTATTCCAGATAGGGCATATGTTGTAAGAACTTTCCAGTGAAATTGTAGGAATAAAATATTTGGGTGGTGTTCAGATAGCTGCCCCTTCGATTTCTCTATGGTATATAAATGCATCCAAAACTTGGATAATGGAGACCTGATCTTCAAAATCACGAATGATCCTGCAACTGACAGATGGGAAAGAAATTGAAGAAGACTAACATTTAAACAACATAAGCAGGATTCTGATGTATTTGCGATCTCATATTTACAGTATAATTATGAAAAGAGAAAAATGTTTGATATAAATCCTGTTTTTAAATGAATATTACAATCATACTTTTACTGAAATAATAGAAATCTACAAACTCTTCTTTATGGAATTTCATTGCACTGATGTTTTATACATATGTTGGATCATTTACATGTGACACAAGCAGAAATTTTAATGAAAGCAAAAACTTCTTGTATTTAGAATATACAATTTATAAATAACACTTACCATAAGTGTTTAAACTCATGACTATGATGCATGCAGACAATTACACAAAATTAACTTTGAATTACAAAGTTTTAAATACAAACAATAATAATGATGATGAATATACTATATAGAACATGTTCAGTTATATTTTTTTCTATGTTTAGTTTTTATAAAGAAAATGAGCACACAGGGAAGCAATACAAAATCAGATAACCTGAAACAAGAAAGAAACAAACAATGATATTCATTAGTTATGAATAATACAGCAATGTACTTGTATGTTTCTTTTGCATTGACAATCATGGCTATTTTCAAATATACAACATTATATAGTATAAATATTTATAATATGATAACTACAATTACTGCATACTGTATATAGGATGGTTTACTGATTGTTTCAATATTACTGTAACAACATCATAAAACTGAGGTTTATCTACAGAAACTAATATTGAATAAACGGTCAGGGTTTAGATTAAAATGTTTGGATTCAGAAATGCTCTATATTTAATATTCTTAGCATATTGTTTAAAATCTTAAAACTTCGAACTCTATATAGCATGTGTATAAACCCCACTTATTTACTATGTTTGAAACGGTAACGTTGGATTAATACTTGTAATAAACCATGAAATATCATTCATCACAGAGATAATATGTAATAAAGATAAACAGAACACACAAGGCTGGCCATTACAAGATATTTTACAAATGGAAGAAACTTAAACATGCTCTACTAAAGGAAATAATTCCCTTTTCCTGTTGATGACTTGTAGGTTTATCCTAACAAGGCTCCAAGGTTGTTAAAACATTTATTTTTACAATGATTTCATGTGGCTAGTGAAGGCATTTATCGGTTTATTTAACAATGTTTATTATTTTTTTTACACAATATAACAAAATGGATATAAACTATCTCCAATCTAGTGAAAACATTACAAAAAAAAAAAAAAAAAAATACCATTCAACATTAAAATGACAAGTCAAATTTTTCTAACAATGGTGATCTGTTTATATACAAAATGACTTCAAATACTGTTGTGAGATTGATTTATGATGTGAGAGGAGAACTTTTTACAGTATTAAGTTTTAACACTAAGATTTCAATGCAAAATAAAAAAAAAGCAATAATTTATTTGTACAGATATCAAGCACCTATTGAAGAAATTTCATTGTCTTTTTAATTCTGGTAAATTACAATTTCACCAGTTTACATTCACTGTATATATACAGAAACACATTTCAGTCTATTATCACTATATATCATATTTATTGTTTAATATACCACAAGTATGTACTTCAATAACACTACATTATGTTTCAGTCATTATATAATTAATAGGAAACATAACCCACTTCACAAAATACAGTTATATTTTTATACTTTAGTCCATTTCATGTATAAAATCTCGCATCAATAATGACTATTTCACAATCACACTACACTGTTACACTATTAGTCAAAAACTTTTGTTTATAGTTCACACAAAACCATTATGTTGTTATTATAGTATTATTCATCACTTTTAAATACACACTTTATTCCGTATTCAATTGACAATACTTTTCAGGGTAGTTTTATGTTTTACCCCACCCACCTAAAGCACCATATGTGAAACATCACTCCCATTTTCTTCAAATAGAACATCAAAACTTTCAGTCAAAACAAACATTTCCTTCTATGTTTTGGTTTTCCAACTTTCATCTATAATATTTGTCGATTTGAGTTAACCTTTAAAACATTTCTTCAAACGAGGCCATTATGTCACTTTGGGCATTCATGTCTATATTAGTCGCCAACTAAAAAATAAAAATAAAAATGATGCAATTAGGAACTCCAAAGTGGAATTTATGAAAAGTACATTATTAGCAAAATTGACTCTTCTATTTAAAATCAATCAATTCCCTCGCCAAATGCTCATCAATCAAGCATTAACAAGGTTAAACAAAGTGAAACAAAGGCCATAACTCAGATGTATTGTAAATTGCTGAAATTCAATAGGATCCTTCCTTTTATTAATTTAAATGACGCATAGAAATAACTCTAGAATTAATAAACGGAAATTGTTAAAATGCTATAGGATTCTTTTTTTTTTTACTAATTTAAATTACAAGGGCCATAACTCTAGAATTAATAAACGGAAATTGTTCAAATGCTATAGGATTCTTCTTTTTACTAATTTAAATTACACATAAATTTCATACAGATCAGCAGGTAACTTTTGATGTTAGAGCGTTCACAAGGTGCAACAAAGTGAAACAAGGGCCATAACAGTAAATTGCTGAAATTCCATAGGATTCTTCGTTTCACTAATTTAAATAATGCATATAAATTTCACACAAATCGGACGATAACTTCAGGTGTTAGAGCGTTCGCAAGGTCGAATGAAGTGTAACAAGGGCCATAACTCTAGACATAATAAATGGAAATTGCTGAAATTAAATAGGCCTCTTCGTTTCACTAACTTAAATAATGCATATATATAATTTCAAAGATCGGATGATAACTTTTGGTGCAAGAGTGTTCACAAGGTTCAAGAAAGTGAAACAAGGGCCATAATTCTAGACATAATAAACGGAAATTGCTGAAATTGAATAGGCTTCTTCATATCACTAATTCAAATAATGCATATAAATTTCACAAAGATCTGATGTTAACTTTGGCATTAGACTTTGAGCATTCACAAGGTGCAACAAAGTGAAACCAGGGGCATAACTCTAGACTAATACACAGAAATTATTGAAATTAAATAGGCTTCTTCATCTCACTAATGTAAACAACATATATCAATTTTAAAACAATCAGATAATAACTTTTGGCATTAAAGTGTTCACAAGAAATTGTGGACGACGGACAGGGGCGACGGCAATATACGTCCAGTGAATACTCAGTTGGGATAACACGTTTTTTCGCATTTTCTTAGTGTGCTGTTCAAAATTTCTCGGCACACTTAAGTAATCGCGCAGCACACCGGTTCAGAATCACCTATGTACGTGAACACCTACTTTTTCTGAAATGATCACCTGTGCTCATGCTAAAGCAACACATTACAGATTGATCAGTAACTTGAACACCCGAGTCAGAACAAAGGGTCCAGTGTGCAACTAATTATACAATACATATTATAAATGTCTAACTGGAAACACATGGAATTGATCATTAAAAATAATACTTGGGTTACATGGTCATATTGATTTCCACCTGCCACGAGTTTTTTCTTATACAAGCATGATATTGTGTTTTCATTGTCAGCCCCACAAATGAGAACTGACTTGTTAAATAACAGTTTATTCTGGGCCCATGTTTGGACTTTGAATGCTGAATATTATAAAGGACATCTAATTAAGTTCTTACAGCTTCTCTACGTCTTCGTTCCTGTTCTCTCTGGCGCTGCAACTCCTTCTGTCTGTTTACGGATTCAAGTTCTTGTTGTCTAGTAGCTTCTTGTTGTCTTGCTAAATCTTCTTGTCGAGCTTGAGCTTTACGGGCCATTTCTAGAGCTTCATCTTCATCTTTTTCTCTGGAGAACAAAATATCATACATTAATTATGTGTACATATACAGTAATTACATATATGGATAGGATCTGTTATGGAAAAAAATCAATAAAAAAAATATTGATCAATTTGAAACTGCGAAAAAAGATTACATAGCAAGTTTGCGCTTGATTAACTGATAACCTGAAGATGATTCAATTGATTCACACATAGTATGATTTAATATATGATAAAACACTATTGATTGATCAACTCCTCTCTAGAAACTCATTAAAGTCTCTGAGTGTCATTTAAGAGATTGAGGAATTCCTTGCAATAGCCCCCGGTTGAATTTCAATTTGACCACATTTTAGCATTAAGCTGTGAAAAATAAATTCCTAAAGATGCAAATAATGCTAAGACTTTAAGCTTTTGAGCCAGAAGAATGAGATAACAGTGATTTGAACAAGACAAAATACCTCTGTCTCTCTTGTTCCATTCTAACTCGATCTCTTTCAGCTTTTTCTTTCTGCTGTTGTCTTCTAACTGCCTGTTCTTGTATCATTTTCTCCTACAAATAAGTTAAGATTATTAAATTAATGCAATGATTCACTGATAAGTACAATTTATCATATATTTTCCCCATACATTTCCTGATTAAATTATTCATACTAAAAGAACATGTTTCTTTATGATAGGGAAAGTCCTGTTATTTTTTTTTTCATTATTTTAATGATCAAAAGTATATAGAACCTACCCTCTCTTCCTTTTCCTTGGCTTGTTTTTTAAATTGTTCAAAACTACTCATGGCATTGGATTTTCTTCCACCAGCTTGATTGCTGTTTGCTCCCATTGCTAAACTGGACCATGAATTAGCATTCTTTAACTTACAATCCTGCTATTAAACAAATAATACGGAAAGACATTAGATAGCCTATTTTTGCGACAATGATAATTTCTAACCGGTAAAGTATTGATTAATTTTTGTATGACTACATGTCCCAGGTGCGGCTCATGATGATCTTTGGAGTATAACGGCTGAATCTTGGATTAGGATCAGCCATTTTTTCAAAGATAATATTATATCAGCAAAATAGATGTAATTTAAAAAGGAAATCAAGTGATAAGTGTATCAATGCTTTGTTCTGTTGTTTTTTCAACCAAGATCATACTAATAGATAACCAGTGGCTGCCAGGCAGGATACGCCCACATTTTGCAAGAGATGGATAGAGAACAAGCTAAAAACACGATTTTTTGAACAATTAGGGGCCATAATCCAGAAAGTTATGGTCTGAAATGCGCAAATATCAAAAGGGACTTAGATGTTTGGAATATAAAGACATGTTTTAAGTTTTATCAAAATCGGATAAAAATTGTGACCTCTAGAGGGTCCATAACCTTTGTATTACATACTTGTACACAATTTGCGTACAAAGAACGGCCATTTGGTCGGTCAGTTTCATTTCGAATTTCACGAAATTCCAATTCAACCTTCATTATGATGAAATGGTGATATATCTAAACAGTTTTTAAAATCGGAAAAAAAATTGACCTCTAGAGAATCCGCAAGCTAAAAATGCGATTTTCAACCAATCAGGGGCCATAATCCAGGAAGTTACGTTCGTATATAATATGTGTGATTATCAAAAGGAACCAAGATCTTTATGATAAAAACATATTTAAAGTTTCATCCAAATCGGATGAAAACAGTGGCCTCCAGAGGGCCCACAACCTTGATATACCATATTTTTACACTATTATTACTAAAGGCGTCCAGTTTTTTCTGATTTTCACGAAATTCAAACTCAACCATCATTAGTGTATAACTGTGATATATTAACACACTTTTTTCTAAATTGGATAAAAATTGTGACCTCTATAGGAACCACAAGCTCAAAATGCGATTTTTTGTACAATCAAGGACTATAATTCAGGAAGTTACGATCCGATATGCGCGAATATCGAAAGGAACCAAGATCTTTGGGTTATAAACATGCATTTCAAAATTTATCAAAATCGGATCAAAATTGTGACCTCTAGGAGGTCCACAATCTTGATATACCAGATGTTTACACTATTTGCGTATGAGGGGCGGCCATTTTGTCTGACAATTTTGGTCTGATTTGCACGAAATTCAAACTCAACCATCATTAGGGAGTAACGGTTATGTACTAAAAAGGTTTTTTTTAAATCCGATAAAAATTGTGACCGCTAGAGGGAATACAAGCTAAAAGCACGTTTTTTCCTGCAATCAGGGGCCATAATTCAGGAAGTTACGATTATCGAAGTTATCGAAAGGAATCTAGATCTTTGGGTTATAAGCATGCATTTCAAGTTTCACCAAAATCGGATCAAAATTGTGACCTCTAGGAGGTCCACAATCTTGATATACCAGATGTTTCCTCTATTTGCGTACGAGGGCCGGCCATTTTGTCCGACAGTTTTGGTCCAATTTTCACGAAATGAAATGGGGTTTAACGTCCTACTGTCCTGCTCCTATACTGGGCTAATGAAGACGGGCATACGCCATACAGTGTGCTATGAGGGAAATTTTGCCCGGGCAGCGGCACTATCGCCTACTCTTATATCGAATTCCATCTTCGCTTTGTTTACTGTAGCAATATTAATCAAGACTATGCTATTCTTGTCAAATGTTAGGAATCCATAGCTTCGCTCGGAGTAAAGTAATTTGACTGAAATTTTCAATATATTCTCTTTTCATTATCTCTTTTGAAACTATTATAACAAGCTTTTTTATCTTAATCTTACATAACACATCTTTAATAACTGGTATAGTTCATCATATTTTACTTTGGAAAACTAAATAACGCTGAATGATACCAACCTGACCATTTAATTTTTGGAACAAAGATATTAGTTTTATAAAGTTGCACAGCATAAGAATTTCAAAAGCTTTTCTGGCCAAATTTAGGAGTTTTATATATTTACTAAAATTTATCTATGATGGCTTCCTCAATTCAGAAAAGATAATTAATTTGCTATAAATGGCTTCCTCAGTTCAGAAAAGATAAAACTTTATCTGGCCTAAATTAATCTGGATTAATAGACCCCCCAATAAATTATATAAACAAACCTTTTTTAAATTTGATTGTTCCAGCATTGTTTGTTGTGAGAGTTGACCAGGAGAAGGTTTATTACTTTCTGTTTTATTATCACGATTTTGACCTTTAATACCAGAACCAACACTAAATGAAACTCCAACACCTGTTGCAGCTGTAATAAGATATAAATTGAAATGAGCAAGGCGAGTAGACTAAAAATTCAAAATTTAAATTTAAGAGGAATCACATTGACTTGATCTTGCATGGTGATACTCACAGAAATATTATTGGTAATACTTTAATACTATAATCATCACATTACAGACTCTTTGATTCTAATGCTAAAACATTTTTTGTTCCCCTATATGTTTCGGGCCGGGAAGTATATTGAAGTGAACTTATTAAAGTAGGCCAACGACAGGATCAATACTTACAAACTGTAGCACCTGGCGGGGCAGGTTTCAAAGAAGGTTTGGGACTGTTTGATTCCTCATCGCTCAGTTTAAATGTATAGGCATCTTTACTTCTCTCACTAACAGTGGGAGGAAGAACTGGAGACATTGGTGCTAATTCTGTTAGAGGTGCAGGTTTGCTTTGTGGGGAGATGGTCGACATTGGAGGAGACAGATTTTGTGAAGACAACATATTTGAGTTATAGCCACCCATGTTATTAATACCGTTGTTGTTAGTAGGTAATGTGGTATTTCCACTAGACATATTGCTGCTAACTGAAACATTTGTTGTATTAACAGCATATGGTCCATTCCCAGTTAAGTTGTTACTATTCATTGGAACTGCAATAAGAAATAAAATGTAATATCAACAATAGATAACTCCCTTAAGATATTCAACTTTCATAATATTGCAGTTTGCAAGGACATAATAACCTCTGAACTGATTATCCGATTCATTAATTTTTTAAAATATAAATTACCACATGACCATGCACAGAATTCTGTGGACAGCAGTTCTGTGCATTACTCACATTTTAACTAACAGGTTTACAAGTAATAGAAAAACTTACTGGTACTTTTGGTCTGAGGTTTAGCTGTAGCCATACTAGACGGTCGACTTGGCTGCTGTGGTAGATTGTGAGTTATAGGCCTTGCCGGTGGGGCAGAAGCTACAATAGTAATCAAGAACAACGTCTAGCATAACAAGCTCTTTTAAAATTTATTTGAAGGATTCTTGTTATAAAAGCCAGCATACAGTTTCTTTGGTACATCAGTTAATGGCAAAGTATGGAAAGTAATCCTTTCTACAGGAAAGGTCTGTGAGAATTTCATTTAATTAAAAATATCTATTATAACTATTTTGTATGCTTTCCATTTTTGCTTACGAGGACATTTGTTATTACTACTTAGGATTTGATTACTGAATTAGTTGATTTGTAATTTGCATTAAAGAAATTTTATGAAATCAGTTGAACATCCTACTTTTCTGCTCCATATAGGCTAATGAAGACGGGCATATGCCATCCAGTATAGTTTGAGGGAAATTCTGTCTGGATCTTGACTAACAGTGCTTTTATTTTGAATTCCAATTGTCACAGGGTGCTTTTACGTGCATGCCATTTATGCATATTCACAGGGGCATGACAGGGCCCTTTTATGCGCACCAGGCAAAATAGTCATCAGTGTTAGCTATTAAAACTTAATACTGAATAGATAACTTAATTTTGTTATTGAAAATTATAAATTTTTATAAGGTTTAATTTTCATGCACAAATTAAACTGGTGGTCGTGTGATTAGGAGATTGGACTCACAACCAGAAAGTGTGTCTAGTCCTTCAGATGGTATTACAGACCTAACCAAAGAGAATTATTTACTATGAGTCTCAAAATAAGATAAGTGTCAACCATATTGCATTCAATCAATCCACCGCTGCAAACCTAATCCAGGGAGATAACTCAATCTTACTTCGAATGTTATTTTCAATATGATGACCAAATAAACAAGTTAAATTTAGGTGGGGATTGCAATAACAAAATTCTGAATTTTGAAAGGGATGAATTTTTTTTTTTACCAAATATGAAAAACATCAAAAACTCCCCAGCAATATGCTCACAAGGAAAGTGAATGGACAGACCAAAATATGACTACAATATACATCAAAATCACATTTGTGAGTATAAAAATTATAATACCTCTTCCAGGCGATATTGATTTGCTAGACTGCATTCCTGTTGTAGGAAGATTAGCAGGAACATTAGCAATCCCAGGAGGAAAGGAATTCTGAGACACATTTCTTGGTGACAAAACAGGTGGTGGAGAGGTAACTACAGCAGGACTACCTCCAATCATTATTCGAACAGGCGGAGATCTTCCAGGGCTTGGCTAAAATAAAGTCTTTTATTGAAAATATGGACACATACATCACATTAACAGCAAAAATAGATTTTGTAATTGAGCAAATCCATGTATAAAAGGCCCTTTTGACAATGGCCTAGATGGTATGAAAAAGATAGTTCAATTATTTTCATTGTGTGAGGTCCTTTATTCTGGCATGTGGGGGGTTTAATATACTACCAAAGATCCCACTACTTACACTACAATATCTATTAAAGATGCAGATCGTTATTAGCATTTTCAGAACATAATCTAATTTTTCTCAACAAAATTGATTTACATTAAGAAAACAAAACCAAATGAAATGAAAAGGATTTGCGTCCTACTGTTCCAAAATTAAAATATCAACAGTAGATAATCTACTGGGTTTGGAGACATGGGATTTAGCGTCCACTTGACACAACTAGGTCATTTCTGGACTAACATAGGGTTCAATTTAATTTCAATAATTTCCATAGGGGTATTCAGCTGTTGAAGGAAACCAGAGAAAACCCACAAGGTTGGACAGGTGACCCTACATCTTGTCCATACAAGCAGGGAATTGAAACCAAGCCACTTTACTCATAGACAGACATTGCGATCTAACAAGTTAATCTATTTGGCCAGGTGGCACTAGCTTCTTTGTACTGTTTACAGAATGTAGCAAAATTTCAATTCATCACATTGTAAATAAATTGAACCCGTTTTGGATTGATATTTCTTTTAGAGATTCATATTTCACTATATAGTAGATCGGAAATGACTAAAAAAATCCATTAAATAACAATCAGAAGCTTTAATTGGAAATATCTTATCAAATAATTGTTCCTCTTGGATTTATGATTTGAGAAATAAAGTTACCTGTGCATGTTTTATTGATGTCATTTTTGTCTTTGAATGACTTTTTTTCTTTTCTGTAAAAAAATTATATTTTTTGGATAATTACTCTTTATTTTAACTAACTGAATCTGGTCCATGACACAATAAAAGATAGGTTGCCAGGCAACGAAACATACGCCCACAGCAGCTAAATCGTCCGGGCAGTCAACATGCGTTGTCACATATTAGTACTTTTGTTTGTAATGAAACATTTATAATACACTAAAATCTGATCAAGAGTAACAACTCATTAAGTAATTATCAGAAAATCATTAGAATTTGTTTGGCCCATGCTAACGTTTAGTATACAAAACATTTAATATCATGGATTTAGCTGTTCAAGTTACCAAAAATCATTGAAAATCAATATACTTGTTCGTCTCAAGACCTTAAACTCTGTGTATCAATCTGAAGTCAATCGAAACGATTATATATAGGCGTAAACACGGTGTATAAATATAAAATCAGATAACTATGGTCTATAAAGCATCCACAAGATTTTTCAAAGTGATCAAGGGCAATAACTCTGGCAGTAATTATCGAAATTCGTTAAAAATCAATAGGATTCTCCGTCTCAACCTTAAACACTGTGTATAAATATAAAGTCAATCGGATATTAACTTTAGCCTCCACAAGATTTTTCAAAGTAATCAAGGGCCATAACTCTGGCAGTGATTATTGGAAATTGGTGGAAATCAATAGGCTTCTTCGTCTCATGACCTTTAAAACACTGTATAAATATAGAGTCAATCGGATATTAACTTTAGCCTCTAAAGCGTCTACAGGATTTTTCAAAGTGATCAAGGGCCACAACTCTGGCAGTAATTATTGGAAATTGGTGGAAATCAATAGGCTTCTTCGTATCATGACCTTAAAAACACTGTATAAATATAGAGTCAATCGGATATTAACTTTAGCCTCTAAAGCGTCTACAAGATTTTTCAAAGTGATCAAAGGCCATAACTCTGGCAGTAATTGCTGGTGGAAATCAATAGACTTCTTCGTCTCATGACCTTAAAAACACTGTATAAATTTAGTGCCAATCGGATATTAACTTTAGCCTCTAGAGCGTCTACAAGATTTTTCAAAGTGATCAAGGGCCATAACTCTGGCAGTAATTATCGGAAATCAGTGAAAATCAATAGTCCTCTTCGGCTCATGATCTTAAACACTGACACTGTATAAATTTTAAGTCAATCGGATATTAACTTTAGCTTTGAGAGCATCCACAATGGATGACGACAATATATGACCACATTTGAATGCTGCCGTATAACAATCCTCATTTCATTTTGACAAGTTACCCAACATTTCAATTGGAGAGAGAGAAATTGGGTTTGACGTCCACTTGACACAAACTAGGTCATTTTGTGAATAAAACATGGTTCAATTTTATTTTAATAATTCACTAGCATGTAGGGGTCTTTAGCAGATGGAGGAAACCGAAGAAAACCCACGAGGTTGGACAGGCAACACTATAGCTTTGAGAGCATCCACAATAGACGGACTGGGGTGACGACAATATATGACCACATTTGAATGTGGCCGTATTGCTCTGTGGAGGGTAGTTCTCTGGTTCACCATGGATGGCATGGATTAAAATATATTGATGCTAAAAACCACATGTAAGATAGGCCATGTTTTATTCAACCTCTCTAACTCTCAAGTACTCCAATAAAGAACAAAGGGGGGGGGGGGGGAACTCTTCCATGAAAGGTGGCATTACTATATGACAGTGTAACAATCCTCATTTCATTTTGACAAGTTACCCAACATTTCAATTGGAGATAGAGAAATTAGGTTTAAGGTCCACTTGACACAAACTAGGTCATTTTGTGAATAAAATATGGTTCAATTTTATTTTAATAATTCACTAGCGTGTAGGGGTCTTTAGCAGTGGGAGGAAACCGGAGAAAACCCACGAGGTTGGACAGGCAACACTATTCCTCGTCATGTACAAGCAGGGAATAGAAACCAAACTCGACTCATATGAAAGACCTTATGATCCAACATGCACGATTACAACTGAACGTTAATGACAACAGTTAGCAAGCTATAACAGGATGTATGTTTGGACATCTGCAACCGTGTGTCTATGAATTAGATACTTTGTCCCCGCATTTCAGTCCACTTGGTGGTAACTGAGCACAGGTAGGATATTTTAAGGTATATTCAATGTAGCAAGAATATCTATACATGTACAAAGAAATGAAAGTAAGGGCTCAGTTAAGAATGCTACTGGAATTAATATGACATCAGAAGGTTTGAACACTTGAAATAGAAATCGACCAGGCTGTTAAGGCCAGAATATAACCTGACAATTGATCAAGTTTTTATGTAGTTGGTATACTTTAACTTACTTCCACTCTTTAACGGGCAACAAAATGATTTGATTGTTAAACACAGGCAAGCTGTCCCTTGGATCATAATTAGCCAAATCTCAAACTTCCTTTTAGCATGTTCATAAATAAGAATTTTATTGTGTACTTGTTCTTTTACAAAATTTATCTTCATTGTAGGTTAATCATAAAATTCTGATTTGTAAACCTGCTAGAAACACAGCAAATTTGATTGACTAATTATAATTTTTTCAGTTTATTCCATTACAATAAACAGAAGTCATCTTTGCATCATTAGCTATATCAACTTTATTGAGGAGATTTACCAACATAAAACTGTCATTCACATATTGTGGTATTTCTACTAAGACTGAAAATATTTTCAGAAAGCAAACGGACATTTTGGGGGTTAAATCTTGAACTGCCCGATAAAGAATCACAGTTTAGTGTGTTCACCAAGGTGGCTTCAATTACATTTAGATGACCCGCCCCCATTCCAAGTGGTGAAGATATATTCCTTTAGTTTACATGGACTGAGGAACTTATCTTTCCCTAAAAATCTCTTTAAAATCAACTGTAACAATGGTTTGTAAATGATCTGAATGTTCATAATTCAATTTGATTTTGAATGAATCTACAGATTTTCAGTACATGTAGGTGATCTTGATAAAATCTCTGTAAGACATCTCCACTGGTTTACAGAATGTGCCCCGTCCCAGCAAGCATTTATCATACCTTACATCTTACCAGAGTTTACCCCCTTTTCATACCAATATAAATCTTCTTAATTTATACTTGTCTCGGCCAACTGCATGTTGATCTAGCTGTTTTCATGTTAGTATCAAAATATGGTACAACAATAAAATATTGACTAATTAAAGCAAGATTTCGAGGCATTTGGGGAGGGGGGGGGGGGATGTCCATCAAGTGCAGAATGTATTAAACAAAATCATATCCTTAAGCCCAACATGGAAAAAATAACTATAATTGTTTTATCGGATTTATTGATGATTTCTATGAGTAAATGATATGACAATGATAAATTATATACAAAAATGTTTCATCTTTGTAAGAAATGTACAATTCACTTTGATACAATGCTTTATATATAGAGATATAACAAATAATCATTCTTTTAAGAATTTGTAGACAGGAAAAAAATAGATAGCAAATGAGCACGACACAAAATAATGCAATAAATGCCTACAATGTAACAATTAGAGCATGCTTTGGACAAGAGTAACAAATAGTTTGGTGTAAGTTCACCAAGTCTTCATAAATAATTTTGATCAATAAAAAGTTCCAGGAGCGAAATGGTGGGATTTCTATTAGACTGCCATGGAGTGCAAATATGTGATTTCTTATGAGGCCAGTCGCGACTTGCGCTCCTGTGAACTTGAGGATATCCAAATAACAAAGGGGAGTGTATTATGATTTGGATGTAAAAAAAAAAAAAAAAGTAGAAAAAAAAAGCACCATTCAAAAATGAATTATTATGCTAAGAATTGATATTATATTCAAGTCTACCATTCACTGAGAAATGGATGTTGGGTTAATATAATAACCCACCTGGTCATATGACCATATAGCTGCCAGTCTACAGGACTGACCTCGTTAACACATTCTGCACTCGATGGCTTACATTTGAATAAGGGACCAACCCAACATTTGACCAAATATACCAGTGTGTATATTATATACAGTATGATATACCAATCATTCAATAACACAACATAGCACTATAAACCACTAGTCTCTCACCCCTCTATACAAATAGTGTATCTGTTAGCTTGACCCTTTAATGTTAAGCCCAAAGGCCCGAAAGCCAGCAGAGGTTTGCACAGCACCCGTTTTTGCCTTAATATTTCCTAACCTGATTCTGAGTCACTGGATTCAGAGGAACTAGAAGAGCTGCTACCACTACTACTTTCACTACCAGATGAACTACTACTGCTTGTTAGTCGACTTGGACCACCAACCACATCAACAGTGTTACTTTCTTCTGAAAAAAATATTTAGTCAAGATCATATCTTACAGGAAATAAGCTTTGTTTCCAGATGTTTTATCTTAATTATCCAAGTTACTGATTTAAGCTTCAATGTTGTCAGACTATCAAATCGCCACTTGATGCCTGATGATTTGATACATTTTGAATATTCTACTTTACATGCAATTTTATGCAATATGACAGTTTTGTATGTTAAAAGATTGATTTTTAACAATTGATCTGATATTTGTAAGAATCTGTTTCTGGTAAATTATTACATACAAGTAGCAATATTGTTCATAAAAAACAGTCTTTGCATGGAGTTTAAAACATACTATTATTATGTTCATCTATTAACTTAATCTGACAAAACTTCACATTCTCAAATATGTTTTAAAATTTTCTTAAATTGGTAAATACAGGAGGAGAATTTCTAAGTTAATTTGGATATTCAATAATTATGATTAAAGCTGATTAACAACGACAAATTGTTCTGTCTGCCTTGCATCTGTTCTGCCTGGCATCGCTTTTTTTTTAAGATCGACATACATTTATACATCAGAAATTGTTTTATATACATCAGAAATTGTTTTATAAACGGAAACTTCAGTTGATAATAAATCTTGAATATTACTTCCAAACAAATTGTTTAATGACCAAATACATCGACATACCTTTCTTTATTTTTTTTGCTGAAGTCCCAAGCTGTTCTTGAACACCCTGAAGTCTCATTTCTAATTCTTTTTTTCTTTCTTTTTGAACATCTTCTTTAGACTTCCCACTGGCTTTTCGAACTAAAGAGATAAATGATAGCTATTTATCTTGTCACTGTATTAAATACAGAATTTAATCATCTACGATTAAGTGAAGATTAAAGATCAGTAATTTTCACCTGATTAGAGATTAGGCTATGAGAGTAATAGTTTAGAAATCTTCAACTTACCATATGGTTTCTTTTGTTTCTTTTTTAAACAGGACATCACATAAGATTCCAGTTCTCTGAGTGTGGATGGCTTTAATGTTTCAAAATCTATTTCAATCTCATCTGGATTGGAATCTCGCAGGGACGGTTCTCTTGACTGAATTATGTGTACAACACGTCCAAGCTTATCGCCTACAAAACAAAACATTAAATGTGTACTAAAAGTAATATCGGTGCCTCAATTAAAGTCAAATTCTTTTGTACACACAATACAGAAATAATCATAATTGTCTCTATGAGGAACTGAACTGTGTGTAGAAACTATTACTAGTTGCAAGCATTAGCCTTTTTGCTTTCCGACTTGAAAATTTGCAATTCATGATGTTTTATAAGCTTGGTTAAATATGGTAACACATTGAATCATTTAACAGATTCACTACTTTATAAGCACCTGGCCTACTTTTGAGAAGATAAATCAATGTCCGAGCGAGACAATCTAGTGATACTGCATAAGGGCGTCGACTCGTGTGCTGTATCAAAAATATTGTGCATTGTCTTAAAATTTAAAATACAGACACTATCCTGCATGTAAATTGTTATGAAATCGTGATTGCCATGTTGCCCATAAATTATTTAATAAGATAGCACGCCATTAAAGGACGATGTCACATCTGTATTTTACATTTGTTACTACCTACAAATGTACTCTATATCTACTCCTACCACAATTTTCTTCACACATTGTGACATGATGAATGTTAAAGCTGGATTTCATTTTACCACCGTAATCATTAAATTTCTTTGAATAAAATCTATGCATACACTAGTTATTGTCTTTCAGTTAATATGGCTACCTATTATTTACTAAATTGTAAGAAGAGCAAATCCATTAAATATGTCCCTTTACTTCCACAAAATCTTTGAAAGATCAAGTTTTCTATAAAGAGAGAAGTGAGGTATAATAACTTGCACGTAGGGGGTCTTTATAAGTGGGAGGGACCAAGAAGACCCAGAGAAAACCCATCAAGTTTGTTTTCAAAAGAAATTCAGCTTAAACATTATCACAATTTTGAATGCTTATAATAAACTGCACACAACACATAATCTGCAACACATTATTCCTCACAAATCACTATAGCACTTCCAAATTGAACAAACACACTTTCCTGCCAGTATGCCTTACCTGGCAATTTGTTAATGTCTAAACTAAGTTGACGTTTTTCATCATAAGTCATTGGTTGGGCATTGTCCTCATCCTCACTATCAGGAGGTGGTATTAAAGGTAAACTAGGAACTGATTTTTTCTTGGAACTAGAAGCTCGACTGTTAATAGATTTTGGTCGTTTAGAATTGCGCACAGGAGATTTAGCTTTGGCTTTTTTCTTTGGTTTAGGAGTCTCTAAAGGTACACTAGCTACGGGAGGGGGAGCCACTACTGTTATTTCCTCTTTATGCACTTTGTCTTTCTTTTCTTTTTTCTTTTTCTTTTTTTGTTTCTCCCGTTTTTCTTTTAATTTACTCATATGTTCTGATGTCAACTTAGAAAGTTGCTCCTGTACTCTTTGTAACTGAAACAAAAAGCTTCACGATTACAATTAAGCAAATTTCAATTACAGTCATCCTTGATTCATACAATCTGATTAAAATACAGATCAATACTTTCAATTGCTTACACTACATGAAGATCTGACCAGTTGTTTTGGGAGGTCACATGAGCGACTTTTGACCCTATAACGTTAGAATATGATAATAAAATGTTAAAGTAATCAGACTTCACATTAATCTTACCCCATCAGCATCAATTTATATCGGACTAAAACATTCATAAAACATGGACATCCCAGTCAAACATTAATCTAGCTTGATAGGTCATTTGACACGCATGATGTCATCATTTTACTAAGACAGATGTAAAGAAAACCAGATGCCAAAATAACAACAATTTCATCCTAATAGCAGACCTATCTTAATTAAACAAACAGGTATTAAATAATTTCCCCCAAGACCATAATCAACTTTCGACGCCATATGATGGCTGCAATATAAGTAGATTTAAATACGTTTTGTGGTCGAGGCAGTCACCGTAAAAATAGATAATTGAGACTGCTTATTATCATAACGTAGTAATGACAATCGAAGCTAGGCTAAAATTGTATCGCCAATATCTAGGCTTAAGAGTGAAGCATATTCTCTTTTCATTATCTTATTTATTATTTTTTTTACGATTATAGCGAAAACTGTCAGCTCTTTATCTAATCTTACATGTACCTAATGCCGCTTTAATATGATAAATACATGATTTGTCATCTGCACCTAGTTAGATTGTCATGAAGGAAGAAGCAAAACAAGCATTTGTGCTACGCTTATTGAACATGATATGTTGTTGGGGTAATTAAAGGACAATATTGGTGTCAGTCATTATCACATATGTGATAGAACTGGTTACACACGTTCCAAATATTATTTTATCACCGAGATCATTGCTACGATAGATGCGTAATCAATGCTTAAACAAGATATTAGCCTTTGAAGGTTTGACAAGATGTGTGCAATAATTTCAACCATCGTAATGGTTGTTCGAAGCTAAGTCTCACTCCTCAAATTTTTAGCTTAAATCAAAATATGACTGAACTGTTCTAATCTTTTTAATATCGGAGAAATCCGATGCCACCGAGAGTTGATTATGGCCTGGATAAGTTGTCTAATAATTTAGATTAACATTTCAGGCCTAAAGAAAGACCTGCAAAAGGCAGATTTAGCTCTTGCATAATGTATGTTTAATCCATTACCCAAACTTCTTAAAAGTTACTATACATATTTCTCATTTAAAATGTTCCATTGCCACCATCTTCATCTTGTTCGAGAGCACTGACTAGACCATTATTACTTGCCAAGTTGTCAGTGTTACAAATAATGTCTTATGGGTATGTACTTTAAGTGTATTAGAATCGTTTTAATCAGGCAAAGTAAAAAAAAAAATTATTGTTTAATAGTATGAAACTTATTTGGTACTCACTTGTTCCTGCAATTCCTTTAATTTTTGTTCCCTTTCTTCTTCACTATCATCCTCGTTGTCACTAGAAGCAGCACTGCTGCTAAGTGATGAATCACTGAATTTGCCTTCATCCTTCACACCTAAGGCACCAGCTGAGGGTGGAGTTGGTTCTGGCGTGTTTGGTAATTCATCAGGTATTTTAGCAAATTTGAGCTCAAATACATCCTAAAATTAATTTAAAATGACATTAACTTGTATTTCAACACTTGTGAATGATTAAATTAAACCAGCAGCTGCCAGGCAGGTAAGCCCACATTTTGCAAGAGATGTATAGTAAACAAGAGTTGTCACATATTTTTACTTTTTTCGGTAATGAAACATTTATAATACATAAGAATCTGATTAAGTATTAAGAGTAACAACTCATTAAGTAATCATCAGAAAACCATTAGAATTTGTTTTTTTATAAAGTTCTGCTCCATGCTAACGTTTAGTATACAAAACTTTTAACATCATGGATTTAGCTGTTCAAGTCATAAAGATTCATTGAAAATCAATATACTTGTTCGTCTCAAGACCTTAATCACTGTGTATAAATTTAAAGTCAATCGGATATTAACTTTAGCCTCTAGAGCGTCCACAAGATTTTTCAAAGTGATCAAGGGCCACAACTCTGGCAGTAATTATCGGAAATCGCTGAAAATCTATAGGCTTCTTCGCCTCATGGCCTTAAACACTGTATAAATTTGAAGTCAATCAGATATTAACTTTAGCCTCTAGAGCGACGACAATATATGACCACATTTCAATGTGGGCGTATAAAAATCATAACGAGCCGTCGCACGAAATAGGTCCGTAATAAATTTATTTGCCTTGTTTTAAATACCAATCGAGCAGATCCTATCCACCCGTTTTAAGTATACATTAGCTTGTTTTTGTCAAATTGCGTGCCTTTATTAGAAAGAAGGTTGTGAGGATTGTATAACCTGTAGAGTCTCCACAAACAAATTGTGGACGGACAGATGTTGGTCCGTCAAGACGGACAGGGGCGACAACAATATACGTCCACAAGAAAATGTGGGCTTATAAAAAATTCCAATATAAATTATGAAATTAGTAATAGTAAACTAATTTCTCCTTTCACTATATTCATTCAAGAAGTTGTGAAAAAGCTATTGATCTGAAATCTTTGCTAATAGCACTATACAAACTATCTGAATTTGCATGCGACAAAACTTATGTGAAAATGATTCAGCCAAGCAATGTGAATGAATCTTAATAACTTACTTGTAACCTTTTAGCCATTGACACAATATCTAGATTTGGAGGATTATATCGATAACAATTTGTGAAAATAAGACGAACATCATCTGCAAACTCTGTGCCAGATTTATATTCACGATTATCCATTTTTTTCTGAAAAAAAAACCCCAGCACAATGTTCATAAGATTATATATCCAATTAACCAGTGGCTGCCAGACAAGAGATGGATAGAGAAAAAGCTAAAACAAAAGGTGATTTTTTGTGCAATCAAGAGCTATAATTCAGGAAGCTACGATCCAATATGTGTGAATATCGACAGGAACCAAGATCTGTGGGTTATAAAGATTTTAAGTTTCATCAAAATCAGATCAAAATTGTGACTTCTAGGAGGTTCACCTCCTTGGTATACCATATATTTACACATTTGCGTAAGAGAGCGTATATTTTCTCCAGAAGTTTTGGTTCAATTGTCAAGAAATTCTTAACTCAAGCTTCATTACAGTGGAGGGGGATCACAAGCTAAAAACACAAATTTTCGTACAATCAGGGGCCATAATTGAGGAAGTTACGATCCGATATGCACAAATATCGAAAGGAACTAAGAGCTTTGAGTTATAAATATGCATTTCAAGTCTCATCAAAATCGGATGAAAATTGTGACCTCTAGAGTGTCCACAAGCTAAAAACGTGATTTTTCGTACACTCATGGGTCATAATCCATGAAGTTATGGTCCAATATATGCCAATATCAAAAGGAACCGAGATCTTTCGGAGATCAACCCATATTTTAAGTTTTGTCAAAATCAAATAAAAATTGTGACCTGTAGAGTGTCCACAAACAAATTGTGGCCGGACTGACATACCAAGCAAAGTTAGTCAAGACAGTCACCTAATGAACATCTACATCAAGTTCTAAGTCTACCTCAATTAGAAGCAGAGATATTGTGTAGCACAGTATTGACCAATGGAATTGTTTATATCTGCTTAACCCAAGCAGAAAATGCTCATCGAACTCAATCAAGACATTCACATAATCAACATTCTACCCCAACAAAAAGAATTACAATGTCCCAAAATGTGGACCGACTGACAAACCCATTTCAATAGTCTCTTGTAAAATCAGAAGGCAGGGAACAACAAAACTTCACTTACCTTCACAGTTCCTAGATCCATTGGCTTTTTGATTATTTCATAATAATCATTTAAAGATAAACCTTTGGCATCTACTGGCTTGTAGAAGGGCCATGCATATCCCTAAAACAAAGATACATAGGAGATATATATCAAATAAAATAAATGCTCTACTTCTACAAGACACAGTGTCGTGATTGGCACACACTATCGTCTAAAACAAAACTACTTTAAGTAGGTGTCAAAGCGTCATTGCCCGCCTTGGAAGAAAGTTTTTTTTTTTTCAGGATTTGTAACCCTTTTTGAACTTAAATGTCAAACAGTGGCTACTAAATCTTTTGTAATAATTTTAAAATATTTTGGAAGCAGATATCCTGTTCTTTTGTTTGATATAATTTTTATATACGCGTTTGTTTTATTTATTTCGTAAACTTTTAAGTTTAAAAACGTCAATTTCGTGTGTTGACGTTACGCTGAAAAATTTTGTCACGTTTTGAAACGTGGGTACCCCACTTCAAATGCTCAGCGAGGTCACTCATTATTAATATTTCTTTTTCATTTTAATATTAGAAAGATAATTCAACGATCTTTCGATCGGTCTGGGGAGCTTTGTTGACATTTCAAAATACCATGGTTTTTTTTTTAAGTTGAACACTTCAATTCACATAATCTTTTTTGAGGCATTTTGCCAATATAGCACGCCTGGCTGATCGAAAGTTTGTTTTATTGCCGTTTTGATGCCATTAAAATCAACAAAATCGGAGCATGTTAAGTGACCTTGCCGGGCATTTGAAAATGGTATACATCGGAAAATGTTTTGGAAAATAATAACGTAGTTTGGCATGTGATGACGTCATTTCAACACAAGAAGATAAAAAATAATCTCAAGTTCCTAAGACCCATATTCAAGGTAAATAATGTAACTCAATGTTCAATTTTGACTTGTGGAATATGTCTAGCCTCGTTCTTTCTGGTCACTTGTTACAAATGACGCTGAAATGCACTATGGTACACGATTCGTGTACCAATGGTAAAATGTTTATTTTTTCTTAAATATTTGATATCAGAAGCCTACCTTTTCTTGGTAAGATCACAACATCAATGTTAATTTGAATTGAGAAATAATTTGTGTTTTCAACATGTAAGACTTTGGATGATATTGAATTAGAGACTTAGCTATTTTAAATTATGGCTCAAATTCTGGATTTTCAACATTTCGTTTGAGATTAGGCCTAGTAGTAGTGTGACTAGTAGTGCCGTGGTAAGTCAATAAAATAAATGGCTGTGTACAGTATGTCAGTAATGAGTGAGACAATCGTCATCAATACGGATACCGTACGATTGTCACAAAGGCAATTTAAGTAACACTATTCTAATCGTAATATTTGTAGATATTTCTTAGCTTGTTTATTTCTTTATATTTAAAAACATACCAATATCGAAAGGAACTGAGATCTTAGGGAGATAAACCTATATTTCAAGTTTCGTTGTAATCGATAAAAATTGTGACTTGTAGAGTGTCCACAACCAAATTGTGGACAGGCGTCTGTACGAACGGACAAAGACAATATACATCCATATGAAAATGTGGGCGTATTAAAAAAAAGTTCTGTTTCCCGTAACCCGACCAGCCCATCACAAAATCTGCCGACTCTTAAATTTTTTTTAGTGTCGAGAAATAAAAAACTTTTTTGTTGAACGAGCGATCGTTCAGAATACTCAAAGCCTACCAGCTTCGTGAAAATGCCTATATTATTTGTTGCTATAAATGAATATAAATGTCATCGTTCTCTGAATCTGCATTTACAGCGAACGATTATTAAGAAATGAAATGGGTTTTAACGTCCTACTGTTTTGCTCCTAACCTGGGCTAATGAAGACGGGGATACGCCATACAGTGTGCTACGAGGGAAATTTTGCCCGGGCAGCAGCGCTATGACCTACTCTTATGTCGAATTCCAACTGCCAAGGGATCTTTTACGTGCATGCCAATTTGTACACGGGATCTCAGTTTTTCGTCCAATCCGAACGACTAGACAGCTGTCCTTGTCAGGCCCTCCATCCTGCATCACTGACAAGGGGAAACCAAGCCGGAAAATCTGGATGGATTTTCTCAGCCAATGCAGGGATTGAACACCCAACCTCTAGGCTAGCGAGCCAGCGTCTTAGCCACATGATCCCCTGATTAAGAACCGCCATACTGTCGATGCAAGATTGCTAACTGATGTGAAAATCGAGACTACAGGTTTCGTATAGATTTACCACTGCACATTCCGAAAAGCTATAATCCTCACAACCTTCGTTCTAATAAGTTTATGTATATCGACTTATTTGTTACACATCAAACAGAAAGAAAAAATTAAAATTTCATTTCAAATCCGGCCTTCAAAGTATCAAAAATATAAGTTATCTAGAATTGTATGACTATAGGAAATGATTGTTCTAAACGAATAAAAACTCACAACCATTTTCTATTTCTATTGCTGTCTATGTTCCTAAAACCAAAGTTATAGCACCCCTAAAACACGATCGTTGAATTCATAAATTTCAGACGAGGAATTTCGTTCCAATACCAAGACACTGACTGGCAAATCTACCAATACATCAATGCGATAAATCAATGTTTGATCCTGATGCATTTTGATATTTTGTTTATAGAGTGCAGAGGCTAATAAATATTTGTCAATCAGTCGGTACCTATGAGGGAGGCTGTATCTACTTTCTGATCAATTACAATAGGTTAATTATTACTTGTTAATAAGGAGTCAATCAGTTAGCTTACTACGTTACTTAAAATATAGGGATTTAGTGGAACAAATTTTTCTAATGTTTAAATGGGGACACAGAGTGTGATTAAAGTCATAAACACTTAACTTCAAAATATAATATCAAATATAAAAGAATATAAATTAGTCAACCATTACGCACAATCATTTTTCTGGTTATGCTCAACAATTTTAAATCACTCAACTCACCTGATGTTTTTTTGAAAGAAGATCTTTTAAAATGGAGTTACAAGCTTTTAATATATCAGGTAATTTACCCTTTTTATTTTTTGAACTGTGTTGTGCCTGAAAAGAAACATGCAAGAACAAAATTCAACAACAATGTTTAGAAAGTTCAAAATAAAGATTTGTAGAATATCTTGTGGTTATCATCCTAACAGGATGGGATAATGTGAGGATAATATGTGATAGCATCTTCAGCGTTTTATCAATTAATAATTAATATAGTACTGTTATATGGGCGACTCTTCAGAAAGTGGTCCTGACATGCTATAAATTAGATATATTAAAATAACACAAAACACTTATTTTTCCAAAAGAACATATTCATTACCATTTTAAAATACCAAAATGTCATTGATAATACACAAACTTCATACAAACTCAAATGTAATCTCTAACAGACTTGGAGTTATGCCTAAAATTTATTAGGTAAAAAGTACATAAAAAGAAAATTATATTTTTAATTTTTTTTGTAGATAATTGAAAATTTCATGTCACACGCGCAACTATTTGGTAGAACTTTCCTTTCTGATGGATCTTATGATTACCATAAATCTATACAAGTTTTTATTACAGATTAAACTGACACATTAATTATATTTCAAGATATCCATTTGAGCCTGGACAATAAAATTGAAAATCCAAGTGTTTGATTTGTTAGGTGTGTGACAAAATTTTAAAAACACAATATAATATCCCTGGGGTATGAAAGTAAAACAAAAATATGATTTCAAGTTATTCAACATATAAATTACAATTCATTAACCATGTAAAGTTACTATTTTAAAATATAATTTCAAGGTACATGTATTCAACATGTAAATTACAATTCGTAACTACTGGTACAAGAAGTCATAGGATGGGTGATACATTATACTTAATAACTATGACATCTAAAGCCAATGTGATATTGATATTTAAACTGGACTATCCTTAAAAACTGCACATACACAAGAGTCTATTTTTATTCTGAAACCCAGAAAATATCCTAAGTAAAGTATAAAGTATCATGCATCATGATATGACTTCTTGTATTAATGAATGATATGAATTCATATAAAACACAAAGTGCAATCAGTGCATTTTCTTTTTGACAATTTTAAATTTACTATTATTAGGTCAATGCACATAGACAAACAAATACTTCGATGATATGTAGACAATTGTGTTTCTTCTATATATTTGTCCATGTGGGTTGACCGTTATGCAACATTATGAGTGAACTGCAAAAATAATAACTTTACATGGTTTATGAATTGTAATTTACATGTTGAATACCTTACATGTTGAATACCTTAAAACTATTTTCTTTTTACTTTCATCTATTAAATTTTGTTTTTAAATTTTGTCACACGTAACAATGACCTTTATGCAACATTATACTGCAAAAATAGCAACTTTACATGGTTTACGAATTGTAATTTACATGTTGAATACCTTAAAACAATATTTTCTTTTACTTTCATATATTAAATTTTGTTTTTAGATTTCGTCACACACGCAATGTTATGAATGCGACATAAATCAAACACTTGTATTTTCAATTGTACAGATTATCGATTCATGATTTCTCCTTTAGAGAGTTCACATGGCTAATACATAGGATATTAATTTGATTTTTGATTTTATGTTTTATAACCTTCAGTCTCCAAATAAGACAACTTTACATTTCATATCCCAGGAGTCACACACGTAACAAAATCTAAGTCGCACACCAGGGCTGGGGCCATTACATTGCCAATGTAATTAATTATATTACCATTACTTTTTAAATGTAATCATTACAATTACTTTCTCATTTTTAGCAATGTAATTAATTACCATTACCCATTACATTGAAAGTAATTAATTACCATTACCCATTACTTTATGACTATATAAATAAAAAACATTTTTCAAAGAAATTAAAAAGACAACCTTATTTTTCTGCCATGAAGTGCCTACAAAATCAAACTAATCCTTGTTTCACTTAAAAGATATTTGTTTATGAATTGTCATTTCTAGCAACTATAACATCAAGACAAATTTTATAGTGATGGGCAGTGGTGACAAAAACTGACATTTTCACTGTATGACTTGAAAAATTAATCAAAAGAATAGTTAATTTACTGTATTTTCTTTTAAGTAATTTTTAAATTTTTTTAATCAACCCAAATAGTTTGTCTATAATATATTGTATAATAACTGGTAAATTATTCAGTAGACTCTAAACACAAATTATATATATTAGTTTTAAGTAACCATAAAATGATGAGATACTTGAAGGTCATTGTTTGGTTTGTCACCTAGAGATTAAAGTGTAGTAAGACTATTTATTGTCTTTTAATCTAACTGTTTGATTGATTGATTGATTGAGTGATTGGCTGTAAATAAGTACTAATCTTTGATTACAATATACATCTTTTCAGAAATCCTCTTTTTATGTTACATGTCTTAAAAAAGGGTCCTACATAAAAAGTAATAAAAGAAAATGTTTAATGTCTTCTTATTCTTCTTATAATTTGTTAAATCTGATTTAAATCTTTTTAAAAAAATATAATGAATTGGATTTGTGTCAGATACACTTAATTATTTCTTTGGTGCTATAAAATTTGAGGCTTGTCATATTGGAAATATATTTATATGTGCCATAAAATGTAATTGAAAAGTAATTGAAATGTAATTGACCATTACATGATTTTTGGAATGTAATTAATTACATTTCCATTACCCATTACCTTTGAAATCTTCCATTACTCATTACATGGCCATTACTTAAAAAATGTAATGATTACATTCCATTACCATTACCCCAGCCCTGTCGCACACATAACAAAATTAAGTCACACACGTAACGCAATTCTTAAACATATTACAGACAACTTTATAAGATTAGCACAGATCTCAAAAAAGTTAGTACCTGCAGCAGTAATTTATAACGTTTATTTAATTGTGGACATAAATACAGAATAGGTCTAACTTCACGGAGGTTTACAAATTTGTTAATGTACTAAATATTTAAAAGTTCACACACGTAACACTCCATATTGGGTTTGATAAAATTCATACTTTTGGTGTCATGCAATCTTATTGTTTGGTGTCATGCAATCTTATTGTTTCAAAAGCTAACTACAGATTTATCTGCAATATTTTGCAGGAATTTTTACACCTTTACCGTATTAAATACATGTAATAATTATTATACGATTAATAGGTAAAAATCAACCCAGGATGTCACACACGTAACAAAAGTCGCCCTATATTCATTATTTTGTCAATTGGGCTATTTATTTTAGTTTGTTTTTCACAAACACAATATGTGAAGTATCTAATATCTGAATTACAAATTTAGCTGAACAAGAACTTGCAACTAAAAAATTCATGTAATAGACATTGGTAAAATAGAGAGTGATGATTTTCCATTTCAGAACATAGTAAATATCTCGGAATAAACTAAACTAAATTTCTATTATTTTGTTTAAATGTCATGTTTGCTACATAACTCAGCACTGATATTCATTGGCAAAAACACCAAGTTGTGCATTGTATTTTAAGTATCTTCCAAGTGGACAATTCCGTATTTCTTAAGTGATTGTAGAAAATCATCACTCCTAACTTGTGTGTTCAACAAACGTAATCTTATTCATTTTTGAGAAACATTTATTTATTTGAGAGTTTAGTTTATAAATATTATATTAATATACATTCTCATCTGAATAAATGTTTGTTGTACAGAATAGAAGCATGCCATGTATAATTAAAGTTTTCTCACATCTGAACCAACCTGATCATCTGGCAGGTCTCGTTTGGGTTTTTTAATTTGTCGAACGCTTTCCCTCCTACCAGATTTTGATAAAGATCTAGGTGGTTGATAAACTGTATCATATGGAGGACCAGCAGGGACATAAGAGGAGGGAGTTGTTGTATCAGCTTTCCTTTTTACCCCTTTTTTTGACTGCAAAAGAATACATCATTTACTTCTTTTGTTATAAATAGTTCTTGAAAAAGAAAATAACATTAACCCTCTGTAGCTCTAAAAAACCAACTCTTTCTTTTCCATCATTTGATATGTCATCTGTTTTTACATGTGCATGTACGATTCCAGTCCCAAACTAGTGCAACAATTGATTCAAACAAATACTATTTAACTTGAAATATGACAAAACTGTTAGTCTCGGTCACCAAGAACGTCCTAGTCTTCAATGTACAGAGGGTCAGTTGTCAACATTAGCTCAAAAGTTTCATGTTTAACATGGATTTCAGTTTTTTATGTGGATGAGTTGCACCCCTTCCCAAAATAAATCTCACAAACATGAATCGGGACGACAAATTAGGATTTAAAAAAAAACAGAAAAAGATATGGTCCATGAAAAGAGGAATTTTAGGCCGCGGTTAATTAATTGTCAGTTTCTCATGACCCGAGTTTGTGAAATATACATGCTACATGCAGTAATTATTAATTGAGATGAATTTTTTTTTTTTTTTTTTAAAGTTTGATGCTGTATTTCTATTTCAGCAATAAATAATGTCAGTTACTTGACCGTTGAAAATCCAACGGTAACCAGTGTCCGCGATTTATTCACATTAGATTTTTATAGATTAAAATATCTGTTGCACAATATAGCTGGGCATTGGAAGATTTGATCATAATAAATAAGTTTAAATTATTAGTGATATGCTTCTAAGTTAACGGTTCGTTAATTCATTCATTCTTGGCATTTCGTTTCTTTATCCTTCCCTACTTTGACAGGTTACGAAATGACCTGTTCCAAACTGGTTGATAATTTGTTCCGACATAAATAATTAAAAGCATACCCTTGGATTTTTAAATACAAAATAAGTTAGATTATTTAACAGGTCAGTCAAAGAATCTACTACACACGTGGGCGTTTCATGTTAATTGTCGTAAACTTTGGACCATTCATCGGCACATGGCATCATAATATAAATACTTTTATCATTGTGTCTTTCTTAATCAAACTGAACATTTATTTGTTTCTCTGTGTCATTTTGAGACTGTTTATATACCAGTAATGTTGTTAATAAAATACCGTGAAAGGCGTGAAGCAATGTCAACCAGTCGGTGTCTCATGATCGAGGCTATCTCATGGCGGCAGTTCTGGGACCGTTGCTAGTCAGTAAATAAAATAATTTAGCAGGAATTAAAAGACATATATCTTTCTGTGAATTTTATTACAAATGACAAGTGCCTTATAGAGTATATATGTGGTCTTGGTGAATGTTGTAGCTACCATTCCTTGGTATGGATGACATATGATACGGCTTTATCACTTCCGTTTTGCGGATGGACTTCCGTGTATTTTTTCACATTCTAGCCTACTTATCACCTACGGTGTCATGTCCATCGATAAATAGTGGAGTTTAATGCGTCAATTCATTGTTCATATTTAAAGGCAAACAAATATAGTTTTAAAGGACAAATTTTTGACCTCACTAAATTTGACCAAATAATTGAGGTGCGTAATTATTACGGATGAAAACAGACATGCGGGTGGGTCATGAGAAACAAACAATTAACTGTGGCCTTACAATAAAAAGATTAAAGAGTGTTGGATATTGAACAGGGAATGCAAATGGATTTTGTAAATGGCAATTCTTAAATTATTTTCATGGGCGTCGAAATGTTTTAGGGCAAGTTACTAGATTTTTGTCATGATAATGTAAAAAACAGATAATCTAGCCAATGACATAGTTATTCTCAAATGTTGACAACGCATCCAGACTAGTATTCGTTAGAATATATGAATGGTATAAAACGTTATTACAAAAAAATAACGCAAGATGGCTGAAGAGTGGAGAATTGAGGAAGAATGTTAAAAGATAGGTTGCAAGGCAACGAAACATACGCCCACAGCACCTAAATTGCCTGGGCAGTCAACAAGAGTTGTTGCATATTTTTACAGGTAATGAAACATTTATAATACACTAAAATCTGTTTAAGAGTAACAAGTCATTAAGTAATTATCAGAAAATCATTAGAATTATTTGGCCCATGCCAACGTTTAGCATACAAAACATTTAATATCATGGATTTAGCTGTTCAGTTATCAAAAATCATTGAAAATCAATATACTGGTTTCAAGACTTTAAACTCGGTATCAATCGAAAGGATTATATACATGTATAGGCGTAAACATGGTGTATAAATCTAAAATCAATCAGATGATAACTATGCCTATGGTCTCTAAAGCTGTTCAACTTACCAAAAATCATTGAAAATCAATATACTTGTTTGTCTCAAGTAAAAACTCTGGATAAATTTAAGTCAATCGAAATGATTATATATAGGCGTAAACATAAATATAAAATCAATCAAGGGCCATAACTCTGGCAGTAATTATTGGAAATCATTGAAAATCAATAGGTTTCTTTGTTGACCTTAAACACTGAGTATAAATTTAAAGTCGATCGAATATTAACTTTAGCCTCTGGAGCATCCATAAGATTTTTCAACGTTATCAAGGCTTCTTCGTCTCGTGACCTTTAACACTGTATATAAATTTAAAGGCAATTGTAGCCGGACAGGAGCGACGAAAATATACAACCAAATTTCAATATGGGCTTATAAAAACGAGAAGTTGTACCAGTCGACTGTTTATATTTTAGTATGAAATTCAAAAGAAAACAAACGCCAGGAATGTTGAGTCAATTGTGGGGGACGCCATCTTGAAAATTGAATTGTCAATCCGGTAGGCGAGCAAGTTCGAATATTTGCATAATCAATTTGGTAAATCGTCGTGGTAAATACGACAGCTAAGCGAAATAAATTTTGTTAATATTTTCCTGCAAACGTGATTGAATGGGATTTGCAAATCCATTGTCATAATCAATATCTCGTAAAAACACCTACAGACTACAAAACTAAGAAATTCTACCTTTGTTGGCTGTATTGGTGGGGTAACACCAGACTGACGATTTGGTAAATCGTTGTGGTAAATATAACAGTTACCTGAAACCAATTATGCTAACATTTTCCCATAAACATGATTGAATGGGATTTGCAAATGCATTAGTCATAATCGGTAACTCATAAAAACACCTACTGACTACAAAACTATCGAATATATTTTTAAAGAATCTATAAAACTAAGAAAATCTACCTTGGTTGGCTGTATTGGTGGGGTAACACCAGACTGCCGTAACGGTGACATATCATTTTCTGAATTGCTAATAGAATGGCTGATAGTGTTCGACTGTGTGGAATTAGGTAGAGTTGCTATAGGAGAAACATAGACTCTACTTGATACTGGGGAGTGGGGAGCTGTATCAGATGAAGCAGACGGTGATGGTATACTGTTGTATATTTGGGTCTGTGTAGTAGCAGAGCTTGGTTCACTGGATGTGGCAGTTGTAGGTGCAACCACCGATTCGGGTTGGACTTCTGTAACTACAGGTCCTTTAGATGCTTGTCTTGCTTGGGCTGCAGCCATAGATGCTGCTGCAGCACCACGTGGACCTTTTTTTGATGGGGCTTGGATTTCTATTTCCTGAAAAAAATATTTAAGTGTATTACAATCTTCATTTCATCTAAACATTCTCAGAGGTAACAGGATTACTTCTGTTGGTGATGCCTATTTTCATCCACAACAAGTTAACAGATAATGTTCCCAAATAGATGCTCATTAATTACTTGCATATCTAAATCTAAAGTCTAAGCAGAAAATGTTCACGATCGAACTCAGTCAAGGTTTTGAAGTACCTGGTAGAAGGTACCAGCAGCCACCCAGTAATCTGAGTGGGAAATCTCTAAATTGTCCAAATGTAGCATCTTTTCAACAGCTTGTAGGTTTTTTTATTTATATGTGTGTAAATTATTGTTAAAAATAATACTGGAAATATGGTGAAATTTCTGGCTTTGCAATGGTGTTAATTTTATTGACTTCCAAACATACAGAGTAATTAGTATAAGATGGATTAATTTTGTTAATTAGTGCCTCATCTCAGTAGGTGAATTCAAAGCTCTTGTATTCGCTTGCCAATAACGAAATACATTTTCTATAAATAGTAACAAAAGCAGCAAAAAGTGACCTTTCGTATGATACTAAATACGTGTTAAATTTCTTGTGTTCATTCACTTTAATTATCTAAAAATCTGTTCCGATTTCAAAGCTAATTTTAGTGTCTTAGTACAACATATAGATATGGCAAACCATATACCAGTGGAAAAAGACAATAAACGGAAACAACCCAGTCTACTACACATGTAACATGACGATAATTCCTGACCCCAAAGAGTGTTTATCAGCGTCGATATTCAGCAAAATAGGTAATTTTGTTAATATTTTTTATATATAGAAATAGAATGTTACTGAGATATTAATCTTTATACGTTTTATTTTTGTATCAACCGATGCGTTAAATTAGTTTATTTTTTGTTTATTCTGCCGGTATGCAGGTCGAGTGTTTGATCGGCATTCTGATGGCTAGCACACTCAGTTGTGAAAATGAAAATTAACTGAAAGTATTTTAATGAAAATGAATCTCGATATTGAAATAATTACATATTAATCATGTAATTTATTAATAATTAATCTATCAGACTGACCTTAAAAATATCTTTGTTTCACCAAACCCGACCCACAATCGAGGAGAAGGGTCGGTAGGTCGGGGTTTTTTTTCAGATTTTTTTTAAGAGCTAATTTGACAGCTTGATAATTTTCCGGGTGCAAACATTCGTCTTCTTTTAGCCTATTGTCAAACAAATCAATGACATCGGGATTTTTCGTGATGCACGACTCGCACACGAATTGCCAGAAACTGACGTTTGAAACTCCCTAAACACGTTTTTTAACGATCGTGCGGGTTGTGCCTTCATTTTTCTCGAAAGCGGATATTCAATATCTGTTTGAGAAAAATAGAGGCAGAATCATTTCGTGGGAATGGACGTGCTTTCGTCTACAACCATTTTGTTGAGAAGCGACACCTATGATGCTTTCGTCTTGATCAACCAGTTTCAATAATGAATCAAACCATAGCCATAGTAAAGGGAAATAACTCTCGTGATATATTTCAAGTTTACACACAAAATAAAATAAAAAGATCGCGGAAAAGTGCAATAAAATAATTTAAGTCGGGGGTGGTTTTAGTTAGTCGGTCGCGTTAGGCGAAACAAAGATATTTTTAAGGTCAGCCTCATGTAATTTATTAATAAACAAGAATGTTCATCGAGTATTTATATGATATTTCTTCGTTTTAATCCACCAAAGATGTGGACACTGAATCGGTAAAATCCAAGATGGCAGACATCAATGTCACTCATTTCACAAAATAATGACGATTTTCTTTTGATAATACGTCATCGTTTGTTCAAATTTATGTTAATTTTGTTGCATTTTCACAACCTCTAAGGATATGTTGTTTGAAGTAGACTTATTATAAATTATATTGTTTTTATGTTAGGTTTTTCTCCTTGCAGAATGTGAATCACTTGTACCTTGGGACTTTTTTAGGTTTAGTGTTAAATGTCCTAAAAAGTTATATTATATTATATTATTTCAGATCATGATTTCAAGATATTAAAATCTATATTCACTGCAAATGGAAGAGGCCGAAGACCATCCATACCGAATTTATGCTTGAATAATGAACTACTGCAGTTGTATTTTCTGAAAGACCATGGAACATACTTGTAGATTTCAAAGTATATTATATATAGGTATTCAGAAATCTTGAATAAGGGGTCTTTTGTTGAAAGTGTACCGGTACAAAGAAGTTCTAATAGTGAAAGAAGATCATATCTCATATCTTACAAATGAAGTAAATTTTGTTGGACAATATTTGTTTAGGTTAAGTATAACCAGGCATGAACTTTTAGGTGACATATCAAATAAAAAAATAGTGCCAGTAGCTGTAACAAAAAGTATTATTCTTCATTCGATTCAGTTTCAAAAAAAAGGAAGACTTGCTATTATCATGGATACCCCAGGCTGTGTCGTATATAATCTATCTGGTGATTATTCAAATCAGCTTTGTCAAAAACAGATAAAGAATTATTACAGCTATAGAAAAGAAGAAAAGATATGAGACATTCATGTCTTCTAAAGTTTTTGATCGTATTGAAACTGTCCATAATCCTCTGCTATCCAAAGTAAATATACATCTGATGTCGGTGATGCCTTTTGTTTAAAATACACTGTTTCAAGTGCATAATTCAACTAATTTATATGCAAAATAAAGGTTCCAATATCAATTGTTGTATTGTATTTCAATCAAATTACTTAATTAGTCTTGAAGTTATGACATTTTGAATTTGTGACTCAATTATTCACAAAAGTGGCACTTTTCCGTGGTCAAAATTGCACTGCCGATATTATTAATTGTGAATAACATCTTAAATTGCATAGCAAGAAAGCTTGAAAAGAATTAGCATTAAATTATATAACTTTTTATGTAAAAAAAAATGCTGAAAAACCCATAAATTTATATTTGCATAAAAACTTATTGCATACCAAAGTTGGGCTTCAGACTTATTCGTACTATGTAATTTTGTCATTTTCATTTTTAAAAGCTTATTTCAACAAAAGTTACTTGAAATAGTCTTAATACATTTAAAGTTTGTATAGAATGTACTCCATGTATTTCATTAAGTTGAAAATAATACCTATCTGCGTATTTATGCAACTCTTAATTGCATATCAAAATGGCCTATTTTAGTGAATTTATGCAATAATTTCAAAATAAGAACTTTAAACATGAATATCTCAGGAACTAATCAAGATATTTTGTTAATTTTTTTTTGCTGGGCTTCTATTGGTGGCTACTTTCATGATAAACTATCGAATATCAGAAATAAGAAACAAATTTTGGCTGCTGGTACCAACTGGTAGTGAAACTATACACTAAGTTTCATCATTCTACATCAGTAAGAATCAAAGATATATTGTCCCAAAGCATCAACCAATGAAATTGCTGAGCTCTGCTTAGCTTTAGCAGAAAATGTTAATCACTGAACTCGGTCAAGGTATTCACCTAATGAACATCTACACAAAGTTTAACCAGCGAGACATTCACCTAATGAACATCTACAAAGTTTATACTATCTCAATTACAAGCAAAATCATTTTCCAAAGTCTTGACTAGGGTTGTCACGATTAATCGGTTTAGTCGTAATCGATTAGGTTTCTAGCTCAAACCGATTCACATTTTGAAAAATCGGTAGTCGTTTCATCCAATTTATATTTATACAATTACATGTTTGACGTTTACTGTTTGCTAAACACACTGCTGAATTGCTGCCTATTAAAACCGTATGGAAAGTACGTCGTTTGAGACTCTATACAGAAATTCCCATCTAAGCAGAAAATGCCCGTCTTTGAACTACATCAAGACATTCAGCTAATAACACCTACACCTAGTTTGAACATTCTACCTCAATTAGGAGAGTCATTGCGTCCTAAAAAGTTGACGGACAGGCCCATTTTAATAGTCCACTGATTTCTTTGAAAGGTGGGGGGACAAAAAGAATAATCATTTGATTATTATTATACAAGACCTGATAAAATTTTAAAACTTGAAAACACTGTCTTACCTCTGCTGGCATTTGACTAAGTTTCTGCAAAAATACTTTTTCTAAAGCTTTACCCATCAGCACAATATCCTGGAAAAACAAAAGAAAAAAACTTTCAAGGCTTGTAGTGTGAAATAACATCTGTTACTTTCCATGAACAATTTTGGCCACTTTTACAGTGATAAATCCATAAAATAACTATGTTGAGCCTTCAAAATTCAATTCTACTTACATCTCCAGGTTTGTTGTACACATAGCAATTAGTAAACATTGTGTTGACATCTTGGACACAATCTTCAGCAGAATAATAAAAGTTAGTTTCTAATCTTTTTTTTACTGTTCCTAAATCCATTGGACACTTGATAATCTTGAAATAATCCTAAAACAATAATGTTATATTAATTTCTCCCTCAAATGCATTTGTATTTGCATCTGTATAAATGTACACAAAAACTGCACTTTTAACTGTCATTTTAGACTCAATTGTTAAAGATACATTATGGGAGATTTTTAGAATTTTACTCAGTCAGCCATTCTTGCTATAACAGTTCAAAAATAGATGTAAGAAAAATATATTGAAAATTTCTGTCAAATTACTTTATTCTGAACATAGTTATCACCAGTGTAATTTTTGACTAGAAATGGGATTGAATTCCATCTTCACCGATTCTTAGTATGGCCGATCGTTTGATTGACAGGCTTTAACTCCACCTACATAATCTCTGCTGTCTTTTGTCTGCTGTCATCATATCCGAGTTTGTGTTTTACCTTTTTGGATTTTTATAACAATTGGACAAAATGGGTGAGAGGGTAAATTTTCATTCTTACTTGTATTTTGGGCATGCATAAAATCAATTGAATATAGGACATAATATTATAATACAATTATGATAAATCTATAGGTATACACCAGTGGCGTCGTACCTATTGGGGAAATAAAAATATTTTTATTGATATTATTAAGACAGAAGACCTGTCCGTTTGTATTAGTCATCACACGGTCTCCAGGAATTGTATAATTTGTCATTATCTGTGTTTAGTTTATTGCACTTTAAATAGTTTAGATGTCATTTGGTAAAGCATCGCTCAACAGCGGCCTCGCTTTGTACACTCTATCATTTAGCCTCGATACGGGAGTATGACGTAAACGTAACGGTTAATCTCTGCTCACGACGCCATTTAAAATTAAATCAGTCATCGAAATCCCATTTAAATCCAAGTCATCCGTGGGTCTACCGAGTTGATTTTGTGCTTGTTGTGTAAATAATAGTGCTCCTACGGTTAGGACTTTTTGTTATCCGAATAGCCGTAGCTATTAACCGGTTAGTAACCGTTAACCGTATGGTCTCAATTTTAAACATAAAACAGAGCTTGTCGGGAGGTGTGAGTCATTACTCGTGTGCATGCTCTACTCGCCTAAAAGGCATTACACACGCAAATATTTCAGGAATTTTTTCAGACATGTACAATTCTTAGGCCGTAGTTATTTATTTACCTGGTTAACTTGGTTCATTTGAAACATTTTTTAATTCAATATAACGATAATATACAAAACAATACTCTGTTTCCCTTCGTACGTGACAGATGGCGATAATATTACTATTACACAATGTTACTAAGAATAGAATAAAGTAAATTGGAAGGCGTCTATTGATTGGACAATAAAGAAATAATTCCTCGCTTGCAAGTAGAATTTTTATGATTGGTTAATTTAACTAAAAACCAAAGTAGAATTCTTGCCAGAAATTACGAGATATGAAACGTGTTGAATGTCGTAACGAATCTAGTATAATGTCATTTTCTAACCTTTATGATTATATTTTGAATGGTGGTTACGTTTTGAAGTAAATAATAAACAAGTTAGAATATAGTTAGAAATCCTGAGAAGTATTTAGATTGGATTAACAATAGCTAAAATCAGAACAAGGTCCGTTGACTTTGCCGTATGACTACGACGAGTGCTATTAATAGTATTATTTTTTAGCAGTCGGCATCGTAGGACGACTGTTACATTCTAAGATTTTCAAACATCAAATAAAAAATGACAACGGGCAAGTTTTGTTATAAAGAGGAATATAATCAGACAACTCTATGTAATTGGGGACATCTCCGTCCAGTTCTAACCGTTAACGGTTATCCGTCTAGTGGTAGTAGCACTAGTAAATAAAGATCTAATTTATAATTTCTATGACATCTGAAGCCTAAATAAAGACTTGCAATAATCAGATTTAGCTCTTGCATAATGTATGTTTAAGTAGTTAGAATTGATGAGTATTGCGACTGGTGACAGAATGTATGAGCCCACCTTTTGTCCATGGTCCTTTGTTTCCAACCTTTAGTATTATAGGGATTTAAGAATCGTTTTAAGAAAAGTTAATGACCAATGGAATTGATTCAGACCAATTATTTTATAATTTCGCTCCGTCACTGTTTAATATAGAAAGATTATCCACGTTACAGGCGTCTGTGCTGTGAATTATTTGTGAAGTACATTACCAACAAGTAACAAGCAAGCCTGCTGAAAATTAGGTTCCCAGTATTAAATATTATTTAAATATAAGGGATACTGATACTCGCTTTGAAAATCAATCACTCGTCAATTTTCATTTATATTTACTAATATTAATAGAAGCTGTAAGCTTTTCTCAATTTGCTGTAGTAGAAGCATATTGCTAAATTGTTTTTGTTGGGTATCTTTGGGAATGATATTCGATTTCAAAAAGGTACATGAATCAATTATCAAGAAAACCAATGAAATGAATCAATTGAGGTTCTTATTAAAGTTTTCACATGTGTGAAAATCGGCTTAGATCTTGTTTTTATGTTAACCACATTACTGAATAAAGCAAAATATTAATAATCTATTACTTACAGGCAAACCCAATTTGTCAGGATCGACTGGCACATGAAATGGCCAGGCAAAGTGGTGTTTCCACATAGCCTTAATGACTACCTTCAGGAGGTACTGAAGTTGATTTGTGAGCCGGCCCTTTCTCGGCTGCTGCGGAGTAGTACCCCTTGAATCACCACCACCAGCAGTTGAATTCATGTCTTTAATGTTCTGAAGAAAAAAAAAAAATAAAACTCCAAATATATATCCCTTTGAGAATTTGTAGAGGAGAGCTTTCATACAATCTTAAAGACAAGATAAGCAATAGTGTTGAAAATCAGATCGAGATTTGTGATCCGAATACTTTTGTTTGCTATCCGAATACTATTCGTCGGATAATTTGGAAACGTGAAATTCTTGAACAAATCACATCAAAAGTTCATATACTCATAATTTCTTACTTATTTCAATGTTTATGAGTGTCTATGTATGCCGAGTATGAAATCTTACTTTCGATTTGCAAATTGTTTGAGCCGCGAAGAAAAAAACGTGCCTACCTTTAGCCGCAATTAAGACTATATATGATATCAAAGAAAATCAACAAGGTGAATGAATTTGTGTATAACTACTCCTGTAATCCGTGGCCCTCCCACTCATCATTTTTGCTCAATCAAAACGAATGAAAAAAGTAAAATAAAAACATCTAACATTTATTCCGCCAAGGTCGTTTGCCTCATTCTGATAATCTACTGCTATTGAACCAATTAGTAAGTGAGAATATATTTCTAAACACAGTGTTAACTTGTATCCCGTAAACCGAAGAAGTAGCTTCTATCTTGCGTAAACCAGCGCGACGAATGAATATTTTTTTATTTAGACAACTGTTCTTGTTGCACTACATTAATATTTTTATTAGTTACTATCGCTAAATAATACGCATGATATTAACATTTATGCTCAAAGCTGCGTACGTGTTCAATAGCATTGGGGAAAATTTCAAAGTAATCAGATGTAAAAATGGCTAATATAGAGCATAGGGAATGTCGGAATATATTGTTACGAATAGTAAAATGATTCGGATAACCCTTATTTTGTATCCGTTAACGGATATCCGAATAGTAGTTTCAACACTAATAAGCAATATTTGTAGAGGAGATGTTTCTTAAAGACAAGATAAGCAAGATCAACTTCCTTACATTTTCTGCAGTGGTATTCATCTTTGGTGGACTATTAACGTCTCCATTTGCCCTGAAATAGATGACAATATCATGCAGATTAGTTTACATGTAATTCGAGATATCGAAGTTTTGACTTTAGTTTGCAACTAACGGTAATTATCAACAGTACTTTTTTTAAAATTTGAGATAATTGTTTTTTTTTAAAAAGCTAATGTTTTTGAAGTTTTGGATCAATTGAGGAAATGTGTAGACTATCCTGTGCCCAACATTGTTCTGTTAGCGTCACATAGACTATAAAACAAATTGTCACAGTGCTCTAGAACTACAAAGCAGATGTGGGGATACTAATATGGTCTTGAGAGTACATACTTCTAAACTACTTTTGTCTAGGGTCTTTCTGGCAAACTAGCCAGTGGCCATGGATATGCAATAAAAGAAAAATTCTGAATTTCAAACTATTGCCATATTTTTGATTTTCTATCTGACAGGATCCCTTAAAAGTAACATGAGTAATCAAGTATATGAAAACCATTATTTAGTTGATAAATGACATAGTAAAAACTGACCCCAAACCCATTTGACAAAAGCTTGCCTGTGTTGTTTGAAACTGAATGAAGACTAAGCTACGAAAAAGAAGCTGTCGTTCTGTTTTTGTTTTTGTTAAATTCACATTGACCCCACCCATAGGACACTTTCTATATTCAAAATCAGTTCAGTCTCAATCCTGTACAGTAGAATCTGTATGAGCAGCCACTCCTATTCAGCGACATCTCCTTGTAAGCGGTCACGATAAATTCCCCCCGTAGAAATTCTGTTGTTTCATCTCTTTATTCAGCGGTCACTATTTTACTAATAAATTCAACAAAACATCGCCCATTCAACGGCCATTGTTGAATCATACCATCTTGTCGTTCTTTGTAACACCCCCGCTAATCCCGTGAATAGTAGTTAATTAACTGGACCCCCACTGATCAGGTAAAAAGAAATGTAAAAATAACAATCAACCCGGGATTATCTGTTAATTAATCTTTTGTTTTATTAAACGACTAACCTGATCATTGTTTTCACGCGTAACGACACATTATTTGATACTGATTGAATAAAATAAAAGTACCGAGTTTTGTCACGATCATCTAGTATTTCTCTTAGCGCCTCCTATAACATTACATACAGAGTTACACCCCCTGTAAATAGGTGATAAAATTAGCGATGTTTTTTGTTCATGTGCTTTTTTGATAAAATAAAATGAATTCATCGATTTTCTTCACAAAAATGGATAAATATTATCGAATGCATCACAATGGTAGACAGTAGTATCGAAGGTTGGTACAAAATGACAAGTTTACAGAAGTTATGTCCGAGATTTGAGTAAAGAATTTTCGTTCGGCGCAAGATTCAGCGACGGCCAAATTTACCGCTTCCAATGCATCCAAGCGTAATATTTAATTTATGTCGGCACAAAAAGCAACGAGATTTTATTAAGAGGCCACTCCTGTTAAGTTATGTACGAGATTTGAGAAAAGAATTTTCGTTCGGCGCAAGGTTCAGCGACGGCCAAATTTACCACTTCCAATGCATCCAAGCGTAATATTTAATTTATGTCGGCACAAAAAGCAACGAGATTATATTGAAAGGCCACTCCCGTTAAGCGGTCAGTTGTGAAAATTCCCTTGGGTGGCTGCTTAATGCAGATTCTACTGTATTTCATTGGATGCCATGACCAATTTGCATTTATACTTATAGCTGTCTCTTACTTAAGAAGAGAGTCTAAACAAGTCTCAATTGATTTATTTGTACATACAAATACCAGTAAGTAGTGACTACAAGTTTTACGTGTTTGTGAAAGAATCATGTATTTTGACATGTGAAATAAATAGTAGCAGAAAAGTTCTCCCAATAATATCAGATGGCAGTAACTGGTTTTCACAACAGGTACTGAATATACTGCATATATTTTGCAGATTACAGCACAGTGCATATTTATACTTAAGTAAGGATCCACAGCTAACTTTACTATTTACTTGGTGATAATGTGCATTGAATCCGCCACTGATTTCCTTTTAACACTAAGGCAGTAATGCAAACCCAACTTAAATGTGATAAATGTGGTATATCCGATGGGACTTCAAACAGGTTCAGACGCCTATTCCCTTTTTTTTATTGAGTAAACAGTGTAATTAGCAATACTGTAAATTGCATATGATATAATATCCAAACATATGACATAACCTAAGTCAAGTGACAAAGATTACCCATTGCATAAACTATAATGTTTATAAATAAATGGTCAATATGCTGTACCCGACCAGCTAATTATCTTATATCAGTTCGAGTCAGCTACTTTTATACCAGTACAAGCCATCAATGATCAAAACATTGTGTCCTACTTCCGATGTCAACTAACCTAGGTCTGGGCCTAATTGGTCTCACTCAATCTGCCAATAATTAGGCCTACAGGACAGTTATGTTGAGACAAATAATGCAAATCTAATGTTTTCAGCCTAGTTATGAAAGAACATTTTGTTGTTCTGGACGTTGATTTAACTACATCTACAACAACTTGAGCCAACGTGTTCAATTATGACTCATTTTTCTAACCAAACATGTGACTTAGAATTAAAATGGCGGAAGCGTACGCTATTTCATCAATGCTAGCACAAAGCTAGTTGCATCTTCAAAATATCCTGAACGACCTCCTCTGTATTCCAGAAACAACACAAATTGAATTACTGAAATTCGAAAACATTTCACTTCCCAAAGATGTAAATATTTAGTTAATAAACTCCATAGCCGGACAATATAATCGTAACTCGGCCATTCTACTAGTCTAGTATGCGGTTGCTTGTAACATTAGTCGATACTAGGCTAGTTGTAGTGTGAAAACTCCGACACCTTACCCAACACACAAAACACCCGATTTAAAGAAATTGAAGAATTAAAAGTGTCCTTTTATAACTCACATCGTACCTCTGCTACTTTAAGTAAGTCAATACACACATAATGCGAAGAATAATATCCTCATTCCATAATATTTTCATAGCAATGACAGAGCCGATGTGAAGTGCGTCTGATGAAACAATGGCGGCCAACTCAACTCACGGACATGGATGGATCGTGGCTGAAATTTATAATTCTAATATTCCATATTAAAAATAATATCATAGTACCCTGGATTGACGTTTGGGGCATGTGGCTGGTACCCTTGCAGCGCCGGATGGCTCTTCGGGTCCATATTATTCGCTAGATTCTCCAGCACACCATGGGCTTCTGTCAATTGCATCGCAGTAAAGAGCCGCGACTGCAAAGCTTTATATAATTTTTCGTTTAAAAGGGCGTAATTTGATTGGCTAATTCCATCACATGATTTCAGAAGACTCGTAAATTTAGTAGAAATCAGTAATTTCGGGGAGAAATAAACACATAAAATCGTTTTAACAACTTTGAAAATAAGTTGGTTTAATCTGGAAATTACAGTGCCACGTTCTTTTGAAGGTATACCACCTTACACATCCGAGGACAACAACATCACAGCCATTACTGTCCCGTTGTGTAAGCGTAATGGGCCCCGATTGGCCGGTTTGTGTCACGTGACATATCCACTCCACATATTTTGTCTATATTCTGAATAACAGGGAATCTTTCCGTCATGTATTAAAATCATTAGATCCATATTCGAGTTAGCTTTAAGTTTATAAGCCCGCTATCCAAATACATTACTTGTAAACCGTTAAAATCCCGTAAAGTTAGACTGAGGCATGTGACATGCGCGAGACGATAAAGCTTGTGACTCTAAAGCGCATGCGTGAATTGTGCATGTGTTGAGGTAGCGGGAACCCACTGTTTTGTGTACATAAAACAAGGTATTATTATTGTTATTTATTAGTTTCTAAAGTAAATATAGTTATACCGGTCTCTGTAACGAGTCTGTGTCATTTGAGGGTATGTGCCTTTATTTGAAACTTTAGGTACTGATGCCTTGAACAGGTAAAACAGGACCTATCAAATCGGGATTGCTCATCATAGTCATACTCAGCATACTGCCTGGTTGAGTCGTTCCTTTTAGCATGCAATGCCAATGCATGGTGTTGTTTTTTTTTTAAAGTGTTATTACTGTTATTAAGGTGTCATTATTATCACATGAAAATGTTGTATATGTTTTTAAAAAATATATTGACTAGGTTGGCGTTTAAATTGTATCAAGTCAAATACCTATATAGTATAGTAATAAACTATAAAGTATTTATTTTTATGCCACAATGTCATGACAATAATATTAATAATATTGATAATCTTGAAACTAATTGACAACAGCACAGTTATTCTGAGTAAATTAATCCTACAAAAAGATGGAGGGTGGCAGTACCCTCTATTTCAATTTGGTTTATTCGTATTCCTGGGAATCCAGCTCCTAGGCCTAGGGATTAAAACTCATAATTACTATTAGGTCCTCTATGTTACAGTTTTAATTTACTGTGCATTACGAAGGAAATTCACCAATTTCTAGTACGGATAGGGTGGTCCATGACAGGGGCTATGTGCCTATTTTGATTTTGATATCACTATGACATGAGGTCCTCAGTAATAGCTGATCACCGAAATGAAACTATCAATAACATCTACATGTAAGTAAAAAAAATCAGGATCCAGGTTGAGCTCAAATAACACAATCAGAAATAACATAGAAGAGTGTGAAATACTTAATTAGGGATTAATTAGTTAATTTAGTACTTTGGAAATAAACCTGCAATTATCTGGGTTGGCATTGTTTTGCTTTATTGAAACCATGTTCAAAATTCTTATTTTTATCAAAAATATCCAAGGACCACAATTCTGTGTTTGAAAATATATGTAATGTTCACCTTTGTTGATGTAGGGATGAGTTTGTAACAAGATGCAGGGTACGAAATAACACGCGAACGGTTGTTCAGGTTACGCATTGGTTACCATGACCCGGAAACATGCGAACGGACTTCATTCTCGACCACCGAGCTATAATTTATGAACTAAAGGTTTCAGTTAAAATATTGCCCCCACTCCTACATTAAAAACATATTAAAATTATAAATAAATACCTGAAAGATCCTTAAGTTCGCACCTGACCTGTCATTTGGCGGTAGCAAATCAACTCGCGGACCCATCATCATACCTGGCAACGCCATTAGCGAACAAAAGCGCCAGATCAGTCAACTGATTTCTATTGTTTTTGTCCCCCGCCTTTCGAAGAAAGCAGGGGACTATTAAAATGGGTTCGTCCGTCTGTCTGTCTGTCCGTCTGTCTGTCTGTCCGTCACACTTTTTGGGACACAATAACTCTCTTCCTAATTGAGCTAGAATGTTCAAACTTGGTGTATGTGTTTATTAGGTCAATGCCTTGATGGAGTTCGAAGATGAGCATTTTCCGCTTAGGGTAAGCAGAGATAAGCAATTTGATTGGTTGATGCTTTGGGACACGATAACTCTCTTCCTAATTGGGCTAGAATGTTCAAACTTGGTGTATGTGTTGATTAGGTCAATGCCTTGATGGAGTTTGAAGATGAGCATTTTCCGCTTAGGGTAAGCAGAGATAAGCAATTTGATTGGTTGATGCTTTGGGACACGATAACTTTTAATTGAGCTAGAATGTTCAAACTTGGTGTATGTGTTTATTAGGTCAATGCCTTGATGGAGTTCGAAGATGAGCATTTTCCGCTTAGGGTAAGCAGAGATAAGCAATTTGATTGGTTGATACTTTAGGGCACGATAATTATATGTGTCCTCTAATTATTTTCCTATTTCGGCGGGGGACATCAGCCTCACTGTTGGCTTGTTATTTCTTAAATTAATGGTGATTGAGTAATATAAATAAAACACCCAATGAAAAGGAATGTTATATTTGCAAATTATCAAATAAAAACCTACTTTTCAACAAAGGATCTTCTGGTATTTAGGTAATAGGTCGGAGATGAAAATTCATACCGTGTAATGACTTTGGAGCCTGGAGGTCGGGTGTTCGATCCCTGCATTGGCCGAGAAAGTGCATCCAGATTTTCCGGCGTGGTTCCCCCTTGTCAGTGATGCAGGACGAAGGGCCTGACAAGGACAGCTGTCTAGTCCTTCGGATGATACGAAAAAAAACGAGGTCCGTGTATATATTGGAATGCGCGCAAAAGATAACCTGGCAGTTGGAATTCGATCTAAGAGTAGGCGATAGTGCCGTTCCCGGGCAAAATTTCCCTCATAGCACACTGTATGGCGTATGCCCGTCTTCATTAGCCCAGTATAGGAGCAGAACAGTAGGACGTTAAACCCCATTTCATTTCATTTGTAATGACTTTGGCATTATTCCAATATTTTCACGTTGTCACTTACGGCTAATAATTTATGACATGGAAAGTGAAATGGAATCAGATTTTTTTAATGATTTACTGCCAGGCATATCGTAGAATATGATAATGTCGAAGAAATCAGCTATTTATATTTTTTTGGGACTTTATGATGCGAAGCAGCCGAGATCAAGCGTGTTGGCCGCCATAACTTGGATACACTTCCAGGCAGACGATACCACAAAACTTACGGATAATAATTCTAGAGTTTGGGGAGCTAAATTGAATCAAAACTTTTAGGATTTGATACAAGCTACGTAGAGGAATATTACATTGTCGAAGATTTCAACTATATATTTTTATTTTCGATGCAATGAAGCAAAGAAGACGACAATTCCCACCATATATCCAACAAAGGCTGATATGTCAAATGCCGATGATAGCGATGAAGTGACGGTCATTTGGGGCGATATTTCTTTTTAAAAGTTATATTTACTTTGAACACTGTTTTTTTTAAAAAAAAAAAAAATCTGAGGAGATACATGTTCACGTTATTTTTACCACTATGACAGAGAAAAGTCATAATTTTAGTGGAACTGACTTTCAGTATTATTTATAGTAATATAATTGTTACTTTGTACAATTGATTTTTATACGTCCACATGACGTATTGTTTGTGAACAGTCTACAGGTCACAATTTTTATCCGATTTCAATGAAACTTGAAATATAGGTTTATCACCCTAAGATCTCGGTTCCTTTCGATATTGGCATGTATCGGACTGTAACTTCATGGATTATGGCCCCTGATTGTACGAAAAATCACATTTTTAGCATGTGAACAATGTAGAGGTCACAATTTTTATCCGATTTGGTTTAAACTTGAAATGTATGCTTATTATTATAACCCAAAGATCTCGGTTCCTTTCGATATTCGCGCATATCGGAACGTAACTTCCTGAATTATGGCCCCTGATTGTACATATTATTATATCACCGTTACACCCTAAGGACGACTGAGTTCGAATTTCATGAAAATCGGCCCAAATCTGATAGACAAAATGGCTGCCCCTCGTTCTCAAATGTAAAAATATGGTATATCAAGGTTGTGGATCCTATAGAGGTCACAATTTTTATCCGATTTTGTTGAAACTTAAAATGTAAGTTTATAACCCAAAGATCTCGGTTCCTTTCGATATTTGCGCATATCGAATTGTAATTTCCTGAATTATGGCCCTTGATTGTAGGAAAATCACTTTCTTTTTAGCTTGTTCTCTATCCATCTCTCGAAAATGTGGGCGTATCCTGCCTGGCAGCCGCTGGTTATATCATTGGAAAGAACACGACAATCTGTACATTTTTGTAACAGTGTATTTCTTCAAAATATTTTTTTTAGTTATTTGCAATTTTGTAGAGAGTATTAGGATTAACAATAATCCACTAATTGGCTTAGGGATATGGGCCCTGCTGATTTAATGAGCTTAGGGGTAGCTGGCTAATCTTTTAATTGGCTCTAGGGTTAAAGTGTAGATTAATAGTGGTGTAAAAAATGATCCAAATTTCCTTTGCCCCCAAATCCGCCTATGCTAATTCGAAGGTCGGTTCAACAAATATGGCAGCAATTTGATGCATTGTAACCTATAGGTTTCCATTTTAAATTTGAGGCAGATTAGCGTAACCTATTTTGAGGTTACCATTTAAGAGGCTTATTTCATACCCTGAAGATGATGTCACTTTTCCATTAAAAAGCAATCGATTTGTATTGTGAAATGTGAATCGTGATGCATATTTCCCCAGTTCAGGTATTGTTGCACATCTTATTTTGTCCACACAGATACAAACACATCAAAATATAAACATAGATGAGTCTGTATGAGTTAATGCGACTTTCTATGGAATGTTGATTATTTTTTGTAGGTCCTGCTATTAATTATTAACTCGTGATGTCGTCCGAGGAAGCAGCTGTTCCGAAGCCTGCAACAGAAAATTTAGAAACAAAGCCTGCTCCTGCTGCTACAGCTACTACCACAGCCTCATCTGTTACAAATGTTCCTTCATCTACAACCCAAAGTAAACCACAATCACAACCTCAGGTAAGATTATTTATAATATGTCTTCAATTTTTCTTGGAGATTTGCCTTGCTGAAATTTGGGGCAAGATACATATCCTGAATCTGTCTGCTCTGTCTTTCCTCTGTACGCATGCAAGCAAACTTGAAAAGTCTTATGACTCAAATCTCTGATATAAATTCTGTAAACATTAATTACTTCCTACCTTTGTTATGTGTTCGATAATACTTATAAATTTTTGTGCAGAAATTCCATGAATTATTTTTATTTTATCAAAACAGCACATGAAAAAAAGACAGTTGGAAGTCGTAGCCTTTTTCTATCCAATTTCATTTTATGGAACACAATACGTAACCTGTCCCTATTTCTATCCAATTTCATTTATTGGAACACAATACGTAACCTGTCCCTTTGATTAAATGTATAAAAAGATGGTTAAAATATTGTTTGTTTGCTGTGTGATTCCACATTCATGTGCCGATTACTCAATATTTACATTGTAGCTATTTGGGTTACGGGTAGTATGGTATGTCACACAATTATTTTTTGTGCTGCAAGCACTAGTAAATTGAGCGTTATAAATTTTGCGCATTATGACGTAATGTAGCCACGATGACACGATTGTTATATATACCGTCAAAGTCATGTTAATATATTTAGAGCTCTGGGTAATCCTGATTGATTTTGTTGTGCTGTTAGTGTAAGGTATTGGTTGTTGACCAGTCTAATGAAACGAAACACTGCGGGGAGGATGATTTAATAGTTGACAGTGATTAATTATATAATGCTCTAAAAGTTATACCCCTGGATAATTTCAATAGCTATATACATGTACTAAAGTTGTGTGATAATATTTACTGCTTAAAACTTCAGTGTTAGTAAGTTTCTAACTTTGCAACTGAAATTATAAATAATTATATACTTTCAGAAGCCAAATTACACCTTAAAATTTACTTTAGCTGGTCACACTAAAGCAGTTTCTTCAGTAAAGTTTAGTCCTAATGGTGAATGGTTAGCAAGTTCTTGTAAGTATAAAATTACTTGTAAAACAAAGAAATTAAAAGGGGGATGCCCAAGTTCAGATTTTGTCGTTTATACCGTGTGGTTGAAAGGTTTTTAATCTTATAATCCAATGTAGTTCGATTGTGCGTCTATTGGTAGTAGAATTATTTAGCTCAGGGTCTGTGTCAAGTTGTTTAATTATTTTATAGTCAAGTTTTCGACTAGAATGTCTCGGTAATTGGAAGTGGGAAGCGACTGGGGTGTCTCTCTTGTGGGTGATATCAGCGTAGTGTTCCTTCAGTCTAATGCAGAACAGTCTTTTAGTTAGTGTTGAAACTCTGGGCATATTTTGGTATTTGGCTATCCGTCTGCACTATCCGAACATATTCGGACCATTCATGTGTAATTTAATACTTAGTTTTGACGTTTTAAGCGCATGCAAAGTCGTCTATTGTACGGAGTGTGGTCCATATAAAGACTAATAAACTATAAGGTGATTATTCAAATAGATGATTTGAATTATCTGACATCCTTTTAGCAATGCTAATCTTTTTAATAGCCCATATTGCCATTGTCACTAATAAGCTTAATGCAGGACGTATCAAACGATCACAACATCGTTTTGAAAAATAAATATGGCCGCATGCGGAGAGGGAGAAGGCTTTCGTCAAACTTTTATATCCAGAACAGTTTTATTTTAAAACATTGTCTAAATAACAAGAAAAATCATTTCATAAGTTTTCTAAAACTTTATTTATCTGAACCAATTTATTTGAAATGATCAATCCTTTTATATTTTGTTAGAAACAACCCGTGACCGACTCAGACTGCCGACATTAGAAAGACAGGGGTCGGCTCATAATAATCACCTGACAAGTAAAACTGTCGTTCGGATGGGACGAAAAACCAAGGTCCCAAGTAAAAATTGACGTGCACGTAAAAGATCTCTTGGCAGTTTGAATTCAATATAAGAGTAGTGCCGTAGTGCCGCTGCCCGGGCAAAATTTCCCTCATAGCACATTGTATGGCGTATGCTCGTCTTCATTTACATTAGCCCAGTTTAGGAGCAAAACAGTAGGACATTAAACCCCATTTCATTTCATTTCAAAATAATCAAACTGTCAAGAGTAAAACTTTACCACAAAAAGTTTTATATAACAAACCATAAATAAATGGCACCATATGAAGGAAACACGCATGAACTGCTCAAACAACAAGTTTTAATTGATTACTGTCTAAAACTAGCTACAGCTTTTTATTATACGCCCACATTTCATGTGGACGTATATTGTTGTTGACCCTGTCCATCCAGTCATCCGTCCGTCTGTCTGTCCGTCACACTTTTTGGGACAATAACTCTCTTTCTAATTGAGCTAGTGAATGTGTTTATTAGCTCAATGCCTTGATGGAGTTCGAAGATGAGCATTTTCTGCTTAGGGTAAGCAAAGATTCGCAATTTGATTGGTTGATGCTTTGGGACACGATAACTTTAGTTGTAATTAAGTGAGAGCGATGAAACTAGGTGTATAGTTTCATTACATCAATACCATGGCTGAGTTTGATAATGAGCATTTTGTGCTCAGGGTAAGCAGAGTGATAAGCAGTTTGATTGGCCGAGACTTTGGAACACAATAACTCTCCTTCTAATTGAGCTAGAACATTCAACCTTGATGGAGTTCGAAGATGGGCATTTTCTGCTTAGGGTAAGCAGAGATAAGCAATTTGATTGCTTGATGCTTTGGGACACAATAACTTTAGTTCTAATTAAGTGAGAGTGATAAAATTTTGTGTATAGTTTTATTACATCAATACCTTCTTTTTTTTTATTATACTTATTATTTATCTCATAAAAACTGAGTATAAATTCCAATCGATCAGAAATAATCTAATTAAAACACACTACAAATTATACTACACAATAAACCCCCCGGCAAACTACATGGATACCGGTATCACAAACCTTACTAAATGAGGACAGTTAACAGGGAAAAGCTCAGCTGAAAAGACCTTCAAAAATTTTCCATCTATCTTGAACTTTGTCACCTAGTATAATTTGTTCTTTTTCAAAATAATATAATAATTCTTTTTTAAATACATTCAGAATTGGTTTATTTTCTTTAAGCCTTTGTTTATATATGTGTAACTTAGCTAAACTATATATCAAATTTGGAATTTTATTATCATTATCAATGCCAAATAAACATGTTATCAAGGTGATATCAAAATCTTTGTTTGCCTTTAGTTTAATCCAGGTTCCTAATTCTTGCCAATATCCTTGTACATATTCACAGCTGTAATAGAGATGTATTAATGATTCTGTAGGTCTGATTTAATAATTCCAATTTTAGCTAAACATTTATTTGTACCAATGCGGCAATTATTCTACTATTGAGTCGAAATTGAAACCATTTCAGCCTAGTATCGACAGTAAATTCAAAGTTTGCTTGTAAATACGAGCCCATTCTTTTAGAGTTAAGGTGAGATTTCGGATTTAGTTTTTTGAGGTTTTTTTATCTAACAAATGTGTATAGAAATGTTTTGCCCCAGTATCAAACATAAAGATAAATTCAATATTTTGAGGGTAAATGGGAAGTATTAACCTGCCATCTACTGTTTTAGGATTTATGTTGTTAAAAATTTTCCATTTAGCCAGAAGTGATTTTTTAAATCCATACAGGTTTGTAAAGTGTGGAGAGATATTAAATATAGATTTGAACAACGTGTCGTATGTCATAAAGATCCCATTATCGAAAAGATCATAAACATATTTTATTCCTTTCTGATGCCAAACATCAAATTATATTGTTTTATTATTTATTTTTATATTTGAATTGTACCACAATGGCTGATGTAGAATATTATATATATCGTTATCGTTTGGTTTTAACTTAATTAGCGCAATACTTATATAATTAAAAACTTCTTGCCAGAAAGACAATTTTGTACGCTTTGATAGTTTATAAAAATAATCATCCCCAAAAGAGTCAACCAATAACTGTTTATCTGGTAAATAAGCAACTAACAATTTTGCCCAGGCAGTGTTTGATGTTTTAAAAATCTTCTAAACCATGTGATTTTTAACGACTTCGAGTATGCTATTATATCAATCATTTTACATCCACCATTTTCAAAATTTTGAACCATAGTTTTTCTAGACACTCTTTCAGCTTTATTCTCCTAAACAAATTTATATAAAGATTTCTCTAAATTCTTTAAATAAGATATATCCGGAGAAGGTAGACTTATTAGTAGATGATTCAATTTTGGTACTAATATTGACTTTACGACAGTCATTCGACCGAGTACAGTCAAATTTCGTTTAGACCAATTTGACACCAAGTGACAAACTTCTTGACACTTAACATTATAATTCAGGTCTATTATCTTATCGATATCAGTACTGTATTGTATTCCTAGGGCCGTAAATTCAGATATTTCCCAGGTTAAATTTTTTTTAACATTTAGAAATCTTTCTTGACTTCCTCTCAATGATCCTATCCAAACAGAACAAGTTTTTTCTATGTTTGGTTTTAAACCTGAATATTTTGCAAATTCATCAAGAAGATTCTAGGCCTGTCAGAGATTTTTCGCTACCGTCAAGTGTCAGAGCAGTATCATCTGCATATTGTAGGATTTTTTTGTTTTTACTCCCTAAATTAATTCCTTTAATGTCTTCCTGGTTTTTCTTATTAAACTACCCAAAATTTCAACACATAGCAAAAATATATAGGGCAATAACGGATCTCCCTATCTACAACCGCATCCAATGGCGAAGAAATCACTTGATTTACCAAATTGTTTAACACAGAGCTTAAAATCAGTATTAAAAATGTTCACCCATTTCCTGATTTGTTGTCCAAAATTAAAGAATTTTAAAGTTTTATCAATAAATCTCCATGAAACAGAATCAAAAGCCTTCTCGAAATCTATGAAAACAATTAGTCCAGGAATATTTTCAATTTCTGTATACTGCAAGATATCAAATAAAAGTTTTGTATTCTCCCCAATAAACCGCCCAGTTAAAAATAAAAACCCCTCTTGGTCTTCATGAATAAGATTATTTAAAACAGATTTAATACGTTTTGCAATACAGGCTGATAGAATTTTGTAGGAGGTATTTAGCGATGCAATTGGTCTCCAATTTTTGATGAATTTGATTGGTCGAGACTTTGGAACACAATAACTCTCATTCTAATTGAGCTACAATGTTCACACTTGACGTAGGTGTTTATTAGGTGAATGCCTTGATGGAGTTGGTCTCCAATTTTTGATGAATTTGATTGGTCGAGACTTTGGAACACAATAACTCTCATTCTAATTGAGCTAGAATGTTCACATTTGACGTAGGTGTTTATTAGGTGAATGCCTTGATGGAGTTGGAAGTTAGAAGATGAAAATTTTCTGCTTAGGGTAAGCAGAGATAAACAATTTGATTGATTGATGCTTTGGGACACGATAACTTTAGTTCTAATTAAGTGAGAGTGTATTGTTTTATCACATCATTACCTTGACTAAGTTCCATAATAAGCATTTTCTGCTAAGGGTAAGCAGAGCGATAAGCAATTTGATTGGTCGAGACTTTGAAACACAATAACTCTCCTTCTAATTGAGGCAGAATGTTCAAACTTGGTGTATGTGTTTATTAGGTGAATGCCTTGATGGAGTTCGGTGATAAACATTGTCTGCTTACGGTAAGCAGAGATAAGCAATCTGATTGGTTGATATTTTAGGGCCAATAACTTTGGTTTTAATTAAGTGAGAGTGATGAAGCTCTGAGTATAGATTCATTATATCATTACCTTGACTGATGATGAGAATTTTCTGCTTAGGCTAAGGTTCGATAAGCAATTTGATTGGTCAAGACTTTGGAACATAACAACTCTGCTTTTAATTGAGGTAGAATGTTTAAACATCTATGTAGATGTTCATTAGGTGAATGTCATGACTGAGTTCATTGATTAACATTTCAAGCTAAAGCTAAACGGAACAAGATAACTTTGATTCTATCTGATAGAGAGTGATGAAACTTAGTGTATAGTTGATAATCAGTTTATTGATTGCTTAATACTTTTGAAAAAAAATAAATGTGCTATTAATTAATATGTGTCATCTATTTATTTTTGTCCCTGACTTTCGAAGAAAGCAGGGGACTATTAAGATCTCGATTCCTTTCGATATTCGCACATATCGGACCATAACTTTCTGAATTATGGCCCCTGATTGTACGGAATATAGCGTTTTTAGCTTGTGGACCCTATAGAGGTTATAATTTTTATCCGATTTCAAAAACCGTTTGAATATAGCCTATCACCGTTAACCCTAAGGATGGTTGAATTCAAATTTCGTAAAAATCGGACCAAAACTGACAGACAAAATGGCCGCCCTGCATACTCAAATAGCGTAAAAATAAGGTATATGTATGTTGTGGACCCCCTAGAGGTGACAATTTTCTTCTGATTCTGATGAAACTTGAAATACAAGTTTATAACCCAAAGATCTTAGTTCCTTTGATAATCGCGCATATCGGATTGTAACTTCCAGAATTATGACCCCCCGATCGTACGAAAAATCGCATTTTTAGCTTGAGGCCCCTCTAGAGATCACAATTATTATCCGATTTAAAAAAACGTGTGAATATATTACCTTTACACGCTAAGGATGGTTGAGTTCGATTTTCATGAAAAACAGACCAAAACTGACAGACAAAATGGCTGCCCCACGTACTCAAATAGCGTAAAAAATATGGTATATCAAGGTTGTGGACACTCTAGAGGTGACAATTTTCTTCTGATTTTGATGAAACTTGAAATGTAAATTTATAACCGAAAGATCTTGGTTCCTTTCGATATTTGCGCATATCGGATCGTAACTTCCTGAATTATGACCCCTGATTGTACGAAAAATCGCCTTTTGTTTAGCTTGTTCTCTATCCATCTCTTGCAAAATGTGGGCGTATCCTGCCTGGCAGCCACTGGTTAAACAAATTAGATGGTATTAAACAGCACGCAACAGAGCTGTCCGTTTGTCTCCATTGTAGCGTGGTGGCAAATATCTCACCAATTAACAAGACTGAAACTTATATGGTCATTTTAAGTTCGTGCTATATGTCTGGAAAAGGTTTCTTTGCATTAAAATAGTACCACTACTGATTCTGTGAAAGCCATGATGTCATTGGCTGTTCGTTCTTAATTACCCAATCACAGTGAATAATACATAACTCCATAGCAATCAGGTCTTGTGTCATTGAGTAATACTGATCATTTTTGTCTTTGAGTTGATTGATAATTGCCAATGATATATATAAAGCCTATTATTTGAGGTTTTGTCTTATAAATTAAAAGGAAATATGGCCGACAATTCTTTCATAAAATATAATCATAGGAATGTTCAATACCGTTTAGTTTTATTTTAAAAGTAGAGTAATATAGTATACTACAGAAAATGAACCCCTTTAAATTTGATGTGTTCTGTTTAATTATTTCAGCTGCGGATAAATTGTTAAAGATATGGGGAGCCTATGATGGAAAATTTGAAAAAACTATAAGTGGTCATAAACTGGTATGATATCATTATATTATATCTATTGGAAAATTCTATATCATTTTATTAATAGCTGATTTTGAATCACTATTGATAAAAGAGAACATTCAATATTTGAATATTCTTTTCGAAATGATATTGCAAACAAAGCAAATTTTTCATGTGGACATATATTGTCGTCGACCCTGTCCGTCCATCTGTCTGTCCACAGTTTGTCTGTGGACACTCTACAGGTCACAATTCTTATCTGATTTTGACGAAACTTGAAATATAGATTTATCTCCAAATGATCTCGGTTCCATTTGATATTGGCATGTATCTGATCGAAACTACGTGAAAGTGGCTCCTGTTTGTAAGAAAAATCATGTTTTTAGCCTGTGGACTCTCTAGAGGTCACAATTTTCATCTGATTTTGATGAAACTTGAAATGCATGTTTATAACCCAAAGATCTTGGTTGCTTTCGATATTTGTGCATATCAGATCGTAACTTCCTGAATTATGGCCCCAGATAGTAAGAAAATCGCCTTTTTTGGCTTGTGGTCCCTCTAGAGGTCACAATTTTTGTACGCCCACATTTTCATGTGGACGTATTATGCCGTCGCCCCAGTTTGTCTGTCCGTCCACAATTTGTTTGTGGACACTCTACAGGTCACAATTTTTATCCGATTTCAACGAAACTTGAAATATTTATCTCCATAAGATCTCGGTTCCTTTCGATATTGGCATGTATTGGACCGTAACTACATGATTATACAAAAAATCACGTTTTTAGCTTGTGGACACTCTAGAAGTCACAGTTTTGATCCGATTTTGATGAAACCTGAAATGCATGTTTATATCCCAAAGATCTTGGTTCCTTTCGATAATTCGATCGTAACTTCCTGAGTTATGGCCCCTGATAGTACAAAAAATCTTGTTTTTGCTTGTGATCCCTCCAAAGGTCACAATTTTTATCCGATTTAAAAAAAATGTTTTAATATATCACCGTTACACCATAATGAAGATTGAATTCGAATTTCGTGAAAATGTGACCAAAACTGACAAACAAAATGGCCGACGCGAATAGTATAAAAATATGGTATATCAAGGTTGTGGACCCTGTAGAGGTCACAATTTTAAAATCCGATTTTGATGAAACTTGAAATGCATGTTTAGAACCTAAAGATCTTGGTTCCTTTCGATATTTGCGCATATCAAATCGTAACAACCTGAATTGTGGCCCCTGATTGTACGAAAAATCACTTTTTATACGCCCACATTTAAATGTAGTCGTATACTGTTGTCGGTCCGGCAGCCACAATTGCTTGTGGACGCTCTAGAGGCTAAAGTTAATATCCGATTGATCTTAAATTTATACACAGTGTTTAAGGTCATGAGACGAAGAAGCCTATTTCCGATAATTACTGCCAGAGTTACGGCCCTTGATCACTTTAAAAAATATTGTGGACGCTCTAGAGGTCAAAGTTAATATCCGATTGACAGTTTTTAAGGTCATGAGACGAAGAAGCATATTGATTTTCAGCAATTTCCGATAATTAATGCCAGAGTTATGGCCCTTGATCACTTCAAAAAGTCTTGTAGATTCTCTAGAGGCTAAAGTTAATGTCTGATTGACTTCAAATTTATACAGTGTTTGAGGTCATGAGACAAAGAATCCTATTGATTTTCAACGATTTCCGATAATTACTGCCAAAGTTATGACCCTTGATCACTTTGAAAAAAATCTTGTGACGCTCTAGAGGCTAAAGTTATCATCCGATTGACTTCAGATTGATAATTACTTCATGAGTTGTTACTCTTTCTCCGATTTTAGTGTATTATAAATGTTTCATTACCAAAAAAAAGTAAAAATATGCGACAACACTTGTAGACTGCCTAGACAATTTAGCTGCTGTGGGCGTATGTTTCATTGCCTGGCAACCTATCTTTAGCTTGTGGATTCTCTAGAGGTCACAATTTTTTTTTCCAATTTTAAAAACCGTTTTGATCACCATTCCATCATATTGAAGGTTGAATTGGAATTTTAGGAAAATTGAAATGAAACTGCCCGACAAAATTGCTGTTCTTTGTATAGAAATTGTATATAAGTATGTAATTCAAAGGTTATGGACCTTTTAGAGCTCACAATTTTTATCCAATTTTGATGAAACTTAAAATATATCTTTATGTTCAAAAAATCGCAGTCCCTTTTGATATTTGTGCATTTCAGACCATAACTTTCTGGATTATGGCCCCTGATTGTACAAAAAATCGTTTTTGTTTTTAGCTTGTTCTCTATCCATCGCTTGCAAAATGTGGGCGTATCCTGCCTGGCAGCCGCTGGTTATCCAATTTAAAAAAATGTTTTTGTATATCACCATTACACCCTAATGATGGTTGAGTTTGAAATTTGTGAAAATTGGACCAAAACTGCCGGACAAAATGGCCTACCCTCATACACAAATAGTGTAACTAAATATATGGTACTAGCAGGATACCCTGCTTCACTCGGGGGTCATAACTCCGAAACCGGAAGTGGTAGACTAACGCCACCTGGCCTATGTTACTCCCCGGTCCGAGCTACACCTAAACCCCAAATTTCAGACTCGGGGCAGACCTAGTGTAGCCGCCAACCCAGAACAGACCGGTTTCGCTCGGGGGTCATAACTCCGAAACCGGAAGTGGTAGACTAACGCCACCAGGCCTATGTTACTCCCCGGTCCGAGCTACCCCTATACCCCAAATTTCAGACTCGGGGCAGATGTAGCTGCCAACCCCGAACAGACAGACTTCGCTCGGGGGTCATAACTCCGAAACTGGAAGTGGTAGACTAACGCCACCTGGCCTATGTTACTCCCCGATTCGAGCTACCCCTAGACCCCAAATTTCAGACTTGGGCCAAACCTAGTGTAGCCGCCAACCCCGAACAGACAGACAGACAGACAAACGACAGTCACAAATATATATATAGATAGATGTCAAGGTTGTGGACCCTCTAGAGGACACAATTTTGATGAAACTTGAAATATATGTTTATAACCGAAAGATCTTGGTTGCTTTTGATATTCATGCACATCGGATCGTAACTTCCTGAATTACGGCCCTTGATTATACGAAAACTCACGTTTTTAGCTTGTGGTGCCTCTAGAGGTCACAATTTTTATTTGATTTGAAAAAAAAAAAACGTTGAATATATCACTGTTACACCCTAAAGATAGTGAAGTTCAAAAGCTAATGAAGATTGCTTTTGAATTTCGTTAAAATCGAAACCAAAACTGCCGGACAAAATGGCCACCCCTTGTACGCAAATAGTGTAAATACTGTGGACCCTCTAGAGGCCACAATTTTGATCTGATTTTCATGAAACTTTAAATTTAAGTTTATACCTCAAAGATCTTGGTGCCTTCAGATAATTGCGCACATCTGAACATAACTTCCTGGATCAAGGCACCAGATTGTTAGAAAAATCGCATTTTTAGCTCGTGGACCCGCTAGAAGTCATAATTTGTATTCAATTTAAAAAAAAACGTTTAAATATATCACCGTTACACATCAATGAAGGTTGAGTTCAAAATGGTCAAAACTGCCTGACAAAACCTGGCTAATTATATATGAAAAATATTTGAATTTTGCAAAATAAAAACATAAGACGGCATACAACCGTAGACACAGACTAGTCACTGGTGTAAAAGTATTTAATACCAAGGTTCTTTTTGCCTGTTCTCTATCCATCTCTCGTTGCCTGGCAACCGCTGGTTAATTGTTGATTACCAATAAGCCAGAGATGTCTGTCCCTGTACCTTTCAAAATATTGGTGTGGAATGGTGTTGAGGCCAAAAAAAGGGGGTTTCTGTTTCCTGTAACGGATGGAAAATAGGGTAGGGTCGGTAGGTAGGGTTTTTTTTTTCCTTTTTAATGCTACATTGTTAGATCTAGTAGTAGATCTACCGTAGCAACTAGCATAATATTCTGTGCGAAATAAATCTTCAATTTTATGTTAGATTTAGTCGGTGCCGAGCAACATGAAGCACGAATAGATTGGTGGATTAGTCCGGTCGCCAAACCCAATTTTTCGAGTCTACCTGGAGGTTCACCCAGCAGATTCTGAAAGAGGACACCCTAGACTACTAAAATCAATACAAAATCAACTTTGTATACAATTTCCAGATTCAGCCATAGCTCTGCCGGACTAGATGGAATTCTTGGATAATTGTTTAAAATGTATCAGAGTCTAGATTATGATTTAAATATTCTCTTAGGGTGCAAATGGACTTTTTAATGGTTCTATGCTAAAAAAAATAGCATAGGTGCACTAGGCCATTTTGTTCAAGGGAAAGAACTTGCGATGAAAACTTAAAAAATCATACCATGCCGTCGCACGAAATAGGTCCGTAATCAATTTATTTGTCTTCTTTTAAATACCAATCGAGCAGAGATCGTATCCACCTGTTTGAAATATACGTTAACTTGTTTTTGTCCAATTGCGTGCTGATACTTATTAGAACGAAGGTTGTGAGGATTATAGCTTTTCGGAATGTGCAGTGGTCAATCTAAACGAAACCTGTAGTCTTGATTTTCACGTCAGTTTACACTCTCGCGTCAGCAGTATGGCAATTCTTAATAATCGTTCGCTGTACAACGGTAAATGCAGATTCAAAGAACGATGGCATTTATATTAATTTATAGCAACAAATAAATAGACATTTTCAAGAATCCGATAGGCTTAGAGTATTCTGAGTGGTCGGTCGTTGAACAAAAATGTTTTTGTATTTCTCATGACACTAAAAAAAAAATGAGTCTGCAGGTTTTGTAATGGGTCGGTCGGGTTTCCGGAAACAGAACTTTTTTTTTGTTGGCCTTACAACAATTTTTCCCAAGACCTAATCTAGAATTAAAAATTACAATTACATATAAATACTGATCATGGAAAGCTAAAACTATTTGAGAAACATTTAGAAACTGCATTAAATAAGATTGATGACAAATTATCTTTGTCCCAATAATTGGAAATGATTTATTATTACAGGGTATATCAGACGTGGCCTGGTCAACAGATAGTCGCTTGTTAGTTAGTGCTTCTGATGACAAAACATTAAAAATATGGGACTTTTCAATGGTAAGTCTAGTTGGAATGGTTTTATACACTCACATTTAACATAGACATACATTTATTGTCACTATTCTTATGACTAGGGCTGCAACGATTCACAACTACCTTGATTCGGCTCGATTATCGATTTTAACCATTCGATTCGATTATTTTCGATTCGATTATCAGCTACAATAGCCAGTAATTTTTCCTGTATATAATTCATTAAAAACAATGAAAACACAAGACTAAAATTCTCTTGAACACTTTTATTGGTTTGACAGGTTTGTTGTGTTTCCTGTTTTATGGGATATGTCAGTGTAGCATACTCTACAAGTTGCCACATCTTGAGAGTTTTTTCTTACACCAAAATGATTCCAAACTTTAGATTTCAAATGACCAGGTGGTCGAGAAAGTACGTCATCTGCCATAATTTTACCTTCCAGTCGTGTTTGCTTGACTACGGGTAATACTCGTTCAGTGACCGCCCTAGACTCTTAAAACCTTTAGCCAAATCAAAATTTTATTAGCCAATTCAGAAAGTTTTAGCCAAATATTTTATATCATTTTTATGTTTGTTAATTAAAAATGAAAATAAATGTTTAATATATACTTATATAGTACACAAGAATATTATTTTATCTCCTTGTCCATGCAAAAGTTCACATTATTGAGAGAATGAATGCAGATTCTTTTTAAGACACCACTGATCAAATGCTCTGACAAATTAAAAATTTGTGCTTTCCGGTCCATCCATTTTTATACGCCCACATTTTCATGTGGACGTATATTGTCGTCGCCCCTGTCCGGCCATCCGTCCGTCCGTCCGTCCACAATTGTTTGTGAACAGTCTACAGGTCACAATTTTTATCCGATTTCAATGAAACTTAAAATATAGGTTTATCACCCTAAGATCTCGGTTCCTTTCGATATTGGCATGTATCGGACTGTAACTTCATGGATTATGGCCCCTGATTGTACGAAAAATCACGTTTTTAGCTTGTGAACACTGTAGAGGTCACAATTTTTATCCTATTTATTTTAAACTTGAAATGTATGATTATAACCCAAAGATCTCGGTTCCTTTCGATATTCGCGCATATCTGAACCTGACTTCCTGAATTATGCCCAAAACTGACAGACCTCAAATAGCGTAAAAATATGGTATATCAAGGTTGTGGACCCTATAGAGGTCACAATTTTTATCTGATTTTGTTGAAACTTGAAATGTATGTTTATATCCCAAAGATCTCAGATCCTTTCCATATTCGCGCATATCGGACCGTAACTTCCTGAATTATGGCCCCTGATTGTACGAAAAATTGCGTTTTTAGATTGTGGACCCTATAGAGGTCATAATTTTTATCCGATTTAAAAAAACGTAGTATTATATCACCGTTACACCCTAAGGACGACTGAGTTCGAATTTCGTGAAAATCAGCCCAAAAATATGGTATATCAAGGTTGTGGACCCTATCACTATACGACTGGTACCGTGGAATCTAGGGTAAATAGCGTTATTATCTAAATCTCAACTTTCAATTTTGATTACCAAGCATTAATTGACTAGTGTTTAGTTTGTCGACACGTGTGTAATTATAAGCGTCCCACTTAATTTTGACGACTGTTCAATAATTAGTTGGACAGTCCAATTTCCCGAGTTGTGATTAAAATTAGTCAAGGTGTCCAATTACGCCAGGTATTCAATTCTGTTGCCGAACATCCAATTTCACATGCGTTGTTCAGATTTTAACGAAATGTTTATATTGAAGGAGTTGTAATATAGTAATGCCGCCGTGAAAACGTGTACATGTATAATGTACAGGCCGGTTTGAATAACAACAAAATGAGTTCGGTAATCTCGGGAAAACATTTACCGGCATTCTGTATCGGTTAGGATTTTTTTCTAACGCACTGTACATGCATATAACGTCGGCCAAAATGTATGCAACAATGAACAACTTTTTATACGCTCCCACATTGAAATGTGGTCGTATATTGTTGTTGTTGAAACTTGAAATGTAAGTTTATAACCCAAAGATCTCGGTTCCTTTCGATATTCGCGCATATCGGACCGTAACTTCCTGAATTATGGCCTCTGATTGTACGAAAAATCACTTTCTTTTTAGCTTGTTCTCTATCCATCTCTCGAAAATGTGGGCGTATCCTGCCTGGCAGCCGCTGGTTATAAGCATGAGGTCATTGAGGGTTAGCTCGACGGTCTCGGTTAATAAGGTCTAATTTTTGTCCACATGTTGATGAACCCAACGAATGACTTACGTTCGAGATGCCACTCTCACTCACGGAGGTAGATTCTGGACTAACAGTAGTCGTAGGAAGTGAAAAAGGAATCTATCCTTATTTTGGGTTTACAAGTATTAGTTGTCATTATTGTGCGTTTTATTTATTTGCTGCGTAAGTAAAGAAAACTCGCAGTGAAGCGAATGTAAACAACGCAGTGCCACACAAAAGGGGCGTAACTGTGTTTTATAGTCTCGAGACTCGATCTTTCGGTCGTTTTAATGCGTAAAATTGACAGATTTGCGACTTGTAAGATTGAGACTAGAGTAATTAATGTACTAAAAATAGACATTCCATCGAGTCGATCGAAAGAAGCGTTGAATGAGACGATTTCGAGTTAAATATTAGCAGATTTACGAAATAACACTCTCTAAAATTTGTTCGCCAAAGTTTTCGCCAGTATCATCAATTTATTCGCCAATAAAAATAATTGTCGCCATTGGCGAATGTCTAGGGCGGTCACTACTCGTTAAACACGAAAATATCCGAAGATAATGACCGGAATTATCAGATAATGAGATCGTTTAGAATTTATATAACGATTACCGAAGCTATTGACCTAAATTAACATCAAATGAACATTCGGTACGTCACCAATTTTAAATAAATTAACTTTTGTCAGCATACGGAAATTATTTTAAAGGGAGGTCACTCTGTTTTAGTTATGTTTTCGAGTGACATTCGTGTCTTGTTAAATAACGTAAATTAAAAGTTACGTAAATACAAAGGTTTTTTTTAAATTTTAAGTGGACTTAATTGCTTCAGGTCTTTCATTTTTATACGCCCACATTGAAATGTGGACGTATATTGCTGTCGCCCCCGTCCGTCCGTCCACAATTTCTTGTGAACGCTCTAACGCCAAAAGTTATCATCCAATTGTTTTAAAATTGATATATGTTGTTTACATTAGTGAGATGAAGAAGCTTTTAATTTCAATAATTTCCGTTTATTACGTCTAGAGTTATGGCCCTTGTTTCACTTTGTTGAACCTTGTGAACTCTCTAATGCCAAAAGTTAACATACAATCTTTGTGAAATTTATATGCAATATTTAAGTTAGTGAAACAAAGAAGCCTATTGAATTTCAACAATTTCCGTTTATTACGTCTAGAGTTATGGCCCTTGTTTCACTTTAATGAACCTTGTGAACGCTCTAACTCCAAAAGTTATCATCCGATCTTTCTGACATTTACATGCATTATTTGAATTAGTAAAATGAAGAAGCCTATTGAATTTCAGCAATTTCCGTTTATTACGTCAAGAGTTATGGCCCTTGTTTCACTTTATTGAACCTTGTGAACACTCTAACGACAAAAGTTATTATCCGATCTTTCTGAAATTTATATGCATTATTTAGATTACTGAAACGAAAAAGCCTATTGAATTTCGGCAATTTCCGTTTATTACATCTAGAGTTATGGTCCTTGTTTCACTTTATTGATCCTTGTGAACGCTCTCACATTAAAAGTTATCATCCGATCTTTCTGAAATTTATATGCATTATTTAGATTACTGAAACGAAAAAGCCTATTGAATTTCGGCAATTTTCGTTTATTACGTCTAGAGTTACATGTATGGTCCTTGTTTCACTTTATTGATCCTTGTGAATGCTCTCACATTAAAAGTTATCATCCGATCTTTCTGAAATTTATATGCATTATTTAGATTGCTGAAACGAAGAAGCCTATTGAATTTCAGCAATTCCCATTTATTACGTCTAGAGTTATGGCCCGTGTTTCACTTTATTGATCCTTGTGAACGCTCTAACGTCAACATTTATCATCCGATCTTTCTGAAATTTATATGCATTATTTAGGTTACTAAAACGAAGAAGCCTATTGAATTTCAGCAATTTCCGTTTATCACGTCTAGAGTTATGGCCCTTGTTTCACTTTATTGATCCTTGTGAACGCTCTAACGTCAAAAGTTATCATTCGATCTTTCTGAAAATTATATGCATTATTTGAATTAGTGAGACGAAGAAGCCTATTGAATTTCAGCAATTTCCGTTTATTACGTCTAGAGTTATGGCCCTTGTTTCACTTTATTGATCCTTGTGAACGCTCTAACGTCAAAAGTTATCATTCGATCTTTCTGAAAATTATATGCATTATTTAAATTAGTGAAACAAAGAAGCCTATTGAATTTCAGCAATTTCCGTTTATTACGTCTAGAGTTATGGCCCTTGTTTCACTTTATTGAACCTTGTGAACGCTCTAACGCAAAGAGTTATCCCCCGATCTTTGTGAAATTTATATGCATGATTTAAATTAGTGAAACAAAAAAGCCTATTGAATTTCAGCAATTTACTATAATTACTTCTAGAGTTATTGCCCTTGTTTCACTTTGTTAAACCTTGTTAATGCTCGATTGATGATAGTTATCATCCGATATGTATGAAATTTATATGCATCATTTAAATTTGTGAAACAGGTCTATTGAATTTCAGCAATTTCCGTCAATAATTTCTAGAGTTATGGCGATTGTGAACGTTTCAATGACGAAAGTGATCATGTGATCTGTATGAAATTTATATGCATTATTTAAATTAGTAAAATGAAAAAGCCTGTCAAATTTCAACAATTTCTGTAGATTACTTCCAGAGTTGAGACCCTTGTTTCAGAGAGAGAGAGAGAGAAATGGGATTTAACGTCCACTTGACACAAACTAGGTCATTTCGGGACTAACATATGGTTTAATTTTATTTCAATAATTCGCTTGCGCGTA